AGCTAATCTTAGTAATGTTATTCTAGACCTTTAAAACAAGTAGTACTAATAGTTTACTATTAATAATACTATAATAAAGATAGATATTACTAACATTCTTTAAAAGACAAGTACTTAAAAGGCGCTAAGTCTTAACTTACTACTTACTAGCTTCTTTAAGGTATATAAGCGCTTTTTAGCTAAGCTTCTTATAGTAATAGTAACTATAAGCCTCTAGCTAAGGTACTTTCTTATATAGTTTAAAGTAGTAAAAGTAGTAGTACTATATAAGCCTAGAAAGACCTTTAAGTAGTAATAAACTACTAAGGCCTATAGGCTAATATTACTCTTAAACGTAATAAGTAAAGTAATTAAGTTAGTAATTAGCTAGTACTTTACTAATACTATAAAGTTATAAAGGCTTTTTTTAGAAATATAGATAAAGAACTAGCTATAATACTTAATAGACCTTATAGTTAAAATAGTAGTTAATACTATATATATAGTATAAAGCTATAAGGCTATAGCGTTCTTTCTCTAACTTAACATTAAAGGCGCCTTTAATATAGTAAACTATATATACCTTTTTTATACTCTTTAATACTTAAGGTTCTTTATATAGGCTGTATAGTAAGTATATAGCTTTCTTACTAATTAGATAGCTAGTCTCTTTTTTAATAAGAAGGTAGTACTACCTTAAAAGGTTACTATAAGGGTACTATAAGGCTTACTATTCTCTTTTATCTTCTTTCTTCTTTATACTACTAGCTTATATATACTACTATAAGGTTATATAAGCCTTATTATAGTAAGGTTTACTAACGACCTTAACCTCTTAGCTTTTAGTAAAGACATAATAAAGACATACTAATACCTTAAAAAAGTATAGTAAACATATAGCTAGTAGTTATATATAAGAAAGATAGAGTTTATCTTTAAAAAGAGTAAGCTCCTTTACTTTACTTACGCTTATACTATACTATTAATACTTATCTACCTTAATAGCTAGGTTATACCTTTAGTCTAAGAGGCCTACTTTCTAAGAGTTTAGATAGATTAGAAACTTAGATAAAAGGGCTACCTTAACGCTATTAAACAAAAGTTTACTACCTAGTAGTTTACGCTTATAAGGCTTACTACGTCTATATAAAGATATAACTTACTATATATAAAGAAGATCTATATAAAGGTAATCTAAAGTACTATAGTATATAGCGTAAGGGTCTAGTACTGTCTCTTTAAGTAACGAGCTAAGAAGATTATAAAGAACCTTATAATAAAGTAGTTATAGTACCTTTACGTTATTATAAGAGCGTACTAGGTAACTCTTGTCTAGTTTCTTAAGTCTAAAATAACTATACCTTTACTTAACCTTTACTTTAATAAGTAAGTAATAGACTTTAAACAATATCTTAAATATATAAGTAAGGGTAAACTTATATATTATTGTTCTTACTACTTATACTTACTATATACAGAACCTTTATACTATATAAATTATATAGTAAAACCGTACTAAAGCTAGGTAAAAACCTATATACTATTCCTTACGTTTATACTATTATAGCGCTACTAAGGTACTAGGTCCTTATTACTACCTTACTAGAACTTAACCTTCTAGCCTAGTAATACTAAATATACTAACAAGACGCTAGTAAGGCGCTAGTAAGGCGCCGGCTACTAGCTAAGGCTACTTCTTCTCTTATAACTCCTTTACTAAGTAGCGCTTAGCTAGACAAAACTATAGGAATTAGCTAGTAAATAGTAGCTAATAGATTAGTATATAAGTACTCTTACCTTTTTTTATTACTACTATAAAGTTATAGAACGTTTATAGTACTCTTAAGTAAAGTACTTACTATAAGGCCTACTACTACTAGTCTAGTTACTAGTAGTTAAGGACTAGGTAAGCTATTATCTCTAGGGCCTTACTATAAGGGTACTAGAGAGTTACTACCTCTAGTACTCTATACTTAAAAAAGAAAGCCTAGAGTCTAACTTTACTAGTATAGATCTATATTAAAAAAGAGCTCTTATACTTATAAAAGAGTAAGTACTTTTTAAGGGTATCTACTAAGAGGACAGGTAGTATAGCTAAGATAGCGCCTTAGTAGTATACTAGTAAGCTATTATATTAAGACTATTATACCTTTTAGTTCTCTTATAAGGTCTTTTTTAAAGAAGAGTCTTTATACTAGTCCCTTACTTATATAGCTTAGCCTACCTTATACTTAAGTAATGTATAAGGTAGCGCTATAGTAGTACTATAATAACGTCTTTAGTATTACTAAAGACAGGTCGCTACCTTATTATAAATAGACTATATAAGTTTGTCCTTACTTATACATTTAAGACGTTATTTAAAGTCTACTACTTACTTATTAAGGTAGAGGTTAAGTAAGGGCGTAGTTATTTTAGACTTAAGGAACTAGACAAGAGTTACTTAGTACGCCCTTATAATAACGTAAAGGTACTATAACTACTTTATAATAAGGTCTTTTATAATCTCCTTAGCTTACTACTTAGAAAAGTAGTACTAGACCCTTACGCTATATACTATAGTACTTTAGATTACCTTTATATAGATCTCTCTTATATATAGTAGGCTATATCCTTATATAGATATAGTAAGCCTTATAAGTATAAACTACTAAGTAGTAAACTTTTATTTAATAGTATTAAGGTAGCCCTTTTATCTAAGCTTTTAATCTATCTAAACCCTTAAAAAGTAGGCCTCTTAGACTAAGAGTATAACTTAGCTATTAAAGTAGATAAGTATCGTTAGTATAGTATAAGTATAAGTAAGGTAAAAGAGCTTACTCTTCTTAAGGGTAAACTCTATCCTTCTTATATATAACTACTAGCTATATATCTACTACGCCTCTTTAAGGTACTAGCGTGTCTTTATTATGTCTTTACTAAAAGCTAAGAGATTAAGGTCGTTAGTAAACCTTACTATAATAAGGCTTATATAACCTTATAGTAACGTATATAAGCTAGTAGTATAAAGAAAGAAGAGGATAAAAAAGAAGGGTAAGCCTTATAGTACCCTTATAGTAACCTCTTAAGATAGCGCTACCTTCTTATTAAAGAAGAGACTAGCTGTCTAATTAGTAAGAAAGCTATATACTTACTATATAGCTTATATAAGAAACCTTAAGTACTAAAGAGTATAAAGAAGGTATATATAGTTTACTATATTAAAGGCGCCTCTAATATTAAGTTAGAGAAGAGACACTATAGCCTTATAGCTCTATACTATATACGTAGCGTTAACTACTATTTTAACTATAAGGTCTATTAAGCGTTATAGCTAGTTTCTTATCTATATCTTTAGAAAGAGCCTTTACGACTTTATAGCGTTAGTAAAGTACTAGCTAATTACTAACTTAATTACTTTACTTATTATATTTAAGAGTAATATTAGCCTATAGGCCCTTACGGTTTATTACTATTTAAGGGTCTTTTTAGGCTTATATAGTACTACTACCTTTACTACTTTAAACTACGTAAAGAAGTGCCTTAGCTAAAGGCTTATAGTTACTATTAGTATAAAGAGCTTAGCTAAGAGGCGCTTATATATCTTAAGAAAGCTAGTAAGTAGTAGGTTAAGGCCTAGTACCTTTTAGGTACCTGTCTTTTAAAAGACGTTAGTAATATCTGTCTTTATTATAGTGTTATTAATAGTAAACTATTAGTACTACTTGTCTTAGAGGTCTAGAATAACGTTACTAAGATTAGCTATTAATTCTAGAAAGAACTACTAGCCTAATACTATTACTTTATTATAGTAGCTTATAGCTAGTACTTTTTTATTAGCGCCTTATAAAGGTAAGAGTAAGGCCGGTTTTAAGAGTATATAGCTATAAAGCCTAGCCTACTTCTTAAGACTCTAGAGTTTCTATTAGTCCTTTAAGGTAGTAGTAAGGGCGCTATACTAGCTCTTAGTTTTTATATCTTAGATTATATAAAGTTAATAGGTACTAGCTTACTAGAGGTCGCGCTAGTAGAGCTTAGTTAAGGTAGTAGTATATTAATAGTATACTACCTGTACTTACTAAATAGCCTTAAGGACCTTACTGTTTTACTAGGGCTTAGTATACCCTTAGTTAACCTTCTTTCTTAAGGTAGATATGTCTATAATACGTATAAGCTAAGAGGTAAGTAAGTTAACTACCTTATTAACCTTATAAAGTATATCTAGTAGTTTTAAGAAAAGGTAAAGCCTTCTAGCCTTAATTATTACTAGTTCTTAGTCTATTAAGGTCTAGCTTTATCCTAGTACTTTTATAGCTCTCTTCTAGTAATTCCTTACTTAAGTAGTAACCTTAATTAGCTAGGTATAGTAGTTAGATCTCTTATATCTTAGGTTACCTTAATAAGTATACTAGAGCGTTACTATAACTTATATATAGTTAATTATTAAGTCTTGTTTGTTATGTTACTACTATATTAGCTCTCTTTAAGGTATATATAGTAAGAGCTACTACTTATAGGCTAGATAGAAAAGGGTTTTTAATTTAAGGGTAGTCTTACTAGCTTTATCTTAGAGTAAGTAATAAAGGTTTATGTTACTTATAACAATCTATAGCCTCTCTAGGTCTTTCTTAGTAAGCCGCTAGAAAAGGCTAGCCTAGCCTAGAGAGTTAGGAATTAGTAAGTATATTAACTAGATAGTAATACCTTATAAAGTAACGTAGTACTAGTTAATACCTATCTTTACTACTTAAGTAAAAGGTAGGTATTACTTATAGACGTAAATAACTATATAGCTTTTACTCTTATAAACCCTTTAGTACTTTACTTATACTAAGTAGTAGACTATCTTTATCTAAGTATTATACTATAGCTTCTAAATTACTATAACGTTAGCTTTATAGTAATTATAAAGTACTATTAAGGTAAGGCTATTCTTTCTTATAGTATTTTAGTATACTATTATTAATTTTATTACTAAGAGTCTAGGATCTATAAGTCTTACGTTATAAAGGGGTTACTAGACCCCTAGCTAGCTCCTTAGCTTAATATCTCTATAATGTCGTAGCTCTAGACTATTACTATATCTAGTACCTTAATAAAGAGGCGCCTTTACTTTACTAGAGTCTTTACTATAAGCTTCTTACTATTACCTGTCTATAGTCTTTTAAGTACTATAATCTAGTAGCTATTGTTACTATCTTATAAGGACACTAGCGTAACGCTAGGTACCTAGCTAGTAAAGCTGCTTTTAGATACCTTAAACTGTCTAGGCCTTTATTAATATATAGTATATACTTACTTCTTTGTCTTAAGGGCCTTAGGATACTAACGGTCTTATACTACATATAGTCTACTATAGTTAACATATCTCTTTCTACTATTAAGCTAGGGGCACTTTTCTTTATCTTAGAGGTAAACTTATATAGTTTATTTATAATAAGGTAGCGGCCTGTCTTTAATAACGCTAGAGACGCTACTATAGTATTACTATAGCGTTACCTTATACGTTACTTAAGTATAAGGTAGGCTAAGCTATATAAGTAAAGGACTAGTATAAGGACTCTCTTTTAAAAGAGACCTTATAAGAGAACTAAAAGGTATAGTAGTCTTAATATAATAGCTTACTAGTATACTACTAAAGCGCTATTCTAGTTACGCTACTTACTTTTTTAGTAGATACCTTTAAGAAGTACTTACTCTTTTATAAGTATAAGAGCTTTCTTTTAATATAGATCTATACTAGTAAAGTTAGACTATAGGCTTTCTTTTTTAAGCGTAAAGTACTAGAGGTAGTAACCTTCTAGTACCCTTATAGTAAGGCTCTAGAGATAGCGGCTTACTTAGTCCTTAACTACTAGTAGCTAGATTAATAGTAACAGGCCTTATAGTAAGCGCTTTACTTAAGAGTACTATAAACGTTATATAACTTTATAGTAGTAATAAAGAAAGGTAAGAGTATATATATACTAATCTATTAGCTACTATCTACTAGCTAATTCTTATAGTTTTGTCTAGCTAAGCGCTACTTAATAAAAGAGTTATAAGAAAGAGAGTAGCTCTAGCTAGTAGCCGGCGCCTTACTAGTACCTTACTAGTATCTTATTAGTATGTTTAGTATTACTAGGCTAGAAGGTTAAGTTCTAGTAAAGTAGTAATAAAGACCCGGCGCCTTAGTAGTACTATAATAGTATAAACGTAATTAGTAGTATATAGGTTTTTACCTAGCTTTAGTACAGTTTTACTATATAATTTATATAGTATAAAGGTTTTGTATATAGTAGGTATAAGTACTTACAGGCTGACTGCCCTTAATTTAAGAGATAGTTAACCTAGTATTAAGCTTATATTAACTTAGATTTATAAGCTTAACTTAGATTTAATTTAATTTTAAAAGGTTTTAACTTATTTTAAGCTAGATTTTAATAGTTTTAAGTAGTTTTAAGTAGTTTTAACTAAGTTTTAACTAAGTTTTAAATTATTTTAACTAGATCTAATTAAGTTTAACTAGATTTAACTTAGATTTAACTTAGAATTAACTAGATTTAACTAGATTTAACTAGATTTAACTTAGTTTTTAAGTAAAGTACTTATAAAAATAGTTTTAGGTACTTATATAATAGGCCTATAGTATCACGTGATTTTATGTCACGTGACTAGACTAAGAGATTTAGCTCTGTTTATATGTAAACAAACGCGTTACAAATACCTTCTATAGCTCTTTATTACTCTTAACAGCCTTTTGTTACTCTTAACAGTCTTTTGTTGCCCTTAACAGCCCTTTGTTACCCTTAATAGCCCTCTATTACCCTTAACAGCCTTTTGTTACCTTTACAAATACCCTTAACAGCCCTCTGTTCTTAACAGCCCTTTGTTACTCTTAACAGCCCTCTGTTACTCTTAACAGCCCTCTGTTACCTTTACAAATACCCTTAACAGCCCTCTGTTCTTAACAGCCCTCTATTACCTTTACAAATACCCTTAACAGCTCTTTGTTACCTTTACAAATACCCTTAACAGCCCTTTGTTGCCTTTACAAATACCCTTAACAGCCCTCTATTACCTTTACAAATACTCTTAACAGCCCTCTGTTGCCCTTAACAGCCCTCTGTTCTTAACAGCCCTTTATTACCTTTACAAATACTCTTAACAGCCCTCTATTACCTTTATAAATACTCTTAACAGCCTTTTATTACCTTTACAAATACTCTTAACAGCCCTTTAGCCCTCTATTACCTTTATAAATCTTAACAGCCCTTTGTCGCCCTCTAGCCCTTTATTACTCTTACAGATCTTAATAGTCTTTTATTACTTTTATAAATACCCTTAATAGCCCTCTAGCCCTTTATTACTCTTATAGATCTTAATAGCCCTTTATTGCCCTCTAGCCCTTTATTACTCTTATAGATCTTAACAGCCTTTTGTTACCTTTATAAATACCTTAAATAGCCCTTTAGCCCTTTATTACCCTTACAGATCTTAATAGCCCTCTATTACCTTTACAAATACTCTTAACAGCCCTTTAGCCCTTTGTTACCCTTACAGATCTTAATAGCCCTTTATCGTCCTCTAGCCCTTTATTGCCCTTACAGATCTTAACAGCCCTCTGTTCTTAACAGCCTTCTGTTGCCCTTAATAGCCTTTTGTTACTCTTAACAGCCCTTTATTACTCTTAATAGCCCTCTGTTGCCTTTAACAGCTCTCTGTTACCTTTAACAGCCCTTTATTGCCCTTAACAGCCCTCTATTACTCTTAACAGCCCTTTATTGCCCTTAACAGCCCTTTGTTGCCCTTAACAGCCCTTTGTTGCCCTTAATAGCCCTTTGTTCTTAATAGCCCTTTATTACCTTTATAAATACTCTTAACAGCCCTTTATTACCTTTATAAATACTCTTAACAGCCTTTTGTTACTTTTACGAATACCTTTAATAGCCTTCTAGCCCTTTATTACCCTTATAGATCTTGATAGCCCTCTGTCGCTCTCTAGCCCTTTATTACTCTTATAGATCTTAACAGCCTTTTATTACCTTTATAAATACCCTTAACAGCCTTCTAGCCCTCTATTACTCTTACGGATCTTAATAGCCTTTTATCGCCTTCTAGCCCTCTATTACTCTTATAGATCTTAACAGCCTTTTATTACCTTTACAAATACCTTTAATAGCCCTCTAGCCCTCTATTACTCTTACGGATCTTAATAGCCCTTTGTCGCCCTCTAGCCCTCTATTACCCTTACGGATCTTAATAGCCCTTTATTACCTTTACGAATACCCTTAACAGCCCTCTAGCCCTTTGTTACCCTTACAGATCTTAACAGCCCTCTATCGCCCTCTAGCCCTCTATTACCCTTACAGATCTCGACAGCCCTCTGTTGCCCTTAACAGCCCTCTGTTCTTAACAGCCCTCTGTTGCCCTTGACAGCCCTCTATTGCCCTTAACAGCCCTCTGTTGCCCTCGACAGCCCTCTGTTGCCCTTGACAGCCCTCTGTTGCCCTTGACAGCCCTCTGTACCTTTGTAAATACCCTTGACAGCCCTCTGTTACCTTCGCGAATACCCTCGACAGCCCTTTATTCTCGACAGCCCTCTGTTCTCGACAGCCCTCTGTTCTCGACAGCCCTCTGTTCTTAACAGCCCTCTGTTCTCGACAGCCCTTTATTGCCCTTTACAGCCCTCTGTTGCCCTTTACGGCCCTCTGTTGCCCTTACGGATCTCGACAGCCCTTTATAGCTCTTACCGATCGTCCTTCTGCCCTTATAGATCTTAACAGCCCTCTATAGCTCTTATAGATCGTCCTTTTGCCCTTACAGATCCCTTCTGCCCTTATAGATCCCTTCTGCCCTTACAGATCCCTTCTGCCCTTACAGATCCCTTCTGCCCTTACAGATCCCTTCTGCCCTTACAGATCCCTTCTGCCCTTACAGATCCCTTTTACCTTATTTACCCTTACTAATTATATTGTTTTATATAGATCTCTTTACAACTACCCTTACGACTACCCTTACGACTACCCTTACGACTACCTTTACGACTACCCTTACGACTGCCTTTACGACTGTCCTTACGACTGCCCTTACGACTACCTTTACAACTACCCTTATAACTGTCTTTATAACTGTTCTTATACCTGTCCTTATACCTGTCTTTTCTTATACTTAGATAGATAATTAATTAATTAAATAACTCTTTAAATGTGTTCTAACTCTAATAATATAGCTTAAGGTAGCTTAAGGTATCTTAACCTAGTTTTAAACTAAATTTAAACTAGGTTAAATCTAAGTTAAATCTAAGTTAAATCTAAGTTAAATCTATAAAACTAGTTAAAACTAAGTTAAATCTCTAAAACAATTTAATAATAATCCAGAGTTATCACGATAAAACTAGAGTTAAAAAGGTTTTAAAACTACTTAAAACTAGGTTAAATTTAAGTTAAAACTAAGTTAAAACTAGTTTTAACTTAGTTTTAAAACATATTTAATATTATTTTAAGTCTAGGTTAAATTAAACAAATAAGGCCGTAAGGTAGTAAGACTAATAATAATAATAATAATTATTATGTTTAAGAGTAAGATTAGCCTATAGGCCTTAGCTATTTATTACTATTTAAGAGTCTTTTTAGGCTTATATAGTACTACTACCTTTACTACTTTAAACTATATAAAGAAGTGCCTTAGTTAGAGGCTTACTATTACTATTACTATAAAGAGCTTAGCTAAGAGGCGCTTATACGCCTTAAAGAAGCTAGTAAGTAGCTAGTTAGGCCCTAGTACTTTTTAAGTACTTGTCTTTTAAAGAACGTTTATAATCTCTACCTTTATTATAGTGTTATTAATAGTAAACTACTAGTATTACTTGTCTTAAAGGTCTTAAATAACGTTATAAAGATTAGCTACTAATTCTAAAAAGAACTATTAACCTAATACTACTACTTTATTATAGTAGCTTATAGCTAGTACCTTCTTATTAGTACCTTAAAGAGGTAGAAGTAAGGCCGGTTCTAAGAGTACGTAGCTATAAAGCCTAGCTTACTTCTTAAGATTCTAGAGTTATTATTAGTCTTTTAAGGTAGTAGTAAGAGTACTATACTAGCTTCTAGTCTTTACGTCTTAGATCGTATAGAGTTAGTAAGTACTAGCCTATTAGAGTTCGTGCTAGTAGAGCTTAGTTAGAGTAGTAGTATATTAATAGTATATTATTTATACTTATTAAATAGCGTTAAAGACCTTACTATTCTACTAGGGCTTAGTATACTCTTAGCTAACCTTCTTTCTTAAGGTAGATATGTCTATAATACGTATAAGCTAAGAAGTAAGTAAGTTAACTACCTTATTAAGCTTATAAGGTATATCTAGTAGCTTTAAAGAAAGGTAAAGCCTTCTAGACTTAATCGTTACTAGTTCTTAGTCTATTAGGGTCTAGCTCTATTCTAGTACCTTTACGGCTCTCTTTTAGTAATCTTTTACTTAAGTAATAACCTTAATTAGCTAGGTATAGTAGTTAGAGCCTTTATACCTTAGGTTACCTTAGTAAGTATACTAAAGTATTACTATAGCCTATATATAGTTAATTATTAAGTCTTGTTTACTATATTACTATTAGGTTAGTTTTCTTTAAGGTATATATAGTAAGAGCTACTACTTATAGGCTAGATAAAGAAGGGTCTTTAATTTAGAGGTAGTCTTACTAGCTCTATCTTAAAGTAAGTAATAAAGGTTTATATTACTTATAACAACCTATAGCCTTACTAGGTCTTTTTTAGTAAGTTACTAGAGAGGGCTAGTCTAGCCTAAAGAGTTAAGGATTAGTAAGTATATTAACTAAATAATAATACCTTATAAAGTAACGTAGTACTAGTTAATACCTATCTTTACTACTTAAGTAAAAGGTAGGTATTACTTATAGACGTAAATAACTATATAGCTTTTACTCTTATAAACCCTTTAGTACTTTACTTATACTAAGTAGTAGACTATCTTTATCTAAGTATTATACTATAGCTTCTAAATTACTATAACGTTAGCTTTATAGTAATTATAAAGTACTATTAAGGTAAGGCTATTCTTTCTTATAGTATTTTAGTATACTATTATTAATTTTATTACTAAGAGTCTAGGATCTATAAGTCTTATGTTATAAAAGGGTTACTAGACCCTTAGTTAGCTCTCTAGCTTAATATCTTTATAATGTCGTAGCTCTAGACTATTATTATATCTAGTACTTTAATAAGAAGGTATCCTTACCTTACTAAAGTTTTTACTATAGGCTTCTTATTATTACTTATCTATAGTCTCTTAGTTACTATAATCTAGTAGCTATTATTACTATCTTATAAGGACACTAGTATAGTACTAAGTACTTAGCTAGTAAAGCTACTCTTAGATACCTTAAACTATCTAGGCCTTTATTAATATATAGTATATACTTACTCTTTTACCTTAAAGGCCTTAAGATACTAGTAGTCTTATACTATATATAGTCTACTATAGTTAATATATCTCTTCTTACTATTAAGTTAAGAGTAGTTCTCTTTACCTTATAAGTACACTATACTTATATAGTAGCTATACTAGGCCTAGTTCTTATAAAATTACCTAATATAACTAAACTAGTAGTACTAAAAGTATCTTTAGATTTATAAGTTAGCTAAATATAGCTTATAGTTAAAGATCTAGGCTTACTAGATTAATCCTTAGTTATATAAGTACGTTACTACCTTAGTATTCTAAAGGTATAGTACTACTATTATAAACTTTACTATAAGGGCCTTAATAGGCTTAACCTTAACTTTTATAACATATAGTATATAGGCCTAAATCTCTACTAGTAATACTCTTACCTTTACTTATATAATCTAGTTAGCTAGTAGGCCTTTTATAATTACTATAAACTTATTCTTATAAAGCTAGGCTATAAGCTTAAACGCCTTTTATACTTAGCCTTAATCTTAAAGTATACTCTTTAGTATAGACTCTTTAAATATAAAGATAGTATTACTACTAGGTAGCTAGTAAGTTACTACTACTTTAGTACTCTTAATTACTATATTAGCTACTATTACTACTTTTATAGTATTATAACGTACTAAGTCTTTTATCTACTTATCTACTCTAATCTATAGCTCTTTAGTCTGTCTCTTTAGTATAACCTATACTCTTACTAGGTATTAGCCTACTACTAACGTATAAGTAGCCTAGAGGGCCGCTATTACTACTAGCCTCTAGAAGGCCTTCTTTAGTATTAATCTTAACTATCTAATTATTACTAGGTCGTTATTAAAAAGGGTCTTAAAAGTACGTAAAAGAGTTACTATATTTACTACCTTTGTTTTTACTACTATTATTATCGTTATAATAAGGTTATATAAGAGGCGTAACGCCTTCTTCTCTTTACCTAGTATTATATAGGCCTTAATTCTTTATAGAATCGTCTTTATCTTATTATTACTACTACTCTTACTACTTACTAGCTCTTTACTATAGTTTTCTACTAGAGAATAAGAGTACTAGCTCTTACTTATAAGTAGGTAGTACTAGCTTTATTTAAGTCTAGTATACCTACTATCTATTACTATAGACTTACTTAAAGTTTACTAGCGCTCTAGAAGGTATCTAAAGGCGCTAATTTTGAATTAATCGTTTGTTTTTAAGTTTTTAAGGTAGTAGAAGAGGTAGACGACTATTACAAAATTTAGTAAAAGTATTTAAATATAATAGTATACTAAATTTTTACCTCTAATTTAAGTATATTAAGTTAGCTACTAATAGCCTTTATTATAAGGTTACTAGTAGTTACGCCTTTACCTAAGTTAAGGTAAGAAAGAGTATAAATACTAAGGTTCTTTTATAGTCTCTTTAAGGTATAAGTAAAGTTAGAAAAAGATAAGAGTTTTTATAGATGTATATAGTCTATGTTTTAAGTACTCTTATTAATAAGAATTAGGTACTAGAGAGTAGAAGCCGCTATAATAGCTAGAGTAATATAAAAGGGCGGCATTAAGTAAGTAAGATAACGACTTAGATAATAACCTATTTAGACAAATACAGTACTTATACAGGCTAGGAAAGGGCGTTATTAAGTAGACACTAGATTTAAGAAAATGGTTGTAGGTCGCGCTGTAATAGTAGTAAACGCTCTGTCTAACGTAATATTACTCTAGACCCCTCTAGACCTGTAACAGAACCCTATGTAATAAGGCTAGAGATTACTTACAACAACCCCTTAGTTACTGTATTTCTAGTCTTTTCCTTACTTAACCTTAAGATAGAGTACAGACTTAAGGAAAGAATCGCAGGCGCTGCCAGACCCTCGGCACAGTACAAAGTCCTAATCGATGGCGAGGCTGAAAAGGGTGACGGCAATACTTTATACGTTACAGTATCTAGCATGATTAGTACAGCCACAGCCTGCTGGGTCCTAGACAAAATCCCTCTTTGAGTATCCGACTATAAGACTCGCGACCTCTGGTATGTCTTTCTTTAAGCTGCCAGGAACTTTGATAGCGACAATCCTAAGCAAGACACTTTAGTTCAAGAAATCCTCTGTACTCGAGAAATGAGCACGTTGGTGAGAAAAAGCTTCTAAGGCGGCTGCGCTAGGCATTAAAGCTTAGACTTCGAACGGTGCCAAGATCTGGGTCGATCTTCTATATCTGGTTCAATATGTGTACAAGACCTGGAGCAAAGAGTCATTGAACATGACGACTAGTACCTACTGTACGAATATGGCTTCTTTCATTGCTCGCCTGGCTTCAGTCGGTGTGTGTAAGGGCACACTTACTGGTCTCTTCATCGTATTGCTACGCGACACTTTAGAGACACACAGGAGGATTAACGCTGCAGACAGCGGTTCTGAGGTCCCAATCGAAGAACTGCTTCCCGCCATCAGAGCCTGGGTTACTGTATGCTAGTTGCAATCTCGCTGTTACCGCAATGTCACTTTCCCACCCTGAGTTCTTGGAGCTCGGTTCCCTGGCGCAGTGGGCGCAAGTTGTGCCAGGTGGATTCAACGCTTCGAGATGGACTTTCTAGAAGACGAGGTCAGAGGAGGCAAGTGTGAGAAGGATGCAGTCGCGAAACAAGCAGCTTATATCTAGAAGATGGCGAAGATGGGTCATGAAGGCAATACCATCGTTCCATCATAGTTTCTTCTTTACCGTTGCATCAGAGATTGTCGTTATAACTGTAGTATTATTGCAAGGGGGAGAGCTTATAAGGTAGCCTAGAACTCTAGTTTATAAAGTACCTATACCTAAGAGACAGATCTCAGCAGCCCACTGTAAAATAAGCCATCTTTTAAATTACTATAGATCTAATGTACAAATCTAATAAGAGTAGGGTTTCCACTTTGTGTGAAAACTGTCGTTAAAGTTCCATCAAGGGTATAATGCTAAATCGTCCAACATCTCTCTCATAACCACGTGAAGCGTGTAGTATACATATATACCCAGGTAACTTCTGGGCCGCCCAAGGGGATCGTAAAATGACTATAGGAAATTTTGTAAATGATCGTAGGGGAAAAAACAGTAAAAGGCATAAGTCGTGCAAAGAGGACGAGAGGACGGGCAGAAGAGGCAGGTTATACAGGCTGTGAGATGGCACGGGGGCAGTCAGGTATGTACCTACCACCCCTCTGTGACGCTCAAAACGACCAGGACAATCTAACCACGTTAGCCGATAGCTCCCTTGAAGATGATTAGAGAAGGACTCACCACTACGATAACAATTGAAATTCCCACCACCGACATCCATCGGTTTATGTTCCGCCACCACCTTGCGCTCTCATATCTAGCCTCGCCCATAGGCCCAAATTGACGGGCGTAGTCATTTGATATATCATTAGAGCCATCTTCCAGATTACTGGTATCGTGGCCCCGCTCCTTATCCAAGGCCGGGTTTAGAGGCAGGGGTAGGAAAGCTGCAATCATCCAAGCTATGCCTTAAAGTCAGTCACACTATTCACGAGTTGAAAGATACCGGGGACGAGATGCGTACCAAAGGGAAAAATAAACCCTGCAACAAACATTACTATCTGTCTATTTCGTCTGCCAAACCAGCTTCCCTCTGTTGACCAGTTTAGAGAGGGAGGGACCCAGACACTGTGTCGAATAGCTCTTCGATCATGGCGTAGATGGGGTGACCAGATACTCGACATACTCCATGTCCTGTATCGCCTTGGACAGGGGACACTAACTGAACGCTCGTTACTTGCGAGCTGTGGTGCAGGCGTGATCTCGGAAGAGCCACGACTCGGTGGTCCAACCCGAGGGTTAGTTTCTCGCGGGCGTCTCCGTGGGCTATATATGACCGCTGGGAAATGATCCGTATTGGGCGAACCGCTACGGAAAGAGCTGGCGCGAAAGGAACTGGCACGACTAACAGAGCTTTCAGTAAAACTCAAACTCCCAAGGGCTCCCAGATAACGCCTTTCACCGCTCCCGTAGTAGAGTCTTGCCCATGCAGGGATTGTACTGTAGAGTATGCTATTGGCTCTAGAGCTTGCAGTCGAGAGCATCGTATTTGAGCGCCCATTGTCAGAGGAGGCGATGCTGAGAACTCCGGAAAGTCGTCTTCTTGACGGCCGGGCCCGCAATTCACGCATATCAGTGATAGAATCCCCGTATTCGTCCTGATCCTCTAACACCGCGAGCGAGGAGCTGCTAAAATCGTGCTGTCCGTTCCGTATGTGAGCGGGTTTGGGAGGCTCTATGTGATCCGACCCCGCGTCCTCTTGGGCTAGAGATGAGCTGATGCTTAACATTTGGCGACTATGACGGCTTGCAGTACTGGGCAACCCGCTGCTCCTTCCAATATCGTCTGACCACGATCGAGAGCCTCCTCGATCGGTCCCACCTTCTGAGACCGAGGGCACAGTCGACAGCTGCGAACTCCATTGATGCGGACGCTCGATCATGTGGGAGCGCAGTGGGTGGATTCCTGATAGGTCTGCCCACGGACTTAGCACCTTTAATTTCGGATTCAGGGGAGGTAAATTGATCAACGCGCCACTGCCCGCGATAGCTTGAGAAGCCTCTTGCTGGCTGAGAACAGTAGAAATTGAAGCCAAAGATCCAGTCCGAAGTGATTCCCTGGACCTAGACTTGTAATACCCAAGTTTTTGGTTTGATGTCCCAGGTCTTGGGTTCAGGGGAGGGACCACCAAGGATTCCTGGGAATACTGGGATGCCCGTGAAAGGTTGGCGTAGGAGGCCGCTGGGGAAGGATCCCCGTGAAGCTCGTAGTTTTCGTTCTCTGACGGAGATGTTTCGAGCCGGTAAACGACGGATGAATCGGGAGAGGGGTCTGCAAGGACTTGATAATTCGAATCGCTGCTGGATGGCGATGCAAGCGCAGCTTCAGATGCGGACCGAGAGAGGGTACGATAAACCTTGTAGTTGGTGTTCTCGGATGTCGTGGTGGCAGTCTGGGTGGACTGAAAGGAGGGTTTCGTGGAGAGATCGTGGGATCGAGACGTGGATACGTCCAGTGTCTCTGGCAAGGGTGGCACGTCCGACAAGTCGGTGGCCTTGTGCTTCAGATCTGGAGTCGGCGGAACTTTGCGCAGACCGCCGACAAGCTGGTAGTTCCAGGGGGAGCTGCTTATAGGATCTGCAGTTACCGATTGCTTGGATCCCGGGGTTGGGGTAGTAAGGGTGGCCGAGGCCCTTGAATGAGGACCTGGGGTGTATAAGACGGTGGAATTGGGTTGCGCTTCCACATTACGATTATTCGAGGGTAGTAAGTCGTATGAGCTCTTCGCAGACACGGTCCGTGATCTGGGAGTTTGGGGTTCGTCTTCTGTGAGCTGCGGATCACCATCACTCAGTGGGACTAAAGAGAAAGTCTTGTTGTCCTTGTGTATCTGTAGGCGTTTCTTTGGAACGGGTTTTGGCCTCGCTCTCGAGACGGGAGATCCTGTTGCAGAGTCGCCGCCATGCAGGGGGGTCCGCAGCAGGGAATTCTTTGTCGCGACAGACGAGGCGCTGGAGCCAGTTGATGGCGGAGCTTCGAGGGATTGGTGAAACGGGGACTGTAAGACATGGTGCTCCTTACCCTTCCCTTTCCCCGGCGAGAGGATATGGGATGGGTGGGTTGGCAGGGGCGTTCTGGAGAATATATCATCCTTCTGTCCCAGCAACTGCGGGGAGTTGGGGACCAGGCGCAAAGTACGCGCATTCTCATTGGACTGGGAGTCGGAGCGCTCATGAAGAGGTCTTCGAGGGGTCGATTCTCCTGGCATGGCGGATCCAGCCGAGCGGGCGCTTTGCTCATGCCGTACGCGGCGGACTACAACAAGATAGATTCAGATGGCGATCCAGAGATAGACACAGCAGCGGGCATAGTGCGCGGGGGCGAAGACGATGGGTGAGCGGCGGGGGGCGGCAGGGCTGCAGAGCGGCAGAGCGACAAGAAGGGGGAGAAAGGGTGCGCGTCGCGACGAGATCTTCCTCCAAGCAAAGCAGAGGGATAAGAATTAGAACGAGAATGATAATAATTATGATAATAATAGTGAGGAGGGAGGTATAGCGCCGTGTTCGATCACACGCGTAGTGAAAGTAAGTAGCCCGGATAGGGTGTGTTGGGTCTTCGCGGTATAAGGAGAACAAAGACTCAAAGAGCGACGGTGATAGCGATGAGTGGTAACTGCGGATGCGGCGAAGTGCGCGCGCGAGAGAGAGAGAGAGAGAGCGACGGAGGGAAGAGAAGGAATGGATGAAGTGAGTGAGACGGGAAAAAGAAAAGGGAGAAGAAGACGACGACGAGCGAAGGGCGAGAAGCAGTAGAAGAGAGAGAAGAGAGAGAGCGAGAGGAGGAGGCTGGACGGTGGATTGATTAGTCGAAGGGCTTTTTCGTCCTCGTATCTCGTATCTTTCTTGTCCTCTTGTCTGGGCCACTACCTTAGCCACCAGCCACCGGCCACCAGCCACCGCTGCCACCTCCACGAGTCGGGACGAACCACTCTCATCACAAATTGCTCAAGTCCTGCTACGTAAGGTCACCGTCAGACCCGTCCTTAGCTATCTTAGCTATGTGTTAGAATGAAACTACGACGCCCCCAAGTATGGACGCTATGTACCCGAAATACCCGCGCGTTCCTGGATCCGTTCCTGGACCCGCCGATCTTAGTTGCCTGACCTCCTAGATTTCTAGCTTTCTGGAGCGGTTCCTGCAGCCGTTGATTCTGTTCCTGCATTGGCATCTTGTCATTCCCCTTTTCCTCGTGTCCGTCTCTCTCCCAGCCTCTTTTCTTTTTCTTTTTCTTTTTCTTTTTCTTTTTCTTCTTCTCATTCCTCTTCCTCTTCTTCTTCTGCTTCTACTTCTCTTCCTCTCTCTGTGCTTCTGTCTCCTCCTCTGCCTCTTTTTCCTTCTTCACGCCTCCGCCAATCACCCCACTCGCCCCGAGGCCCCCGGCTCCCGACGTGTTCCTTTTCTTCCTTTTTTAGCCATGCGCTCTGCATATGTGCTACTACGCTACCTCGCAGCAGACGTACACCGCTCTGCAGAGTGCACACTGCTGTCACCGCAGGAGTTCGAGCGGCGCAGGATGCCCAAACACGCGGGACCTCTCTCGCCCAACGACTGAGCCCGGCTTGAGAGTTTTTAGGTACTTTGGAGTACAGTACATTCCGTGCCCCTCGGGGGTGGCCTCTTGAAAACGTGCGTTGAAAACGCGCAACGCAACACACAACGCCCGAGAGACAGAGACAAGGGACAAGAGACAAGAAGCAGAGGCCTCACTGCCTATCGATCCTGTATACAACGTCCATTGCGCAGGCAGTTGGAACGGAATGCAGGTGTTGGAATGGAATGCGCAGCGGAATGCGGCCCCCGTGATCTCATGGTCGTGATGTTGAAACTTGACGATGAGTTTTCTTATCCAATGATTCAGGCCGCTACACAGTACAGTATACTCCTTGCCTTGATGGAGCTCATACCTTGCCCCCTTGGTAGTTGCGGTGTGTGTTGGTTTCAATGATATCGGCGATCTGTTTTGGCCCGGCTTCTTCCCCGCCATTCATCACTCGTGCCCGGTCCACAGTTCACACAGCACCGTTCACTACTAAAAGGCACTCTTCACCTTCACCTTTCACGCTTCTCCCACAGGAACAGCAAGAATAAGTAATGATGATACCCAATATGAGCACGGTTTCACATGTATTACTCCATAGTTATTGGGTAGTTACGGGATAGATAGTCTGGGTATGAATAATGTGTCTCTCCCGTGTCACGCACGGTAATCATTGCCCTTTCGGGGCCGCCTGATCTTAATCTGACCGCCAAGTTCCAACGGCATCTAACCTAAGGCATCACGGGATGGTAAGAACCGCACACCGCGACTTTTCGGGTCGGGCCAGGCGACTTGCCCCGACTGTTGCCTAAGGCATTAGCACGTGCAGGAACCACCACCGTCGTCGTGTCTGGGCGCCTGATATGTTAGGCACTCACAATTGTCTGGACCGCATTCCGCATTCCCCCTCTCGCTCTTGAACAAGAGAACAAGAGAACAAGAGCAGGAGAGAGCGAGGCATTGCATACCTACGACGCAGCAGCGGATGAAGTGAGGAGTGCTGATTCTTCCCCTCCGTATCTTCTTCATTCTCCTCCCTCCTCCCTCCTCCCTCCTCCCTCTCCCCTCCTCCCTGCCCCCTCGTCTCCGCTGCTTCTGCTGCTTCCCGCTCTGATATATGCTGGCTCCTACCTGAGCAATATGTCTCTTGCCCGCCTCTCTGCCCGCTTCATGTCCATCTACGCGGGCGCCAAGAAAGGTCAGTAAGTATTTCTCCGCCTCAGTTCTGACGCCGGAATTACATGTCAAGCCCTCAATCTCAACCCTCTCCCCCCGTCTCTGTCTCTATGCGTGCTTATGAAGGGCCCCCTTCCCCCACAGTAGACCCTGAAGTCCCCGCCATCAGCACCCCAGCTGCGATAGCTGTGCTGGTAAGTGACCTCGAGGATCCGGCTCAGGGGCGCGACCGCTTGCTGACCCTTGCCAACCTAGGTTACTTATACTCTGATCTACGTCCTACCCTTCTACATCTCCCCGACTACTCGCCCCTCAGCAACCCTATCGCGCGACGCGCCCTCGGTCATTCGCGGCCGCATACGCTCGGTTACTGTATCATGCATCATATGCTCCATCATATCATTTGTAGTCCTGCTGGACGTGGGCGACAGTGACAACGCCCTCACCAACTCCCTCGAGGCTCTGCACCGCCTGGGATATATACCTGTTGGGTTGGTGGAGGCTGTCAGATGTCTTGTGCTGACCGCAACCCTATTCCTTGGCCCACTGTTTGAGGCCGGCATCGTAGAAGGGAGATGGAGGGGTTGGATCCGTCTGCGCGGCCTCGATACCGTAACTACTGGATGGATAGGTTGGCGTAATATTGTTGCGGCAAGTAACTCCTTCACCCTCCCCTTTCGCAGCCGTTCTAACGCCTAGCCCAGGGCCCAATAACAGAGGAAATCCTCTTCCGTTCCGCCTCGGTCCCTCTCCTACTTCTTTCCCAAACTTCAAACACGACAATCATCTTCTTGACGCCGGTCATCTTCGGCCTAGCGCATGTTCATCACTTCTACGAGTTTCGAATCGCATACCCTCACACCCCAATAATTGGAGCAATTCTACGCTCACTGCTCCAGTTTGCGTACACCACACTCTTCGGTGGTTACGTGACCTTCCTTTTCCTTAGGACAGGAAGCCTGTTGAGCGTGGTTCTCGTCCATGCCTTCTGCAATTGGATGGGCTTCCCGAGATTCTGGGGAAGGGTTAGCGCAGGGGAAACTGTCCCCACCTCTGATCTTGGGGATACCAAGAGAATTGAGAACCATGACCCGCCACGTCCAAATGAGCAGTTGAGTACTATATGGACGGTTCTATATTATGTCCTCCTTATTGTGGGAGCGGCAAGCTGGTGGAATTCCTTATGGACTTTGACAGAGAGCGACTCGGCCTTGACGATATTCTAAGAGAGTTGGGGAGTTTCAGTGAGCGGGAGTTTCAGTGAGCATGCCAAAAGCAGCGGTATGGCTGTTTGTTATTTAGAGGTTCATACTTGTAGGGTATTATTCTGTTCATCTTGATTATGGTTAACGTATTAAGCGCCGATACACCGCCTATGTTGCTAATTGCCAGCCGTCCTCTTTCTAATATTTGTAATATTTGTATCACCATTCCCGGCTTATCTCCCCGAATGCCCAGCACCATGTTCGACTCAAATCTCCTTCATTTCCTTGCTGCCATCTCTGCTCTCACCTCCCGGACCACCTCTTCCAGATCTTGCTGTGGATCCGGAGGCAGACCCAGGACAGGTTCCTTGCCAGCAAGGCTTTCTTGGCTTTGTGTTCTCTGCAGTTTACCTTTTTCTCCCGATCTCTCGTTCAGCTTTTTGATGAGATACGCTTTGGCCGGTGATGCAAAAAATGCAGTTGAGAGAGCTGTTCCGATTATGGCGTAGAAGTAAACGCGGGACCAGACGAGGAGCGATGCCGGGAGAGTCAGAAGCACGAAAGGAGCTGTGATAAAGGAGAAAGCAAGTTGTGTCACCAACCAAGAGAATATATCATAGTAAACCTTGGTAGCCGTGGGTTGTGAGGTTTTTGGATCTAGAAAGAATGGCCGAAAGTAGCGGCGGAAATCTAGGCTGGATCAGCAACGTCAAGACAAATCAGGATCGGGAAGTACAAACTCTTTGCAACTGTCTGAACAAAACTGGCAAGGACAAAGCTTAGATAGTAACCTGGATAGAATCCATGCCAGAATGCGCTTGTAACAAAGGTGGCCATGCTGGCTCGAAACCCAGGCTTCTTTCCGCGGGGGGTCACTCGAAGATAGACGTAGTTTCGAAGCCAACTATTCGTGTTGATGTTCCAGCTCCCCAAATACGCACGGGTATTCTGAGCAGTCTCCACACCCCACGGGCTTACGTTCCGGAGTCTGTCCCAAGACACCTTGCCGGTCACGGGGTCCACGCCTTTGTAGCCAAGACCAGAAAGGATGCAAGCACCCTCTGTCAATGACCAAACACCATAGTATTTTAGACGAGTGGTAAACCCGACCATGTGAAGAGTCAAGACTCGACGGACGAAGCCATAGGTCATGTATTTGTCGGCTATTAAGAGGTCTGGGTAATATTTGCCAGACAGCTTAAGGAATAGAAGGATCCAGAAAATCCCAATAGCAGCCTTCCAAGCTGCGGGAGTCCCGCTTCGAGGGATTTTCCTCTTCTTTCTTGTGGGAGGCTTCTTTGATGGGTCAACTCCAGCAGGAACTTCGAACATCGTCGTCTCGATCCATCGCCTGTAATCGACGTAGTCGAATGCGGGTCCGGCAAAAAGAGATGGGAAGAAAAGAACGTAACCAGCAAAGTCGAGCAGGCTTGGGAGTTGTTTGATGGCTCTCTCCTTCTGAAAATCTGATAAATCCTTCTCTGGCAATCTACCATCTGCCACGTTCCAGCAGAACGATGTAAGCTTCATAACCAAAACCATCTGGGCGCCTGTGATGTCTACCGATCCTGGGTCATTCACGAATTGACGCGCGAGTTGGTTTATTGACAGATGGCCCATCAGAAACACGAAGCTGATCCATGGCATAAAAGGCCCCTTTATATATTCGGCGATGCAATATGCCCCTACTGAGCTTATCGCTAATGTCCTGAGGCCGCCCCATAAATCGAAGAGACCAACAAGATAAAATAAAGAGACACTGTGGAATATTAGTGAGGGCTCTGCTAGCGGGGTAAACCAGGTGCTTGCCCAATAATGAAGAGATTCTTCAGAGCAGGCTTCTCATCAGGGACACGCTTGAGTAAGCCAGCCAGCGGATACGAGAGGAGGAAAGATCCTATGAGCTTGACTGGAGACCCATTAGACCCAAATCATGTTCGGCATTGAAGGGGGCACATACGCTCATCTGTTGTAGCTCCTAGGATACCAGCAACATGCTGAAATGCTAGACGTAGTTAACGTCAGACACGGCCGCACCAGAAAGGTTGTACTGGGAGCTTACGAGCGTTGATGTAGGGTAACATCGCACCTATTCAGATCGGAAGTTGGGCGAGGGTTCTCTGCAAACTCCGTGTCTCCATCTGCAACGCTTATGAGGGCCGTCCTGCTGTTGAATGTGAATACGGAGAGGTGTTGAGGGTGGTGTCTGGTGACGGATGTTGCCGAGCCTTAGCTCCGCTGGCCGACCTTGCGTCGCTACGCTCAGGAATGTGCTGTGTTTCTGGACTACTACTTACGAGCAACAGAGAATAAACCACTCCCAGATCCCCTGCGTGATATTGACGACGACCAATACTACGGGCGAAGCTAAGAAAGGCCCCGCCCAGTTTTCAGAGAGATGGTCACATCAGGTGGTCCCTAACAACTCCGCGCCCTTGAATCTCCTCCGGATACGCCCAACAAGATGGATGTCGTGCAGGCCGTGTCAGGATACATCTCGAAGATGGTATCTGCTGGGGATAGCGCTTCAGGGACCCCTTCGGCGAAGATGAAAATCTTGCTATTGGACAGCGATACTGTGTCCATTGTGTCAACCGCAATCACGCAGTCCGCGCTGCTGAACCACGAGGTCTACCTCATCGATCGATTAGACAATCAGAACAGGGAGAAGATGCGACATCTCCGATGCTTATGTTTTGTACGACCCTCGCCGGATTCGATCCAGTTTCTCATTGATGAGTTTCGAGAGCCAAGGTATGGGGAATACAACATATACTTCAGCAACGTGGTCAAGAAATCTTCCTTAGAACGTCTAGCGGAGGCGGACGACCACGAGGTTGTGAGAGTGGTACAGGAGCATTTCGCTGATTATATCGTGGTCAATCCGGATTTGTTCACACTGGATCTAGGATTTCCCAGGCAGCGGATATGGAGTTCAAATCCGGATATGTGGAACACAGATGCATTGCAACGCACTACAGAAGGCCTTCTCGCGGTGTTGCTATCGTTGAAAAAGAAGCCATTGATTCGATACCAAAAGAATAGCCTGCTGGCCAAGAAACTGGCAACAGAGGTGCGATATCACATTGCTCAGGAGGATCAGTTGTTCGACTTTCGAAAGGTGGATACCCCTCCGATATTATTGATACTGGATCGAAGAGATGATCCTATCACACCCTTGTTGACACAATGGACATATCAAGCTATGGTTCACGAACTTCTCGGCATTCGCAATGGCCGGGTGGATTTAAGTGAGGTCCCGGATATTAGACCTGAGCTGAAGGAGGTAGTTTTGTCACAGGATCAGGATCCATTCTTCAAGAAGAACATGTTTCTGAATTTCGGCGATCTTGGTGGTAATATCAAGGATTATGTTGAGCAGTATCAGTCGAAGACAAAAAATAGCTCCAACATAGAATCAATAGCAGATATGAAGCGCTTTATCGAGGAGTACCCCGAGTTCCGGAAACTCTCTGGTAATGTGAGCAAGCACGTTACCATCGTGGGCGAACTGAGCAGGAAAGTGGGCGCAGAAAATCTGCTTGAAGTCAGTGAGGTGGAGCAGAGTCTGGCATGCAACGACAACCACGCTAGCGATCTCAAGGTATTGTCACCATTTTCTTGCGCTTGTTCGATATACTAACACCTGATCTAGAGTGTCCAAAGACTCATACAGTCGCCGGCGGTCACATCTGATAGCAAACTCCGCTTGGTTGCTCTTTACTCCTTGCGTTATGAAAAACACCCCTCGAATGCTCTGCCAGTGTTGGTCGACTTGTTGGGAGCAGCCGGCAATGTTCCCCAGCGGCGTATTGACCTAATCGCAAAGCTTTTGATATACCATTCATCCTTGCAACAGACGCAATCCCCTGGTGGTATCTCTGACATGTTTGAGTCTGCCGGGATATTTTCAGGTGCTCGAGACCGATTTAAGGGGCTCAAGGGGGTAGAAAATGTGTATACGCAGCATTCACCGCGTCTTGAGCTGACACTACAGAATCTGATTAGAGGGAGGCTGCGCGATCAACAGTACCCTTTCGTTGAAGGCGGCGGTTCCACTCGAGACAAGCCCCAAGACATCATCGTGTTTATTGTTGGGGGGGTCACTTTTGAGGAGGCCAAAAGTGTGTCTCAAATAAACGCTTCGTCACCGGGCGTAAGAATTGTGCTGGGCGGGTCCAGCGTGCACAACAGCACTACATTCCTCGAGGAGGTGGAGGACGTCGTCTCCTCTTGGCCAGAGCCTGCACCTACATCTGCAGCTGGAAGATTAAGAAAGGAGACGGGGTTACGGTAATATGCTCGCCGTTCCTGGCGATGGGGAGAGATAGCTTCAGGCGTGTGGAGTTTGGGAGAACAATGGGAGTACATCATAATCAAGGGGTGTTCAAAGAGATACACAGTAATAAGCTCTGGTGATATACCCCGTGGTGTCAAGACCACACAGAGGCAACGGAAATGCGAGATTTGTGATCTTATACCTCAAACGTTACGCATCGCCCGGTAACAACCAATTGTGTTGACCTTCATTCGGCCTACTAGTCTCTACTTACTTTACCTTCTTGCAGCACCTACACCAATGGTCACAATATATTTTCTCTTCTCCCGGACGTATTCATGAACCCTTCTGAGTACGGGCGTACGGAACGGAGAAGAGAAAAAGTGTATGCAGAGAAAGTCAATGGTCTTTGCATAAGGTAGCGAAGGGTTTCCAAGTGTATCGGAAGTATACAGAAATCTCGAGAACATACACAGATATGTGTGCACATGCCTACCTGTATATATACAAATGGGAATAGAGTGTGATGAGTCCTTACCTTACCCAAGGTATCCTAACATTGGCGTGTGTGTGTGGCAAGACGAAAGTGATCTCCCAGATAGGTTACCTTAGATACATACCTACCTAGGTACAGTAGGTAAGGTACCTTACATAGACGTCATTATTATTTTGAGCTGCATTATTCTATGCACATCTCTTCCGACCGCATGAATTATTTTTAGAAGCGAGCATCGCAAACGCGATTGCAGTACACAACCACCTTCGCAAATCACGATACAGTAAACAATAACACACACTACCTTACAATATGCAAGCATCGACACTGTCCTAGCATCTGCCCCAACCCAATAAGCTCGCTCATCTTACTCTAACAAACTATCTTCTCAGCCGCGCCACTGCTGTGATAGTATCCCCATAACACAACACTTGGGGATAGGGCGGACTACTTCTTTGCACAACCAAACTGATGCCATCAACGCGAATGAGAGAAGTTGATTTTGCAATATCGCTCTGAGCCAATTCCAATGTATTCTCACCCCGTTTCACAATTAGCTCTACATTGACTGAATATCTACCACACCAACTGATCTCTCACTCACACCAATCCCAAGTCCAATCAACTAGCCGCTATGTCAGATACGGATAGTGATGAAGACCTCAAGAGAGCTATTGCCCTATCACTGGGCGAGAATTTGCCGCCATCCCGCATGCGCAACGCGGTTGTCGTTGACCTGACCTCTTCAGATCAAGATGATGATTTGGATGCACCTCTTACTGCCAGACAAATCGCATCGACGAAACCGTCATATCAATCGAGAGGCAGTCCATCCTGTGAATCATCTTCTATAGATTCGGAGAAGGGGAAGAGCAGTACGAAAGGTCTCGCACCATCTGAGGGGGGGGATATCCGTTCTAAGGCCAACCCTTCAGGCGAGGCTGATAACCCTTCAAGGTCAGAACCCTCATCTAGCACTGTCTTCCTTGGCTTGAACCGCAAGCAAATGGAGGAGGAACGGCTGCTAAGAGCCAACAAGCGAAAAAAGGGAGATGAACAGCTCTTGGTGGGAAATGTTGAATCGCGGAAACGGAAAGCATCAACGCCCCCGCTATGCCCTCGAGGACAAGATGATCGACAAACGAAGTTGAAGCTGTCAGAATCATCACTCGCGTCTAAAGACTGTAGCAAGTCCTCATCATCCTATCAAAGCCGACCTGGCGAGATGATATCCCCGACATTCCAAGATCGCCGACGGGGAGCAAATGACGCCCTCCAGGCCGCAGGTGTGCAGTTCCCACACGGCGTTGTGAAGAAAACATGGGCCTACGGTTGCCCTCGGGAAGACGATATCAAGATCGAGGAAGTTCTTCAGAAGAATGATCTAGAGCTTGCTGTGCTGAGTTCGTTTCAAGTGGACCCAGATTGGGTCGCCTCGAAACTACATCCAACAACCCGGGTCATCTGGGTCCTCCAAGCTAAAAGCAAAGCAGAAGTAGGTTTCGAAAAGTCTTTTGGTCTTATTATATTTCTTCGTAGTGCAAGTGCGCTCCACAAGATATAGCGTTCGAGCTGAGCGCTCACTGGACTATGAGGCATTTGATAATTCTTGACGTCTGTCAAAGGAGCCCAACTCTAGGCCTCCAGTAAACAATATGCCGACCTCTGGAGAACTGAGCCGAAGCCGCCTCGGAATCGTCGGTAGAGAACATATGGCTCCAGAAACAATATTCTACACCAGGTTTCTTTTATGTCAACTTTTACTTCCCAACGGTGCTCGAAATTTCGCTAGTAGGCGCGGGTATCTGTCCCCTTTGTGATTGTGTCAATTTTAGCTCTGCTACCTCAGGCAGATGAATTCCAGTGCCTCATTCTTGTCTACTCTTCTCATCACTTGTCACGAATGTAGTCTGGCCGGCATGGCTTTCTACGCCTCTACTGACATCTGCTAGAAAGAGAATATCGTATCTGGGGCACCAAATAATTACAGATTTTGTTTCCCTTCCATGGAAGGGAATATCAATTGTATGCACTCCAAATTACAACTGCTCGCCCACCCCACACATTTACGCGTCGTGGTTCCCAGTGCCAACCTTGTGCCATATGACTGGGGTGAAAGTGGTTCGATGGAAAATGTAGGTCTGACGAGATTTCATCCGATTGTGACGTACTGACGAAAGAGACAGGTCTGTTTTTTGATAGATCTTCCAAGGCTCCCAGAAGGCAAGTCGACAGATACTGAGCTCACTGAATTTGGGAAGGAACTAGTCCACTTTGTTCGATCAATGGGCTTGGATGAAAAAGTAATTGGTAGTATGAGAAGATTCGATTTTTCTCGTACATCACACCTGGCATTTGTTCATTCTATGTTAGTATTCGCCGAGCAATCTAGACAGTTTATCCCTAACATTTCGAAGTGGAGGTTCTCATTCCGGGGAAGATTGGAAGCGAACAGGGTACTGTGGTCTTGGTACAGCTGTCCGAAATCTCGGTCTCCATACCGATGAGTCCCTGAATATTGATGTCGTGGTACGCATCTTCCACGTTATGACTAGTTCTGTATACCGGTGATAGATGCTGATATGAAAATAGGCTGCGTCAATTGGAAATCTCAACGAAGACTTCATAAAGTCAATTTATTTGGCTGCTCAAGGTATTTGCAACCTTTTCAGATCTCATGTATAGTGGAGAGACCCCGAAGGCTGGAATATCTTGGGGACGTCACACTGAGATGGCATCGCAAAAAGTGATACAAGTCTTGGAGGACAGTCGGTGGGTGGGTGCTAACAAGAACGAATTGTAGGTGATAATGGATTGAAAGAATATAGATGGCGTACGAATCGGCCGGTGAAGAGTAAGGGGATGACACCCGTTGAGCGTAAGCTTTCAGATGACCTGAAAGACCGCTTCCGCATATATTTTCCGACCAGGGAGACCGTCGCAAACAGTAAGGGCGGATTGGGGGTAAGTGACATTGCGTTTGCCACCATCAAACATTTAATGTCCATACTACTTGTCCAATGCCTCCGCTGACCGCCGTTTATTAGGCTGCTGGCACGATATGTTTCCAATCAAAGTGGTACGACTCAGATGGTTTCCCAAGGCACCTCATGCGCGATTGCAAGAGCCGCCGGCCAGGCATGTTGATGCATAACAAGATGTTGTTTGTGCGGCCTCAAAAAACAAGTTCACGCGGCGGCCGAGCTTGGGCCTATGTTGGAAGTGCGAATCTGTCCGAAAGTGCATGGTAAGTGAGCAGTTAGCATTTCATATGGAATTTCAGCATGATCAAAGTGACCGAAGCCCCTTCCAAGCCTTTTCTAGGTTTGATACTACGCCCATTGGGTTGGGTTCGTTTAACCCCTCCTTGGTAGACATGCCCGGTTAGAGGCTAGCGTTGGGATGAGGTCTCTGCCATTCGCGTGGAATCTAAGGGGCGGAGTTCAACACCGATCAACCTGATGTGATACGGGGCAGCAAAGATTCCGCTAACATGATGGTAATCTGCAAGGGGACGACTTGTTAAGGATAGAACGACGAAAGAGCCAAAGCTTAATTGCCGCAAGTAAGTTCCTCGGTTTGCGTTCGTTAGAAATGCAGGCGCTGAAAGAGTTACAGCTGGGAGTGTGGTGTTATTATTTCCATACCAGCCGCAACGTCAGGAGGCGAAGCCGACTTGGAGGCCGACGATGTTGTCAATAACCATATGACCGACCTGGAGGTGTTCCGTGGATATGTGCCTATTCCTATGCTTGTGCCTGGAGAGGGATACGGAACGAGAAGGCCCTGGTTTTATAACGAGCAGTGATCCAGAGGCGTGCTTGGGGAAGATGGACGGAAGACCACGAGACTACGATGACTGACAGAGCGAACACCGTGTATGAGTACAAGTACGATAGGAGGAAGTATGGGTCCTAGAGAGAATAGTATGAGTCTCTCGGAGATGTACTCTTGGCATGCATCCATCCATCCAAGATTGATTCTAGATCGGGATTCTAGGTCGGGATTCTAGATATGGCAGCGGAAGCTGTCATCTATAATTGAAAGACGAACGCCACTTCCCCTGACGTCTCGTCCCCCTTCTGGATGAAAATGTGAGGTCGAGAATGTTGCGTCTATTTTTACGGCGTCGCCGCACGCGCACAGAACGTTCCAAAGGCTGATGCGGGCGGGCGTGGAGGTATGGTATGGACCGCGACGGGGATTATGGGTATTTACAACGAGGCTGACGGAACGGGTGCTCGAGAGGACTTGCCTGGATATAGACAGGAGACTCCGCTCTGATCATGAAGGCGGCGGCAGAAAGAAACAGGATTCGCTGTATGTGATCTGGCATGACCCCAGGCGGTTGCATTCGAAACCCTGAAGATCTAGGATGGATCCCAGCCACCTGAAGTACGGGGGGTACCGTCGATCCTCATGGAGTTGACCGGTAGATCAATTGGGGGGGAACATCTACCGGTTTCCGAGCGCAAGAGGAGGCCCAATCAGGGACGATGCCTTGCGGAGGAAGCTCTGGTGGTGCGGGTAGCTGGGTGAAGAAAATGGAGGGGGCTGGGTCCAGACCGGAGCAAGGGGGGCAGGTGGTTTGGCTTTAGGGTTCTTGGCTTCAAAGTTGACCTTTGCACCTTTCAATGTGCAGTTCAAGAAAGGAGATTATTCTTTGGGGGGGATGGTTGTTGTGGCGGGTGGCTGTTCTGGGCTCCTGTTGCCGCAAGCCTTCGCCCTCCACTGCCCACAATGCCCACAATGCCCACAATGCCCACAATGCCCACAATGCCCACAATGCCCACAATGCCCACAATGCCCACAATGCCCACAATGCCCACAATGCCCACAACGGCGACAATCATGGCCCGCAACTAACTCTACACCTCGGTAGACAGTGAGCGGTGGATGGCAGAGTGAGGTATAAGTAGTCGTCGTATAGGAGGATCATTGGTCCCGGGAATAGCTTACTTGGGCATAGTACCGCATACCTACGGAGGCTCCGTACCGTACGTCTGGCAATTAATTGACAACGACGTCAAGCCTCGACCGCCGCAGTCTTGGCTGCAAAATATACGCGTCGAGACTGCACAGCTACCGGTCGTATTATACCTCGCGAATAGCCGTATAATCCGTATAATCCGCATATTCCGTGTAATCCGTGTAATCCGCAGTAATCCGCAGTAATCCGTATGCCAGAGCGCCATGATTCCTATTACGGACACGGAGTCCGAGCGCCGTCGTCCGTCCAGCCCCGTGACCCCCCGGTCCGGTGGAGCGAGCGGCGAGTCGTGCCTGCTTCTACGGGCACCGTGCGGCCTGTGCGGCCTGTGCGGTGCTGCCTAAGGCATGCAGGCCACCACCACAGCTACCCCATTCGGGCAAGAAGCCTGCGATCGCAGCTGAAGGCAGCTTTCCCTACCTAAGGTACCGATACTACCTTACGTTACCTTACCTTACGTTATCTTACCTAACTCACCTCACCTTACCTCACCTTACAGACCTCCAGTCAGTCCAAGACTCCAAGACGTCTCTGCCTTCGGAGCATTTGTGATCTTGTCTCAGCATTCTTGAGACTCGAGCCTTGCCGTTTATCTGCTGTTGATCACTATGACCTGGCCTTGGTTGGCTTGCGTGCGGCACCCGGCAAGCTGCTCCGTCGAGGTGTGAATAATATGAACACCGGACTTGCATACCGTTTCAAGGCTTCAAGCAGTAGTCGTCCCAAGTCGTGCAACTCGTCAAGTCGTTCACGCACCTGCCTCAAGTCGCTCGCAGGCTAACCCTGATTAGATCTGATGCAGATATACCTTACCCAAGGCAGATAGGTAGCTTGGGTGCCTGCCTCTCTTCAAAGTATATCTTCAACGGTCTTGTATGCGTGTTCCTTTTCCATGTCTTTTTTGTACCTTATGATCTACTTGTGTCTCTACTTGTCTACTTGTCTACTCCGTGCCTACCTTACCTACCCTACCGACCTACCTATCTCACCTTACCTATCTTATGTGTCTATAGTATCTACAGTAGATATAATCTACCTCGCTCCATCTCTTCCCCTGCCGTGCTCTTTCCTGCCGCCTCGCCTTCCCGACCCCGTCAGGATATTTGGAATGGAGAGGGCCACTAAGTCCGAATTGACTCAGATGCTGCCCCTCGGCGTCTCTGTGAGTCTGCGTGCAGAGGAACATTATCCGAGGGGCGATTGATCTACGATCTCCGGCCTGCCTCTTTCCGGAGTAGCTGGCCAATATTGGGGAAGGGGGGGGGGGGGGAGCCTGGGAGGAGAGGAAATATGATAGAATCCAGTGATACTGTGATACTATCATGTTTTCCTGTATTATTATTAGGTACCTAGGTACCTGCCTAACTGTTATGTATCCCGGTGTAGTTAGCTCGACTAATATTGCCCATCTACAGCGGAGCTACGAAGGGCAGAGTTAGCAGAGAGAGTAAAGGTCGAGCCCGAAGGGGGCTTAAGCCTTATCGGTGCCCTTAGAAGGCAGGTAGCTAGCCGCGTTGGGCCTGGCGCAGGTAGGATCGGCTCCAGCCACTCTTCCGCGGTAGATCTGGTCGCAGAAGTCGCAGAAGTCGCAGAAGTCGGAGGATCATCTAGGGCAATTATTACTACGATATATGTCTCCAGAGCCATACAGCAGTCGTGGCGGTCGTCATCGTGGGCATCCTTACTTATCCATTGTCGTCGTGGTATTCGGTATGTATGCATCTCGCTCTCTCTCTGTCTCCGTCTCCCTCCTCTCCCATCCTCTCTTCCTTCTCCCTCTTCCCTACCACTCCCTCTCTCCCTCCATCTCTCTCTCTTCAGTCGTCGTAGTGCAGAGGAATCCCATCCCTTCAAAACACCACCCCCCCCCCGGTCATTCTAGCATCAACTTGCTCCGTAGCAAAGCCTCCGTGCTCAAAGACAAGACAAGACAAGACGCCCTACTTCCGCCGCTCCCCTGCTCCTTTCCTTGTTCCTTGCTCCCTGCTCAACCTCCACCCGCCAAACCACCCTTGACCCTGGCTGTTTCTCCCACCACAACTCTGCTGGAGGAGGCTGTCGCAGTAGTTTACTACTACTTACTGTACAGACACCGTATACGGTTACTAACAGCTCTGATTACTCCTCCGCGCACTGCCTAGTAGTTACAGCACGCTCTCTCGTGGGCAGGCCGGGCAGGCCGGGTCCGTGGTCTGGTTATTCCTGGACTCCCTTGGCTCTTGGGCCTTGACGGTTGCTCCTCGTCACGCTCTGTCCTGCGCTGCGTCTTGTCTGTGCCTGTGCCTGTGCCTCGTTGGGTCTCGAGTCTCAAGTCTCAAGTCTCAAGTCTCTCTCTCTTGTCTTGTCCCTCTTGTCCCTCTTATGGGTCTTATCCCTCTCCTCTCCTTGTCCTTGGCAACGCGCCTACTGTATGTATGTCATCTCTGCCTCGGTCCCTAGCCACTGGAACGCCGCCATAAGTGACCTTTTGCCTGCGGACTACTGGGATACCTACCTTACCTATACCTATACCTTACCTTACCTTACCTACCTACCTTACCTATCTACAGTCCTACCACGCACTCGCCTCCACTTACTCTTTCTTCTCTTCTGCTTGGGCGCGGGCTCGTCAGCTTCGGGCCTGGGATCCATCTACCTTACCTACCTCCCTTCACCTCATCATCTACCGAGTACCTATCCTATGTCAACTCCCTCCCGGCCCTGCTTGCACCTTACGCTATCTGTGCCTAGGCCCCCTCGACGTACCTGGTTGCGCCGGATCGTCCACCGCACTGATATCTTGTCACTGCCTCCCCCGCACTCCTGGACCTCGCCCTCTGGCCGCTGCTACTAATCTAATATAAAACCTTAACCCCCCCTTTCTTATCACATCCCTCGTGCGCCTCCGACACACTTGCGGTCAATATTCCTCCCGCCCTTGTCTGAAACGGATCCGCTGTCACCTCCGACACTCCTCGCCAGACTTGTGTGTGCTCTGTGGCCGTTGGCCCTGGGCTCTACGTATCCTGGGACTACTACCGGGCCAGGCTTGACACCATTTCTCCACCCCTCGCCCCCCGCTCCGCTCCACTCCACTCACTCCCTCTGTCTCCTCGCCTCGCAAACAACTGACGGTCTCCGTTCTCTGGGTTCTGGGTCTGGGTTCTGGTGCCTGTGTTCGCCGAGTCCAGGCTTCATGTCCATCCATGGCTTTGGGCGACCAGGTCCAACACTCCCGCTCCTCAGAATCCCTCCTCCCCTGGCAACACAACTATAACCATAACATAACGCAAATAGAAGGAGCAACCATACCCGACACCCTGCCCTGGTCCGTTGCCACTCGCTGAGCCTCACTTGCTTCGGATAATCACCTTCTCCATTCCAACTGCCGATCTATACACATGCTCTCCCCTTGACCGCACCGTCGAGGCTTCATCCTTTATTCTTCAACCCCTCCTGGCTCTCTCTCCCCTCCTTTCCACAGTGTCCCTCTCCTTGGCCAGGAAAGACATTCTGGATGACATCAACTCCTCTCCCACTACCGCCGGCTGTCTCTCTCAAAGAAGGATCTGAAGTATCTAAACCAATTCTTCTCCCCCACGGAGCAAGTGGACTGCTCCCCGGAGACATATCTGACGTATCGTCTCCCAATTCATACACACCTCGAATCTCACCAGATTCTACCTTCGTTATGGGCTCCTCAACAACACTTGCGCCGACATTCTATGGCCACATCGCCTCGACGCAAGACGGCCTACTTCTCTTCGAGGCCTGCCTCAGCGGCGCCCTCAACCACGTTGCTCGACGCCCTCACGACCGGGAACGGGCTAGCTTGATCAAGAGTGGGAACGTCTTCATCTACGAAGAGCATTCCTCGGGGATTAAACGTTGGACCGATGGCGTGCCGTGGAGTCCAAGCCGGATCTTGGGCAATTTTCTCGTGTACCGCGAGCTCGAGCGGCCCTTCCCACCGGGAGAAAAGAAGCGGGCAATGAAACGCAGCAAAAGATCTCCCGGCATTGGCAAAGTCCCCCAGCCATACCGAGGGCTGAGTGGTGGAATAAACAATGGATATAATGCAGTGTCAGCTGCCTCGAACTCCGAATCGGCTAGCGCGAGCAGTTCACTGCAACGGGAGACAGAGCGCTCGCTGATCGGATCACTGGTGGATTCGTACGGCTTCAAGGAGGACGGCTTGGTAAAAAAGACGGTCAGCGTTACAGTGGGGGGGGTCTCGCACCATCTGGTCTCCTACTATACCGTCGCAGATGTCCTGAACAACAAGCTGCTCACTCCAACCAAGGATCCCCGTTTCCAGTACATCACCCCCCGCCCAGATCTCATCACAAAGCAGAACTTCCGCGCGCCAATCGACGAGGTGGATACGCTGGACCGTGCCGACGATCGAGCGGTTTATAGTGCCTATCCCTACGGCAGGAATGGCTACGACATCACGAGCCAGAATATTTCGCATCGTGCAATGTCGTTGCCAACCCTACCGATTCCATACGCGCCCAACCCCACTCTCTACCACAACTATGGTATGAACACAAATCCAGGCATGTACGGTGAAGGGTTTGGACCGCCGAGCTCGAATAGTAGCTTTGGCAGCCAACTCGCTCCGACCCCTGAAATATACCCAGCTTCAACAGCGGACAACCACGATCCCGGCGGGTACAGGCAAGCACGCCATAATTCTGTCCTCAGCGTTGGTTCAGAACCTAGGCCTTCCCACATGCCTCCAGCTGGCACAAATTTCCCGCGTCGCGCGTCTGCCTTTGGCCATGACAGTTCGGTTGATACGGGCATCTCTGGCGTCTTCTCTGGTACTGGAGACTCGAAGCTGAGCAGCAGCTCGGGATACCCGTCTCAAAGCTTCTACGGAGGCCTCAGAGATACCTCCAATACCCCCCACAGCTATGCTACGCAGAGGTCCTTACCTACACCCAGCTTCCAAACAGCCTACGATAGACCGCCCGTGCCCTCTTACGGTCGTCTCGACAGCTCTGCGACCAAAGAGAACATATGGCCAATAGGCAACGTGAGTTCGGGCCACGGCCACTATACAGCAACCCCGCAGCAACAGTGGGCGAGCACCGGAGCCTGACGCCCCCTTGGTGGGCAAGACCGGGAGCTGTGAAGCATATTGTATTTATGAATTTCCTTGGGGATCCTCCCTTTATGAAGTGCTGTACTGTACGGGGCCTTGGCGCGTGTTTCGGTGGGCTCACACATGAACCCGGGGCGAATTTGGCGAGAGGGGAGCTTCTGGGGTACGCATCGCGCTGTGGCATTTGCATCGACATACCCCTCACTCAGACCGTAAATGATCTGTTCTTTGTGCGTTATTTTGTCTTGGGAGCATGAAATGTGTCGAATAGCACACCTAATGTATGTATGTAAGGGTACTGCGCATTGCTTATCACGCATCATGGGACAGGCGGAAGGCTACAGTTAAGGACCGCAATGGATGTATGTATTTTTAGGAGGCACCCATAAGCAGGAGATGAATCTTGAAATATCGTACTGACCAGTCACTGGTTGGACATCAGTTTAACCTCGAGATACGATGGGGTGCATCCTTGGTGATGGGGGCCAGTCCCATGGTTGATAAAAATTGGTACAGCTTGAACTGTTGAAGCCTCTCCGCTGGGGGGTGTCCATCCGCACGCAAGTCTGTTCCCGCACCAGGGGATCTTAAGTAGGTATCCTTTTCATGTCGCTGAACCCTTTTGCGGCGTCGTGCCAAAGCAGCGATGGCAAAATAGGAGATGTGTATTTAGACTTTCTTGGTTCCTGGATCCCGGGCAGCGAGGCCTCGGTGAAGTAGTGCAACCACTTGTCGATCTCTTGACAGCCGCACCATGGCATCCCCGTAAGCGCGTTACGCGCCAGCTTAGTCATGTATCAATATATACTCCGTAGAACTACCATTTCCTATCGCTAAAATACATGAAATTTTGATTCACGGTACGCAGTGCCGGACGATGAAAACCATCTGACAGTCGCCTCGAGCGTGGGCGCCTGAGAAATTGCTGTCTCCATCTGCCCTTCGTTAATGTATTCAACCATATTGGCTCCACGGTTATGAGATGGCGGCGATGGCTCGACCGTTGATAATGAACCCCTATCCTCGTTGGATGTCGGCAATAGCCAGGATACCACGTCAGCGTTCAGGACTCAGACCAAGACACCAGACGAGTGCTTCATTATGGACCTTCTCGAAGTCGAAGGATCCGAAGCCGTCGCTGTTAAGGTATGTTCCGGCCACCTACGAGAGAGCTTTTCTCATTTTCAACCTAGCTGCAGTAAACGCCAATTCGCAGGCTTCGGAGACCGCGGGATGCGGTATTCGACATCCGAGCCAAATGATCCCAGGTATGAAAAGCAGACGATCAGTCTTTCTGTGGGCTTGTCCCCTCTTCTCCTTTGTATTCCTAGCCCACTCCTTATACCCAGATACATCTCGATATCACGTGATAGGCCATATGGCCGTCTTTCATTTGTGTGGATGTTCTTGAAGGCCACGGAGCTATGGAGTCACAGGGCTGATCTATTCCCATAAGAAAACCACCCAATGATCCCAAGAGGCCGCTTCTCAAAGTTCTGACACGACTCACTCCTCATGAGAACATCTACACCATCCCAAATGTCCTTACGTTTTCCCGCCTGGTCGCCGCGCCTGTTGTTGGCTATCTCGTTCTGCATGATTATCATGCCTGGGCCGTCGGGCTCTTTGCATATGCTGGCATAACTGATCTTGTCGACGGATACATCGCAAGACGGTGGAATCTCCAAACCGTTGTCGGGACGGTCATTGACCCCATGGCGGACAAGACTCTCATGACGATCCTGACGGTCTGCTTCGCTATCAAGGGCGCGCTTCCAAGTAATCCTCATCTCGTGCCTTTCGAGAAGCCGGTAAACTTACGCGATAATAGTATGGCTCGCGGTCATTATCCTTGGTAGGGACGTGGGATTGGGCATAGCAGCCATTTACTATCGATGGATATCCCTTCCTCCGCCGAAGACCTTTGGACGATACTTCGATTTCTCACTTCCTTCGGCCGAGGTTCACCCTACCACTATCAGCAAATACAATACCGCTCTACAGTTGGCTTTGATTGGAGCGACGACTGCAATGCCACTGCTGACAACCGATATTAGTGCAGCGATGACAGCTCTGCAGTAAGTAGCACTCCCCGGTATAGATAGATCCACGAGGGCGCTGATACGTTACAGGTATTTGGTAGCCACGACGACTATCTGGAGCGGAGCCAGTTATATATACACCAAAGACGCCGTTAAGATATTAAATCAAGACGATGCGAACAAACCAACGCCGCCCAGCGGAAAGGAATGATCTGTGTAAAATATCCGGTGTAAGAACTAATGTAGATTATCACACAATGTAGCAATAGAAGCCAAAGAGAACACCATGCTTGTTCAAAAGCCATTCCCTGAAGTCTGACAACCAAAGATCACTTATTTTACCCTCCCTCCCTTCTTCCAAACCTGGCGTCGTCCGTGCCGTAGACCACCCAAGGCTACCACCTCGTCAAAACTCGTCGCCTGTCGGAATCCCTCTTGCCCTCGCCACATAGTAAGCCTGCTTTGCCCCCCCCCCCTTCCCCCCTCCCCTTATGGGCAGTCACGTTCCGTAGTAATCCAGATTTACCTATTCTCGCTCCACCTACACTGTTCTGCGGGCCCGCGTGAACAGGAGAGATATGATTTGACAGGCACCACCCATAACATTGGATCAAGAACTTCCTTCGGGAATCCAAATAAGATTGGAAAGGCAGAGCATTTGCTAAGCAGCTGACATACGACATGAGATACTGATACTATTCATTGATAATTGTACAGCGGGGGGAATACATACACTCACTATATGAGCTGGCAAACTGCTATTATTATCTTACATTGGGCACTCCTCTTGGACCTGCATCTCATGGACCCAGTCTTTGGAGTAGCGTTGAACAACACAACCCCGCCCCTATTCTCCTCCAAGAATAACCCTACTAAACCTTCAAGAGCCGCGGCTCTGATTAACGTCCGGCGTATTCCCTCTTCCTCGCGGAAATATCTTCAAAGGCAACGCTTTTCGCAGTTGCACGATTTCTATTCTGTATGTAGCGCAATGGCCGGAGGCATCCTACCGGCGTACTCCCTCTTCCTCGCAGCAATCTCTTCAAAGGCAATGCTTTTCGCAGCTGCACGGTTTCTATTTTGTACATAGCGCAATAGCCGAAGGCATCCTGCCGGCGTTACACCCTCGATACGACGAGCCTGGCCCACGGACTCCGGTTTTACAGCTTGCAGCAGACTCTTCTCATGCATAGAGAGCCCGTGAATCAGATCGTAATCTAGATCCAGTGGCAATCTTAGATTTTCGTCCTTCTGAAACAATTTCGCCGCAGCTGCTTGTTGTTCAACATATGGCGCGTATATCGCCTCTATTTCGAGCCTGCGCCGAATTCTAGCGGGGTATTTTGTGAGTTCCGGCACTTTGGCAGCAAGTTCGTCAACAGAGACGCCTGCCAAACGTAACACGTCAAAGGCGGACCTTCTTGTGGAGTCGTTCGCCACCTTGAAACCATCCTTAATCCAGGTCGGGGCGGTAGCAGAATGGGCCATGAGCGTTGATTTAAGGTCTTCCATCTGAGCTACTTCATCAGAAAAGCTTGACCACCGCTTGTCTCCAATTACGCCAGCAGCCCGGCCCTTCGCTGTGAGTCTGAGATCCGCATTGTCCGCCCTGGCACTCATTCGATATTCACTGCGTGATGTAAACATTCGGTATGGCTCCGAAACTCCCTTCGTGATCAAATCGTCGATCATGACACCAATATAACCATCGCTTCGAGATAGCACAAGCTGAGGTTTGGACTGGGAGGCCAAGCCCGCGTTGATTCCAGCGATAATACCCTGTGCGGCAGCCTCTTCGTATCCAGTGGTCCCATTGATCTGACCAGCCAGGTATAAGCCACGAATTGCCTTCGTCTCGAGTGTGGCCTTCAAGCTGCGGGGATCAACGTAGTCATACTCAACACCGTAGCCTGGTTGCAACATCGTCACGTTTTCAAGGCCCTTGATAGTCCGTAGAAGCTGTTCCTGGGCGTCGGCGGGAATAGTCATGGAGATGCCGTTTGGATAAATGACGTCGCTGTCAAAACCTTCGGGTTCAAGCCACACTATATGCTGTCCCTTGCTAGAAAACCGAATAATCTTGGATTCCAAGGATGGACAGTACCGAGGACCTTTCACAGTTTCTCGGATATGGACAGATTTGTCCAGGTTGGCTCTAACGATGTCATGTGAGGCTTCATTTGTGTACGTGGCATAACATAACAATTGGTCCTGGACAGAAACCGCATCATTAAGATAGCTGAAAGGCATGGGCGGATCGTCACCGGGTTGTTCCTCTAGGGTACTGAAATCGATGGTGTTTTTAGCCAGGCGAGGGGGCGTACCAGTCTTCAACCTACCAAGCTGAAAACCGGCATCTCTTAATGATTTACTTAAGCCAAACGTTGCAGCTTCGCCCATGCGACCTGAAGGGTAAGCCTCGAGACCAATGTGGATTTCACCACCAAGGAACGTGCCAGTGGTAATTACCACTTGACTCGTGGGAATGATCTCTCCTGTCTCTAGGCGCACGCCTGTTATCTTGCTACCAGAGGTTTGACCATCGTCCTGAGAAACAATGATATCTGCTACACTTCCTGGTACGATAGATAGGTTTGGATACGCTTCCAGTTCCTCTCGCATATATTTCTTGTACAGACTTCGATCGATTTGCGCGCGGGGGCCCTGTCTAGAAATGAGTGTCCAGACATCTTCGATTCGAATGGGAGAATAGCTACCCAAACTGCCGGCCCCTTCCTGCGGTTCAATACTTTAAACTGCACACCTGCCTTGTCTATAATTCGACCAGCTACTCCGTCGAGTGCATCGATTTCCCTCAACATTGTCCCCTTCCCGATCCCACCGAAACTGGGATTGCAAGAACATACTCCGATGTTGTCGAGCTTTGGAGTAACGAGCGCAGTCCTGGCTCCGGATCGAGCAGCACCAGCGCTGGCCTCTGATCCGGCATGACCCCCGCCGATAACAACAACATCGTATTGCCTAAATAAGAAGTGTTAGAGAAGGACTGACAAAAATGTAATTAATGACTTTTACCTGGCGTGCTGGGGAGCTACATCAGCAAAATTTCTCCGATGCCGGGAGGCACAAGCCCGGCGACAAATTCCCAAGTAGTGGGACCTTAGTATAGGCTTGCCAAGGACTAATGACCGATTCATGATGGCATGTTGAAGTGATGCCGTCTCGTCGTTGTCCTCGGATCGGTCAGTACTGCTTGGTTGTCGAAGACTTTTTAGCCGCGACCGCGGCTAATAAGCGCGTCTCTCCAGCTAATGCAGGGATGCCATGTGGGGAAACGGACATATTGACGTCGATGAGGGGATCAAAAGGAGATGCTCATACATCCGATACAGCAACAAGGGTATGAGGCGGGAAAGGGAAAGGGGTGCAGAGGAGTAAATCGCAGTCTGTAATTATTCTACATCAATGAACTCTGGGTTGTTTGTCTAATGATGTGAGCATAAGCATATGAGTTGTGGATCAGTCTAACGGGGCGGGATGCGACTGTTCAGACACAACAATGGCTGTGTTGGTTCTTTTCACCCTGCGTACCTACTCTATGAATAAACTCCGGTTTTCTAAGAATCACAATATGGATGATAGATAGTAGAAGAATACTATAGATTGTTGATCCTTGACTTGGGTAATGAATTTCTATGACTAGAGAGATCCAATCTAGTATGGTAGATTGCATCCCTGTGCCCTTTCCGGTCCATCTCAAGATCCTCAACAATAACCGCTCTAATCTTGTAGCATCATGACCGCTCTCCAAGTCGGTATAATTCGGGGGAAAAAAGGGGGAGATTGCAGAATGTGCAGTAAGTTGTCGTGGACCGGACAAAAGAGAATAGAACGAGCGTAAGTCATGGTACAAAATAACGATGATTATAATAATCTGCTCGTGTTCATCATACCCAGCCCAACATCACGTTCCGAGTATGAGATTCGTCGATTGAAATAATAGTCGGCGCTGGGACATCCGTAGCGCTGCAATCCAAGCGGCACGAACCTTAACGCCAGGACTCCCACACAGCGCGACCGTATTCCAATTCTATATCAAGCTCCCATAACGCCGTTGTGCAAACTATTCATTGGTGGGGCCCCGCCACCAACATAGTCTGACACGGATACAGCTGCGACTGGTACACTACCAATACCCGGTACCGAAGCGCCAGAACTCCCTGCCGACTCTAGTTTCAATATCTTACGAAGGCTATCTTCCATCCCCTTAAGATCAGCGCTTCTAGTTCCGGATGAAACGCCATATGAGGAAACCGGAATTGGAGAAGTTGCATTGCGTGTGAATGTGCCAATAAAATCGCTTGTATCCGAAGAATGTCCATACATTCTAGAAGGTGTTGGTGAAGTTCCATAATTAAGATGCCTATCAGGTGTCTTGGTCGGGGTACTTGTAGGTGTGACCTCTTGACGCAATCCAGATGACCTTCCAGATGACCTAGGACCATGGGTTGACGTCTTCAAGTCCTGAGTAAATGGGTAATTATTGATTTGTGGCCGTGGAGATGCCGCAACACCCCTTGATCCACTAAAGGGGAGAGATGAGCTTCGATGTTCGGTTGATGTTGAGGACGTATTGGATGAAACCAGCCCATTTGTACCAGAAGGGGTAGCAGAAGGCCGTACTGGTGACAGTAGCTGTTGATCCGAAAAAAGATATGCTTTTAGAGCCTCAGACGTAGCTGTCTGTTTAGCGTCTCTGGTCGACTTTTCATTGGATAAAGGGGGGGCATGTGAGGATCGGGCAGCTTTGATTCGTTCAGAATAAGGGGTGGAAAATGCTGACCCATATGGAGTGCCTGGACTGGCGGGACCATCCAATTCCATGGCAAACATCCCGCTAGAGGAAATTCTATTGGCGTGGCGTGGTCGATTTCGACTTGCAGGAGCCGATGGGTTCTGATTCGCGCTTGGAGATTCAGGGGGAGGCTGGTAAGGCCCGGTAACAGCAACTGCTGTTTGAGTAGAATTGGCACTGCGTGCCCTTGCCTTTTCCTCGCGGTCTGCTTTGAAAAAGAAGTCCAGAGGAGATTCTTCCCGATGAGATTGATGATAGGAGGCCGGCGCAGGTGGAGGTGTTGGCGACTCCGGCAAGGAAAGTTCCTTCAACGACTTGAGACCCTTGACACCAGGTGACTCAGGAACGGACTTTGAATAGAAGCTGGGGATGGGTAGAGCCGACGGAGCAGGTGACGCATGGAAAGTCGGGCCGGCATATGCTGACGGGGTAGATATCGGTTTCGCAGATGATGGCATGCCTGCGGATTGGGCGCCTGTCAAAGGCGGTGTGTTGTGGTCATTACGTGCCATGGCGGGAGAAGTCATGACATTCTTAGATCTCTTATTGCGAGGCTTCTGTTTTGATCCAGTCTCGGGCGCAGTCGGGTTTGTCCTACTCTGGGAGGAGTGTTGACAGCTGTTGTTGTCTCTCCGGGGGGTTCGGGGAGGTGTGCTAGGATGGACTGAATGATTCATGTCGAGCTGAGGATTCTGAGCGCGTATTTGCAAGTTGAGATGGTGTGGGTTTTGAGGATCCTGGGATGATGCTGTCGCTGGTGGCACCGTCGCAGCACTTCGGGTATGCCGATGTCCTTTTGGATGGACCACGGTAGACATGTCTTCCTTGGCCTATAAATAAGCAGCCGCAGAAGAATCGGAAGATATGAGATGAACAAATAAAGCACGCGGAAAGTAACAAGAGGTCGAATGCGCGCGGAGAAGGGTGCGCCGAGCAATCAAAGGCGGGTCGGTGGACGGCAACGGCGACCTAGTGGTAAGGAGGGGGGCGGTCACTCGAAGAGGGTCGTGGTATTTGGCAGTATCGGTTGTTTCTGAGGATTGTTTGAGTGAGACCGAGGGATAGAAGTGGTCCTTTCATTGTCAAGATGGATGTGGTAGGATGAGGGTTGTTATGCGACAGGAAGAAGAGGAGAGTCAGGCTCAGTCCATTTTGAAGTGCTTGTAGCTCCAGCGGTGGCGAGGCGACAAGGCAACCGGCGGCAATGGGCGCGCTCCCATCACACCAATCCTACCGCATCTCAGGACATCACCTTCGAGCATCCCCGTACCGATCCCACTGTCCCGGCAGTTCTCGACACCTTGACCTTGGTATCTTGGAGCTCGCACATCAGGCTTCTGATTGTCCTCTCCTCTTCCTTTCTCTGCGGCACCTAGACTGGGGCCTCTCGTAGAGTGGAAAAGCGCCTGGCCGTCTACCCACGCCTTGATACTACCCCTCTTATTTTCCAACTCTCATCATCGACCAGCAACCCCGCCCACCTCCAGTTACAACACAGGCAGCACCATGGCCGACGTTGATATGACCGATGCCCCTTCAACATCTACAGCCCCTGTCAAAAAGGCGGTTGGCAAGGCCAAAGCTGGCGCCGAAGGAGGGGATGGCAAGAAACGGTTCGAAGTCAAGAAGGTGACATATTGCCTACCATAGCATGAATATACGAAAGCTGATTGTGAATTAGTGGAACGCAGTGGCTCTCTGGGCTTGGGACATTGTTGTCGACAACTGCGCCATCTGTAGAAACCACATCATGGATCTATGTACGTCTCCGGACAACTGTTTAGGATGAAGCCCGCTACTAACAAACACAAGGCATCGAATGTCAAGCCAACCAAGCTTCAGCAACTAGTGAGGAATGCACAGTGGCTTGGGGTATTTGCAATGTCAGTAGAAAACACCCTTCTCTGTCTTGATGCTCGCTCACAATCATCGTCTAGCACGCCTTCCACTTCCATTGCATCTCGCGTTGGTTAAAGACTCGCCAGGTGTGCCCACTTGATAACAGAGACTGGGAGTTCCAGAAATACGGTCGTTAAGGGATCACAGGAAAGGGACATAAAGTGACGATGGAATACATGCATGATTACGACCAAGATAGCAATGAAAAGACTATACGGGAAGGTTCTGAGGCAGCATTTTCATACTGGTCTTCGATGCTGTATAATGGCGCATAGAAGGAAGATCCCAAAGCACGGCGTTTATTTGGCATAGATTTCGGGAACATCTGACCCAGAGGTATCTCCCAAATCAAAGACGTCTTTGTCTTGTCTCGTCTTGGCTCTTTTTTATGTGAATCTCTGCGGAAACCTTACTGTCCCATTCAAAGATTTCCCAGAGGTATCGTATCCCATAGAAGACGGATATATTAGTCCTACATTCCATTTCCACAAAGTAGGCCCCGGTAATTCATGATTTTGATGCCACAAAAAAACGCCTTGGTGTTCCCAGTCCCTGCGTCATCCTATAAACTTGCCATCCACCACGATGCTCTGAGAAGATACCTCACTTCCTACTGGTAGCCATCTAACCGGATGTCGATTGAAGAACGGCCAGGGAGGTACGACAAGGGCGAAGGTCAGGGCAGTTCCACCCAATCCGAGGAATAGTGCCAGCTTGATATCCTGAATGAAGAAGCCCACGATGAATGAAATAACCTGAACCATCATTAATTCCTGGGAGCTGGCGCAGCAAGGGAGGAAATGCGTACTCCAACAATAGCCAGCAGCGCCGTTGCGAGAAATTCTGCCAATCGCTGTCCTTCAAAGTCAATCTGACCCTCAGCAACCTCTCTAACCTTGTCTAATATCTGGTCGGCCATTCTGCATGTGTGGTGAAATGGCGCTTCGAATCTGGATGATGCCTAGAGTTGTGATGATCCTGTCAGTTGGAATTCTGGCGTTTCGAAGCGGGCTGGCACGTGATCAGGCTGGACCTGCAAAGCAGGAAGCTGTGAGTAGCGATCATGGAAAGACGGTGCGTACCTAGCGATAATAAGCGATACAACAAAGGAAGAGAGGGGCAGAGTACTCTTGTAAGACCTCACATTATATAATCTACCTATCTGACTAAGGCAAGGAAGTAAACCTATACAAAGAAAGAGTCAAAGTCTTGTGTCTTTTAAAGATGCTTGATCTGAAACTCCACTTTCTAAATAGTATAGTAAGGTAGCTATCTGGAGCTTGTGCTGTAGGTAAGATAGCTGTAGGTGCGGTACGGTACGGGACTTACCTGAACTATCCCTTGTTTAGTTAGCCACTTTTTTCACGACTTTCTTCGAAAAAAACCCCTCCTTCACCACAACCTCACTTCTATAATCGACTTCAACTACGACATCTTGACTCCCAGTACCACAGACAGAACTCTATTGACCACTGTTTTGAGTCTAGACCGCAAGTGGAAATCTTACCTCGAGAGACGCCTTCAGCAACGTTATTTACGCGCTGTTGGTCCTTACGATCTGCTCCTTGCCGATTCAGCCTCACATCCATATCCTACGTTATACGACACCCGTGGCGACAATAGCCTCTCAATTTCTCAGGACAATCCCTATTTGTCTTAATCGCCTCGGCGGCCTCCGACCATAGAAACCACCAAGTTGGCGGGACTCGTACTTCACAAGTTTTCCTTCATCCGACCGCTTCTCGGTCCAAAAACCTGGGCCTACTGCGGGGGTGACAAGAAACCTCCATAACTGGCCTTCATCAGAGACAAAACCAACATACATTGCATCCAAACCACCAATCGAATATCGGGGTAGAGGCTAGACGACCCATTTATCAACCAAAAAGAGCTGTACACGAAACAATCTATGCAAATCCAACTTTCAAATTGACGCCATCACGCGGTGGGCGCTCGTTGCGACCCACCTAACAATCGAAGGCCTTTCTCATTTAGCTATCTTGCAAGAGTTCTTTCGCACCACGCATCGCTTTGTCCTTGGTCCTCGAAGAATCAGTCCTATTACCCTCCAGCATAACGATTACCAATCACGATTATGTCTGAACCAGAGGACATCTCCCTTGACACGGGGTACAGCACTCCAGTTCCCGAGCTAGACGACCACAGACATCAGTCGGTCTCAGTGCAGAAGCCTCGATCCAGACGAGGCACTTTCGAGACTGTGCACAGCGCAATGGCACGCAATCCATTCAATCCTGACCTTGGCCTTGTCAATGACGGGTTGCTGCAACCAAGAGCCCGAGATTTTGAAGAAGTGATCGTTGACGAAGAGTCCGGAGGCCCTTCCCCGCAAGCTGGCCGAAATGGCCCGGATAGGAGCCGCCGCGGGACTGTGACAACTCTTGACCACCGATCAGTCTCTCCTCCCAACTCTGTGAAAGCTTTTGCCGATGCTCGGCGTCGTGAGCGTGAGCGTGAGCTCTCCATCTCTGAACCCAATTCTGTCAAAGCTTTCGCTGAAGCCCGACGTCACGAGGATTACGACCTTCATCGGACTGTATCAGGAGTCAGTGGTCGAAGCCGTCGCACCCGACGCTATACAAATGATAACGATGGCAAAAGCTTTGCTCTCTCTAGCAAATCGGCCGAAGACGATGTTTGTTTTCCTTTGCATAACTCTGCAAATAAGGACGAGCTCCAGATTGATTTTGAAGGTCTTGAAGACTTCATTGCTGAGGAAGAAAGTAGCGCGAAGAATTCCCCAATGAAACAGCCTCAACCACGTATATTCTATGATCTCTCTCAGAAAATGGGGCAGGACCCGACCATCTCCGCGGATGGCGATGTGGTCTCAGCCGGATCTCCTTCAGTGAATGAGAAGAACGAGAAAGATGATAGTAGTTTGCGTGAGTTCGATATGGATTATTCCCAGCCGGACATCAACAGGTTCGAATACTTCTCGTCGTTAGGAGAGTCGACTATTCACGCTGCCGAACTTGGTGGTTTGATCCTACCCGGGGAAGATATCCGCACACTCTTCACGCTTCCTCAGGGTGAGGATGAGGATGGTGTCTGGTGGTTGAACATGAACAATCCGACAGATGAAGAGATACGAGTGATCTGCAAAGCCTTTGGAGTCCACCCTTTGACCATTGAGGACATTGGGACACGGGAAGCACGTGAAAAGATCGAGCTCTTTCCCTCATACTATTTCGCCTGTTTCAGGTCGTTCCAGGTCCAAGAGATCGACGATGGGCAGCAGTATGAACCCTTTAATATCTACGTGGTGGTATTCCGTCAGGGAACTCTTAGTTTCAGCTTCTCGCCCAACCCACATGCTGGTCACGTCCGAAAGAGGATCACGATGCTTAAAGATTACGTGGCTCTAAGCAGTGACTGGATATGCTATGCTCTGATGTGAGTAATACTCTCCCCCAAAACACAAAACAAGCTGACTGTGGTAGTGATGACATTGTCGACTCGTTTGCCCCAATCATCACCAACATTGAGCTCGAGACAGATATGATCGAAGACCAAGTGTTCATTGCGAGGACCCATGATATGCATGCATTCCTGCGTAAGATAGGCATGGTTCGCAAGAATGTCATGGGCCTAATGAAACTCTTGGGGGGTAAAGCCGATGTTCTCAAGGGTTTCACTAAACGCTGCAATGCCAATTACAAGGTCACACCTCGTATGGATATCGGCCTGTATCTTGGTGATATCCAAGATCACGTCGTCACCATGATGACCAGTTTGGCTCATTTCGAGAAAATGCTCTCCCGCTCACACAGTAATTACCTGGCTCAACTTTCCATTGACAACATTACCCAGGGCAACAATGCGAATAAGGTCCTCAGCAAGATCACCCTCTTGGCCTCAATCTTGGTTCCTCTGAACTTGGTCTGTGGTATGTTTGGTATGAATGTCGAGGTCCCCTGGCGAAATGTTGACAATCTTGGACCCTTCTTTGGCATCCTAGGTGTCCTTATTCTTTTCGTCATAATCTCCCTTGGCATTGCGAAGAAGTACAAATACATATAATTCTGGAGAAAGAGTCGGTTGTTGGATTGATTCAGTCATAAGAGGTCTGCCAGTTTTTGGGCGCTTTTCTGTTACGCTTACCTTACCAAATCGCCGTTCTTGCTCCTGCAATTTGCATTTCGTTGGTGTCTCGCCGACGATGATAATATCGCGGATGTCAGAGTTTACGTTTATTAAGGAATCGTCTTCTACTTCCGTATGTCATCTTCGCGGACGTGTTTAGCCCTAGAGTAGCCAGCAATAAAGCATAGATTCATGGTTCGCTGCTGATGTTGAAAATATTTGTCTCAATTCAACCAATCGTGGGAGAGATCATGTGCGAAGTGAGATGCGGCTCGGCCCCCTAAGATCACGTGTTACTTTGATGCAAGTTCGGCGCATCATAAAATTGTCGAGCTCAAGGTTCCAACAACTACCTAGGTACCATTCGACATCCCTGACCTCCACCTCACCCTTCCTAATCAACCCTCCCTATTTCCTACGAAGAGCAGCAGATCAACATGGACTCCCCAACTACATCCCTCGATCAAAACATTGATCTCTCGAAGCTCTCACCCAAAGACAAGCAAGAACTTCAACAATTCATTGTGAACGAGAGCCAGAAGTCTAGAATACAACAGTGTGCGTCTTCCCCTTTCTTCTCCTGCTCCAATCCACAACACTACGACGGCCGGCAATAGCTTTGCGAGACATTGTTCCAGTCTTCATTGTCTGCTGGCGATTGTCATGTCTTGTAGAGTTGCTTCTGAAAGAGCTTTACTGACGACCGTGGTGATATAGCGGTGCATTCCTTGACCGATATCTGCTGGAAGAAATGCGTGACCGGGACGATTAAGAGCGGCAAGTTGGAGAAGGGAGAGGAGAGCTGTACGCAAAACTGCGTGGACCGGTTTCTGGATGCGAACTTCACGGTTATCAAGCACTTGGAGACTATGAGGAGGCAAGGATAAGGGATGGATACGCGCTTTAGTATAAGAAGGGATGGGGACATATGGGTAATGAATAGCCATATTCGGGGCTTCAAAAAAAGCGTACGAGTTTCTGGATGGGCCTTGTATCAATATTTGTAACATGGAGACGAACCTCACTCTTTCGGCCGATATAAAATGGAATAGACGGATTGGCTGGGAGTCACGGCCAAATCACAATATTGCAGGGTATTTAGCAGTTCCATCACGGGATTGAGAGCACTTTATTTGCTCTTCTGATTGGTATGTATCTCATATACGCCTTGTGAATGCAAGTGGTGCCCGCATATGTCGCAACGACTAGACCCGCTGGTAAAATCCATAACCACATCAAAACCTTTTCCCTTGACATCCAGTCATTTTCTTATCTAGACAATGGCGAGCTTGGTAGCGGCAATATCCAGAGCATCAACATCAGCGGTCAGACGGGCGAATGCCTTCTTTGTTCCGTCAGGTCTATGAATGGTATAATTAGCAAAAGTTTTATTCGTGAGGAACAAGTGAAATGTACCGGATGAGGGTGTTGATCTTGATGGTGTCGATGTCGTAAAGCTTCTTGAGAGCCTCCTTGATTTGTCTCTTGTTGGCCTTGGTGTCAACGATGAAAACCAAGGTGTTGTTCTCCTCGATCTTCTTCATGGCACTCTCAGTGTTGAGAGGGTGGATGATGACCTTGTGCTCATCGAGACGAGGTTGGTGGGCAACAGACTTTCGGAGGTATTTGGGCTCGCGGGAGAGTTGAAGGGTCTTAGGTCGGTGGAAGGTGGTTGAGAGGCGAACCTTGCGGACCTTGTGGGAGTGGACCTGAATCTCTGTTAGCATTGATCGTGGTTTCTGGGTTGGTGTTGAAAAAACTTACGCCCTTCAGGGTGGCCTTCGCGGCAGCACTGGCTTGCTTGCCAGCCTTGGTGGCGGCACCTATAAACACTTACGCATCAGCAATCGCTCTTGATGAACTCGCAATAGCTGCTACTGCTGGTGCATATGCCCTTCCTCATCGTCGACTCGTGGTCGACCCTCCAGATTTTCGCATTCGAAAATCGAGGTCGCAGACATGTCGCACGATGATGGCGGAGAACTCAGTGGGTTGGAAAGGAGATTGTACCTTTCTTCTGAACCGGGGCCATTTCGAAAGGATCTGTTTCCTCGTTGGGTGTTGCTGTAGTTAGTTGACGACGAGTTAATTGGCAAGATTCAAAAGAAAATCGTTTGTGGGAGTTTCTCGCTTAAACTATCGGGGCTTCTAAAGCCCGCGTCACGTGCTTGGTTACCGCCGTGTGATACCTTACCTCGACTTCCCTATTTTTCCAGCTGTTGGCCTACCTAGGTATGCTGCAATAACTTCACCACAGGGATCTACACGATGACCAACGTGAAAAAGCGTGTCAAGCTAAAGTCGCTATCCCAAGGTCGTCCACGTACCGTCAAACCGGTCTCTTCATTATCCAGCAAAGCAACCAGGACGCTTATACGGAAACATCACACGCTCGAAAAGCAAAGAGCGAAAGCTCTTGCAGATGGCGATGAAGCAAAAGCAGCTGCTATCGCAAAGCAGATTGAATTACATGGTGGGCTTGAAAGTTACCAGCACGCCAGCCTTATTGGCCAAAGCAATGACCGAGGTGGTGATAGTTCGAAGATATTAATGGAATGGTTTGCACCTATACTTCCCGCGCTTAAGGAACATGCTGCAAGCGGACAACCAATTCGAATGCTGGAGGTTGGAGCATTGAGCGTTACGAATGCTTGTTCCAAGAGCCATCTATTCGAAATGGAAAGGATCGATTTGAGGAGTCAGGCAGAAGGCATCAAAGAGGAGGATTTTATGGAAAGACCTCTCCCACGTGATGACAAGGACCAATTCGACATCATCAGTCTCTCTCTAGTCTTGAACTACGTTCCTGATGCCATTGGAAGGGGGAAGATGTTGGAACGGACACTGAAATTCTTGAAGGCCCGACAATACCCAGAAGGTGGTCTTCGAGATTTCCTTCCTAGCTTGTATCTGGTCCTACCAGCGCCTTGCGTCACCAATTCAAGATACATGGATGAAAGCAAGCTAGAGGCGATTATGGAGAGCTTGGGCTACGTTAGAGTCAAGAGGAAACTGTCAAATAAGCTGGTGTATTATCTCTGGAGGGCGGTAGCACCAGTCCCCAAGAGAACTACTGCTTTCAAGAAGGTCGAGATCAGGTCTGGGAAGAATCGGAATAACTTTGCTATTGTTCTGGCGTGAGCACTTATGCCTGCTACTGTATGGGATGGCATTATCTGCTGTGATTGGATTGGTTGGGGTTTGAGGGTGTCGACACTGCATGATAGGTACCCGATCAAGAGCTGAGAGGGCCATAAAAGTAGGCAGCGCGTTTGTTATTTTGTTATGAATGAATAGATGATGTTGAGGGGAATCAACGATACTTCACCCTTCACCCAGGTATATTGTGGAAGGCAATATATCGGAATTTTGCTTACAACAATCTTTGGAGAGAGGGGCAGGAAAGATATCCTATGAAGATCTCGGCTTGTATATAAAGTAGTACTACTGTACGCGGTAGAAGTTTCATGTTACGGACGACGAATGGAAACGCGATTGCTTTTCGGTATACAATTTCTATTCTGATATCCCTGCTTCTTTCTTTACCATCATCTTTCTGCCTTATCGGTGAACCGCGCCCATTGGCTTCGGAATCTTCAGGACTGCTTCTCTTTTCCGCCAGCGAGCTTATAGATACGCATGCGCCGATATGCAAGCAATTAGCAACGTTCTGGTCTACAATGTCGGGTTCCCATACGATGCTCCCCACCTGTGTACCTAAACAAAGTACCTAATGTTGTGCATGCGACCTTCGAATTGACGAATCACGATGGCCCCACCGATAAGAGCAAGACTGACTGGCCCGAAATCTTCTGACTTACCTTAACGCAGGATACTTCTTCCTTCTCTCATCCATCTTCTCCAAACAAGACTTTTCCCGCCAGCTGTTTCTTTCCCTGACTAGAAGGCCTTTTATTTCTCACTCTTTTACTCTACCTTTACGCACAGAGTCTTCCTTGAAGCCACGAGACCAGCCCAAAGAAGTTTCCGGCTATCAATGTGGCAATGCCCCGAAACCCTACGAACTGGGACGAATACCAATACGGTACTTCCCACAGGAGCTCGATCAGCAGTTCTACTGGGGGTCGTAGCGTCCATCTCAATGGAGAGGGAGAAGCAGAGGTCCCATATGGCGAAAGACAGGAGGGTGACGATTCTGTTCTCCGCAGACGAGGGCAAGTTATTCGTGACATACTGCTAGTTCTAGAAGCTGATTGTAGGCTCCAGATCCTCGATGGCTATGCGCCTAAATTCCCTTACGCAAGTAGGAGGCGTAAATAGTATTGGGAATTTCGCCAGAAGCTGGACACGGGCTGCAGGTTTCCATGAAGCTACCTCACGTCGACCTTCGTTCATCTTGGCCGATTCAGACACAAATAGGGGTGCGGAGGATGCAATCACGTACGGGAGGACAGACACTGAGTATGGAGGGGTACCTCGAACGTCATTAATTAGAGCACACCTAGAAGCGTCGAGACCCGGACACGATATTGACGATGAATCCCTTGCCCCAGAGGTAGAAACTGGCGGTCGCAGAGGAAGTGATTCCGCCTTTGCTACTACGTCTCTTCTGGCCACCCCGTCTGCAGGCAGTTACGGCACCTCTTATGGAACATTGCAGTCCACCTTGAGCGAGTCTTCTATGGCCCATGCTGGCCAACTATGGAGACAGCAGCAAGCAAGTAGGGTGGATGAAGGTGGAAGGGAGCCTCTCATCGTCAAGGAAGTCGAACAGGATGGGAAGATCGTACTTGCCGTTGCTGGTCAATCCACATTACCACAGACAATCTTTAATTCCATTAATGTTCTAATCGGAGTAGGACTTCTTAGTCTGCCAATGGGCTTTAAATATGCTGGTTGGGTCTGTGGGATGACTTTCCTCCTCCTTTCGGCCGTGGTGACTTCTTACACAGCGAGGTTGCTAGCCAAGTGTATGGATGTGGATGCCAGCTTGATCACTTTCGCCGACCTGGCATTCATTTCCTATGGACAGAATGCCCGGATAGCAACCAGTGTGCTTTTTATGCTCGAATTAGTTGCTGCGTGCGTTGCTTTAGTAGTTCTGTTTGCGGATACCCTCAATCTTTTGATCCCTGGAGTCGGTGTGGATCAGTGGAAGATATTGTCTGGACTTCTTCTAATACCCCTCAATTTTGTGCCATTACGATTGCTCAGCTTCAGCAGCGTGGTTGGGATTTTTTCGTGTTTCTGCAGTAAGTATACTCTTTTCTCGCTTCCTGAATTTACCCCTGAAATGCCGACCATTCCACGAATGTTTGGGAGTCCGGACACCTGTTGATAATCTACGACCGATTTCTTTACTGTTATCGGTCAGTACCAAACCGACATCCTAAATGCTTAGGTAGCCATCTGCTGGGAACTTCTGACTAAAGATACTCCTAGTCGTCCTCATCCTCTTTGTCGACGGCATCATCAAACCCGAAGCTCCAGGATCCCTACGTGAGCCAGCTCAGACCTATCTGTTTCCCGAGAACTGGCTCACTCTGCCTCTCTCATTTGGCCTGCTTATGTCACCTTGGGGAGGGCACTCCGTATTTCCCAATATCTATAGAGACATGCGGCACCCACAGAAGTTCAAGAAGGCGGTCAAGGTTACTTTCAGCTTCACAGTAAGTCGTTACCATAACATGTTACTGATCTGTGAATTAACTATATTTATTAGTATCTGCTAGACTGTGCAACCGCAGTTGTGGGAATCCTCATGTTTGGTGACGGCGTCATGACAGAAATCACGGCCAATCTCATCCAGACTTCCGGATACCCACGCTCCCTCTCTATAATCATGAGTATATGCATTGCCATCATCCCTCTGACCAAAATTCCGCTCAATTCCCGGCCCATCGTCTCGACCATCGAGGTTCTCTCTGGGCTCGATCCACAAGCCCTCTCCGGCTCGCCTAGCCTCACCGGCCTGTCCGGGTACTCGCGCGGCCTCCTCAAGATCGCTATCCGGATCCTCGTCATCATCTCGTTCGTCGCCATCGCCATCGCCTTCCCGGAGTTCGATAGCATCATGGCATTCATGGGATCCACCCTGTGCTTCACCATCTGTGTTATCCTGCCGCTGCTGTTCTACCTCAAGATCTTCGGGCGCGAGATCAGCATGCGCGAGAGACTGCTCGACTACTTCTTGATCGCGGTCTGCTTTGTCCTTGCCGTCGTCGGGACGGTGTGGGCCTTCCTCCCGAAGAGCTTGGTTGGTGCTGAATGACACTCCATTAAGGTGTTGTAGAAAGCCAGGGAAGCGGTTGGCTTAGGTAGGTATATGTACATACCTTATATATATAGAGAATGCCTGGTTTCCGGCATCGGCACCCTGCTTTTTCCATCATGTCTAACATACTCTTCACCTCCTACGCAACCTACGTTTGTGGTTGAGACGTACCATAACAAATAATAGAGAAGACATGGGATTTTGTAAGTCTCACCACGGCATACGTCTCTTGGCTTTGGACCGAACTTTGCAGTCCTGGCAAGGGAGGGAACTCGATGTTCGGCGACTGGTGGGCATGGCTTGTAATGATGTATACATACAGATTATACGCACTCAAATGTATGTGTAATATATAGTTATACAAACACACACATGCACACGCACCTACAATACATTACGAATATTTGCACACGAGATCAACTGAACCCGATATCACAGCTTATCAGATAGGAATAGGAACCCGGGTGGGGATACGTGTATATTCTAGAGGAAGAGTGTATTTGCACTTCTTGCTACGTCTATCCACGCATCCCTCATCTCCGCTTGCTGCTTGCAAAGGACCAGTGGGACTTGAGAGGGGGGGCTGAATGACTCTGTACTGGTTAAGCTGGGCTGTAGCTAAATGAAGGAATGAATAGTATGCACGTGATCAAGGGTGTGGTTTATATCTGGACTCCAGTCCAAAACATGTAGCTGTTCTTAAGGCATAGCATGCATCCTCCTCTCCTTCCTCTCTACCAATTACCCCCTTTCCAGCTAGTTCTGCACGCCCGCGATGCGCAGCTCATCAAACGAGCTGATAACAAGCTGGCCCTCCCTGTCCTCCGGCGACAGCGGGCTGTTGCCCTCCCGAACCACGACGCACGCCTGCATGCCCGCCTCCTTGGCAGCGCGGACCTCGTTGACGTTGTCGCTCAAGAACAGCCACTTAGCAATGTCCTCTTGCCGCGTGCCCGCGATCTTCCGATAGCTCGCGCTGTCGGTCTTGGGCCCCGCGTTCACGGTGTCAAAGTATCCGGAGAGAAGCGGGCGCAGGTCGCCGTCGGTGGTGTGCTGGAAGAGCAGCTGCTGTGCGGGCACGGAGCCGGAGGAGTAGATGACGATGGGGAGGGCGGCGCGGTGGAAGGCGCGCAGTACGGGCGCGACGTCGGGAAAGAGCGGGCATTTCAGGGAGCCGTTGAGGTAGCCTTGGGTCCAGAGGTAGCCTTGGAGGGCTTTGAGGTAGGGGATTTTGAGATCCTGCGCCATGAGGGATTGGACGTGGGCGAGGAGGGCGGAGGGGCTGGAGCGGTGCTCAGCGGGGAAGGCGGAGAGGTAGGGCTGCAAGGCGGGAGAGTCCCATTCGGTGGCTAGGGTGGTGGGGAGGACCTGGAGGGCGTAGGGGAACTGGAATGTGGGTTAGTGAGGTATTTCTCTCGCAGGGAGATGTGGTAGGGGGAGATGGGAGAGAGAAGACTAAAGACTGAAGATTGAAGATTGAATAGTGAAGAGTGAGAAAAGGGGGCGGGGCGCGAAGTCGCGTCGACAGAGTGGAACACGTGATCTCAAGCCAAGGGGTGCACGGGGTACACGGGGAACACGGCCCTGAATGAAGACGGCCCCGCGGTGATGCTCGTGGAGGAGGAGGGGGAGGGAGAGCGACACCAGAAATGGAGTCGGCGGAGAATACAACGCCCTCGCAGCCATGCATCCAACCGTTGACTGTTTCCCTGAGCGGCAACGTCATGCTTGCTTGCTCTGCGGTGCCACTTATCCACCATCTATCTGGCATATATCCCGAACCTACAGTATCTGGCATCTTTTCTGATAACACACGACGGCGGAGATCGAAGAGAAGAGGAGTGCGGCCAATCGTAACGAAGCCGGCGAATCATGACAGGTCGCTCTGGACTTTCAATGTCGTAACGCTTTGGGCAGCAGTGTAGGCCGATCCAACGACTATCAACCACCACCACACACCACCAAGTTGATAATTGGCCCTCCTTTCTGCCCGCTTGCAGTGGGAGCGGGCTTTGCTGGTGGCCGCGGCACTTGCGACAGGCCAGAAAGACCAGAGCCTTTTGATCAGCAGCATCCCACTTGCGGTTGGGCACAGCAGCTCTGCACTGGACTGACAGCGCGCATCAAATCGAGAGGGAACAGGTGTCGGGCAGAGAATGAAGAGGAAGCTGAATGGCAGAGAGCAAGGAGATGAGCATGTCGATAGCTTACCAGGACATCTTTGACAAAGGAGATCGGACACACCGTGCCTTCTGCAGGTCGACAATTGTCCCGTCAGCTACGGCCTCGCAGTGCACGTGATCATACCATATTGGTTCGAGGACGAAGATATATGTCCATCCCCGTTGCAGGAGAGGGGTTGGGCAGAAGAGGAGAGAGGGGAGGAATGAGCGGGGGGTTGGTGGGCCAAAAAAAGGAAAAAAGAAAAGAAAGAAAAACTTACCGATATCTAGGAGGAGGACGTGGACATCCATCGAGGGCCGGCTTGCCTATGGCTCTAGATCTCGATAGTAGGGAAGATGTAGCGGTGAGCAGGGCAAAAGAGATTGACCAAAAATTCAGACTTTTTTTTCCTTTCACGATGTTCCGGCCGCAAAGGTCGAGTTCGGGCGGGAAGAGGACCCCGTCGTAGGACTAAGGTGGTCTCAACTTCTCTCAAGTCTCATGCAGGACTTTCTGGCCAATCAGAATTAATCAAGAATAATTAGGTTTCGCGATATGCCAATGGGCACGCAGATCTACGATTCGGATTCTCTTTGTTCTGAACCCCAACTTTTGGAGGTGGTGTAGGGAGGAGCACCGCGAGTGGCTGAGAGGAGTGGTTGGGATAAGATTGTGATGGCGGTGAGAGAGGATCTGGATTCTGGATGCTGGATTGAGGAGGATTCGACCAGACCGACGCAGGTGACAGTGATGGACGACCGGCAGACACTATGGAAGTACTTGTGTGATTGATTCAGATGGAGCAGATGGAGCAGATGGTTCAATGTGCATTGTCTTGAAAGTTGGGAGGAGCTTTGGTCTTCACCGTCGATCTACTGTGCGGCATCAATGTCTCTCTAACGCCCACGCTGCTGCAGAAGCTCGAATCCCATGCTCTCTTTGTTTCGTCGACTACTTTCAGGAGTTCAGGAAGTCAGGGGCAGCCTTGTCGATAGGTACTTCAACCCCACAGCACGGTACAATGATACAACGATGCGATGACACGGTCGTAGTAGTTCCTCGAATCCTCGCATGCTCAAGCCTTACCGCCACGTCCATCCGGTCTTGACAGGTTGTTCCTCGGCAGATCATGGATCTTTGACAGGTCAACGGTGAAGATTCTGCAGGCAGTACATTTCTGCTCCTTTGTTGTTTTCTTCTTCTTTTGTCGTGTAGATGAAGATCAACAGACGAAGCGGAAGGGGGGAGGGGCAAGGGACCAGGAGTAGTTCTTCCGGTAGATTATTATCATTGGGTTGTAGCTCTAGACTCTTTCACGGCGGCATGGGGATGATGGGAGGGATCTACGAACGGGTGCCATCAGGTACATTATGACTCTGCCTTACCTCTAATTAATATGTTACGGTAAATAACATCATGGATGTCAACGACACACGTCTAAGAGAAGCAGAAAAGCAGAGTCAGGACTCAGGATCGCCCAGCAACGAATCGCCTTGCTGGAGGGGAGCGGCGGGGAGCGAGCTGAGCAGATTAATCACTCATTGATGCTCGCATTGGCTCGGGAGGAGAAAGAGGGTCGGGAACTCTTATCGAGAATCGAATCGACAGGTTCGAGAAATCTCGCCATCTTGAGATCTCGAGATGCCCCCCCTTTTTCAACGCTCGAACGATTGTTGTTGACGACACCTTAGTCACACGAGCACGACCAGGCGGGGATGAGCACTGCTACAGCACTCTGATCGGCCAGCATCCTACTTGACTGACAGGACAGCGTGAGGCCAAATGGCTAGTGGGAAAGAGGATCACGACGTCGTTGGTCCTACAGGTCGTGGAATGTTTTGTTGTTTTGTTGCTTTGTTGCTTTGTTGTTTGTTTACTTGTACCTGGTGTTTTACTTTGTACCTGGTAACTGGCAAAGATCGCAAGGCGTAAGGTAACGCGTGTCCCTCCGCAATGCTCGACCTTAGGTACCTAAAGGTACATCGGCACCCTCCCGCCGACAGTAGACTGCAGAGGTACCACTTAGGTACAGTAGCCGATGGGGTGCAGGATGCTGCAAGCTGTCCGGTCCGTAATCGCAGGAACAATAATACCGCGAATAATGTAGGAATTATACCGCGAAATATACGGAGAATGCGGAGAATACGACTAATACGCCGCGTGTGCACTGCACAAAGATATTTATTACAGACGTAGTCTTTTATGCATTTATGCATCATGCGCATCCAAGGGCGCGAACTCGATGACGGCGCCGCTCGGTTGGCCAATCAGGAAGCGGCGGCGCGACAGGCGATGGAAGACGGTCGAATGCCCTGGTGGCTACGGCGGCCCAGAGGTTTCGACGTGTTTCGAAGACACCGCAACCGCCACCCAACCACGCTGCCCGCCGTGTTGTGCCTGGGATCTGAGGCCGGCCCCCTGCTATTCTCAGAACCCCTGTCGCGCCTGGAGGCTGCCGTGCGCCGTACGCCCTGCCTGCTCTGGGCCTAGCGCCTAAGGTACACGGCGCGCACCCACCTCACACCTCACAGTGCAGCGTCCCACCGTACTCATCTGTCCTCTGGCCTCTCTACGTTCACCTGCGTTCCCTTCCCGTTCACCTCCCCTCCCCATTCCCATCCATCCTCCACCATCCTCCCACCTCCTTCACCTCCTCTTCTCTTCTTCTCTTCCTCCCCTCATCTTCATCTTCATCATCTTCATCCCCCCAAACTGCTTGTGCTCTAGAGACTGGTCACATCTATCGTCATTCGCAGTTATCCTCCGTCTCTCTCTCCTCCCTCCCTCTTCTCTCCCTCCCACCTCTCTTCCCGCGACCCCTGCTTCAAGCTGCTGCTCTCACCGACAACACCACTCCACCCAACAACAACAACAGCTTAGCAGATCCGTTGCAGACCAAACAACTGCTGTGGCTACTCCTCGAGACCTCCTCTTCTCTTTATATACCGTCCGATCGATTCATCCTCCCTCGAGAGCTCCGACCGGCGATAGACGGCTTGGCTTGTCCAGGAAACGCAGCGGATAAGGCGGACGGAGAGGCCAACTCTTCGACGACCTCTTCCATCAACCCGCCTTCAGCAGCATATGGTTCCCTCGTCCTCATCACCGATTGTGTCTAGATAGACTGTTCCCAACCGATCAAGACAACGTTGGCACGAAACTGCAAATCGAATTGCGAACGTCTAGCTCGCAGACCAATCGAGTCATCCAGCTGCCCTCGGCAATTGACCTGCTTCCGCTGTCCTTTCCGGGTCAACAACACCCCTCCACCCTTCACCACGATCTTCCCATCACTACTATAATCCGCGATAATTGACGATACTCTGCAATTGACACTTGTCTCTTGCGCTTCCTTGTTCCTCGCTTCGGTCGACGCCCCCCTGATCGAGTCCAACCAACGTTCTACACTCTTTCCTATCACGGCATCTCATCTCTCGGGCAGCACGTTTACTCGTTCTCCCCCTGACGTTCTCATCTTGTTCCCAAACTCATTCGCTCTCTACGAGATCAGTTGACTCCCATGTCAGCATAACGACTTTCACTGCTTTCCTTCACGGACCTCGTCGTCCTTTGTCACTGTTTACGACCCTACCAACAATCTCTCTTCTCTCTCTTTTGTTAGCGATTCCAATACCCTATGAGCCTCTGACCTACTACGATACATCCGGAGTTTTCGACAGTTACCCTTTTTTTCTCTCGGCGGTTGGGACACATCTATTACAGCGTTGCTAGTTTGCTTATTGCTCCAACGGTTCAACTTCTCCATTCCTCGGCCTACCATCTTCCCGAGCCTTGCTCCTTGTGACAACAGTTCCGTTTAGAGAAGACAAAAGCCTTTCCATACTGTATTGCTCGACACAAACAAGTCTTCCGGACGGCCAAAAAACATCTCGGTTTTGTACTACTACAACTCACCACTTCGCCTTACGCTTTATTTAATTTGCACCTTGCTCGGCCTCCTCTTGTCTCACATTAACCCGACAACCGCCCACCTTCTGCCATCACACACAAACCACTCATCATGCAGTGCCTCAGAGACAAGTTTTATGATGGGGTCGTCCTTGATGGGCGATTCGAGACCTTATCTCCCCTTAATCATGGCTCTTTCGGCATGGTCTTCATGGCCAAGGACCTGACCAATAATGAGATGGTTGCCATCAAATGCTTGACGAAGAGATCTGCCTCGGGCGACTCTGATTCTTCCTTTGCCATTGACGAACAATCTGAGGAGCTAGCTTGCCACGCAAGGCTCGGATCTCACCCCAACATTGTCAATCTAATCCATTCTTTCGAGACTGAGGCCCATGTCTACCTTGTCCTCGAATACTGTGCTAGGGGCGATCTCTACGAAGCCATCCGTACGGGAACAGGGCCCTTGGAAACGGAGCACGTCCGACGATTCATGCTTCAGCTGGTCGATGCGGTCGCCCACATCCATTCGAAGGGCATGTATCACCGAGACATCAAGCCGGAGAACATCTTCCTGACCCAGTCCGGGGACGTGAAGCTGGGAGACTTCGGTCTGGCTACCTCGGAGAAATGGACATATGAAACGACCGTTGGGAGCGACCGCTACATGTCACCCGAGCAGTACGACTCCGCTGGTGCCGGCTACTCCCCTGAGCAAGCCGATATCTGGGCTATCGGCATCTGTCTCCTGAACATTCTGTTCTCGCGCAATCCTTTCACCACCCCGACCGAGTCGGATCCACTCTTCCTGGATTTCTCTCGAGACAAGCAATCCCTCTTCGATGTTTTCCCCACCATGTCACAGGATACTTACGAGGTCATTGCTCAGTGCATGAGTCTGGACCCACGCAAGCGCTCCCTCGAAGGTGCTCGTGATGCACTGGAGCGGGTAGTCAGCTTCACCACTTTCGACGAGGCCCTGGACGACTTCCATACGGCGGAGAGGAAGGTCGTTGCGAGTGGCAACCGTGAGCCTCTGCGGACCCCGTCCATCCAAAGTCCTCAGATGGATACCGGCTCCTTCCCGTGGGCGAAGGCTTTACACGCAAATCCTCAGCCATTCCGTCAACTCTCTGCCATCCCGGACGACGAGAGCTACCAGTCCGAAGACCTCTTCCCAAGCTCGGAAGAAAGCAACAAGGATTGGTTCTCTGTTGGCGAGCAGACGCCTTCAATGGCATCGGTGCTCGATTCTTCCCTTGGTACCTCGATGTCGTCTCTGGCTATTCGACGACTGAAGAACGAACCCCCCAAGGCCAGCCTCCCCCCCGTTTCCGGCTCCTTGCCCATCGCCATGGCTAAGCCCAAACCCCTGCCATCCATGGCTTCAATCTTTGGCAGGAAGAATGAGATGGTCTCGAAGAGCTGGAGTGATATCTGGGATGAGGAGATAGAAGAACAGGAAGCCGAGAAGCAGCTCAAGACACGCCAGATGCAGAACTCGAGGACCTACAGTCATGAGAGCAACAAAGAGGATGATGCGAACCGCGGAGGATCCACCGTGGCGGCGAAGAGCCCGTCATTTGTAAATATCGCACAGTTGAACAAGGAGACTGAGAAGACGGCGCCCGTGGATATCGATGGGGATCTAGTTGCGGACGGTTTCTTCTTCCACGAGACACCACGCCATGAGACACCACGCAAGCCGGTCCCGCAACACCACTTCCCTCGCTACTCGCCACCGTCGAAGCGGAGCACTTTCGACAAGTGGACCGCGCTGGGAGAACGTCGGCGAGCATACACGGGTACGTCGGAATCAGAGAAGTCTCCGGAATCGTGGAAGGTTCGGCGCAATATTGGATCTGGCTTCGCTGGGTTTGGAGCCGGGGGTTGGGATAGTAAGGGGAACAACAGTATGATTAAGGACAGGGGCAAGGAGTGTCCATGGATTAGGGAGAAGGATAGGGTCCGGGATCACCACGAATACATTCATAAGGGCAAGCCCCAGGTTGATCTCGGTGACCTTGAGTGGGTTGGAGGTTGGAGTGACCACCTTCACTTGTAGTTCGGTTCTTCTCTCGTACGCTTCAAGACTGGCAACGGCATCGAGATGACTTGTTCAGAGTATATCATTATTGGACGGGTTTTAAGGTGGCAGGATCGGTTTGGAGGTAGGGAGGCAGAAGCCTGGACTCGCTTTTCTGTGTATGTAGATTTCTTCGGACTTTGAAATACCAGAATATTACCCACTCTACAAAATGTCTTCGCTCACCTGTGACTGCGTATATCTTTGTTGCTAACGAGGTGGGGGGCTGCTGGGCAAGACCCTTTGGACTTCTGATTTACCCAAATGATTGTAATCTCAATGGCAAGAGCCTATCCATACCCTCGCAGTATTCAATCACTAGACTTACTTCCAGCCTACCCAAATAGCCGTAGCCTTTCAACGATTTCGAAATTGATCTGGTTTCCCATCCCCTCACTAAAAGAAAATAGAACATCTAAATAGTCTTAACCTCCGAAGGTGCGTGGACTTTAAGGGGCAAAAGATTTTTGGATTGATCAATTATGGAGGAGGTGGAATAGGGTGGGCTAATTGTTATCACTATAGGACAGAGGAAAGGGGGAGTGAGGTGTGAAGTGAAAGGAGAGGAATAAGGGAATGAAGCGTGAATCATGAAGAGAAGTAAAGAAGTGAAGAGATGATGATGATAGTTATTCACGTCCGATAGACTTCCCTAGATATATAAGGACGTGCTAAGAAGCCAAGTATAAAGTCCTGTTTATAAAAGCTAAAAACTACAATAAGTAGAAAAAGACTCCTTGATCCTGCGGTGTCGTAGTGCCCTTATACTAGAAAGCATTTCTTACTCTCTATGTATAATCAGTAGGACGTTGTGACTATAACGTCTTACGGTGGTTAGATAGTCTACTAGATATTATAGAACGTTGGCTATAGAGAGGTGCCTAGACTCCAGAGGCTTTAAAGCTAGATCTTGAGCTTAACGTGAGTTAAAAGCTTTGTAGACAGACCCACCAATAGGTGAGCCTTCATACAAAGGCGTAATATCAAAGACTCCTCAAAACCTCCCCAACCCCCCCCAAAAAAACCCTTAATCCGTCCTACGCTTCTACGGAACCGCTAAACGCCTCCTCTAGCCCCCTCTATATGTTTATAGTCGTAGAAAGGGCTAGGTAGATTCGAGACCGTAAAGGGAGTGTCGATGCTAGAAAATCTCTTCGAACGCTGGCTTTGTTCGGTCAACTCAGTCTTAGCTCTACAAATTTGTAGGATGCACTATGTACAGGTGTCGAGTCTTCGCAGTCTGAAAGTGAAGAGAGAAATAAGGGAGTAGGGGTGGAGTAAGAAGAGGGAAATAAGGGAGTGAAACGTGGAGTGAGAAAGAGACAAGTAAAGAAGTGAAGTGTAGGACATAGCGGGGTATGGCTTGAAGTGAAGAAAGAAAGGTAAATAAACAGGACATAGGAGGGTACGAAATGAACCGAGAAGAAATACGTACATACAACATCTCATTTCTATCTAAATCAACCTAGTAAAGAAGTAAAGTGTAGAACATGGCGGGGTATATAAACCGAAGTGAAAGAAAGGTCAAGAAGTAAACATTTAGTAGTAGGGTACGGAATAAAATAAAATAAAATAAAAAAGAACAAATCTCATACATACAACATCTCATTTCTACCTAAATCAACTAGTAAAGAAGAAAAGTGTAGAACATGACGGGGTATGCAGACTAAGGTAAAAGCAAAGTCAAAAAGTGAACATCTAGCAGCGGGATATAACTCAAATAACGTAAAACATCTCATCTCTACTTAAATCAATCTAGCAAAGAAGCAAATTGTAGAACATGGCGGGCGTATAAAGTTAAAAGAAAAGTCAAAGAAGTGAACATAGCGGCGGTGTATAGAATGAAATAAAATAAGACAAAAAAAGAGAATTCTATACATACAACATTCTATTTCTACCTGAATTAATCTAGCAAAGGAATAAAGTGTGGAACATGATGGCGGGATATAAAGTTGAAAAGTCAAGTAGTGAACATAACGGCGGGTCATGAAATTCGATAAATCAGAAAAGAAAACCCCCATACATACAACATCTCATTTCCACCTGAATCAACCTAGCCAAGAAGTAAAGTGTAGAACATGACGGGGTATAAAGAGAGATAAAAGTCAAGAAGTGAACAATTAGCGGCAGGATATAAAATGAGATAAATCGAGATAAAATAAAAACAAAGAAGAAAAGAAAATCCCATACATACAACATCTCATTTCCAAGCAACTCCTAAACGCCATTCCCAACAATCCCATCCCATGCCATCCCACCTCTCTCATCCCCGTCGCGGAACCCGCCTACCAGAACCGGGAATACTCTACTCCGGAGGAAAAGGGGGGGACGGAAACCGGCAGAGCCGGCGGATTGGCGGTAACGGCGGAAATCCGGGGAAGGTTGGTGAGAGAGTGGGGGGCTGAGGAGCGAGCGAGCGGGTGGTTGATTCGTGATCTCGTGAGTTCTTCTTACCTGAGGATGACGGGAGGATGTGTTATTGTTATTATCATTATTATCGTTATTATTATTATAGTAGTAAGGAGCGAGAGAGGGGAGTCTGGTGGGTTTATTTTAATCTTCTTGCGTGTTGTATACGATATGCGATACGCGCGGATGTCAACCTGCAGATAGCTATGGATGTAGTGAAACGTTGAATAAATGGGGGCGGTGCGAATTGCAAACCGCAAATTGCAAATTGCAATATCAATTTTAATTTGGGCAGCGAGACGGTGTGATATCGAATGCTGGGTACTTCTGTAGATACAAGGACAGCCCAGTCTGCGATCTATCACATGTGGGTTTTCGTCATGCATCATCTCATCTCATAGCATGTCACATCTCATATTCTCATATTATCTGCAGAGATGACGGCCTCAACAATGATGACAACGCTGTAGGAGGTCGCCCAAGAAACGCGAACCCGAGGATAGCCATCATATCCTGCACGTGGGGCGCACTTCACTTTTCTTCAAAGCACCTAGGTCCTAGGTACTTGAACTGATACTGATTGATGCCCGGCACCACCGCACGCCACCCGAGTTCCAACGCCCGAGCCGCTGAGGAATGAGAACGACGGTCCTGCTGAGCCGGCGGGTATACGGCTGGGCGTGTGTGGTGGCGTTAACCGACTGCTTCTGCGGCTGCGGCTGAGTCGGACCTGCAATCGAGATAAAGATAGAGATTCGAGATAGAGATTGAGATTGAGATATGGTTCTCACTACTCACGGCACAGGGTCTTGATTTGCGAGACTTGGCCCGCGGTTGGATGTGATCGCCCAGGATGCGGAACCGCATCTTCAGCGAGGGTCATCATGCATATATATGTACGTCGCCCAGAGAGAATGATGGTCACATACATATCAGATATAAGTCTCATATCTACCCCGCGTTTTGTGCGACACAAGGTTGTTTGCAATGTTCACTGATTGATTCCCCCCCTAAACCTCTAGCACCCGTACACATGCAGACGTCTTGTTCCCTCCACGATTGGCTGAGATATGATTGACTGGCATGGATGATGAGCCATGATGTGTGTTGGTGTTGCGGGCGGCAACCCAGCGCAATCACCGAAGCCGCTGTTGCTGATGGCTGTATGGATCCGTCGGGCTTTGAGAGGGAACATTCGACCCGCGCTGCAATGCTGCAACGCTGCACTACTCGGGCCCACGCAGATCGCTGCAGTTGCAATTCTGCTCCAAGCACACAACACCCTCACTTACTACACGTCGTCAGGCTTTGGGCTCATTTGATGATGCACAAGCAAGCCCCGCCTCCCTCACTCTGCTCGTTGGAGTCATGTATCCCTCCACACGTCTCTATATCTGGCCCATTCCTTGAATCCTGTCCGATGGTCAACTTCAATCGCTTATGATCACCCTGCAAACCGAGAACTCACCGAGCCGTGTGAAATCGCCCAGTCCATCGGCGACGACGCCATCGAGGAACATTCTCCTCATGCCTTGATTCTGCAGGTTCTTAATACATGCATCAAGCAAGCCTACCACGGTTGCATCCTGTCTGGGTGCTAACAACTTGTCAGCCGGTGAAATTCAACACTAGTCCACAGCCGGTATTGGACACGCGTTGGAAAATGAGACAAGGTTGGGTCTAACAAGGAAAATAATGCGACTCATAAAGATCGGCCAAGAGAGAAGTCTTCAGCTTTGAGTGGAACGTGAAAATTCTAGCTGAGCAGGACAGAGCTGCCTCTGTGCTAGGGGGAACCTAGTCCGCCTAGCATCAGGGCTCCAAAGGAGAGACACTCACGAGAGATGCAAATGCAGGTGACTCCTCCTACATCGTGCCCGATCCGACTGGCCCAGGGTAGATTGGAAGCGATGTGACTGCCACATGAGGGTGTATAGGTGAGGGCTGCTGCAATTATAGCATTGTTCTCAATGCCTAACACAATGTCCTTGACGTTGGGTCCATTCATCAGGGAGGAGTACTGGTCAAACCACCCTATCTTTCCCTGCCTCGCGGAAGCCTCCTCAACCACAGCGAGAACCCTGACCATATCCTCTTGCGTGCATAATCGGAACTGTGGGAGGGAGGGCGACAATTCGACCTGCCAATCTGCAAAGTCGAGAATTATGTCGTGTACCACTTGCCCCTGTCCAGGTATCTTCTTATCCAGCTGCCAACCTCTCCGCCGGAACCATTCTTCGTCAAGCGGCATGCTGAGGAGAGGTCCGTAAAGTATCCGAGGAAAGGTACTTCCAAGCTGTAAACGTACGACACCGCGCGTTCTCCCAAGCTGGTCAATAGCATGGTTGTATAGGCTTAGACCGACGCCCTGATTCCGGTTCTCGGGCCGGACAAGAAGGAGTGCTAAGGAAGCAAGGAGTCCCTTTCCTTCTTGATCAACGTATGAGAGATACGTGGCACAAAAACCTAGGATCTCTTCACTTCTAGGATCTCGAACAACGTAGTGTTTGGCGTAACCCGGGCGTCGCAGAAGCGAAGCAAACGTCTGGTGATCAATAGAGAAGCGACCACTGATGTTCTGAGTCCATAGATTCAAGACACTGGACATGTCTCTTGCCTCGTTCCATTGCTCAACCGGCCACGGTCTAGGCCGAGACGTACTTGTTCTCGTTGGGGCCGGTAGTCCACTAGTTGGAGGTACCGACATGGGCTGTTCTCCAAAGATTAACGCTGCGGTAGCTTCCAATGCTGGCGGCGAGGATCCAGCAGTCTGAATGATAGTTGGGAACTGGAGGGGTTGCTGGCTGCTTCCTGGACCACAGCACACCACAATGACGCATGGCTTGTTGTCACTGACAGCAAAAACGATGTCTGCGACTTCGAGAGGAATCTGCTGGCCAGGTCGGGGTGCAAAACATAGAATAATGACGTGTCCTCGTTTTATGAACCCGAGGTGGGTTGATGTGATTCCATACCTGGATGGAGGAGATCAGTACATTCGCTTCGTCCATACTTGATATTCAAACCTTTGAGTATAAGGAACATGTCGAACCCTAGCATGTCTCCTTGCCAATGAGCGACCAAGGGGCTCGAAAGGGTCGCTGGTATCTGCTGCGCCTTCACTGTTAGGATCCACCACGGGAGTGAGAAGTATCATGACATCCGTCTCTCTAAGGCTCCTGATGATTGACAACCAGTTTGCCGAATCCCTGAGCAACGTAGCTAAGCTACCGTTCTTTCCATTGATGGAGAATCCAGAACCTGTTGTCAACGGGCCGGCCCTAGGCTCCAGATCAATGTCCCTAAGGTAAAGTAAGAAAATTTTGGCTTATGACGTTGAAGATGGAGATTCATCTCACATTGCATCTTTGTCTTCCCTTGTGTTCGTCGACCCACCCATGTGAGAAGACATGTCCGAATCTGAGGAGACTCAAGACGCCAACTGCCTTTGAATCAACAACACTGCGTAAACCATGTCTTGTTATTAGAACTTACTTCCAGTCAAATGCCAAGATTTATTAGTGTGCGGAATCCTGTGCAGTATCTATAAGATTCTAGACGTGGTAGCATTTTCGGGAACTATCCTAGCCACGTGTGTGGGTCAGGATGGGCCCCAGGAACGCTTCTAGTACGTTGTACCGTGGTAAACCGTGGGCTACCTTATACAAGGGAAATCCTCTGCCTACGTCCGCACAACTGATGGCTCCTCTAGGGAGCAATGCGGTCATGCAGCTGTAAGCAGGTACGGAGAGCCTTGTACGCAGGAGCGGCACTTTGGGCGGGGAAAGGGTATCTATATAGGCTCGTCAGATTTCCTGAGATTCCAAAGAGTGGAGAGGCTTGAGCCAAAAAAAAAGGGGGGGGGGAGAGCTGACAGCGTAGACGCGGGCGGTTAGATGCGAACTGTAGACGCTGGAATCTAGTCTTTGCCAGTTCCGACCATCAGAAGTACAAGAGCGTCACGCACTCGAGAAGTAATCATAACTAAACGGCTGAAGGAAGAGAGCTTCAGGGGTGGTGTCTGCACCAGTGCAGAAAGGGTAGGGCAGACTTGCAGCGCTTGCCAACGAAGCCAACCGCTACTGGAGACTCTGGGCCTCTAAAAGGCTGAGAAAGAGCGCTTTGGGGCGATTTATCAATCAGTTAGAAGTTGGCATGACACGAGCATAGTGACTTACCTCTGTATGGTACCTGAACGGTGGAAAAAGTCTCCGCGGAAGAATATTGCGGGGGGTTCGCTATGGGCCTATGATGGCAAGAATTTGGGACAGGACCAGGTTCGTGTCAGCCAGGTCCGCCATATATGAAGATTTTGGAACTGGCCGTGCAGTGGTTGTCTTTGGGAGAAAATGTAGCACAGATGAGTGCCACTACCACAACACAGCCGGCCGTACCCCCCTCCCCGTCCCTCCAATGCGCGTGCAGAGAGAACGCCGCACATAAGAAGCCATGCGATCACAAGTGATGATCGCTGTTTGGGAGTACGTAGGCGGGCCCCGGCGAGTAGCCTTTTTATTGCACACAACCGTTGGTGTATTGACGGGTTTTCAAAGATGTAACAAGGTCTTGAAAATAGAAAACGGCCACTCTGCAGAATCATCAATCGCGGGTGCGTAGGAACGAGCCTTTTTTTTAATTGATTTTTCGGATCACTGAGCAGTTGGAAAAGACCGTTGGACAATGCGGCTCTTCTTTCTCCCGCCGCCAACTCTAATACTCCGTAGTTGATGGCTGGGCCAATCATTCATTTCTAGGTTGTATGTAGCACACTCACAAGCTTTCCCGATATATGATAGATCCCCGGGTCTTTCCTTCTGCAGTTTCTGTATTTCGACTCTCACAACTTTTCAACTGGTTCAGATACTCTCCAAAGCAGGTACTGCAGGGACCGCTGAGCGGCTTCTATTGAACAGTAAAAGAAAATGATAGTTGATGGGTGAGTTGATGCGCAAAATGCCACATAACTTCAGTGGTAAGAATATCCAAGAAACCCGCAGGTCTATTCTATCTTCCACCCTCCTCCATTGACAGTAAGTTCAATTTCGGAATACCCTTTCATCCATCCATCTATTATTTCTTTCAATCCTGAAAGAGGCCATTCGTATTTGTTGGTCCAATCAAAGCTACTTCAACCAGGGCCTTACGACCGGGAATGTCGTGTGTGAACCCGGCCATAGGCCTTCTATTATGGCGTAGTAATACATGATCTTTCAACCTCCTCACGATATGTTTCCACTGAACCCTTCTTGATGCCAGTCTCTATGCTTTGAGTCCGCTCCGGCCGCATTGACAAGGGGGCCTGCTGCTGCAGCCACGGTAGCCTGTCCGAGATGGCTTGCCTGTTGCTCCACGTCAACAGTTCCCAGCCAGTATAGAGCAAAGAACACTATGACGTGCAACGCTACGCAATATCCTGCAAAAAGATTCCGACTCGTTCTAGTAGCTAAAACCATTCTCGTGATTGAAAAGACCATGCGTTCGGGAAGACTCATGCGTTTGTAAGCTCGGGCTGATTCTCGCCCTCTAAATGCCGCAAAGGGTGAGATGTTAGATTCATATGCCGAACGATATCGATCTAACGCCAGGCCTGACGATGTAGACGAGGACATCTGTACTATGGAAGGGTTAGGATTCGTGGCATAGGAAGAGGACGAGGATGCTGTCGGCCCTGCTCTGTTGTATGTAGAAATATATCTCGTTTTCTCGTACAGACTTAGATTGTCCTTCTGCAACGACGCAATTTCTTGACGCAGTGACGATACGGTACGATGGCTCTCTGAAAGTTCATTTTCAAGCTGCGTATTTCTTTTCTTAAATCGATCACGCTGCGCCGTAATCATTGGCAGAATGCCTGAGCCTCCGCCTACGGGTTCTCCAGAGCGCAGAGCCTCCAGAGAAGTTGTTCCCAAGGACGACGACCTGGGATCGAAACCAGATATGATTGATGAGGTGGGCGATACTCTTCCTTTCCGCCCGGCGTATGAGCTTGAAGCCGGATTTGTTGATGATTGAGGGTAGCGGCTTGTGTATGTACCAGCAACAGAGGCACCTGAAGGATAGGCATTCGCAGCTCCATGCTGCACGTTTGCAAGATCATTCTCCAACGTGGCGTTCAAATGCTGGGTCCTTTCGAGATCCGCATTAGTTTTGGAGAGCTCTTCTTGCATCGACTGAAGTCGGCTTTGTAAATCTTGGTGAGATACTCTTAGGATTGTCAACTCGTCACTTAGCTTCTTATTACGTGCCAAGAGAAGTTGCTCCAGCGTGTCCCCCTTTCCCTTGGTCGATGATCCGTTCTCGGGGGCTCCGTTTGCTGCGTTTGTGGTCGAATCGGCGACGTCTTGCGTGTCTTCATCATCTCCAAGTGAAAATTCGATGCTCTTCAAGACTTCAAGCTCTTGCTTAACATCTTCATAGTCACTCCATTTTTGAACCTTGGATTTCAAAGCATCACGCTCCTCTTTGAGCAGCCCGATCTCTCTTTCGAGTGATCTTAATTTACCATCCAATTCTCGTTTCCTTGCATCCCTTTCAACTCTAGCCGCATCCAACTTTCTTAAGAGGGATGAATTCTCTGACCGCATTCGCATATAGCCAGGATCGTCTTCTAAGGCTAATGCGGGCTGACTGGGTACCTGAGAGGCCGACTGTGCCAATTCGATTCGGAGCTGCTCATTTCGTGCTTCGACTTCTGCCAATCTCACGCTCGTACGCTCGAGATCCGAATTCACCATTTCCAATTCCGCACTGGTGACATGACCACGGCCACTGTCCTCGGAGGTTTCAGACTGCCCTAGTCGTTGGGTCACCTCGTAGCTCGCCTTGATCTCATTCAGTAACCGGTCCTGGTTCTCTACCTTCTCCTCCAGCAATTTCTCTTTGGCTTCCCAGTTGTCCTTTTTCTCTTCTAGCACAGCCGCCCACGAACTCTCAATTTCCTTGACTTTAGTTTCTAAGCCCTCCTCAATTGTCTTCCGTGCTGTCCTCTCCGACTCCAGCCTAGACTCTGTCTCTTCCAATTGTGTCGTGAGCTTACTGACGCTCTTTTGAAGGTGTTCATTTTCTTGAGTAACTTTGGGTAGAGTATCCTCGGACAACAGAAGGGAATCGACGGAAGCCTCCAACAACGGATATGGATCGGGCGCCTCGGATAATGCAGAGTACACTTGTAAAAAGGCCGAGTTTGTAGACTTGGAATGATTCGTAAGAAGATCAATGAAGGTTTGGTATGCTGGAACAGTGTATTAGCTACCTATGTCTCTGGGCGGCGGGATACACGCTTACCTTTCAATAATCCCTTAATCTCCCCTAATTTCGCCGAATCGTCAAGTTTCCTAAAATCCTTCGTTTTCTGCGCCAAATCTTTACGCTGCACAGTAGAGTCCCTTTGATACTGAACGATTTCCGATGCGGTGTTGTCCAGGTTTGGGATCATGGACGTCAGGTCAATGTCTGTATAGGAGGTTAATAGGTGCCCTGGATGAACATAAGAAGCGCCTACTTCGCCAGGCCGATATAGCCTTTTGGAACTTATTGTCCCCATCTTGTCCGAGAGCTCCATGGTGATCAGTGGAAGGGTTCGGGTTTGTCGCAGTCGCCGCTGCTTCTGCGAGGACCGAATCTGCGAAGTCCGCCATCGTGTATCCTGCCGTAGCTCAAAGCGTAATCATCGAATATCAATCAAGGTACCTACGACTGCTAGATACCTAGCCCGCAGATCCGACTGTATGCGATGTCGATTGTATCATAAATAGGTCGGTCGAACGTCACGCAAGTCACTTGGTACGCCGAACGTGTTCCCTCCCAGGTACGTATTTACGCGAAGGCATCCCTGCACGCCTTCTGGCCGTATGGTATTTACCTACTTGTGCCCCTGCACGATTCCTCGTACCAGAATAGCCATCTTTGTTGTATCAAAGCTCTGCTTCTTGTTGTTTTGTTTTCTATGGAATTATCCGTACATCTCTACAGGTATTCGCCTGGAGCAGTTGGAAGTCTCGAAGCTATGACTTGCAGACTGAAATCACTAGTAGTGGTGCTCTTGTTTGTGAGATGTTTGCTAGGTACCTAGTTGCCAGGTGAGCTCCTACTTGAGCATGTATAAACAGTTCTCCCCCTCTGAAGAGTGAGGGGCAGTGGGACACTTTTGCTATTTATATCACCCTATTCTCGTTGTTGAAGCAGCTTGGCACCTGGATAGTTCGTTTGAGGAAGCTTTCTGCCGGTCTACAGGCCCTCCAATGTCTCCATGACCTCATGGTTGGCAGAGCTCAGGCTGCTTTGTCCACACATGCTTGTTCCTTCGAAGCAGAGACATTTCAGTCATGGTTGGATCTTCGGAATACACCTCAACAGTAGTGCCTAGTAACCCCCAGGACTTTCTAACGTCTTTTTTGGGTGCATTCCGCCTTGAGGACTATTCACCTACCACTCCCATGGTATGCAAACAGTTGCTCTCCTGCATATAGCCAAAGGGGCAAATGCTACGAAGTCCATTATTCACCGCGAACTAGATATATTCCTTTTAATGTCCTCCTTTGCCGAGGTCATTGACATGTCACTCGGGCCATCTGTGCCTTTCAGTTCCAGATTTGGCGTTTTTGACCCTCTCTCATCCCAACGTTCGACCTATTTCTGCTACTCATCGGAGCCTTTCCTATTTTATTGCTACTCTCCAATCTCCATATTCTTCATTCTTTTGTTTTGTCAGCCCTCTCAATAGCCTTGACTAGGTAGGAGAGACTGTCGAACTTTTGAAATCACCGACCTGATCAGCGTCAAGCCCACTTTCGAGCTTCAGCCTCGTGAGTCTCTTGTACTTGGCAGTGCCGGTAAAGGCTGCAATATTGTATCGTGTGACTCCAGCTCCTACAGAAAGTCTGCATCCCACGTTAAACAGGGACCAGGGATCAATTCCGGCCGCCACGGGTTTCCTGCCAAGAGGTTCACTCTCGAGGCCTGAGATGATCCTGCTCCCAACCGCTTCCTCTTGTCACAAACAGTGGCTTCTAGAAACTAGTCAGTCTCATGTATTATTGGGCGGGCGATGCTGTTCTTGACGGAGGCATTGTTCTCGTAATTTTGTGTTCGCCCATATTTCCAAGATTAAGTAGATGAATTAGTGAACGATGAGTTCATATGCAGAAGGTCGGGGCGTTGGAACGGCCTGGATTTCTACCACCAAGCTAATATCAGAGATCTATCAAAGTGATGCCTCACAATCAAGCCAGGTCTTATATGTAGACAGGATTTGCCAAGGGAACATAATAAATACAGTATGTGTGATGCGTAAGGCAACAACCATAGGAAGGCTTGGGGGCTGTATACCATACAAAGAATTTAAACTTCAGCGCCAGATTGCTATCCCCACAACTGTCATATTAAAGTCCTGGGTCATGATGCTGGTGCCAAGTACAGTCCTTGGTGAGCCAAAGCTAATGGTGATCGCCATCCCGCCGCCTCCCCATCATGGGATCAGTGTAATCTATCCGAATCCGAGACAAGACGAATAGCGCAGATTCGCAATCCGAGATGATAAGATCCTGGAACCCATTGATTATTGGCATTCAGTGATTCAAGGTCGCTGATAGCCAGCGATCCACGAGTGTCGACACCAAACCAACCCTTATGATTTAGATTATGCATCCAACAACTCCAACTCTGCCACCAACCTCCAAAAGCGGTGCTGGTCCTTCTTTCCATGTACGTGTTCCGGTAGCGGCCCTCCACTATCGATCTTCGCATTCCTTACCAACGTCCTAGCAACATCCCACTCTTCATTTTGCACCAACGAGCTTAATAGCTTCTGGAGCGTTGTCCAACTTATCCTACTACTTCCACTATTAACCTTGCCTAATATCCTCACTGCTGATGTCGTATCGCCAACTCGGGAATATCCCTCTATCACGCGGTCCCAGAATATATTATCAACGCTCGCAGGCTCCATCCGGGAGCGTTCGATCAGGACCCTCACAGCATCGAGATCGGGAGGTTGCCGAGAGAAATAGTATTCCACGAGCATAGTAGAGATGTAAGGGGACGGTTGTAAACCCTGTCGAGCCATTCGTTCCACAACCGCATTCACAGCTGTTAGATCTGTAGGTTCGCGCTCTAACAAATGGTAAATAATTTTACCGTACGTGTGTAGGTTGGCCTTGACGCCCGCACTTTCCATCTCCGAGAAGATAGTGGCGATGATTTCCTTCTGCTCCTCGGGAGTATTTTCATCAAAGTAACGGAAGGTTTCGTCCAGAATCGTGGTAAAAGTTGCGACATCAGCTTCCAGACCATCATCCTGCATTTGCTGAAGGAGTGCCATCGCTTCCTGGGTTTGACCATTGCGGATGACTGATCGCAGAAGCGTGTTATATGTTATGATATCGGGGCGGATGGCGAATTTCCCAGCCCACGCCAAGATTCGATGAGCAGCATCCACTTTATGTTTCTTGAGAAGACCAGAAATCGCTGCGTTTATGGTACTCGTCGTGGGCTTGATGGCTCCTTCAACATCGTCCACGTGCTGCAATTCTTCGACCTTCAAATTGCCATGCTTGCTTCGTGCAGCCGCAAGCCATAACCGACCCATCTCGTCAAGAGCTCGCATTGCCTTGTCGAATTGATTACATTCAATAAGTCCACTGATCCGTGTTGTCCAACAGACGACATCTGGTTGCACCCGCAAGGCCAGTATTTTTGCCCAGACATTTTCCAATGCTTTCGCATCCCTAGACGTTTTACAGCCAGTCATCATAGAATCCCAGGTTGCCAGGTTTGGTACCAAGCCACTCTTGACCATATAATTCCAGACATCGATAGCGCGGCTGGGCTGCCGAAGTGCCATGTAGGTCAAGATGAAATAGTTGCAAATGCCCACAGACAAGAACCCACGCTGTGGGTTTTTCGAGGTCTGGAATTCAGGATCTGTCGTTGATTCTTGTTTGACTGGAAGTTTAAGCATATCACCCCACAACCGATCTACTTCATGGCCATCTCGTCTGACAAATGCGTCCTGGAGTCTTCTATGTATGAAGGTGGATGACATCCGAGTTGACATATGCGAAGGAGTTGAAGAGGGAGTCTTTGTAGCAGGCGGCACGTCCATTCGGGCTGCCAACTCTTTTGTCTCGGACCAAGCTGTCTTGACGAATTCTTCGACAGTCTCTGCGGCTAGTTCACGCGTTTCCGCGGTTGGCCTCGACTCCGTCGAGAGGACACTGATAACCTGACCTAATGAAGATACAAGTGTGGCAGCCTCTTGTACAACCTTTTTCTCGGATATATGTCCTTGTGTGAGGAGAGTGAAGGTTGCGACAGCGATGACGGGAATGTCCTTTATGTGGTGGAAGGAAAAACTAGGAGTGAGCAACGCAAAGCAGCCTTGGATCCCACGCTTTCTGTATGCCTGAATAGCATTTTTAGATGATATCGGTGGTACATGTGACCAATCAAAAGGAGGACCTTCAACGGGATGTTGGTTTTTCCCAAGCTGACGAAATACGACATTCCAGGAACCGACCAGATCTGATATGAGCATATCTTCGAGCTTGTCATCTTTCGATGGAGATTCTCTGTACTTCAATATTCTCTCAATTAAAGAAAACATCATGTCCGCCCAATCCGGACCATGCAATATACCTAATTGGGCGTAAACTGTTGTAACTTCCGTAAAGGCAGGCAATGTTGTCGAGAATGGATCGTCATCCTTTGCACGTATGATTCGCTTCAATAGTGCTCTGCCAGAGTAAGATCCGTCACGTATATATAGATATGATGGCGACGATTTTCGATCGATTGAGCCTTTCCTCCAAGCATCAGGGCCAAAGTGTTCGAGGAAGAACTGCCAGCAGTCAACGGCGTGGCGGCTATCATCCGCGAGCATTTTTTTGAGAGTCTCAGCATTTTGGTAAGGCTTGATGGACGTCGGAGCTTGCGAGGGCGCGCTCGCTGGCACGGTGGACGGCTTGATGCTCTCTGCAAAGAGGGATTCGAGACGATCGCCTGGATCCTTGGCAGTTGTTGGACGAGGCATACGTTTCTTCTTTTCCAAGAAAAGGTCTGGATATCTTGCCTTATTAGCTCCTCCATCGTTTCCCAATTCTAGAAGGCTATCTCTCGGTTTCTGTTCTGCTGTCGCTGTTGTCGCTGTTGTCGCGGTTGTCACTGTTGTCGGCTTTGAGCCTGCGTTCAGGGAAATGAAAGTGGCTTTGGTGCGCCATTGCAGGCTATTGGGCCGTCGAATCTGCCCAAGCCTTCGGCGACATGGTAAGCAGATGAAAGAAGAATTCATTCCCTCCTGTCGCTGATCTGTTTTAAATGATTGAAGTGTTGCATTTCCTAAAGCTATGACTTTTTCGAGGCGGCTTTTGGAGGTTATAACTTATACTCTACCTAGTACGCGAATCGCCAAATTAAGATTTAAGGTATTTATAGGTAATTTGGACAATCCCTGCCAATCCTGGGCAATGACTCGAGCTCTCCCCACGTTGTTACATTTAAAGCTCCCTCTCGCTCCGGGACTTTACTGATGCCAACTATTGACCTTTCATAATCTATTTTGGCTGTATGCCAGTCTGACCCTGTAGCAGAAATGACAACCCTCCAGCCTCGGGGGCCCTACTCCCAGGAGGAGCTTCGAAAGCTCTATCCTGAAGGACTGCAACTACAACTCGTGCAAGTTCTGTTACGGCATGGTGAGCGGAGTCCTGTCTCTGCACGCTTTCGGAACGCTGGCCTACAACCATTTTGGCCATATTGTGCTATTGCCCGGCAGATGGTGAGCGCAGCAATGGATGTTAACGACGCCCAATGGACCCCTTTAAAATGGCGGAGAAGGCTCGAGACATTTGGTGTCGATGACGGACCTGTTGTAGCAACTGGGCCTCGAGGGGAAGTGGATGCTATCTGCAATCTGGGGGAATTGACTGATATAGGAAGGAAAACTACTTGGGAGCTAGGCCGGCGTCTCCGACATCTCTATGTTGATCAACTGCAGTTTATGCCTCCGACGATTCAAGATGCGGATATGATTTACCTGCGGGCAACTCCTATACCTCGAGCCCTGGAGTCGCTCCAGCAAGCATTCTGGGGAATGTATCCCTCTCATACTCGTGCCGCGTCATTTCCTCCTATCACAATTGTGACAAGAGCCCCGGCCGATGAAACCCTCTTTCCGAACGATGGGAATTGCAGACGTTTTGCCCAGCTCTCGCGAGCGTTTGCGCAAAGAACCGCAGATAGGTGGAATAGTACCTCTGAAATGGAGTATCTCAACAAGCTCATTTCTAAATGGATGCCGGAAACTAGCAAAAGGGTAGCCGTGGATTCGCACCCCAGACTCTCGGGAATCATGGATACGATCAATTCAACGCTCGCACACGGCCCAGAAACGAGGTTGCCGAATGAGTTCTATGATGCCAAAGGCCGAGCTATCATTGAAAAAATTGGAGTGGAAGAATGGTTTAGTGGATACCAGGAGTCTCAAGAGTATCGCTCCCTTGGTATCGGTAGTCTCATGGGGGATGTAGTGTCTCGCATGGTAGGCAGTGTAGAGATGAATGGCAATGATGGTTTATCGGAAATTGGGGGTAAAGATGGATCGACGGGAAGTGGAAGAGGTGGCGAGAAGGCTATTAAAATGGCTCTTAGTGGCTGCCATGATACTACACTCGCGGCCGTATTGTCGAGTTTGGGTGCCTTTGAAGGGAAGCCGTGGCCCCCATACACGAGTCACATTGCTCTAGAGCTGTTCAAAAAGTCCGATTTACAGCAAGCTCAAGTGCCAGCAAATCCGAAGGTCGAAACCACGACCGCCGGTGCTGGTGACCACAAGACCCCAAAGAGCTGGTTCGGGTCAATTTTTGGCAGCAGCAAGAAAGAAGAGAACAATCCAGTTGGAATTGCAAGGCGCAAGGTTGAGGAGCTCACGGATACTGACAGGTCGAAGCTGAATGGATATTTCGTCCGAATTCGATACAATGATGAGGTCATGAAGGTGCCGGGTTGTAAAGCTGTTGGCAAACATTTGGATGGTGATGAATCATTCTGCACTTTGGTAAGATTCATGGACAATAATTTTGATGCTTCACAATACTGACATAACCTCAGGAGGCTTTTAAGGCCATCGTAGATAAATACACACCTACTCACTGGAAGAAATCCTGTTTGAGCAACATGGATGAACCGCCGTTTCCAGCAAAACCAGAGCCCGCCGGATATTAGATGAATTAATATAGGCAGATATGCGATATACATATGCATATTTTCAGCATGGAGTATGGCGCCGAATCTTGGGATTTACATGCATGGAATCTAGATAGCTCAGACAATAATAGCTATTGACTCAAGCACTTCCTCTGTTTATTTCATTTCCTCTTGGGGTATCTCCCAAACTCAACAGATAATTTGAATCTATCTCACCTCTCATAATCGTGGTGGGTTGAGTGAGCCATTTGGCCTTTTCTTCCCCTCGATAACAACACCGAGTCCAGAGCCAGCATCTAACTCAGGTGACTTTTCTGGATCAATGCTGAAGGACTCATCCCCTGAGAACCTCCTGCAACTTGTCAGTCCATTCAGTATCGTTAGGCAGTAGACAGTAACTCACCATCCTCTCTCCTCGCCCCCGCTCAAGAAGCTACAATCACCGCTGACCTTCAGCTCCCATCCTCCCCCAACACCATTCCCACCTCTCCATGGAATCGCTGGAATCGGGGTCTCTGGTCCAGCCCACTCTTTCACCACCACCCCAGTATTTTCCCTAGTTCCCTTCCTAACAAACGTACTGACTCCGCATGTGAACGGCCGGAAATCCTCTTCTGCAATGTTCTCCGGCATTCGTCCCGTCAAAGCTCTTCCAATCGCAATCAGTGTCGCAGCATGCGTACAAATGCATATGGCCTTCACGCCCTCATTGTCCGACTGCTCAATGATCCTATGCATCGCATACGCGGCCCTGTCATGCAACTCTTCGATACTTTCACCATGCACGCTTGGTTTGATAACCGGCTGGTACTCCTCATCATACCTCTCAAACAAACTCTTTAAGACTTTTGGTTCCGCCGGGCTTGGGTGCTCGAAGCGTGCCATGCCATACCACTCTCCAATGCCATTTTCGCCCCGGATTTTCTGCGTCTCGGGGTCCGGGGCTGTGGAGGAGAGCGCTTCGACGGCGGGATTGATTGTTTGGAGACAACGGTAGAAAGGGGAGGAATAGAATCTTTGGATCGGTGGGTTGAGCGTCTTCAGATGAGCAGCGAGCTCCCGCGATTGGATTACACCATAACTGGCAAGTGCTGGGTCGCTGGCGATTCCAGTGGGACTTGGTATCGAGGTGCTATACTCTCCGCTTGGCTTGACGACCCAATTTGACCGGAACTGAAAGACTATCAATTTTATGTTACAAAAGGGAGCAAAATATGACAGCTTACACCATGGCGGGTTACATAAATGACTTCCAGAGTCATTGTTGTGTTTGTCGTAGATGTTGCCCAGTGGCGCTTTCCTGAGAGGGGTACAATACGGTATTTTGGTTTTGCCTCGGCTGTCGATAAGATAGGTAGATAGATAGGTACTGTATGTAGCCTTATTAAACTGGAGAAAGGGGTTGGAATCAAGTATGAATATCTAGTTGAATATGAGCGGAGTGATGAATTGTACTATTAACTTCTAGGCTCACTCGCTGGATCTACGGCATGTGCAGGAAAACTAATGATCAAAGAGTAATACATATTCAAATTCATGCCCGGTCCTTTGAGAGCCCTAAGCCCTTGTTTATTAATTTGATCGTGCTTTCAAAGCCAAAAGTTGTGTGGTGATATATGCACTATTGCCAATCACGCATGCCGCATTTTTGCCGGCATCATGATCTTCTATTATACAGTGAAGCAGTATCACTTCCTTTGTGTAAGAGGGCGAACAGCTTGGAAGGGTTAGAGTACTGCGTGCCCCTACACGTGGGGAATTTACTCCGTGTCTTTCATCATAGTCTCGTACCTAACGCAGTTGTCAGCTAAGAAGACCCAGAGGATTCAAAGATAGCCTGAACATACCTTTTGCCTCTAAAGGCCCATACGCCCCAATTCCCACAGCTAATATCTTGAGGGTCCAAATCATTGAGATCCCATCGCAAGCTTCGGAAGCGGTTCTCCCCTGGATGCATCAGCAGATCCATTTCTCCTCCCACTGTCTCCTGAACCCATTTTATATCCCTCTCCATATCATACTGCGTATATCCAGTGACAATGATCGGCACCTTTGTCTCGAGCAATTGCGGAATTGTTTCGGCCCATTCATGGGAGCTGGCAGGATGTCCTAAACCCGGGTGGAAGAGTACGAAACAGTCAAAATATGGATCGTATGGGTAGAAGTGGCCAGCCTTGTGGAGTGTGTGATAATATTCCACAAATGTGCTGATCTTCAAAGAATTCGTCAATCGATCCTCAACGACAGCCCCAAAAGGATTACCAGGTGTTCGCTCAGGAAGGGGAAATTCAGCATCTCTGTTTGTCATGCTTTCAGGCCCAATGAATATCAAGTGGAAAGAGACTCGAGGGAAAAGATGAGCCAACTGAACCCACACCTCTCTTGGAAGCGATGATTCAGCCCGAGCACCGAGAATGAATATCCTCATAGGAGGTGGAGTTGGTCTGAGACCTTTGATATCCGCACCACCTCCTGATCGAGGGGGATGGAGTGAGTAGCGAAGAGCTGGTGCTGTCAGCAATGATCGTTGTCCAGAGATTAAGGCGACATACCACTCAAACTTTTCAGACCTTCTACGGTCAAACGGCCACCCTTCTTTATGTTATACGGGCTCAGCTCATGCAAAACACTCCCAATTGTGACTGGATAGGTTAAGAGCCTCGTCGCCTGCCGTAAACTCCGCTCATCATTGATAGCTCTGAATTCTCTTGAAAACATAAAGGTATCCCAATTGGTCATGTTAATCATGGCCTCCTCCATTTGGTCGCCTGGGTATTCAAATTCCGGGAAGAATCTGCCAGACCGTAAATCATGGTCGTCCTCATTGATCTCTCGAAGCGTATCGCAGATCTCTAAATGAGCTTCATAATCATCGGCCCAGTGCTCCTCCGAACAGGACACAGGTATACCGCAATCCGGACACTCGAAGCTTACATGCTTAGGGGGCATTGATCCTTTGACAGATTTACGGGCTTCGGGGTCATTCGGGCTCGTTGGCAATCGAGTTTGGTGATGATCAGGGTGAGGGCAGTAGGCATTTTGCTTGATGAATGCTGCTCGACGTCTAATCTCAGGCGAGGGAGAGCTCGAGAAAGGATGAAAAAGGTTATTCGGCATCAATAATGGTCTGCCCTCACTCTCGGGAATGGGAGTTGACGCAAGTCCTCCTGGGCTTCGATATTCGGAAGGCTCATCCTTGGCTGTTTGTCTTTGATCGCCCAACGATGCAATAGTCCTTCTGCCCGCTATCTTCTGAGAAGATTGCGTTTTAACCTGCGTAGCAGTAGCAAGTCGGGGCTTTTCGCATGCTCCCGTAAGAGTCCTTCGACCCAGAGCAAGCCGCGTAGACAGGAGGGAATATTGCGTTGTCCGTGGGCCGAATTGCAGCGCATTTAAACACCTCTTGCAGGTGTATGGAGCTGAAGGTCGCATAGTTCTTCCCCTGGATTGTTTTACTCGTCGTTTTGTAGTGACATTCGCTGATCGTTCATGAGAAGGTCGTCTTCGACATTTTTGCTTGGATCCACATTTGGTCTAGCGCGCCAACACTAAATTCCTGAACTTGGCGAAATGCTGCCAAAACTCTGAAGCTCCATTCAACATCACACTCTTGGGATCAGACCAGTACCTATTGAAGCTGCGCAGGCTCTCTGCGTTGCTGCGACATCATGGCGACGACGTCGTCCATGTTCATGTACAGCTTGACGCTTCAGCCGCCTACAGCTGTTACCCAAGCCATCCTTGGTCAATTCGCTGGGACGAAGGAGCAGCAGATTGTGACCGCGGCAGGCTCACGCCTTACCCTCCACAGACCGGATCCATCCCAGGGGAAAATTATTCCCGCTCTTTCGCATGATGTATTTGGAATTATCAGGGCTATAGCGGCTTTCAGACTGGCGGGAAGCAGTAAGGGTAAGTCCTGAAATCTTGCACTTTTGACCTTCACTTAGTGATTTTAAGCATGGATGGCAGCACGCGAGATACCACCATGAATTATCACCGCCAGCGAATCGTATGAATGGTTAGGAAACATTTGCAGAGCTGAGCTGAATATATTCTTCTAGATTATATTATCATCACGTCCGACTCAGGCCGTATCACAATAGTCGAGTATCTTCCCGCACAAAACAAGTTCAACAGGTTACACCTCGAAACCTTTGGGAAATCTGGTGTCCGGCGAGTCATCCCAGGGCAATATTTGGCTGTGGACCCGAAAGGTAGAGCTTGCCTCACGGCCTCCGTGGAGAAAAACAAGCTTGTGTATGTGCTGAACCGCAATTCCCAAGCCGAGCTTACCATTTCATCTCCTCTGGAGGCGCATAAAGCCCAGACATTGGTATTTGCACTTGTGGCCTTGGATGTGGGATATGCAAATCCTGTTTTCGCGGCACTCGAGGTAGACTATGGGGACTCGGACCAAGATCCTACAGGTCAAGCCTACGAAGAAATTGAGAAGACCTTGGTTTATTATGAACTAGATCTTGGATTGAATCATGTTGTCCGGAAATGGTCTGATCCAGTTGATCGGACAGCTACTATACTCTTCCAGGTTCCCGGAGGCACAGACGGACCTAGCGGAGTGTTGGTTTGCGGAGAAGACAACATCACATACCGGCACTCGAATCAAGAGGCTTTCCGTGTCGCGATTCCCAGACGCAAAGGAGCTACAGAAGATCCCCAAAGAAAGCGTACAATTGTGGCCGGTGTGATGCACAAACTTAAGGGAGCCGCTGGAGCCTTCTTCTTTCTCTTGCAAACAGAGGATGGCGATCTCTTTAAAATTACAATTGAGATGGTTGAAGACGATAATGGCCAACCCACGGGAGAAGTCAAACGGCTTAAGATCAAATACTTTGATACTGTGCCCGTCGCATCCAGCCTTTGCATTCTGAAGAGTGGCTTTTTATTTGTTGCCAGCGAATTTGGAAACCATCAATTCTACCAATTTGAGAAGCTCGGAGATGACGATGAAGAGATAGAATTCACCAGCGATAATTTTCCCACGGATCCGACCGAACCTTATACACCCGTCTACTTCCATCCACGGCCTGCGGAAAACCTGAGTTTAGTGGAGAGCATTGATTCCATGAACCCACTGATGGACTGTCAAGTCGCCAACCTCACAGAGGAAGATGCTCCCCAAATTTATTCAATATGTGGCACAGGGGCCCGAAGCACATTCCGAACTCTGAAGCACGGACTAGAAGTCAGCGAAATCGTCGAGTCGGTGTTACCTGGCGTGCCATCTGCTGTCTGGACCACGAAACTGACCCGAAATGATACGTTTGATGCCTACATAATCTTATCCTTCTCGAACGTAACACTTGTGCTCAGCATTGGTGAGACTGTGGAGGAAGTGACAGACACCGGATTTCTATCCACTACACCAACCTTGGCCGTACAGCAACTTGGTGAGGATGGCTTAATTCAGGTCCATCCAAAGGGTATCAGGCATATTCGGGCAGATCGTCGAATAAATGAGTGGGCTGCTCCTCAACATCGTTCCATCGTCGCAGCGACCACGAACGAACGGCAGGTTGCCGTGGCACTGAGCTCTGGCGAAATTGTGTATTTCGAGATGGACTCAGACGGTTCACTTGCCGAATATGATGAAAAGAAGGAGATGAGCGGAACTGTCACATGCCTAAGTCTGGGAGAAGTTCCAGAGGGTCGGGTGCGAAGTCAGTTCTTGGCTGTTGGCTGTGACGATTCCACCGTTCGAATTCTGAGTCTCGATCCCGACTCCACACTCGAGAATAAGTCTGTTCAAGCTTTGACATCAGCGCCATCCGCTTTATCTATCATGGCGATGGCTGATTCATCGTCTGGAGGCTCTACTCTCTATCTTCACATCGGACTTTATTCTGGTGTCTATTTAAGAACCGTTTTGGACGAGGTGACGGGAGAACTCTCTGATACCCGAACCCGGTTCCTTGGTCCGAAGCCCGCAAAGCTTTTCAAAGTCTCTGTTCAAGGACAAACCGCAGTTCTTGCTCTGAGCTCAAGGCCTTGGCTTGGATACTCAGATCCGGTAACGAAAGGCTTTATGCTGACACCTCTAAACTACCCCGGCCTCGAATGGGGTTGGAATTTTAGTAGTGAGCAGTGCACGGAAGGGATGGTCGGTATCCAAGGACAAAATCTAAGGTACGCCAGAAAGCTTTTCCCGTTACGTTTAAATATGCTATGATGATTTTCTTATCGTTAACCTTCTTACGTCGAACTGACTATGGGGATTAATTATTATAAATCCAATTGTTCCTTCTGAGCTATCATTTCCTCCTACTTGATTCAACCTTCGTTGCAGCCAATCAGAAACTGATGCATATAGGATATTTTCAATTGAAAAAATTACCGACAATCTCCTCCAGGAGTCGATACAACTTACTTATACCCCCCGCCGCTTCGTCCGTCACCCAGAACACCCCTACTTCTATACTATTGAATCCGATAATAATATCCTTTCTCCTGCAACTAAAAATAAGCTGCTACAAGACCCGGCAGTTGTTAATGGCGATGCTACTGTTCTTCCGCCTGAAGAATTTGGCTATCCTCGGGGCAGAGGTCACTGGGCCTCTTGCATATCCGTCGTAGATCCCGTCACCGAAAAGAAGGTACTCCAAAAGATTGACCTCGAAGATAATGAAGCTGCGGTCAGCGTGGCAACTGTTTCATTTGCGAGTCAAGAAGATGAAGTGTTTCTGATTGTTGGCACTGGAAAAGACATGGTGGTAAGCCCGAGGTCGTCAACAGCTGGATTCATCCATGTGTACCGGTTCCACGAGGACGGAAAGGAAATTGAATTTATCCATAAAACCAAGGTTGAAGAGCCGCCGATGGCACTACTTGGATTCCAAGGCAGGCTGCTCGCTGGAATCGGAAAAGACTTGCGGATTTACGACCTCGGTATGCGTCAGCTTCTCCGGAAAGCTCAAGCTGAAGTTGTGCCGAATCTGATTGTCGGGCTACAAACTCAAGGAAGCCGTATCGTCGTGAGCGATGTTCAAGAAAGTATCTTCATGGTCGTATACAAGTTCCAGGAGAATAGGCTTATTCCTTTTGTGGACGATACAGTACCCCGCTGGACAACATGCACAACTATGGTGGACTATGAAACCGTTGCGGGAGGTGACAAGTTTGGAAACCTTTGGCTTTTACGATGTCCTGCTAAAGCTAGTGAGGAGGCTGATGAGGAAGGATCTGGGGCGCATCTTCTCCACGAACGACAATATCTACAAGGAGCTCCGCATCGTCTTACATTGATGGCTCATTTCTTCCCTCAAGACATCCCAATGAGTATACACAAGACAAATCTCGTTGCAGGTGGCAGGGACTGTCTGTTGTGGAGTGGATTGCAGGGCACCCTCGGTATTCTCATCCCGTTCGTCAGCCGTGAGGATGTGGATTTCTTTCAGACCTTAGAGCAACACCTGAGATCGGAAGATGCGCCACTTGCTGGAAGGGATCATCTCATTTACCGAAGCTATTATGTACCGGTGAAGGGGGTTATTGATGGAGATTTGTGTGAAAGATACACTCTCTTGCCTACGGACAAGAAACAAATGATCGCAGGGGAACTGGATCGCTCGGTGCGGGAGATCGAGCGAAAAATTTCTGCAAGTCCGCCCATATACTTTGACAATACCATTCTTTGCTAATTATTTAATAGGATATTCGGACACGTTCGGCGTATTAATTGGTGTATGGGAGGCTTGGGTATATGTGTATTATACAGTGCTCACTTGCACTTATCATGATGAACAATGACTATGGTACAGAATAAGAGATCTATGAACTAACCTAGCCGTCTTCAATTGTCATGGTCTTTGGCCTGTGAATCTTCGTTTCCCCACATCATGTCGTGTCTTTCCCTTTCCCTTCACATTTGCTTGTCTTGGATGTTCCTTCTCCCATCTCTCATCATCTTTATAACATTCTATTGCTGCCTCTAGATCGTAGTTGGCCTGTTCAAGATACAGCAAAGCAATGTCGTATCTGTTTCTCAATGCGAAGCTATGTCGTTAGCCTCCTCCATATCATTCCACTTTGCAACCACCACTTTATGTAGTCTGTATGGGACCACTTACTCGGAGACCTTACATGCCACCATCCACCTCCTCACAATGGCTTTCCTCCTCTCCTCATCCTCCCCCTCAATAGGCCGGGGGCTCAGACTCACACCGCCCTTATAAAACTCCCCAGGTATCACAACGGTCCTTCTCGCAAGTAATAAATGGTCGGACGTGAGGTTGTTGGCACGTCTGAGCGCTGTGATAGGCACCCCGTAGCGGAGAGATAAGGAAGCCAGGGTATCGTGCTCATGGTCTAGGAAATGCAGGACATCTTCTACGGGCTGAGGGTTTGATTTTTCCGGAAGCGGGGTTTGTGGAGCTGTAAGTGAAGAATAGCTGGGGAGGTCGTCTGAGGAAGAAGGTTGATGTTCGTTGTAGAGAAGAGAGGAATTCAAGGACGGAGGAGTGTACGCAGGCGGATCTCGGAGGCCTTGTGGTAATGGAGAAGGGATGTTGGTGACCTGGCAGAAGGGACAGTATGTAGCAAATCGCGAATTTTTCTGAAGCATCCGTCAATATATATATCTATAGTGGCTAAAGGCGTGCTGGCATACACCTATACAATTTCCACAAATCACTCTCCCACAACATTCTAATCGTCGATCGAGAGCTTTGGGCTTTTCTGTCTTCTCGTCATACTGGGGCAGTATTGTACTTAAAAGTGCTGCGCAAGCGCAACAGGCCTCTTCCATCATCGTGTATATCCTATGCAGCGGGATTGAGCAAGATGCTAAGAAAGGATAAGAGGGGGTTGATCGCGTTTACGCCTCACCACCTTACCTATCGGTGGCGATAGCGTCACGTGATATGTTTCGAGGTACCTTAAGCTAGGTACCTAAGCGCCCGCCTTGCCCCTGAATTGAGCCCTCTGAACGTTTCGTATCCCTCTGTGTACAAGACTACCTACCTCGGACTCAATAAGGCTAGTTAAGGGGATATTGATTGCCGCCTGCAAAGCCCAATATCGATCTGCTTCAAATAAGCTTTCTACAATTGCTATTACCTTCCAGGAGGATAATTTGGGTGCCTACTAGGAAGGATAAGCAAGGGTGCTTTGATTGTCGTCAAGATACAAAGTGAAGGATAGGTGCATAGGAGTAGGTATGAGAGCTAGCAATGTCACATGTAGCACCGTGGATTGTTTCAGAAAGCTCATATTGCTGACTTCTATTGCCATGTGCTTGAGACCTAGAGACCTCGGGAGCAGTTACATCGGTATTTCAAAACAGAGATAGAAGCCATGCCCATCTTGTACAACAATAGGCTTTAACACCGGTCCTACAGCTACGCTGACATTTGTGGGTATTTGTATGTATCTGTACACCAAACGATCGCTTCCCTCTTGACACGATCGCAAAACATTAACTTAACAACGCAGTTTGAAGCTCTACCACACGTGTCGCTCGTCTAGTCCCTAATAGGAACGTCATTAGAAGGTTCAACAGGTTCCGACAGTGAGCCTCGATGAGAACTTCCGCCGTTGACTGATTTTGATTTGTCAGAACTTGGCGGTGTAATGCCGTTCACTTGTCCGTGGCATCCATTGTGCTTGGACATAGTCTGATATTCTGGTGGCAATAGATGGTGAAGACCTTGCTCCTTGGCGAGGGTGTAATAATCGGGTTCGCCCGGAAAGACCTGTATCAAACCTCGGCGGGGTACTCGCCTTTCTCCAAAGGAAGTACTGCTCGTCTTCGTACAAGGAGCCTCACGCTGCTTAATAAAATCACCGTTTATGAAGTGTTTCGGCTGTGGGGCGAATGGTTGATTTGGATCAGTATCGTGGTCCTGTCTCCATTTTCCTCCGGTGGCTCGATTAGGGTCTTCCAGAAGCTCCCGATATTTGACAATCATCTCGAGATTACGTAGATGGGGAAAGTTAGGTACGACGAACATGAACTCAGAAACCTGGCGTCGATTAGATCACGAAATGGCCTCCAAGGAGCAGTACATACCTTGACGAAGAACAAGTCAAGATCAAGGAAGAGTGTCTTGCATGCTTCGATCACCTTCCAAGCCGGCCGTCCGTGTTCTGGGAGTTGCTCTGGAAGCCTTTTCCGCAAGCATGTTAGATTCGGATCATAGAGCGAGTACATTCCGTTTTCAATTCTCCAGACCGCTTGCTTTGTAGCGAGAGATAAAGGAATGCGTTCCCAAGCAGTGTCTAAGAACGTTAGCATAAAATTCCAAAACGTTGTTTTATTGACTTACATCTCGAGAGTTGGAGATCTTTTTCCCCAAGTAGAACAGCTACATGAGTGTTGAGCATCCATTGTTCTCGACCATTTGGTTGACCTGTAGCTTCCGGTTTGATAGTATCATACCGGAACCCCTCTATAATTCTGAATAGCGCAGCAATATCTGGCGTTTTAGGGTCTTTCTCCCCATCAAGCCACCGAAGCAGGAGAGGTAACTTTGAGAGCCGTTCCTTATTTTTCTGTTCCTCGATTCTTGCTCTCTCAGCTCGTTGTTGTTCCTGAATCTGTGCACGTCGACGTTCCAGATCTTTCTGCCTTTGCTTTTCCTGCTCAAGGTACAGGGCTCTTTGCCTCTCTTGTTCTCGAGCATGTGCATCAGCATCCTCCTTCCGCTGACGTTCTTTCCGTTCGTTCTCTTCTTGCTGCCGTTTCAGTTCCTCATCGCGTATCGCCTGTTCCCGGGCTAGTCGCGCTTGTCTGGCCTGCTCAATACGCTCAAGCTCCAGCTTCTTCTCCAACTCCGCCTTCTGCTTGATTTCAAGCTGTTCCTTTTCGCGGTGAGCTTGTGCCTCCCGTGCCTCATCCGCTTTCGATGCAACTGATGCAGCATTTTCAGCAGCAGCGTCCTTGGTAGCCTCGTCGATAATAGACTTAGAGACTTTTAGCGCTGAATCAGAAGTGGCAGTTGCTTGTCTCTTCGGGGCTTGGTCATCGGATTGAGTGTGCTTGGACCTTTCTGGAGATTCGACCCGTTTTTGAGATGAGCGAATAGCTTTGTCCTTCTCTTTTGCATCCGAACTCGGTCTTACTGTAGCTTTCTCGCGTGAGGAATCAGATTTAGCGTTACTCACGCGATCATCTGGGGATGTGCTTGACACGCCATCTGGTTTATATCCCGGCTTGGTGTTTGCGTCTCCTTCCAATCTCCTTCGCTTCTGTGGGCCCCCATTCGCATCGTAACCAGTCATGACTTCTTGCATCCCTGAACGAGGTGGGGTTTCGCTTTTCCTGGGTCTTTTTACGGGGCTCTCGCCACGTATTGCAGTGAGCCTATCTTTTGAATCATCTCTTTTAAGAGATCGTGGCCTCTCCTTGTCGGAATGTTTTTCTGACGTCAAGTTTTGTTCACTATGGTTTGAACCGTTGGAAATCCGGGAAACGCTAGGGCTAGACTTCCTAGCTAGTTTATCCGCATTACCTTCACCTTCACGCCTTTCTTTGATAGAAGACCCAGACGCGTTAGAAGCAATGCTGGCACGCCGTTGCTTCTCCAATTCTCTTTCCCCTCTAAACTCCTTCCCAGACACGAGTTTACGTCGCGGCTTGACTGCGGTTTCATTCTCTGATGCAACAGCAACATCAGACTCAGATTGTCTAGCTCGGTTCTTTTGCTTGGGGGGGCCAAGAGGGGCGGTCTCATCATCGGACAGAGTTGCAGACGGAGCGCTTTCCTCTTTTTTTGGACGTCCTGGGCCCCGTTTTGCAGAGCCCATTCCGTCTTTTGATTGACTCGTAGAAGAGCTGCTCCTATGCTGACCTTTGATTGACTCCGAATCCCTGTTTTTGGGGCTTTTCACGTCCCTTTTATGTAACCGAGATGTCTGTTGCTCATCTCTTCGTGGAGGTCGTTCGCCCTCATGATCTGTCTCCCGTCCATCCCGTCGGAGTCCTGGAGATCGCGGCTTACTTGGAGGCGACTTGTTGGGTTTCTTGTATTTGTAGAATGCTTCTTTCAGCAGCGCTTCTTCTTCCTTCCACAGAGTTCCTCCTCGTCTCCTTGCGATCTCGTAGTACGTCTCTCCGTTGACGAGACGAGTAGGATCGAAGGCAGGCTGGTTGAGAAACAGCTCAATAACTTTAAGGCTTTCTCTGCCAATTGCAGCCAGTATTGGAGTTGCACTCTCTGGTGGCATGTCCTCAAGAGGCTCGGGATCGGGATTGGTAACACTGAATCCAAATAACATATTTATAACCTCGTCGTAACCAGCTTTAGCAGCAATTATGAGAGATTTCGGGTCGTCCAATTCGTTGTTGAAAACATCCAATATCCTGACAACAGTCCTGATATCGTTTGACCCAGCTGCTCTCCGTAGCTCACTCAAGTTGAGCGGTTGATATAGTTCGCGATCACTTGTCTTGATCGAACGCGTTGTAGCATTCCTTCGGCTCGTATGACCGATTGATAACGAATCATGGGAGTGAACAGGAGGAGTATGACGAGGGCTCTCCTTGGGGTAGGATAGACGGCTATCAGTGTTATCAGGCATCTGATCATCTTCTGAAGAGCGTCGGATATCACTGGTCCTCTGCTTTGCTGCATTGATCGCTGCTTTCATCTCCGCTGCAGCTTCATCCTCGTCATCTACGAGATCATACGGGTCTTCACCTTTGCCATTTGCTTTCCGTGGATTGGCACCGGCGTCGAGCAGAAGTTTGACACACTCGAGATGGCCATTATCAATCGCATCGTGTAGGGGCGTATCTCGGGCGACGTTGACTGGATCAACAATACAACCTGCATCCAACAGAAGTTTGACAATATCTGCATGGCCAGCAATGCTGGCAGCATGGAGGGGAGTGTTCTTGGCATGGTCTGCCTCATCGAGGTCTTCCGGCCTTTCTTCTAGCCTTTGTTTAACGACGTCCAGCTTACCGGACGCGCATGCCCTTACAACCAGAGTCTGCCCAGAAGAATTGACATGCTTCTTGTGGGGTGCCATTCTGGCTGGCGAGATCGTCGAGTCACCCGTCGTTGGACCAGCAAGATGCCGAAATCGTGAACTTCGAGGATGCGAACTTGCACTGGCTGAAGACTCGTCGGATTGGTACTCTGTTGACTGGAGCGGCGCTGGAACGCGTTTCTTCTTGTGGCTTAACCCATGCGTGGATTTTGAGGGAAGCTGTGTCGAAACGCTTCGTTTATGGCCCCTTGGGTGTGGTGAGATTGATCTGGTGCGCTTCTGTGAACTATTCTCGGTACTTGGCTTCAGTGAGGTGCGACGGCCTTTGCCTTGTCTTTGATCGGCACCAGAACTTCGCTGTCTGTTAAATCTCTGTATATCCCCCTCACCCTCACCCTCACCCTCGCCTTCATCCCCGGACCCCGAAGCGTACTGTTTTCGTCGTGGAAGAACCCGATCGACAGATTTGGCCTTGTCTCGAACAGGAGGACGTGGTGATGGTGACCTAGAAACATCGGAATCGGACGCTGCTGGTTTCGATCTGGTGGTAGCGGCGGGTGATGTGGGCACAGAGCTGAGGCCGCTCGAATGCCCAAGGTGCGCAGGGCCATCTTTGTTTCCATTACCATGGCCATTACCATGGCCATTGCCGTTGCGATCTCCATCTCCATCCCCATCTCCGTGTTTGGGTCGTTTTCTTTTTCCGAGCGTCGAAGTCGCGATGCTGGGTTCGCTTGGCTTGGGCCCTCCCTCTTCTCGGGATTCAATAACTGCCTTCTCCTTCACATCAATATCCATATCACCGTCTCTGCCATTCCCACTCCCACTTGCAACATCTGGAGCGTCGCGCATCTCCTCGTCGTCGCTTTTGTCTTCATGTTTGATCGATTTCCGCGTTTTCGAGGGGGAGTGGCCGTCCTTGCCCGGTAGAACAATTGTTTCTGCTTCAGAGTCACTCTTTACCCCAGCATCTTCAGGAGTCCCATTTGGCGGATCCAAATCCATCGAAGCATCGTGTTTCAGCACCGGCGGAGACGATCTGATGTGATTCGGAGTGATGTCTGCTGCACCTTTGACACCTTCATGGACAGACCCAGGCGGCGAGGCGGGCGGTTTCGCGGCGGGAGCATCCACGGCATCTGGCGCGTCCATAGCATCTAGCCTGGGTGTCGCCGACACCTGCACACCATCCTGTTCCGATTTACTGAGAGACACCTTGACAGTGTCTGGTGAGAAGGACAAGGAGGAGCATCCGAGTCCTTGGGCCGTGAGGTCTACAAAACTCGATGTCGGGTCGTCGCGGGGATGTGAGGCTCGATTGTCAATAGTACATGAGTAAGTGGGGTATTGCGAGACGCTCTATTCTATAATGATGGGTGGGTTTGGGCGTTGGTGTTCAGAAGAAAGAACCTCAATCTGGAGATGTTGAAGGTCGGGGGCTGCTCGCCTTCATTGGACTCGCTACCAATACGGTGGCCCGTTTCAGGCTATCTTTCGCAGTTCCTTTACGAGGAAGAGATCATCTTCGCCCCCAAATGAAAAGAAAGGGGTATATGCGACAAGACGAGCAAGTGGGAGGGCCGGCATCGACCATTCACACAAGTTAGGATTCTTTCACTCTCTTGTCGATCCAGGAAATGCTCGATGTACCGACGTGTCTGAACGTGAGATTCTGGTTCGTGGCGAATCGGTGGGCCATTGCATTGAATCAATAACACGGTACGAATATATCGGAGTGTGAGGATAACTCAATCAACGTTGATATCGTGCGCATACATTGCAGGGAGACCGCTGTTTCCTGGTACTCTGCAGAACTGATCACTTGCTATGGAAGGCGAAGCCCGTCAACTAATAGTCATGCCAGCATCTCTCGAAGATGTCAGAATCAAACGACTCCCGTCACGCGCTTACTACATCGCAGACTTCATCAGCGAAGAAGAAGAGCAAGTTCTCTTGAAGAAGGTTGGTTCCGTGAAAGTTCGTCTTATCGTGTACTGACCAGTACAGATCGAAACAGCTCCGAAGCCTCGATGGAAGCAACTTTCACGTCGGAGACTCCAGACTTGGCCATCTGATTTGAATAAGGACACTCTCTTGGACTCTCCTCTACCGACATGGTTGACGGAACCTGTAATCTCTCGGTTGCTTTCTTACCAGATGTCTGTCGAAGATGGCGAGAAGTCAAAAAAGCTGGTCCCGAACCATGTCCTAATCAACGAATATTTGCCAGGGCAGGGAATAATGCCTCACAAAGATGGCGCTGCATATTATCCCGTGGTATGCACAGTTAGCCTGGGAGCCAGTATTTGTTTGGATATTTATGGCAGCAAAGAGGATGGAGCTGTGGAAGATCAGCCACGATGGCGGATTCTTCAGGAGCCACGATCCTTACTCATTACCGCAGGGGAGCTTTACACGGACTATCTGCATGGCATAGCAGAAGTCAATGAATATGTTGACCTTAATCCAACAACTGTCTCTAATTGGGAGCTCCTTCGATCTCCCGATGAAATCGTAAATGGAAAACTCGAGCGCCGAACACGAACAAGCCTCACGTATCGCCATGTAATCAAGGTATCGAAGCTGGGCGCGAAACTGGGAATTTTTGGCAAGCGTTGAATAAGAACAATGTGATCAATAAATGTACGGCACCATCCTCCATCGACCTTTCAACTTTTCTGCCCCAAACTTCTCTACGTACCATTTCCTGGTAGAGTCGGCCGTTACAGCGAGATTTGAAACCACAAATCCCATACCACTCAGGACTGTCCCGTTCAGCATTTGTCCTTTGGGCGCCGCTAGAATAGCTATCGCGAGATAAATGAAGCACTCGCTGGTATAATGCGGGCATACTACCGACCGGAACAGATGGTGCTCCGGAAGGGTATACTTCTTCAGGCTGGCAAGGTATTCATGGCAATCGTGCTGGATACCGGATGCGAGAATGAAGATGGGAACTGCAACGAAGGTCTTCATGGATGGTTTTGAAAAGACTAGGAGATTTGCCGGTGATTCAGCCTTGCTCAGTGTAGCTGAAAGTGTCAGTTCATAGCAGTAATTCTTACAAAAATTACTCACAGATCCCCTCAATCCAAATCGAGATACCCATAAAAATATAAAACGCAATTCCCAGTAACCAAATACCAACCCACATCTTCGATTGAGAAGGCTTCGTGAGCGTGATGGATTCGTAGAGTCTCCTTGTTCCTTGTATCGTCATGAAGCACCAAGCCAATAGGACTTGGTTCACTGTCATCCCTCCAGCGTTTGCTTGCTGGGAAAGAGAAGCAAGAAAGTTGAAGGCTCTTCCATGCGTGAGGATTTGAACAGCCCAGAATATCGACGACAATACAGACGCAATGTAGTAATGAGTGAACCACGTATGAGGGACTTGGAAAGAAGCTATGTAATAAAGTATATTGGCGAATTTCGATTTGGGTTGTTTGGCCTCTTCTTCCGTTTTTGGGATCTTTTCTGTACCTCTGGACCCGTAATTCATAATATGTTGCCGGAATGAAGGCACCAGAGTACCTCCGACGTCAACCGCCGTCCCAATGGTAAAGAAGATCTTACACAGCAGTCCAGGATCCATGGTAGATGTACAGAGATCTCTGTATGTTGAAGGGAATGTCACTGGGCGCCATTTCCCATAATTTATTCCGGTCGGTTTTTTCCGTTCCGGGCGGGTCGGTGCCTCAGGAGCGAACAATATTTTGAAGATATGACTTCCCCCACATTTTCTACTCTTTCCATACTCTGTAGATCTTCTGCGCACTCTTTCATTCAACTATCTTCCTATACAGAGACCGCATAGAACAATACACCTAGAGATCTTACTCCGAAACCGCAATAATGTCGACCACAGTAGATAAGGTAGGTGGTTTATCCAGCCCATATTCGAAGTCGCAGCTAACAACCCCGCCACAGATAAAAGAGATCGAGGCCGAAGTAAGAAGCCCATACCGGCGGCACTCCCGCCGCCATCAAGATAGATACTGCTGTCTTCAAGCAGTTGAATTATTCACTTCAATTTTACCTGCTAACTATCTTGCAGATGGCCAAAACCCAGAAAAACAAAGCCACGTCCTATCATCTGGGACAACTCAAAGCTAAACTTGCCAAGTTAAAACGAGAGTTGTTAACCCCACATTCCAGTGGCGGTGGCGGTGGAGCGGGATTTGATGTTGCAAGAACGGGTGTTGCCAGTGTCGGTTTCATAGGGTTTCCCTCCGTGGGGAAGAGTACTCTTATGAGCCGGCTTACTGGACAGCACTCAGAAGCCGCCGCGTACGAATTCACAACGTTGACAACGGTCCCGGGCCAAGTCATATATAATGGAGCTAAGATACAAATGCTGGATTTGCCAGGTATCATTCAAGGAGCAAAGGACGGAAAAGGAAGAGGTCGACAAGTCATTGCGGTGGCAAAGACATGTCATTTGATCTTCATCGTCCTGGACGTCAACAAGCCTCTCACTGACAAGAAAATTATTGAAGCTGAGTTGGAGGGCTTTGGTATCCGGGTCAACAAACAGCCACCGAACATTGTTTTCAAAAAGAAAGACAAGGGAGGGATCAGCATCACGAATACCGTGCCTCTGACGCACATCGACCACGACGAGATCAAGGCTGTCATGGCAGAATATAAAATATCGTCTGCGGACATCGCGATTCGGTGCGACGCCACGATTGACGACCTCATTGATGTCTTGGAGGCCAAGAGCAGAAGTTATATTCCAGTCATTTACGCATTAAACAAAATCGACGCAATCTCGATAGAGGAGTTGGATCTACTCTACAGGATTCCAAATGCATGCCCAATTTCTTCGGAGCATGGCTGGAATATCGATGAATTGTTGGAACAAATGTGAGTACCGAACCCAACATTTCCTATTCGAGTCTATGTATTCTTGAGCATCTGGGTCACTGGGCCTATTGCATACCTCATACGAGGTGGTTTTCCTCATTTATGTACAAGTTGAACCATTTCCGTGAACGTTTGGGGCGCGATACATGGAAGAGAAAATAAGGGAATGGGCTAGCCTACTTCTACCAGTCTATCAACTGGCTGTATTCAAGAAGTCTTGAACAGACGAGCGGTTTTCCGGCAAATAACATCCTCCTGAGTGTCACTGTACTTTATGCTAACTTCAATTTAGGTGGGAAAAGCTTAATCTCGTGAGGGTATGTTGGCCCATCGTGATGAAGCGGGTCATTGCTAACTATAGGTCTGATGAAGGTATACACTAAGCCAAAGGGGAAACTACCTGACTACACTGCACCAGTCGTGCTACGTTCCAACAAGTGCACAGTTGAAGATTTCGTAAGTAGCTCCTCGTTATATGAATAGAGTGTCGCCTTTTACTCCATACTGACCGTCCAAGTGCAATGCCATTCATAAGACCATTGTGGAACAGTTCAAGGTAGCTATTGTGTACGGAAAATCTGTCAAGCACCAGCCGCAAAGAGTAGGCTTGAGTCATGAACTGGCCGATGAAGACATTAGTGAGTATCCAAGCGACCTCTTTTCACGACTTTGGCTAACCCGTACAGTTACCATCATCAAGCGGTAAACGGCATTCCCTCGCACAAATTCATGGTCTTCCAAGGAAACTCCAAGTAAGATGAACGTCCAAAAGAGGTGGTATATGGGAACGTTGTTTTTGTAGATAATATGATCTTTGCCAGAAGTCGACGGCGTCACTCTGGGCGAGGTGCTATATCATCCGGGCGACCATTGCCAAGCTCAACCGACTCCGCAGCAACCGCAAGTCCATGTCGATTTGAGAGCTGAGGATCTGGCAATCCCCCGGAATGTCCTCGAGAGGGAAAAGGGTGGTACATACGACTTTGAGACAAGAATGATATCCCAGTTATTCTCCAGGAGAAGGTCACTCGCTACTACCGTCACGTTCGATAAGGCGATTCCAACTAGAGAGAGCAAGTCCAAAGAAGATGAATACAAAACAGATTAAAAAGAAGATATGAATAGTTTTCAGATTCCGTTGCTGTTGTTCAGTCGTTGGGGTCTTGAGGTTACCCCAGATAAGCACATTTTGATGCATCAGTGATAGACTGGGGATGCCTGAGAGCACGCTCCAAAAGGCACCCACTTGCATAACCGAAAACCCCCTCCCTCGAATATTGCAATCCACAAGCATCAGAGCGCATCATCATGGACCATGGCACATCCGTCATGGAAGCACGGACAACGGGTCGTCGCGCGCTCGGCGCTTACTGCAGCACGATGGCAGAGCAGCGACCTCTGTGCTTCAGCCTCCAGGGCCTCCTGCCGGGTCGCGGCCGCGGTCAGCACGCTGCGGGCGAGGGTTGGGGGATATGGGAACATGCGAAAATCCTCAGCCAATCGTTTGGCAAAATAGGATTGCGGGGCGCTCATTGGGCCGGAGATGGTCGAGTGGAAATCGATCTCGTACCGCCGAAGCAAAACACTCGACACGGGATCTGTTCGATTCGCTCCCTGATCGTCGTGGGCGCACACCGGAGGACTGTGTGTACATGGCGCGAAAGCCTAGAACCTGGAGACAGTATCGTCCATCCAGCCTGCTCGCGGTCGGTACTCGATAAGACGTCCCTTGCGCGGCGGCGACCTTCTTGATGCAGAACAGCGTGGGTGATATCATGACATGACTATTAGTTCAGTGAGCCTCAGTCAGTCATCGGCCATTGCTGAGCAAGCAGGACTGTGCTCCTCCGTAACTGTACCGGGGATACTCGCAACGATACGGAGGTTTGTTTGACTGTTTCGCACGTGACGGCTCTTGACCGTTGGCGTGACTTACGGAGTACGTTTTTCGCTCTTCTGCCCCAGTGCCCCAATCACAAAGAGGAACGGTGCGTATTAATATTATGAATACTTCCCTCCCCCGCTGGCACGACCCGTCTCCTCGCGTTTTATGCAGAGTTGGCTAAACTGCCTGACGGCTGAAGAGAGCGGGCCAGGGAGAGCCTGAGAACTTAGAAGCGGGCTAGGATTAGAATTCCGAATATGGTCGAGGAGCTACGTGAGCTTGTCCGCTTTGGCGTGTTCGATTTGTCCGGACTGCTCCGCTAGGAGCATTTCAGAAACTGTTTCCCTAGGGCCCTGCAGATCCCCTCGGAGCTTCGACTGTGGATGTGTAAACGGCTCTGGCATCTGGTCAGACTGGTCTGTCGAGATTTCGATCTCCGGTGGCTCGTGTTCGCGGCCGAGGGGAGAAAAGAGGGCGATCAGAGGATCAGGACTCAGGAGTTAGGACGGAGGGAAGAATAATGGGTACATACTACTATTATTATTACAGCGGAGGTAATAATAAGGTAATAATATGAGGGCATTGTACAGTACCTCGAGCCGGTTGGAGCGGACCAGTGGCTGGGACTACTACTAGACTGGACGTCTTTGACATCTGAACGTCTGGCACGAGGGGATTATTTCTTGGCTTGGACCCTGCGGAGCATCTACTACTCGGTAGGTAAGGTACTACGTATGGTACGTTTGACCCTCTATCCAATTGCCCTGCCCTGCTCTGCCTTGCCTTGACTTCCTGGACGAAAATGCTACCCAACCTCGCCGAGTATCTGTGCATGTGCCTGGGCAATGAGCACAGATCGCATCGCATCTTGGGGTTATAGTTCTACATACTTATATATGACATGATATGATTCCTGATCATCATGATTACTATGTACAGTACCCCGACCTCTTTGACATGACATGACTTACTGCTTTGGGCCAGAGGAACGGTATCGGCCGCCTCGGAGCGTTGACATCTTGCTCGCGGTTATTATTGCCAGGAATTCAGTTGCTGTTAGACCAGTTGCAGGCTGCGAATGCAATTTAGCCTCGCTGCGCCCTTCAGCGATCAGGGTCCGGTATCCCTCCCATTATCCTATGGAGTATGGACCATAACTCCAGTAGTCTCCATGAGACTCGGCGTAAAGCCTTGCCTTGGCTCGCCGTGGCTCGGGAGGTGAAGGAACGGGCCATGGTAGACTGACTACTACCACGGCATTACTCAGAAAGTGGTCACTGGTCGTCGAGTTCTACGGAGGACGGGTATCTGGCACTGGCCGTACGATACGAAGCACAGTACCCAGTCATATCGTCGTAGCGTGGCCTGCCAGTGCCTAGGTAGTAAGTAGTGGGATACCCTTACTCCGTAGACTCCTTCTGGTATCCACGGTACACCAAGCCTCACGCCTATGCCGCGCCCCAGGTGGCTTGCTTCCTCGGCCTCCAATCTGCCGCGTCGATAGGTCGAGAGCGGCGAGAGAGAGGGTCTACCCTCGAGAGGGTCGAGAGGGTGAAGGGGTTCTGCGATCGAAAGGCCCATAGGGAAGGGATTCGCACTTTGCAGGCTCGCCGGACGTCGAAAGATGGAGCATTGCGTTATTACGCCGTATAACGGTATAACAACAGAATTACGACGTATTACGACGACGACGGCTCTTACTACGTACAAAGCTACTGCTACTCCTGTGCTGTGAACGACGGTGGGAAGAGGATCAACAGAATCAGAGGAGAGGCAGAAAGTCCTGGCCTCCCTCTCACAATCCACGTCCATCCGCCGCCAATCCTCCATCCATGAACATTATTACTGGCGGTAATAATAATCCATGAAATTCATCAAGGCATATCGAGCAATCCTGCCCACCTCCCCCACCCCCCTTGCAACGCAAACCGGCCATGCTCGCCCTAGGCACAGTGCACACAGGCTACCCTCGTACCCGCGCTCAAAGAACCTTGACTGTTTGGCTAGGTCTGCTTGAGGGACCTGGCTCGGCATCCACTCGCCCAAAGCCACAGCTTCTCCGCACATGGACGGAGGCAGAGGACGGACCGCGCAGCAAGTCCTGTAGCTTTCTAGTATCTGCCTTCTTCCTGGTCCGCTTGCCTGCCGTCTGCCTCCCCGTACATACCTAACCTACACCTACATACATCTCTTACCCTCTTCCGGCATTATTCGGTTTGCCCTCCTCCACCTGTCTCGAGCCTCTCGAGCTGCATGCTTCACATACTGTCTTTGCTCGATTTTGTACTTCCCGCGCGTTGAAGCAGCTGTTCGCCTTCGACTCGACCTCTGTCCCTCTTGCAAATTCAAGGACGCTGCTGCTGTTGCCGTCGGCGAGGCAGGGTTCATATCAGCGCCGCCCCAGGAACCATTGCTTATCATGCATGCAGTCTGCCGTTCTTGAGGACTGCCTTTGCCAGGAACATCTTCGACGTCGACGTCGGCGCCCTCGCCTTTTGTGTGCTCGCAGTATCGGCGTGCAATTGCTGGTTGCTATCGCATCGCAACTTGCGCGAAGCAGGCACGCCGTCCAAAGCATGCAGGAGTCCATGATGGCCCAAATCGGCATGGACCACGAACACCACAGTGGACATGAGATCGCCTTTGGCAGCAATGATGGATGGGTTGAAATCAATAACAGCTACGCTTCGTCGCAAAATCAATCGCCGATGTACGAGCATGGAGGTTTTGGGTTCATCCAGCCGCTGAATCAATTGCCGGCGGAATCGTCGTTTAACTCCCAGAGAATGTCGCAACCACATCCAGTTCAAACAACGCACCAGCAATTACTACCTCTCATCATGCCCAGCCATCCCACGTGGCCGAGTATGCTGACGAACCCAGCAAGTTACCCGGCCCCGCCAGTCGCGATACCACCAGCGTCAGCCCCTCCTGTGGTCAAAGGAAATGCTCCAAAGTTACCAGCGATTCATGCGACTCCGTCTCCAAGAAAGACGCTCACCGATAGTGACCGAAGGCGCATGTGTCAGTACCATGAGGATAACCCTTCGGTAAAGCAGACTGAGATTGGAGGTGAGAGTTGAAATGACAATATCTGAAAGTCCTCCACTAATTCAGCCTAGCAATGTTTGGTGTCGAACGAAGGTAGATTTCTACTTATCAAATTTCCCATGTCCACTTTCAGTAGCTAAACCTTCATTTTTCAGTACCGTGTCGAAGGTTCTCCGTCAAAGAGAAAAGTACCTATTCCCAGAGGATCGGAGTCTGTCTCCAGTGAAACGCGCCAAAGGCAAATTTCCTGATATAGAGAGAGCGCTTTCAAACTGGGTTAGGAATAATCAGAAAAAAGGCCTCCCCTTAACGGATGCGGCAATCAAGGAGAAGGCTCGATTTTTTGCGACCACGGTTGGCAACAACGAGAGTCACTTGAAGACGAGTAGTGCTAGCTGGCTTGAGAAGTTCAAACAGAAGAACGGGATTGGGACAGGCAAACTAACGAGAAGGGCCTCCGAAACCAACATCTCGGACAGTGGTTCTCTTAATCCAGACTCAGCTGGGCCTTCTGCTTCTCAAACACCTAACGGAATCTCCCCGACGTCGCCCAACGGCTTACCATCTCCGCCACCTTTATCTGCTACTAAGAGTGACGATGACCTGAACAGTGACGGCCTGAATAGCTATTTCGACCAGGGAAATGATGCCTACAGGCACTCCAATTCACAAAGTACTACTTCTTTATCCAGTGCTTTTATAGATACCACCCCTGGGTCATTTTCCGCAGGACCTACGAGTCCCACAACGTCCTTCTCCTTTTCACCCGAGACCAATTCTAGTTCATGGATGCCCTCCCAGCAATCTCGAATTCCCCCACCGGGCAATAACTTCCAACGACCGAGAAGTCAGACGTTTCCCATGTTGGGGATTGACCCATCCTTCGTCTCGCCGCAGGTTTCGGAGCCCATGACGCCGAAATACTTGCCCGTAACTGCACCTTCCTCCACATTGGACTCTCCGATGCATGAGATGCCTCCTCCATTTGGCATGGACTCGGCAATCTCGTCACCTCCATTACACCACAGCAGTAGCAATGGATCAATGGCTCCGCCCTCCTCAAACACTCCAATCACCGGTCTGCAATCACCGCCTGGATCATCAGCACCGAGTTCACCAACGTCCGACGACGCCCGAAGAGCCCTCGATACGTTACTCACCTACTTCCAGCAGGCGCCTACAGGGCTTGTGGACCAGAACGAGTACCTAACGGTCCTGAAACTGACGGAAAAACTACGGCTGCAGTCTAACGGTCCGTTACCCGGAGGTCTTCATCGAATCCCCGAGCAGGAGTGCGAGATTTCAGCGCCCAAAATGGAGCAGTCAATGAGCGCGGGTTGCTAGAATCCGTCCTCTCCAACGTCCTTCGAAAAAAGCAAAGAACAAAAAAAGAACCTGTATATCTTCTACGCACTTTACCTTCCGCCCTAGCCAGCATTCAACCGCGGCGTTTTCTGCTTGCCAAAAAACCTGTACATCGGCATCCACCGCGTTAAAACTAGCGATTCCTCCTTTCCTCTTATTTTGGTCCTGTTCTTACTCTCTGCCCGTTCCGTTTTACATTATACTCTCCACATCGCACTTCTCGGTCGGGGGTTGCAGGCTGGCAACATTCGGATCCGGAAAACATATACCCAAGCAAGATACATCTTCCCGCTCACGCGACCTCCTCTATTTCCGGCGTCGCTCCTCTTTCCATATCTCGTTCTTCTCATAGCTAGCACGGTGTTATCCTATCTATCTATCTATCTATGTATCTCTTTGTGCGTGCTTCCCCGCGGCACGCAGCAGCGGCAAAACGAATCGAATTTCTTCCGATATAGTCGAGATACCTGGGTCGAGAGCTCCGAGGGAAAGGGCCTTTTGGGAGCTGGAAAGCTTCTCCCGGAATTTTGGGGGCCGCTTTCTGGGAGCTTTATCTTGTTTCCTGTATTTCTTCTCGTTTTTATCTTTTTTTGTATTTTTCTTGGTGTGTTAAGGGCAGTGGGAAGAGGCGTGGTATCGCAAGATGGGATTTCGGAATGGCCAAGGGTGTTTTCCTTCATAGGCAAATTGGTTCAGAAGGTTGGGTCATGATCATTTCAGTCAGGCAGCTTAGTCTTCCTAATATAAAGGCGGCCCATCTGACTTTGGGAGGCCCCTTCTGAAAAAAAATTCTTCTGTCTCATAATACATGCGTGCATGATTCCATGATGAAAAAAATAAGGTTCTGATTTATATCTATCATTACATTACATAGCTCTCTGAAATTCTCTAGCTTAACCTCTCTGCCAGCAGCTCTTCGATTCCCTTCTCAGCCAGCTCGGGCATGAGACGGACGACCAGCAGCTCGACGACCCCATACAGAAGGTGCTTGTTACAATAACTATCGCCGAAGACGTCCAGCATCTCCTCGATCTCCTTCACCCTGCGCTCCTTGCCAGGGCCGAAGTAGACCTCCTGAACGCTGAGGGGCACGAGGGACAGGAGGGTCTCGGCGCATCGCTGACGAATAAGGAGGCTCTCGGATGCAGAGGGGGGTGGCCGCGCGGGGCCCAGCGTGTTGTTAGGGAAGAGCGCGGAGCGCGCTGTGCGCAGCAGCGGTGGGAGGAGGGCTGGGTCCAGCACGTGTGTCTGGATAGCATGGGAGAGCAGTCTAGAGCAGAGCATGGTCAGTCAGATTAACCTATCCGGGTGAAAATCTATCGCTGGAAGCAGGATGTGCTGCCGGTAGCGTCAAGCCATGCGGAAGGGCTCGAGAATGGCCTAGGGGATCAGGAATTGGATCCATTTGGAAGGACTTCAGCGGCGGCCCCCATGAACTGCATGAAAGGGCGGAACGAAAGGAGCGATCGGCGGTGACCCCAGGCCCTGAAAAAGAAAAAGAAATGTTGCGACGGCCAAAGGACTTTGTGCACCATGAGGCGGTAGGTGAGAATAATAACGAGTGGACAAGAACAAAGGGCCTGGCTCGATTTTGCCGGGAGCGAGGTGCGTGCCGATGCGAGGCAACGGCCGGGGCAAGTCGGCCGTGCAGCCCATAACGCCGGGCGCGTAAAGAAGGCTGTCGTAAGGCTCCTCGACTGTCGGGGCCAACTCCGCCTCCATGACAACTGCAAGGGGGCAATGACAATTATGCGGGCGAGGTAGCAGGGAATTGCTGGACGATACGGAAAGGGACCTTTTGGGAGAGAACTGAAATCCTTCCTCGACTGAGGGAGGGATGGGGCTGATTTCGCACCATGCCATTGCTCCAAATCCGAGGCCATGCCAATGAGATGCGGTTGCACAACTGAACCCATTCCTTGCCGTGCAGGACGGAAGTTCTGCCACGAATGGAGGGTCCCGCGGACCTCGTTGTCAGCTCTCCCGCCTCCACACCCGTCGATTGCAGGCTTGTTATGCATAACGATAACAAATATCAAGAGTTGCCAGGACCTCCTGAAACTACTTCGTTCCTGCAATCTGACTGGGAGATCCCAAGTCAAGTGATCGAAAACTCATGCGGTGTGATACTATGCTCCGGCTCCTGGGGACACGAAAAACGTAGGGGACTTTGCGGAGGGTTTCGAGAATAATGAAACTTGATGAAACTTACTTATCGATCGGTCCATCTGTGTTCCCAACTTCTCCAGGTCCCATAAGTGCTCCCCACTGAAGGATCGATATTGTCGCGCTTATCCATGGCATGCGGACACCTAGATCGAGCAGGCTAGCGGCACAAGACCATACCTTCATCTTGAGAATGGGTTGCTTGAATGATAATGGTCGACCCCTGGGCGCTATACTAGGATTTTTCAACTCCCTCGATCCCATGTCCTCTTGCGAGGTCCCCGAACCAGTTATCTTCATCGCAGGTGGAATACGAGAAGGGAGGGATGACGAAGTTGCGATGCTGGTGATGAGAAAACGGGCCGCAGTGACCGCGAGAAATACATATTGGAGCACTAGCCAGAAGGCCTTCTGGATGGACCGTCCAAAATTCCAGCTCTTCGTAGTTCTCCCAGTTATATCAAGCGGTACTGGCTCCGAGCTGTTCGAATATGACCTGTCAAGGGCCTGGGCCTTTGACTTATTAGAGAGCTTGTCTTGGATCACCTCTGCAATCTTCGTAATCCCCTCCCATAACAACCATGGCTCAGAAGCCTTCCCGCCGATGCCATTTCCCAGAATCATCTCGGAGAATATCTGACCAACAAGCGTTGTTAATGAGGCATTCTCTAAATCCTCCGTAGGCAAGAGAACCGCCAAGACGCCCTGGACTAGGAGCTCTCTATAAACTGCCTCATTTTCCATCTGCTGTTGTATCGCATCTTGATTCTTGTCATCTGGAACCGGTGTCAAAGCGGGAAAGGGGCAAAGGGAGTGATAGATCTCTCGAGGGTGTGATTCAAATGGTGGTGGATGTAAGGATTGGTGTGCTGCTTGATATGCTATGATTCTCGTCAACCCTTGAATACTTCAGTCCAGCCGTTCATTATCACTTGCCTTTAATATGCACTTCTAACAAGTCCGGTAGCTCATCAAACAACAGGCTCTCCAAATCCACCTTCCGTAGCCTCTGCTCCAACGCCCTTGTACAATGAGCGATAATCTTCACGATCTCATCCACGAACTTATGATCTGGTGTAATCTTCGTATACCACGTCTGCACAAATTCCCTTATAATGATAGCGATAAAAGCATATAACTCTAGATCCACCTCATTGCTACTAGTTAACGGCGGAAGGATCTCGTCGATAGGGGCAGGAGTGTTGCGACCCTTGTCCCCCCGCGGCGGGCATAACGTGCGGCGGATTAAGAATAGGGTTGCTCGTTCGGAGGTGGGTTCAGCGGATGTCAGCCGTGCATTTGGTCGAGGTATATGCGCTTCAGGTGTTGGGAGAGGCTCTTTAGATGCAAATGCGGACTGCGATGATATGTTCGAGGTAGCCGTCGATTTGAGCCGCGGCTGCAACTGAAGTCGTGACATTTCGAGGCTCGGCCTTACAGGCCTCAGCTATGCATGCCGGCGAACTGTGGTTTGTCCATGATGGTGACCGACTGGTGATGAGATGTGTATATGTGTATCTCCTTCATGTTCGCGGGCCAGGCTGATGAACATGGAGGAAGCTAGCCTCAATGTGGCTAGCATGCCCCTCAGCCTTGTTGCGGCATGAACATCACCGTTCAATTTGCCTCGCATCTCCAAGGCAAATGACAACAGATTCTCACTGATTCGGACCAGTGTCCAGAATGGTATTTACTGTATGACATGCTTGAGTTGCGTGGTGCTTTGATAATAAAACTTTTGGAATATTGCTCCCAGTCTATCCCACCCACAACTTGCAAAGTTACAAGTACCTTATCTATAGGCTCGGACAGTCACGCAGTTGATCTTCATATGGTTTTATAGCAGTCCCTTAGCTGCATTCGCAATATAAGAAAACTCAGTTGCTCTAAGGTACACAATTCATGTCGTGTCTCGCCACTTGTACCAGCGGCAGTATCTTTCGTCCCTCCGTAACTCCCCGAGTTCCTAATTTCTATTGTCGGTCCTTCTACCTCTCCTATATCTATTCTACTTCGTCTACATCCCGAACTGCTTGAATTTAGGCTTAGAAGGCTCCTATTTCCGAGTCCAACCTACTGGCTTCCTCTACGGCTTTCCTAGCTTACACTTTAAGGCAAAAGCCAACGCTAATCTTAGTAATTTCAAAGCAAGCAAATGTATCACCTTCCTCTCTAATCCTCGTCTAGTAGCCCGGTTCCTGTGTGATATCTTTGATTTTCAAGCCTCCCTTTTTGTTTAAAGCCCTCGCCCGGCCTATAAGGGACTATGATTAGTTTCTTAACTTGCTCAAAGAGTGAGCAGATCCGGAGAACACGACGTAAGGTATAGTATGTTTCGAAGATAGGATCGTCATAGTCTACTCGGTATTCTAAAGCTAAGGTACGTACCTGCTTTGCCTTTTCTAGACCGATGGCCTTCGCGAATGCTTTTAGCTGCCCGAGCTCGAAATAGGGTCCAAAGTGAATTATATTAGTAGCTAGGTTAGCGCTTATAAGAGGGTAACCCATGTCTTAGGGGAATAGAGGCTTATGCTTCTTTAAGACGAGCTCTCTAGCCTCGTAGCACACGTTGATGATGTCCGTGCTTAGCTACTAGATTTTCCGGTCGAAGAATAGGACACGAGGCAGAGGATCCTTGAGCTCGAGATCAGTATAGAGATCAGACTCGTTAGGGGCACTAGGGGATGGACTGATGCTAATAATGCGTGGTTCGTTAGGGATAGCATAGTTCTAGACCTGGATTCGGAGCTTAGTAGGGAGGGAAAGAAAGCTAGAGAAGGCTAGGCAAAGTCCTTCTACAGCCTTAGACCTTTTGATATCAAGTAGGGTATACTCGGAATCTATTTATCTTGTAAGTATAGAAGAAGAGATAAGAAGGTAACATAACTTACCTGTCTGTTTCTTCTCCTTGTACTAACTAAAATTATCCGATAAGGTTAGACCTAGATCTATAGGCGACGAGCATGTAGCGTCTATGATGCCGTGAGCTAGAGAGATATATAGGTGTAAGACAAGGTTGATGGAGTTACTCAAGTCGATAAACCTATATAGGATTGACTAACAAGCAAATAATTCGACGTTCAAACAAGTCTATAAGGGGTATACGAACAGTAAGTTTAACTATAATTAAGAAGAATAGAAGAATAATACTACAGTGTATAAACAAAGTTCCTTTTAAACTAAATCACAAGTAATAAAAGTTTAAGAGACAAAATAAAGAGAATACCTTATGTATATATTATACTTCCCCCGCCACGATCTACCTACTTAGTCTAGAATCTAATATTATTATTATAGTCGAGATCAAAATTTCTAGATAGCTAGTAAGGTTCTTAGCTAACCCCTGAGGCCGCGGGCTATGACGGGACTAAGGGTAGTGAACCCTGGAATCTGTCTGTATCGAATTACCATGTCACGCGCAAACTGATCTTTCATAGGTACCTCCTATCTTTTGAATTGACGAGGAATGGGGATAGTTGCGGGCCGTGACCCCCCTATTCGAGGCGAGCTCGCGACGACCATAAAAGCTCACTTTCGCCTCTCCTAGGCGCAATTTATTCAGAACCCATGTTTAAAACTTAGAACCTCTTAGAAAAATCAGCTGGGGTTGGACAAATACTAGAGAATATTTGTGAAGAAGAAAAAAGAAAACACACTTCGTTATATAGTAGTGTGGAATATATAAGGTATGGTTGTTATAACCAGGGGCCTCGCGAGGGCTTCTTTGAGGTCTATGCTTTACCCATTTACATATATATAACTAAACTGGAACGTTAGTGTATTGTATTGCATATTGTAGATTTGCTATTGTGGGCTGAGGTAGATAAATAGATATAAATAAACCGAATAGTGACAGTAGTAGTACGAAAGGTAGATGCTAATGATCTTGATTCGAAGTCTGAGAAGATCGAGTAGGTGATTGCCTTATATAAAACATGGAGATTAGTGGAAGGATATAGTATGGTAGAGAAAAAATATAGTTAGGGATAAGAAAGTATTTAGATAATAGGTAAGATACATGCGCAGTGAAGCTCTAACGCGTTTCTCAACTCCCCCTTATTCACTACGCGTCCCCCTCCTCCCCCACCATACCGCGCCCCAACCTCCCCTCCAAAAAGGCCCTCCAAAAGAGGCCCTCTCAAAAAAAAAGAAAAGAAAAAAAGAAAAGGAAAGAAAAGAAGCAGTAGCTACTAAACACACACAAAAAAAAAGAAAAGAGAGTAAGATTCCAAACCATCAAAACAGTTCGCAAACAGCCGTCGCTGCTACTACATCTGCCGCGCCTCACAAACTTTTAAGGAACACGTATTTACCCATCTCTAAATACACCCAAGGAAATAAATCAAGAAAATCAAGAAGAGAATTAATTGCAAGGCCAAACAACAACAACACGTGAGAGACAAAGGAAAGAAAATCACACGAGACGAAAGCAGAGGTGACAGCAAAGGAAATTAATGACTTATCCTAGGTAGGCTAAGCCGTAGTCCGCTGGGACAGAAGGTTCTTGCTTATTTTGAACTATAGGGTAGCTAGAAAGGAAGGGAAGAGAGTTGCTAGTTGAGTGAATTGTGAGGGTGTGTCTGTTTGTTGGTTGAGAGGGGGTGAATAGGGGGTGTGTGGTGGGATAGGGGTCAGGATTTTAGGTTTTGTAGAGGTATGAAAGAAGATTTCTCTAGACTGCTAGAGTAATAGCACGATCCTATATGTTGTATTCTATATAAATAAGCCAATGTACTATCTCTTTCTATTGACTCTATAGACTTACGAGGTTGATGCATCCTCGGACGTTGTAATACTCGACAGGAACTTCACGAATATGGATGAGATAGCCAAGTAATACTAGACTTCAATATAGAAATATTTAGTCTTTACCCGCTGGAGCAAAGAGTACAATTTGAAAATTGTATGATTTAATTATTATCTGTAGAATGGGTACTAGAGGATGTGGGGAGCTCTCCCCCCTTAGTGTCCCTGGGCCCGATCACCCTTATGGAATATTAATCAAATACCTAAGGTCTACCATAGAACGCTCGTCGAACTCTGAATTCCCAATTCCCAAACGCCAATACCTACATTATCCCCAACTCCCCGTCCAAAAAGAAAAAGGTTGCCTTTACCTGGTACCTGTATAAAATCACATTATCTGACACCCGTTGCTCCTTGCTCTTCTCCGTCCGAAACCATCCATGCCAATGCCGCCCTCTTCCTCATCAGCATGAATCATTTGGGCTTCCCTCGCTCTTCTTCTTCGTCTTCTCAACCCAGATCCACCTACCCCAGCTTCCTCGGTGGCCATCATGTACTCACCCCATTTTCTCTCGAGCCTACTTGCAGCAGGCAAATCACCTCTCAAGACCCGCTTCATATGCTCGTCAACCGTCATCTGCCATCCATAGAAACATTTCAGGGCGATGATTTCAGTTGGGTACGTTATGCCTTCCTGTCCCCCTGTCGGCCTTTTGACTTCCGAGTTTCGGCATAGGACTTCGCGGACGCCAGTCCATGTCATGTTCTGGCAATCAAATGCAACTATGCTGAGACCAACACGAGGACGAGAGTTTGCGCAGGTGGTGCGGGAAGACCGAGAGCGGACCATTGCTGCTGCTTCCACAAGGACGAGATCACTAATACGCGTGTTGTCCATATCGACGCTTTTGAGGCTGGTACAAGCTCGGATTACGGGAAGCATGCCGGTATCTCCTAAGTTCTCACAGTAACTGATGGATAGATGTTCTAGGTACGGGGCGCATGGGGCTTTAGCAAGGTGTTCAGAGAGGAGGGTGTTTGTCAACCCGCCGATCTCTTCGAGATCCAGATGCGTGAGGCGTGGTGTGCTAGCAAGGAGGTCGGATAAGGCGTTATCTGTCAGGGCAGTGCAGCGACCAAGCTGAAGCCCTTCGAGATTAGGGACAAAGCCGGCAAGTGATTTGATTCCAGCATTGGTTAGGCGGGTGCAGCGACTTAGATCGAGATGGCGGAGCTTACGCATAGGTACGACGGGTAGATCAGTCAAAATGTCAATTTCGGGATCCTTTCCAACAATCATGGTCTTTAGGGCTTCATCTGTAATGTCAGTGCAACCACTGAGCAGCAGTCTTTCCAATCTATTGGTTTCAAAGATATCTTGAGCCAGGTCAAGGTTGTTGAAGCCCCTGACCTCTCGTGCTCGCAAATCTTTGAGCTTCGGACAGCCAAGGATGACAGCCCTGATGCCACGAGCATCCATATGAGCGCACCAAGACACATTAAACATCTCCAAGGATGGACACGACTGAGCTATGATCTTGCATGTTCCATTGTTGACTGCCGTGAGCCCAGTGAGATTAAGATTAGCCAACCTATCGTTTGTTCTTAGGAGATTGTGTAATGTTGAACGTTGAAAGTTCCGGCAGCCCTCGAGAGTGGCATTCATGAGATTCCGACATGCCTTTACTATTACTTCCGCCCGCTTGTAGTGCTCCACTTGTACGCAACCTCGTAGGTTCAGGTCCTTAACGAAAGGCCCTGCCGTCACGATGATCTTTGCCAAAGACTCTGCTGGGATTTCCTTGTAGAACTCTGAAGCATCGAAGCAGGTCCAAAGCTGTCCGTCGAAACAAATTTCGTGGAAGTGTTTGCATACAATTGAGGCTCGTACTAATTGCTTGGGCTCCAAATACGAGAAGATTGTGAGTTTGATTTCGTGTGGCATTTCTCCCCAGAAATCAAAGCTGGTTCGTCGAGATGGCTTCCGCGGGGCGAGCGGCAGAGAGAAGTAATCTTCTAGGATTTCATGGATGGGCGAATGTTCGGCGAAAGGGGGAAGAGCTCCTCTGGACATTGGTCTCACGTCAAGAGGGAGTGCACTGGTTGAAGTAGCGGGTGTCATAGCACCGTGTTCTACCCTCCGGATGGGAACTCGATCGTATGAACCGTCGAAAAACGGTGTATCGAGACCGGGCGTACTTGGAATAGAAGTTGGAGCGGTTGAGTAGCCTGCTCCAGATGACTGGGAGGAATACGAATTGTCATAGTTCCGCGGAGAGGTTGCAGATACCAAGCTGACACAAGACAGTGTGCTTCTGCCACTGTATGGACTGCTTGCCGCTCTCCTTCTACCCAGCTGTGCAAGAGAAGGCGACGAGGAGATGCGTTGAAGGCCATGTAGTAGCTTCGCTCGTCCCTTGCGCCTTGTAGGGGTCTCGATGGGGATGGCCTCCGAGCGCTCGATCGATATGCCCGCACTACCCTCCGCCTCGATAGCCATCTCCGATACAGCGCTTGCCATGACTGGCGGCGGCGACGATGCTTTTGTGCGCAGAGCCGTGGAGGGTACGAAGATCGTTGGGCAATATCTGTTGGTTGTTGCCGACTCAAGGGCGTCCCGCGCGCGGGGTTGTTGAGGGGTTGTCAACCCTTGTCCTTATCTATCACAACAATCGTGGCTCTTGCTTCCTGCCAAGCTCAAACCAAAGTCTTGCAATGGCGAACCGTGTACTCTTGCGCAGTCCGAAAGTTATTGGTGAGATATTCGGTGAGATCTCCTGAAAGCTAAGGTCCTACAGAGTTGTGGGTATTTAGTTTGGTTGGTGCTCCTCGGCTGTGGACTGACGTGGACGTAATGCTGCAAAAGGGACGAATCAGCAATCATTTCCAGCCAGGCAATACGAGAGATGCAGATAATTCTTCTGCATGGTTAGGGATGGCATTCTTACAAGTGATGGGGGGCGTGTAAAAAAGGGGAAGTGGAAGAGAGAAGAGAGGGAGAGCGACGTGAGGCAGAATGTAAATGATTATCTTTGTCCTGTGTAGATAGGAGATAGTAGATAGCCAGATAGGCTGTTATCGATAAGGAGACCCCAGTACAGGAGGAAATGTCTTGTAAAGAAGCATCAGCTGCGCTACAAACATAGACCACGCGACAGTCTGTGTCTCTTGGTTGTATTTCTTTGTATTTTCTCATCTTTTTTTTCTCTCTCTCCTGCTCTTTATCTCTCCCTCTCTCCTGACCCTATTCTCCCCCTCCTGCCTCTCCCGCCTCTCCGCCCCCTTTGACCCCGAAAGCTGAACCGGCGCAACGCCGGTCCAACCTTGCGGCGGAGACTGGCACCATGGCGTTTTCCCCTCTTCGCTCTCCCCTCCTCCTGCGTCCCCTCCTGCGCGAGGCTGCGGGCACGCCGGAAGCGGTCAAGAAAGGAGAGGCTCTGATTCAGTTGAACCGAGAGTCTGCGGGTTCTCTTTATTGTCCTGTGTATATTGGTCTATTCATATCAGTTAACTCGGATTCGGGTTAATAGTTAGCTATGACGGGTTGTGGTTATCTACCTTGTACAACTCTTTACCCCTCTATCAACGCTGTACAATAACGTTTCGTCACACCCATATGAAATCATGTAGATTGTATAGGCGTCTCTACCTATGGCTTGTTTTCTTGTGTACGACCCTCGTGATTGGACGCCGACTTGTGGAAAACATATGTCTGTCCACAAGACAAGAGGACATAGCCATCTCATGTCCCCTTACTGACCCGCTCTTCTCGCGCTGAATAATTTCCCGCGCCCGATGCCTTTACCCCAACCCGATTTGCAAAACGGATAAGAGAAACGAAGGATCGGCATGATACCCAGGGTAGTTCTGTGTGCTGCACATGGAGAGGATGAGATTATTATATACATACCTTATATACATATATATATATATATAGCTGCACACCCGCCCGATCCAAAGCGATAGGGCTGCAGCTGGTCTCGTGTGATTTACTGTATCTCGAGGCCACCCCGACCTAATCAACGGCGACGACAGGGCTCTTCGGATCACGAGAATGCGCAGTTTCCCAGGGTTGGGTTTGGGTACGTCAATGTAACAGTTGTTGAATGGCGGTGGAGGCAAGGGGGCTGGCTGCTCTCACATGCAGACTGAACAGACTTCTCTTCTGATCAGACAGACGGCTTTGAGCCGGTCGTCTTACTCATCAGGGAAGAACCTGGAGAGCAACGCGGGAATCCCGAGTAATCCTGAGGAAGAGAATTCTTCTCTCCGTTGCAGGCGGCTCTCGTAAAGATCTCCTTTGTTTTGTCTAATGATATGCCATGTAAATAATATATCTACTCCGTAATACGGGTCGTCGCAGCGGGCACTACGGGGGGTAGCATCAGCCGTCTCTCGATCAATATAAAGCAGCCGCTAAAACGCACATCTTCTCTCCACAGACGTCAAGGCAAGGGTTTTCCAGCAGCAGCGTCCAAGCCTCGGGCCAGTATTATTTAGCTGCGAATATCTTCACGTCAAACGGCCAACTCGGCCTGTATCATTGTCCTTCTCCTTCTCCTTCTCCTGGGCAACAACCGTAACGCGGGCGACTGTGCGGAATGCTGTCTGTGCCCGTATACTATCGATCAATACTCCGTATAGAATTCCTGCCCATTCCCAACGCCAATGCCAATGCCCACCCTTTGCGCATTACTCGTATTGACAAGCCAAAGTACCTATTGAATTGCTAGGCTGTGACGACGGGAACTCCGTCATTACAGCCCTTATGTCCGGTCCCCACTAAACAAACTCCTTGGCTCCTTGTTGAGCGACACCATCCCCAAAGCCAGAATTTTTGTTTCTCCCTGCCCAGTCTGCTGTGCACAGTAGCGACGCGTTGCCACCCAGACGCTCATTATCCTGTACAAGACGACGGATACGCGCCGACACTGAGATCAATACGCCCAGACAACCGCCGCCAGTGCCAGATTCCTTGGGCGACTGACTTGCTTTGCAATAATACACTCGCAATACCCGGCTGCCAGTTCTACCCCACGAAAACCCCGCTGATATCTCTCGACGGCCTCTGGCCTCCCAGCTGCCATTCCTCCGCGGACGACCCATCTCCGTCCAATTATGCTGGAGTCAGATGCTCCAATCCAACATGGTGAGTGGACATCTGCTCTGATGCCTGCAAACTCCTCCCCCTCGGCGCGACCGTCTCGAAGAGATCGGCGCCCCAGAAACAACCAGCGTACCGAGCAAGAGCGAGCTGCGTCCTCGACTTAACCCCAGACCCCTCTTTGAACACATGCGCTTCAATCTTCTATCCCCGCATAGCAGTTACTCGAGACGGATCTGATCTCTTTCTGCAGGCGCCGAACTACACACAACAAAGGCTGAGAGAGGTCGACGAGGCCAGTCTCCGCCTGCCGACCTGCTCATTCCCAAGAATCGAAGCACCGGGAACCTCACAGCACAACCTTCGAAAGGCGCGGATAAAGCGAGGCTGCGATTTTCCTTTGATGCCGGTTTGTCGGCGGCAGAGTATGACACGATGTCGAGGTTAGTTTTTGAGCCGCGTGTGCTGGTTGGAATGAAGGATATAAAGATGAATAGTCACAGTGACTCAACGACCCTGATGCCCGGGAACAGCTGCTAACCAAACCTTTCTATCAGATCTCCAGTCATGACGGAACACGAGCATGGGCTTGGGACATCTGGTTTGAGCAGAATACGCCAGCAACCGCGAACCCCGACTATCCCGTCCTCGGGGTCTTCTTCTCGCAACCCTTCCGTGGGACCACGGTCAAGTTCAATGACTCTTACACTTCCAAATCCTCGATCTGGCTCCATAGCTATCACTTCCGGGCCCTCTTCGCCGACCTTGAATTTCACAGAAGACCTCAGTCGCTTTCCATCCGAATCCCTCCACTCCTTTTCTTTCGCCCATCAATCCGAAGATTTCATACATAATCGGCAAAATGTCCTCAAAAGATCGGTTGAATTTATGTCACAGAAGCTGGGCCGTGGAGCAGGCAATGCTGGAATCGCCCACGCACAAGCAAGGCTCAGTGGAGACCAAGAGATGCAGGGTATGCTGGAATTGCTAGCGAGGGCGAATTTGGTCGGCGCAAACAATATCGCAGGTTATGGACAGTCTGGTCTGATGGGACCTCTTACGGGGCCGGCGGGCGTTGATGATGCGGGGAACGTCTTTGACAGTTACTTTATGCCACGGTCCGAAAGTCCAGATGCTATCGAAACTCCCGGGACTTCACCAACAACTGTTAGGAAGCCTGTTCCCACAAAGACAATTCCCGAACAAACCAGAGAATCGAAGGAGGAAGAAACACCAAGTGTCGAAATAGACTCAGAACCATCTTCCAGCCCCCCCATAGAGGACGGCCAGGCAACGACCAAGGCCTCTTCTCCTATCACAAGAAGGCAGAGCCTCAGAAGAACTTACACAGATACAGCACCCTTATCCATTCAAAATAAGCTCATGGATGCTCTAGCACAACCATTCGTAGCCGGCGATGCCTTACACGATCAACTATTATCACCGATATCCTCACCCAACGGCCCCCCATCATTCATTGTCCCGGGCCCCCATCTACCTGGACCTGCGGTGCACGCTCACTCTAGTCGATGGGCTCCAGCAGCGCAAGCTATCTTTACCACTGAGATTAACGCACCCTATACTATTTTAGCCGCCAATGATCTTGCATGCCTTGTTTTCGGTGTTACGAAAGCCGAGGTCAGGAAGATGGGGATCTTGGAGGTTGTGAGAGAAGAGAGACGGGCCTGGTTAGAGGAGAAGTTACAATCACCAGGGTCTGCTACAGAATTCGGCAAGAATGCCCCTCAATCCCCACCGCAGAGTCGGAGCCAGCAACCAAGCCCAACTCCCACAACGTCTTTTCTCGTTGGAAAGCCTGGAATAACAGCTAGTCTACTTAGTAGACCAAATTCTCGGTCAGCAAAACAGCCAACTCGCAGAGCACAGACCGATGATGGTGCAGGGTCCAGTATTGCGGCAAGGACAAAAGCATCCAGAGGTGGGCTTTATCATCCAAGCAACAAATCAAGGGGCGTTTTGCTCTGTGGTGATGTGGTACCTATACGAAAACGTAATGGGGTTACTGGATCAGCTAGCTTGTGGGTCAAGGAGAAAAGAGGTAGTTTGATCTGGGTTCTCGAGGAGATTCACGAGGATGTGGCTTGCATTGGTGTGGATGACGACGCCATTGTTACAAAGATCTCTGGATCGACGGAGCCGATATGGGGAGAAAATATTGCTACGGTTGGCAAGGACATTGGGAAATTATTACCAACGATACCTCGACAGGGGATCGATGGAAGGACGGGTGAGATAGACTATGCCGAACTCACTAAGCGGAAGTATTTCACTGCCCGAAATGCTGGACGCGCAAATATCCCATGCATAGTCGACCGAATCCCAGATGGTACAGACCTGAAAGTGTCAAGCTTCCCACATATAGCGGGAATCATGGTTCTTTCGGCGCAGACGTTACAGATCACAAGCTCCAATTCTGTCTTCTCAGCTGCACTCTTTGGCCAAGAGAAACCCGATGGGAGATCTATCACTGATCTTATCCCCGATTTCGATCGCATGCTAAAGATACTTACAGAGGAAGACGGTGTTGCTCTTACCGATGGTATTGTGATACCTGAGCACAGCTTCCGTCGCGCCAGAGCTTTCCTGGCTTTACGAGATGGTAAAGGGGACGCTGCATCATACTTGCTACGGCCAGATGGTCTTCCAGCAAAGCACAGGGACGGATCAGAGATCAAGATTGACGCACAACTCAGGGTTGTGAAGTCGGATACAAATCCAGCTCCCAAATTTGACGAGAATGTGATCGAGGAAAGGAGTGATGAGGAGGAGGATGGCACTGTCAACTCCGAGCCACAGTCCGAACTAGTCTATGCTCTGTGGATTACATACTCCCGCCAAATTCATGCAAACGGGCAAAATCTTGGTGCAGCAACACCTCTGCTAGCAGGCGCCCAGACTCCGTTACATCAACCGTCACCCGGACAGACGGAAATTGCCAGCCCGATGGATATGGACTCTGATGAGCCTCAAAAAGAACAGTCGCACGCTTCTTTGCTCACGACTCAACTCAAAGCAGCCGCTAAGAAGACGGCGGCCAAGATTGCAGGTCGCGAGATGCCACCACCTCCACAACCGGAAAAGGCGAAGGAAGTGGTACCCGAGGTCAAGGACGCCGTTCACAAGAAGAGTATCAACGACTTTGCGATCCTCGAAGAGATGGGCCAAGGTGCTTACGGTCAGGTGAAACTGGCAAGGTACAAGAAGAATGGCAACAGGAAGATGGTGCTCAAATACGTAACAAAACGCCGGATTCTCGTTGATACTTGGACTCGGGATAGAAGGCTGGGAACAGTTCCCCTGGAGATTCACGTCCTCGATTATCTTCGTCGAGATGGCCTCAAGCACCCTAACATTGTCGAGATGGCTGACTTCTTCGAGGACGATGTGAATTATTACATCGAGATGAAACCTCATGGCTTACCTGGCATGGATCTCTTCGACTACATTGAGCTTCGTGTCAACATGGAAGAGGACGAGTGCCGCAGCATCTTCGTACAAGTTGCAAAGGCGATCCATCACCTCCATACCAAGGCTTTGGTGGTGCATCGTGACATCAAAGACGAGAACGTCGTTCTGGATGGTGAGGGGAATATTAAGCTTATAGATTTTGGTAGCGCTGCGTATATCAAGAACGGACCCTTTGACGTCTTCGTTGGAACTATTGGTGAGTTTCTTTCTCCTCTTTCCTCTCCTTAGCATAGCACTAACCATTCGGCAGATTACGCAGCTCCAGAGGTCCTGGCGGGGAAGCCATACCGAGGTAAAGAGCAAGATGTCTGGGCCCTTGGTATCCTTCTCTACACCATCGTCTACAAGGAGAATCCCTTCTACAGCATCGACGAGATCATGGACCGAGATCTCCGAGTTCCCTATGTGATGAGCGAAGATAGCATTGACCTGATCCGCGCGATGCTGGACCGAGATGTTGATTCCAGGATTACCATTGAGCAGGTGTTGGGCCACCCGTGGTGCGAGTCGTCCGATGACGAATGAAGGATGATTGGCAAGGATTTGAGATTTGGAAACTGCTAGATAAGGCAACGGAGCCTGGGCGCGAGAAGCACAGCAGGATATACCAGGGGCGTCGGGCATTACACGAAGGGACTACATATACAGACCGAATTCAGGTCGAGAAGCAGTTTACACTTCACGGGCTATGCAGATGTGCGTTAAGAGGGAGGATATACGAGCAATGATACCCAAGAAAGAGAGAGAGAGAGAGCGTGTAGCAAGCGAGCGAGCGAGCGAGCAAGCAATCAAGCGACAGCACTGATGGCTTTTTTTGTTTTTACCTTAACGAAAGCAGACATGGAACCCCCCCCCCGGTTGGTATGACCGGATGGGAACGAGAAGACATATCTGTGTATATGAATGAGGAATAGATGAATAGAGGAACGGCGTCAATCGTCACCTTGCCAATGCGCGCACCCTCCCGGTTGAGAAATCTGACGTGATATGTGTGTGTGTGTGTAGTAGGAGGTGATCGATTACTTCTCTCAGTAGGTAGGTAGGTACTTAACTCGCAACCCGTGTCGTCTCGCTCTCTCTCGTGTGTTCAATTCGACACTCTATTTATTATCTGAACCCTCTTCTCCGCTTGGAATATGATCTGACAACAGAGCTATCCGCTCTGCCGTATGTGATTCTTGCTAGCTTGTGAAGTTATAGTATAGAAGGGGGGTGAGTGGTAAGCGAGTGTTCTCCTCTCTCGATCAAGGACTACGACTACAAAAATATCAAGTCTTGAGATCTTCATTATCATTACCAGGGTATTTCTATCCTATCCTACATACATACATAGATGATGATGGTATCTGACGTGTCTGCCCGCAACATATAACGTCACATCACATCTAATCGTGGGCTCTATCTACAATGTCAAAACTTAAATGCTGACATGCAGAAGAAACCTCTACTCTGCTGACCATCTAGATGCAGCACAGCACGATTGCGATGCGATGCGATGCGCCGGGAACCAATCCCGCGACTACCTATACCCAGACAGAATCACAACCTAGACATCTAATCTCTCAGTTCGTGAGAGCGTTCACCGCAGCGCGGTAGGGATCCTGTCCCGCAGGCAACGAGCAAGCCTGGAACCCGGCCGCTGAGCCAACAGTACAAGATAGATTAAAACTATTGGACGTCGAGAACATGCCGATATATGAATAGGGCGGTGGGTATTCACTGTGGGATTCCAAAAAAAATCTATCAGTCAGCTGCGAAGCCAGCGCCAGAGCGGAAGGAAAGAAAGGCAAAAAAGGGGGGAGGGGGACTCACGCGGGATCGTTCCAGCCGTGGGAGAACTCGATGGAGAAGGTCTGGATACTGGTGTAGGAGGTGAACTGCCATTGGAAGTTCTCGTCGTTGGACGTGGGGTCGCAGGCTACGTAGGAGGTGGGCGCGCTGCTGCTGTTGCGGGTGTCGGTCCAGGAGTGCGTGCAGATGGTGCTGGTGTTGGAGTTGGGGTCGGAGAAGAGGACTGAGGATGGTTAATACCACGCTTTACGCACAAAACGCACACATGCACACATAACATATATAACATGTATGTATGTATGTATATATGCTTTGACATGTCGCTGGGGAGAGGGGGCAAGTGGATTGCGTACAGGAGAGGGAGCGGTTCCACGACGTCGAGGCCGGGTCGCTGAAGGACTGGGCGGAAAGGTCAGAGATGGAGAAGGGCTGGATGGTGGTGCCGCTGGTGCTGGCGATACGGCGCGGCTTGAGAGCAGGTTCGGAGGGGAGAGTCGAGGGACTTCTGATGTTGTGGCGGGCGAGGGCGTTGATGGCCGTCGAGGCTACGACCCCGGCGAGGCTGAGGAGTTGCAAGAAACGCATGGTTATTGGTTCAACGAACGGCGGCAGAGGTGTGTATCAGAGAAAGACAGACAGACGGGTTGATCACTCTCCAGATTCGAAAGAGAAGGAAAGAATGAATGTGAAGAAGTAAGGATGTGAAAGGAGTGAGAAGTTGCAAATAATAATAGCTGAAGCTGTCCAATCCTTCAAGCAGTGAGATGGAAGGATGAGGATGATGAGGAGGAGAAGGGAAAGGGAAAGAAAGCAAAGCGGTTGCTGTAGGGAGTACGTAGCCTACCTTTCGTACGCATGAGTCCTCTTTACGTCGTCTGTCGATCCTCTTGGGTGTGTGTCTTGGCTGCTGGGATGCCGCAAGAGGGATCCTAAACAAGGGGGGTTGGGGGGGCAGTCATCCAGTGCTTTGTGAAAGCTTTGACAGGAGTAATGAACAGTCGATTCACGATTGCACAAGGACTCCACTGAAAACCCACAATGACGCTGGGCTAAGTGGCCAGGGCCCAAGTGCCAATTGGTTGCAGGTCTTTTATTCCGAGAGTCCGAAATATCAGGGGAGGGAGGGGGGATTTCAGGAGGGGCTTTACTACGTACCTCTACAGCACTTATACCAGCGCTTTCCCCTTTGCTCTTTGCTCTTTGTCTGAATGATACTCTGTGAGAGAAGATCAGATATCTGGTTCAAAGTTCAACACTAGATCTCTATTTGGCTATTCAGACGCTTAGACGCCTATTCAAAGTTAGACTCTACGAACCCCTTTCCCGCGACTCCGCATTTAGGGCGAGGGGGACTTCTTTTGGCTCTGGCTCTGGCTCTGGCTCTTGCCCCTCCCCCTGTTTATTTATAGAAGCGCCGCATCCATTGGCTCCGGCTGTCAGACGAAAGGGGGGAGGGGAGAAGGGAGAATCCTTCGTTGATTTCTGGTGTACGTAAAGACACGATAAGCAGTGCTTTACTGATGATGACCTGGCTCTGGTTTTATCTGATGCTCAAGAATGCTCTGGGCCTTGGTCTGTGTTATTTGTAAAGCTGGATAAGGAAAAGCTTATGCCGGCGATCATTGTTGCCGTGGTGGCGGCATTGCTTGACACATTCCTCAACTCAAACTATTTACACTTCCACACTTCTACACACATAATATATAGATACACACTCACACTTGCTCCATATATGATAGTAGATATCTTGACTTTGCAAATCAACAAAGACTTCCCCTCGAGTCCCAGCTGTAAGCAAGAATGCCACCCAATTAGCAGCGTCCCGATGTGCGCAGCCACCCATGATCGTTGCTCGTGAAAGCGTTGCGGCTACTACTCTGTCATTCTTATCCCATTCCATTCCATCTCTCCCCCCGCAACACACAAAGGAGTCCTCTGGTCTGTGTATTACCATCTCTCCCACATCAAAACCTTATCGCATCTTTTCTCCCTTTCTGCCCCCCGTAAACATCGCTCGCCCGCGCCCGCGTCTCTTGTCCCCCAGCTGGCACGCAGCACGCAGCAGCAGCAGCACGCCAGAGGCGGTGCAAAGGACCTGGCAGCTCTCACCCGCAATTCGTTTCGAGAAATCTGAGCGTGCGCTTCGGCCCACTGCGCTCATGTCCATACTATGCCCTTATTCTCCAAACATAACAATCGTTCAAAGCAGGCGTTGAACGACCCTCCTGCCCTGGCATCACAGCCGACCGCGACGGCGACGGCGATTGCGATTGCAGCCGCCCCCGCGACTGCACCTCCCAGTATCGCGAGTTCAGCCTCCTCTCCAATCGTCGACAAATCTGCCACTGACGTTGACGAAGGACCATCAACCCAACCTCAAGTCTTCACCCACCAGCAGCAGCAGCAGCAGCAGCAGCAACAACAACAACAGCTACCGCAACAGCAGCGACGCAAATCCCTGCAGTACGCCGCATCCCCCAATCCTGCAAGGGAGGCGGGGAATCCCACATACCAAAACCAGACTTCTGGGGCTCCTGTTCGGTCGCAATCCATTCGATATTCCTATCCATACGCACAACAACAAGCCCTTGCCCAAGCCAACGGGTCGGCCGATGATCTAGCCCTCAACACGCAAAAATACCAGCTGCAATCCGCGAGCTCACAACCCCAGAGTCCTGTGGTAGAGCGGAAGAGGAACAGAGGCCTGTTCGATCGGATGAGATCGTCGAATCGTCCCCCAGACCAGAAAGCCTCGAATCCTCACAGTACGGCTGGCCTCGGTCGCAGACTCTCAAAACGACCGGAAAACCCTCCAGTCATTCGAACTGGTCAAAGCAACTCTCTCGACCAGCAACAACGCCTCGACCGGCAACCGCCCCAAGATACGAGGTACCATCTACCTTCTCCCCTGGAAGGCGCAGAGGAGGATACTGGACTAGATCCATTCCTCATTACGGAACCAGAACAGTTGGAAATCCGAAGTCCTATCCAAGAGCAGGCTCAACAACATACAATCAGACCTGTGCAGAGCGAGCTTGGCTCCGATTCATCGTCACATCCCACAGACGACGAAGGACGCCAGCACCTCCAGGTGTCCCAGCAACAATATTCACTTGGCCAGGGACACCAGCAACAATTCGACACGGCTCAACATAATCATCACTACCAATTACAGAACCAGGGCGAAGTGCAGAACCCCCATCGCGACGCATTGGGCATCTCCTCCGAACGTCCCCCCCAAAACTTCGAGGTCGTCTCTGAGCTTCCGTACGAAGTGTCAACTGAACAGAGAGAAGAGCCTCCAGCATCGGGACAGTCTAGCGGGCATTCCCAAACCGGCAACGATAACATACAGCGTTCAGAGTATCCTAATCGGACCTCGTCAATCCCTCAGGGAACCAGTCCCTTGTCTCAATACCCTGCGATGGCTCCATCTACTGGAGCGTCGCAGCAACCTCGCCGCGGGCCTGATGCCAAGCAGACCCTGCAAGGGAACCAAGGGCCACCAGATTCCCGAGACGGACCCCCTCCTAGCTATCGACAACAATTCTCTGGGAATTTAACACCTACAACCGGACCTGGACAGAGCCCTCTTCCTACCTCCAGCCAAGGGCCTGATTACAGAGGGGGGCCACCACAAAGGGAGCAGTTTGGGCGATCTGGCGGGGGAGAGCAAGGTAGAAGTACGCCTCCTCCAGCGCCGGCAGAGCGGGACGTCAACGAGGCGTACAAGGAATTATGTAAGTTTGAAATCGGGGAATCTCTTGATATGATCAACACTAATACCCTTGCAGTACAAAAATACAAGAAGGTAAAAGGCCTCTATTTCGACAAGACAGCCCAAGTCGAACAACTCCAAAATACTCTAGCCAACCAACGGTTATCACATTCACGCACTTCCCTCGATGATAACGAATACATGACAAGATTTCAACGGCTAGACGGAGCCACTACTAACCTGGCTTTCAACATACGGAAGGACTGGCGGTCGATTCCCAGCTGGCTAGCGCCATACGTGAATCAAGATGCGCTGAAGGTGGGCAAGCAAGAAATGACAGCAGTAGGCAGGGCTTGTATAACGCGGTTCCTTGTGGATGAGATATTCAACAGGAGCTTTCACCCTGGGCTCGAGGGTGAGTTTAGCAGCAATTTAAAGATGATCGAGCAAAACATCCGTCGTTTCTCTCCAGCAATAAATAACCAAGAAGAGTCAGATGCTCTGACGGCTAAAGTTATCCACTGGAGGTTATCAACGTTGGAAGGTCTGAGGGACACCCTGCAGTCGCCAGAGAGCGAAGAGTACCGGAATCAGTTTTCTCAAGTGGCCACGACGAATCTGACCGCGAACTTAATAAACTTCTTATCAGAACCGGCCCCAGCTGGCATCGAGGATAGCGCTCGCATGATCGTCGAACTGGCAGTCAGTATTGCTTCCAATCTACCACTTGAGAGCCGGGACATCGCAATTACCTACCCCATGCCCGGCGATCAACTGCAACCAAATATCATGAAAGTCGAGACCGGCGGCGGCATGCCGTCCCTCGAGAACCCCGGCGTGGATCTCTCGGGTGACGTCGACGCCAGCAGCATAACCAGCGGCGACAAGGACGAGTCGGCCAAGGAGGGCGAAAAAGCCGAGGGGAACAAGCTCCGCAAGGAGAAGCCAAAGAGCGGCGGTAACATGCTGCAATCCATGATGGCCGGGAACAACAAGAACCCGCAGAACGGCCCGGACACACCCAGCGAGTCGAAGGGCAAGCAAACCTCCGAGGATGGACCCCAGAAGGTCCGATTCGCGGGATTCGTCGGTGTCGAGGTCAGAGGGAGACAGGTGTTGGCTAAGGCGCCCGTGTGGACGATGAACTAGAGACTCGTCCATGTATAGAAAGAAGAAGAGTAAGAAGAGTAATAATGTAGCTTTCACGAGCGCGTCGTGTGATGTGTGAGATATAGGGATCATCGGTAGGGCTGGATGGGTGGTAAAGTCATCATCATCATCATCAGTACCTAGGTATGGAGTGAAGTGAAAAGGTGAAGCGTCTTCTATGAGGTTATGAGGTCCCATGATAGATACCTGGTGCTATTATCGTACATACATACCTATAGATAAGGGTATATGTATGTGAAACGAATCTATAATATTCTCTCGTTCGGGCTCTTTCTACTTATCTTCTGTAGTGCACGGTGATGAGAATTAATTCAATTAATAGCCTTTGGGGGCAAACATATCACCAACACTCAATCCAGAAAACTATGTATGTATGTAGGTGTATGTATTGTATTACTGAACCCAGTATGTATTATGAAAAAGAGAAGTTTTTTGACCGTCAGGTAAGTCAACTTTGACTCCCGTCCCTCCTCCGTATGTGCAAATCAATCAACCAATCAATTTCCCCCCTTCCTTCCATCCTTCCTTCCCATTTCCCCCAAGTTCGCCTGGCTGGGACAGGACTACATGACTCTAAACAAATAAACAAATAAACCGACCCTGCAGGACCTATTTGCATAGGTGTGTGCGAAAGAACTCCGTCGCTCATGATTTTATGAAACCGTTCTTGTAAAATGCCCGCTCTCGACTTTTTGGTGCGCATTCCAAGCTGATCAGTCGACTGACTCCGTTTCCTCCCTTGATGACCGACCCCCTTACTTCATACATTCCTCTCTGACATTACTCACACTCGCTGCCTTTTTCTCTTTAAAAAGCAGCATCATCATATCCATCCGAGGTTCTCCAGCGTGCCTCGTGCATCGCTGCTACTCATGCCGCTGACGCCCAGAGCCCGGACTTGAGATCCCTTCCTCAGCCTCTGCAGTCCCACAGAGACCTTCCAGCTCTCCTCCTCTGAGATTATGAAGACATACCTCTTCCCGTCCTGGTCGCGGATGCTCGCCCGCAGCACGTGCAGCCCCGCCATCTTCAACTCCCCAGTCTGGAAGGAAAAGCCATTAGTTCTCTTGTACCTGGGCGGAGGCGAACCGACAGAAGAACCATAAGCCGAATCGGACGTAACAGAAGATCGATCATCAAAAGTACTCGCAGAATAGGTAGAACTCGCAGCAGAACTCGCAGAATAGGCAGAATAGGCAGAAGACGCAGAAGAAGTAGCACGCGGACGACAATTTTCCCGACAGACCTGCAGCATATCGAGCAAGAGCGCATCGATCTCTTCAGATGTTTGCTGTCGATCCTTTTCCAAGCCCCAAAATCGACGAACATGATTTGGCTTGTGCGGAGAAGCAAAGCGAGCAGACGCAGAATTGCCAGCGGGGCCCTGGCGGAGAGAAGGGCACCATACCTCTACGAGTTTCATTGTCCATGCCTTGACGTCCCACTCTCGTTGTGGGACGCCGCGGACATCATCGTCGATGAAGAGACCCTCGGTTGTGATCCTGAGGATTAGTCCATCCGTTACTGATCCTACTCCTGCAACGAGCTGCGAGGTGGGAGTTTTAATGAAGGTATTGTTGAAGGCGTAGACCGCTTTTATGACGATCTTGTTGGGGTCCTTGGTGCTGTAGGGACCACGATGCGAAGGAGGGGGTGTCGTTCGGGCTGTGGATTGTGATGCTGTGTATGAAGACTCGGAATAGAGGGAGGATTGTGACTTTTTGTGCATAGGCTTCTTCGGTTTGTCATAAGGTCGGTAGGAGTAAGCATCATCGTCGGTGCCTAAGTAAGTCTTTGCTGTTGGAGCAGGCGGTTTCTTAGTAGGTGAGGGCGACTGTGAGCGGACTGGTGGTGATGGAGGCCGCCCGCGTGGCCAGGGATTTGTCTTTTCTCCAACTGCAGAAAACGCATAGGTGGTACTTCCCTTTAGTTTCACTTTCTCCTCCTGCTCCTTCTTCTCCCGAGCTGCTTTTTCCCGTGCCTCTCTTTCCTTGGCCTCTTTTGCCTTGGCCTCTCTTTCTCGAGCCTCTCTTTCTCGAGCCTCTCTTTCTCGTGCCTCTCTTTCCTTGGCCTCTCTTTCTCGAGCTTCTCGAATCTCCCTTGCCCGTGCCATTCTCTCCCGTATTTCGCTCTCCCGAGCTTCCCTCTCCCGAGCTTCCATGTCCCGAGCCTCTTTCTCGCGAGCCTCTCGAGCTAGCCTTTCCCGAGCTTCTTTCTCACGGGCTTCTCTCTCACGGGCTTCTCTCTCACGGGCTTCTTTCTCACGGGCTTCTTTCTCACGGGCTTCTTTCTCACGGGCTTCTTTCTCGCGGGCTTCTTTCTCACGAGCCTCTTTCTCTTTTTCTAGCTTTTCTCGTGCTTCCCGCTCACGGGCTTCTCTTTCGCGGGCTTCTTTTAATTTCTTCTCGAGATCCTCCTTCCGCTTTTTCTCCGCTTCCTTTGCCTTCCGTTCTTCCTCCTTCCTCTTGGTTTCTTCTCTGGCTCTCTCCCAAGCGCCCTTAGCTGCACCATTGGCACCGGCTGTATTTGAGCTTGCGCCAGTTGCGCCCGGCTGTGGCGGTGGCGCGTCTGGTCGCTGCCAGCTCGATTTGGGTCGGTCTCCTGCCGTAGGTCCACCGCCGGGAGGCGGTCCATGGCCTGGGGGAGGTCCGTGACCTGGAGGCGGTCCCTGGTCTGGGGATGGTCCCTGGCCTGGAGCTGGGCCGCCTGCATATCCACCGGAATGGCTACTTGAACTTGCACCACTGTAACTACCGTGAGGACCGCTCTGTGGTGGGACACCACCTTCTCTACCTCCGCCAGGCTTTGATCCTCCATCTGTTTGTGTTCTTCCCAGAGCCCACGCTCCAACGCCTATTGCTAACATGAGCAGCATCGTCCCCATCCCACCAGATCCCTTCAGATTGTACCACCAGTTTTGGATAGCTGGTGCCGCCATCGAACCTAGAGCAACTAGTACGAGGGCAGAAGCAAAGCCGGCGGCGAAACTATTAACATTCGGTCTTAAGGACGGGAGGTAGAGAAAGCCGGATCCCGAGGAGTGTGGAGGTATTATGAAGATATCGTATTTTCCTGGCGGTAAACCCGATGATTTGGGCACCTCCCCATGAGGAGGCGGGGGTGGACCGCTCATTGTTGCTGTGCGATGCTACGCCAGAGCAAGTCGTTGTGTCCCAGTTCGAAAGGTCGTTATGTACGTTGCAGGAATTCTGAAGGAAGATGACAGTCGAATGTACAGCAAGGGTATCTTTAGAGGCCGTGAAATGTCATAAGGTCGTGAACAAACTGGCAGAGCGTCAGCATGTTTTCCAGAGAATTGCAAAGCTTCGTCAACAAACCTCCTGAAGCAAACAGCGCAGAATCCAAATCGACTCAACTCAACTCGCTCAAAGATACAGAACTCCAGACTCCTCTGTGATGCAAATCATCGAGTCCCGCTATGTTGCTGTGGGGTAAAAGGGCCTCGGTGGTTGTCGTTGAGTGTCGAAATAATTGATGGGGGCCGTCCTGATGTTTACAGCAGTACAAAATGAACTCGGGTGTTTAGGCGAGTCTTTTTTTGACAGCAAATCCTGGTCCCAGACGGTTGGACCACAGCGATCTGCACGGCGATAAAGAAAAAAAAAGACCCTTTGAAAGTCTCGAGTCCTCTATCGGAGAATTACGCCCTAAATGGCAGCCAAGTCTTTTGGTGAGAAGGCGGAGGAGGATGGAGGCCCCGGGGGCGAACCCTTCTCTTGCCCTTCGTTTTCTACGCAGACAGCCGCAGCAACCAGCTAACAAACAAACATCTTCACAGCTCAGATCTGGCTGGCCGAGGAGCAGCTTTGGACAATGCCCAATCGCGGCTTCGAGAGCGCAAATGGACACGTTGAGAGGCCACGGCGCTGTCGTCTGCTCCACAGTCACAGCGAATCGCAGTCGCATTGCCACACAAATATCACACATGTTGCATCAGCGTCTGCACAGAGTCCAAGTTCGAGTCCTCCGCACAAATAATAATGCCGCAAAACTGGCACAAAAGCAAGCAGTTTCTTGGGGCGGAGATATCACACCCCGTGCGAGGGACGGTCCGCCACTAGGATGCCAGCGTCGAGTAACGGCACTCCAGATCATTGGCTGATGGTGTCCCTCCGCACGAGTAGTACCGCACTATGGGAGATGTGGCGCGTCGGATGAGACTCGCGTCTCGTCGCCGCAGCAACCGGGGAACAGCTGGGATGACGTAGAATTGAGGCGCTGAAAGGATCGAAAGGGGCAGAAGAACGGAAGGGGGATCATCCCCAACACTATCATAAGCGCTCCGTTGGCGCAATTGGCCCATCTTCATGGGGTTCACGTGTTTTGCGACTCTGCTATCTCTCTGTTAGTTTCATTGCAATTGATTAAAGGGGAGAGTAGACCAGGAATACTCATTCTGCAACCAAGCGGTTGGAAGATACCTAATACCTTCTACAGTATCAGTAAAATATAGGCAAGCTGTACTGGTCTGCATAAAACCCGCGCCGGCGATATTCCGTGAGGAGTTGTAGCTCTGCGTGGCTTTCAGGCCTTCACCGCCATATCCAAGTGTGTTTCAACAACTTCATGCTCCTCCTGATTTCATGCCTATGACTCTTCTGATGAACAGGGTTCAATCAGCCGCACCAAACTAAAAGTTAGTTAGCTTTTGATTCATTTCTCTAAAGCTATTCTGCTTGAAGAATTAGATGCTAAAGCGGATTAGCTAGTAAAGGAGAGCAGGTGTGAAGACCACCAGATGACAAGGAGCATCTGACCGCAAGAAAGTGACGCGATGGAAACAAGAGCTCTGTATATAAAAGCATACACGTATAAGACTGATGTATACCGAGTGCAGGTAAGTTAATCACTTACCTATTGATGTTGGGTATTGTGTTGCCTTCTCCACCAAGCGTTCTATTGTATGACTTGTTCTCTGCCATTGTCTGACCTATAGGAGTATCTTCTGTCAGTACAGAACAAAGAAACGGTTGATACGCGAAGTACCTATTGACAGATCCTATTTTTGATGTCTTGAATGATGAAGCTCAGGTAGTTGTCGGGTTATCAGAGGGGTTCTTTTGGATGGTCTATAGCCACAACCCTCTATCAACAGCGGCACAATGCCAGACTGTCAGAACATCAGTTTAGCGTGTCCGGACTCCCATTGAACAAGGATATAAAGCAGTCCTTGTGTCAGTGTAAGGTTCAAAGGCCTCGAGAAGATGCGAAGTCTTTCGCGTGGGCAGGTGTTTGTTGATAAAAGAAGAAAAGACGGGGGTGCAGAAAAGTCAGGTGGAGTAAATAGAACTTGACGTGTGTGTGCCTCGACGGCCTGATCTTGTGGAAATATGTAAGCGTTTACGGGGGCGACAAAAAAACGACGTCGTTCTGAGTAGAACGATGTCGTCGTGGCTCGATCCATGAGCCCGTAGCCTTCCCTGAATTATGCATGCTTCGATTCAGAGGGAATCAACCTGCAGGTTTCTAAGAGGTAAGCAGGGAGTAAGCTTTGATCGAGTGCTGAAACAAACTCTTTGAATACCGAACCCTGCTTTAGACAGAAAGGTCTGGCAACAAGTAAAGACGTTGACGCCATCCAAACTCAGCAAAAACACTACTATAGCTCTCCACAGATATAGCTAATGACTTGTACCTGGATTGCAGGTTAGAACCATGGGAGGCTCCTCAGTGAGTTCTACGTTGGTATAACTCTGCCGACTGAAATATCGGTTACCGGGTAAAAAAGGCTGGCCGGGAGGTAGATAGCAATGGTGTTTCTGGGAAGAGGCAGATAAAAATCATCGATTCTTGTGAGATACGTTTATTCTCCAAGGAATCCATTATCTGAGCGAACTATGGGTAAATTATGACCTTTGAAAGTAGATTAGGATTTTGCTCTATGTTGTTGAAGTATGCTTGATTAGTACTCTTGAATATTTAACCATGAATCAAGATGCACTGGCCACCCTCGTATTTCCAAAAATATGAAGCATTCTGGGAGGCCTTACAGTAAGGTATTGAGAGTTGCTCAGGGAGTTCAATTATTCCCATGAATCTTGTTAACAGGAAAGCTCTCTTCCCATATCTTCCTTGTCTTGAGAGCTTTAATATTTTCCTAATCCAGAACGGAGGGAGAATGGGGTGGGGGGCAGCTGTTAACTACCTTACCTTAGGTAGGTATATTTATGCTAATGCTCAACCAACTATTCGTGTTCTCCCTCTTGTGCTCTTATAATATCCGACAGTCCTTCCATCTGATCACTCACGGTTTGACTCTCAACTCCATTCCTGAACCATAGGCACTCCTGGTAAGCGACTCGCAGATATAAATACGGAGCAAAAGTATACCTAAATTTCAACACCTGGTATTGTATATAAAGGCAACTCCGTATAGCCGTGAAGCAGTATCTCTCTCTGTCTTATACTATGGCCCTGAAGAAAATGACAAAATCCCAAACCCCGAATTGAAAGCGCCAAACTCCGCCGCTGATGCTAGAGACGCTGAAAGATATATTGTACAAATGACCATCTTATGATATCTTCCCAATCCTCTTCTTTGCGACATCAACCTTGTTCTTCACTCGTTCTGCGTCCTCGTCCACTCTTGCTAGCATCTCATTCTGCCGCTCGAGCTCCGAGTGGATCGCCAGGCCCATCTCCTTCTGTCGCCGCACAATCTTGGTCAGCTCCTCCACGTCCAGATCCTGATCCTGCATTATCTGCTTCTGCAGCTGCAGAACACCCTCGTTATCCAACTCCCGCGTGCGGTCCGTCTCGGGAACCGGGGCCCCGAGGACTCGTCCAGCGGGCCTCGAGACTCCAGGCCCGAATAACGCATTCTTGTCCTGGTTCGTGGCCGCCGCGCCCCCATTGCCACTGCTACTCTTGCTCTGGTGCTTCACCGCCAGGTTGACAGCTAGCTTCTCCAAGCCATCCCTCTCCACCTTTGCACTCCCCAGTAGATCCTTCCGGCGCCTCAGCTCCCCCGCCCCCAGCTTCCCTTCCCCGCCCTTCCTCTCCCCATCCATCATGATCTTCAAGCCCTCCTCTAAGCTCCCCAATAGCGTCCCTACCTTCACCAGACACTTTTTCGCCTGCGCCCCGGCCTCGTACTGGCCCTGCGCCGTCGTCGCCCCATCCCGCCGCCCCAGAAACAGCCGCGCATCATGCAGCTGGCCCTTCATCTCACGATGCAGATCCAGCCAGACCTGCGGATCCGCCGCCATCTGGCCCGCGTCCGGCCCCAGACCCCTCTGATGCGCAGCGAGCAGCTCTCCGCGCGCGCTGCTCCCGCTGCCGCTCGCGCTCGCGCTCGGCAGGTTGAGGAACGCCCGCCACACCGACGTCTCGCGCCAGCGCCGGTCAGGCCCTTCTGCGATGGCGCGCAGGTATTTCTCGAGGCCGACGCGCCGCGATTCCGTGAGCTCGGGAGACGAGGTGGTCGATTTGAACCACGATTTCGAGGGGAGGGGAGCGGGAGTTGGGTCGGGGATGAGGGAGGTGAGGGTGTTGTGGAGGGTCACGAATTCGGAATACCGTTTTTGCACGACGAAGGTGCGAAGGGGGAGCCGGAGAGTTATATTGTAGAGGGTGTATGGCTTCTCGCCGGGTATGTTGGATAGGATCGTGGATGGTATGGAGATCTCCACGGGTGGAGCCATGGTTGTGAGTCGATAGTTGTTGTTCTATCCCGTGAGCTGATATCGCAGATATCGCAACCCGCAAAATAATTGTCTGAAGAAAAGGTGTTGATGGTGTTGAGAGAAGTGGTCTCTCGGGGAATGGGTTGACGTTGTTCTTGGGGAGAGCTCGGACAAGGGTTCGAAATGCACAGCCTTGGCGGCACGACCAGATACTCCGTATGTACCAAATGTGGGGTTCTGATATGATATTGGGCCGTCCCGAGGAAATCGACGAAAGACCATCCACATATCTTGATCTGAACACATCCACAGTAATTCTTCATCGTATCTAGAGCCCTAGTTAACAGGACTACCTATCTACGAACCCCTCCCCTAGCCAGGGGAAATGTAATTTCATCCATCCCATAATTCATATCTCCCCGCGTATGCTATGTAACTCCAATAGCCTAAGGAACAAGTTGCAGCCTCCGCGCTTTTCGTAATCATCATCATTAACGAGTTTAGAATGTCTCCTGATCATCAAGCACCTCGGCCTCGGCCGGAATCTCAAAGCCATCTTCCGTCGAGTATAAGATTGTCTGGATGTGCTTGATCAACCCGTCCTCCTGCTTCTCAATCTCTGGGTCTTCCTCGCACGCTTGTTGAATCAGCAACTCAATGTCGCGGAGCTTGCTGAAGTAGAAATCCCTCTCGCGCTCTAGTCCTTGCACCGTCTCCTTTAGTGTATTATTCTCCTGCTGTAAGGCTAGCGAGCTAGCACCACCCATTCCGGCTTTTGCGACCCGTCCGCCTGTTGTTGGTGTTGTACCTCTCCTGGCTGCACCTGTAGTTGCTGCACGAGGCGCTGCCGCTGGGGGAGGGGCACCAGAACCACGTCGTCGAGCAACTGCATCATATTCACCTCCAGGATAGTACTGGTCCCAGTATCGCTTGGTCCACTGGAGGAACTCGAGGTTGTCTTGCATCTTGCATTTGATAAGTTGCTCGACGTTGACAGGCCGGTCAATGTTGTGTTTCGTGAAGCAGCCTGTTTGTTGAGAGATGTTAGGCTATGCCTCGGGCCTTTGTGCATTGTGGGTGTTCCTTACTCTGGAGGATCTTGAAGTTTTGCAGGTATGCGTACTCGGTATTGACATTAAACTTGACTCTGGACATCGGAACATCGAGATAGATACTGTCGAAAATCTGGCAGAGGGCCGCACTATGTACCAGGGGGTTTAATATTAGGCTTGAGCAGGTGGGATGGAGAGGTACAAGGTGGGGGAACATTCAAACTTACCCCGTTCCGCATTGCTCGACCTTGGTAAGATTCAACTGGAGCAGGTTGTTAAGCCATGCCACCAGCTCTTGTCTGCAGAGGCGCGTTAGGATTCTGAGATTGCCTGTCGTCGATCATGTTGCGACTGACCTAGATTCGCCCATTTTGAACGAAACGAGCACAGAGTATTGGTCACGATTATGAGAGGGGTATTCGAAGAGCGTTCCGAGCGCAGCTAATACACAAGCTCTCAGCGGCAGTTGTTCTCGCGGGGTTCTGTTTGAAACGGATTTACTCCCAAACTTTGAAAACAGGGACTCGCGCAGATTGAACCTGGAAGGTCGCCTAATCAACGAGCACGTGATGCAGGGGAAGATCAGTACCGTAAATCTTGTGACAGGGGGTTCCACTAGGGATTTTGCTTTTTAATATCATTGAGAAGTTGTATTTCTAATAAATTTGGCCACTAGGAGGCCACGAAGAGTCGAAGAAGTTCCAAATGCTGGTCTAGTAATAGTGTGTAACTTCTGCTACAGTCAATAACATCACGTCGCGTTCTTGAGAGAATCAGAGCACCGCAATAACGTGGTCTTTCATTGCTATAGCCCACTACCTATGCAAAGTCTCGCTCCAACATGTCATGATAGGGCTTCGCTGGCATGAACTGATATCCCATATGCTCCTCCACTGTACGCCGGTCAAAAGGAAAAGTATGCCCCCAAACGTATGTACAAAATAGAAAAAAAAACGGAAAGGGTATCTCAAGGATCTCATATCTTTAATGAACCATCATATCATCTGACCACTCTTAACACTTAGTGCCAGTACTGTCTGCCAGCTCGAAAATAGAAATGGTGGCACAGAAAGTGTTGCGGTTGTCGCTATCGAGTGCGGCGCTCGAACCATCGACGGTAACCATGTTGGTTGAAGCTTTCGTGGACAAGCCATACAAATGAATGTTGCCGGAGTTCTCGAGTGACACCATGTTCTCTTGGCAACTCTCAGTATCTAGACAAGTTTGGGAGTAGTTGTCAAAGAAACTGTACAAGCCAGCACCGAAGATGAACACGTCCTCCGAATCAACAATGCGGAGACCCCAAGCCTTGTTAGCACTTGGAGTGCCGGAGAAGACGGGATCGGAGTAAGCACTATTGGAAGTGAATGGCGATGAGGCATCTGGGTTGCTTTGGAAGTAGGGCGTCTCGGTTTGAATGAGAGCCATGTAAACATTCGAAGCGTTCGCAACCTGGTAGTTGTACAAAACGGAATGCTCAGAACTTGTCCCGTACATCCAAACCGGTCCTTCGTCAGATCCGATCAACACACCACGACCATTGAAGATATTGATCTGGGAATGATCTGAGAGATCAAGCTCATGGTCAGCGACCCAGAACCAGTTGTTCTCAAGGTAGATTGAGGCCTTTGATGTAACATGTAAGAGGAGGAACGCTCCCTCGCAGTCAGGGTTGGCAGCGGCTGTGACATTCGGGTTCTTTGCACATGTGTCTGACTGGAGTTTCGTACCTGCTGAGCCTCCGATACGCATGTGAACGTCCCACATGCCTACGGAGCCTTGGGAGGCTTCAGCAACATTCCATTCGACCATAATGGCGCCTGGTTGTGGCCCAAGAGTCTCGAAGATCAGATCGGATATCTCGACGGATCCAGTATCGCCAGGCTGGCCTACTTGGAAAACCGGTGTTGGGTTACTTTGGTCCTGGAACGCAGTCCCTCCAGCCATAATTATAGGCCAGATTTCGCCGGTGATTCTGATGTTCTTGGGAACCTTGATTGTGCTTGTGACGACATAGGCACCATGATCAAAGTAAACAATGTCAGATGAGCTGGCTTTGTTGAATAAGGCCTGAATGGCAGCGGTATCGTCTGTGACACCGTCCCCTTTCGCACCAGCAGATTTCACGCTCAAGAATGCCGAAACCGGCTCCGTCTCATACTGGGGCTTTGAGCGTGTAAAAACGTTGCCAGAGGAATCCAAGAGAGCGGCAGGTTTCTTGGGAGCAGTCTGGGGCTTTTGGACAGCGGTGCCAGAATTCGTACCATCGTACTGACGGCCTTGAGCCCATGAGGCAATCTTAGCATTTCCGGCGAGGATGGTAGAGTTCGTCGATGCTTCAGATACTGCAACAGGTACGTTTTCTGACATATCCACGTTGTCAATGATTAGTGTGCCGTTGGTAGCTCCCTCGTTTGTCGAGTAGGCGGTAGAAACACCAATAGGGGTGTTGGAGATTGTGCTGTCAACAAGAAGAACAGAGCCGACGGTTTGGCCTGATGTGCCTCCATTGGACATGTCGACACCAATGTTGCAGTTGTTGATTGTGAGTCCAGAAAGGGTCCATGCCCAGTTCCAGTTCATATATACCGCAGTTTGGCACTTGTTGAACGTGAGGTTGCGAGTAGTAAATTGCTGGTTTCCGAAGAAGGCTCCATATTTGCCGCCATTGAAGGTCAAATCGGTCATGAACCCACCAGAGCCATTGTCCATAAAGATACCCTGCAGAGAAAAGTTAGTTAATGTACAACCATTTGTTGGTGAGCAAGATTCTCTTACCTGTTGGGCGTTTGAAGTTCCTCCGTCGGTTCTCATATTGAATACGATGTTTTGAAGGGAAGTAGCTTGTGCAACTTGCCAATGAATGCCAGCCCCAGAAGTCACGGGCATAGCGGTAGTGTCAATAATGAAGTTCCGAATTTGGCGGAAGAAGTTGTTCTGGTTGGTATACCAGTTCCTGCGAGATATTATTAGCTATCATTTCCAAGCACCCAGTAGGAAAGATCGATACTTACGCTCCAGTAGAAGTGTATGGGTCCGAGTCTATCAGTGCCATGCCTGTGAAACCAGGTGTAGCCTTAATTGTAGGAAGAGACACGGCATCGCCAATGAACTGAGTGTAATAGTATTGGATCAGAGGAGCCGAGATCGAATAAGTTCCGGGAGGGACTAAAACATCGCAGAGTAAGTCAGCATGAGATTCTCAACAGAGCTATTCAAAAAGAAAAACAACATTATGGATATCATGGAAAATACTCACAGTAGATTATAGCTGGTGTGACAGTCGATGAATCGCAGCCTTGACCACATCGCGCGCCGTCAGTAATAGCAGAGTTGATTGCGTCAGTGTCATCGGTGGTTCCTGAATGGCCTAGTTAGCAAATGGTAGATATGACAACTTCAAGGGGTAGTAGACTTACCATCGCCAGCAGCGCCATAGTCCTTCACATTTCGAAAGACCTTGTAGTCCGATGCACCGAAAGCAACAGTGCCTTGGCGCTCAATAGATGCGAGCCAGTAGGTGGAATCAGCGGCGCCAATAGAGATGCCAACACCCACAGAGGGGGGAGTCGGAGCGGAAGAGACGAGGAGGAAGAGGCGTAGAGCCACGAAAAGCGCAAAGATCGAAAAGGTAGCCATCATAAAGATGTACCTGGGGATGGAAGATGCTCTGAATGAATGTGGGGACTGTCCAGAACGGTTGACTGTTAGTCTTGTAGTCCTGTATGTCCACAACCTGTGTGTTGTGGTGCGGGTGGTACTTATCGAGTAAATAAGAGTTGGCGGGGTGGTTTTGAAGGAGGAGGGGCAGGAAGGGGGCGGGAAGATTCGCCTGTCTACCAGCGACAATACTTTGGGTCTCGGGGTTGGGGGTACAATAGAGTGGATCGAAGAAGGGTCTTATTGTAATACGAAGACAATGGTTTTAATGGAAAAAAGAAGAGGAGCAGGAGGGACAGATTCACCAAATCTTGTAGGTGATTGTTCCAGTTGTTCTTGTCAAGGTTGTACGGGGAACGACCAAACTATTGGCAGACTTCGTGAATGGGCAAAGTGCGGAGGCTAACTGACGAACAAAGAAACAGTCTCGAACGAAGTCCTTCTCGAACAAACAGAGACGATCTCAAACAAACGATCTCGGACAAACAAGCAACCCCGAATGAACCCCAGTCACGAACAATGGCATGAATAGGGGGCGACTCACAGTGAATGAACGCGAAGTGAAGGGCCGCCGGCGCCGAGGGTTGAAAGGAGTGCGATGACTTCGAAGAGTCGATGTCTGAAAGATCGTGCCTTTGACAAGAAGCGGAGGGCTACCTATACTTACATATGATCTTGTCGAAGGTTCCTTGGGGTCGTCTATCACCATCTCGCCCGCACGTCCACTCCACGGCCCTTGTTGCATCGCGCCCTGGCCCTGGCCCTGCACAGCTCCTTCAAACATGCCATCGGGCACAGAAGCAGAAGAAAACATGGTCTTTGCCATTGCCATTCGCCATCCACCTCCGAGTCAGTGCACCGGGGGGTGGTCGAAGGGGAGGATACGTTACTCTGTGAACGGCACGCAGACTTGCCCGCTGTTAGCGAATGCACCGCGTCCAACCACTTCCAGTGGAGACTCGTGCCGTTCCTGAGCGATCGACGGCTGGATCTCAGCTGGCTGGCGCTATTGGTCCCGGCAGATTGGCAGGTTGGAGGCCTTTGATTCGGCATTCTGGGGCAAGTCGCGGATAGGCGTCGATAAAGGACGCCCCACAGGACAAGCCTTTTCTTTGCTGGGGGTTTGGTGGAGGTCGTTCCCAATAATAATCTCCTCCAATAAAGCCGCCCGCCACACTCGCAGCAGCGCCATGAAACCTCCTCGCCCTTGCGCGATCATAGCCAGGCACGCTGCCGTTGTGGTTGGCTAGCGGCCCTCTATTCGGCGATTCCCCTCCAGCGCCGGATCACCCAGCGCTCATCTTTCACCATATGGAGGAAGGCTGCCGTCGGCGAGAGGCTATTCAATGCATGACCTGCTTCTACAGCAGGCATCGCCATCGCTAGAAGCCTCAAAAGAGCAGGTCGGTCATATCGACATGAAAATGCCCGAACGGCGAAGCTTCAACCGTGTACTCATTGAAAATACATCGGCCCTACTTACGATTCTAAACCTCGGAGAGTCTCTGCATGGAAATTCCCCATGATGCCCATCCCTCTTCATCTCCTCATTCTCCGCTTCAAACATAATTCGATGGCATTCTCGAGTCAGAAGCGAGTGATACGCCCCGGAACTCCAGCGTTTATTCATCATATTGATGCTGTTTCAAGCGAATTTCCGTCGGTCTGTTTGGTTGGTCAAAGGGACAGGCGACTTACGAAACGATGAGCTTTGGTCTGTACCCCGTATGGGGGGGGACCACGGGCCACAATCATGCTTGAGCCATGCGACTCCCTCGCGTTTCAGACATCCATGGAGAACGAAGATTAGACGATATTTGACATCAATTATGATTACGGATTAAGATTCAGCGGCATGAAATCGAATGATCCGAAATAGTTCGGGTCAACAGTGAAGCTTTGAGCACCTGGCTATGATCATGGCTACGCGATGGGCAGTATTGGGCCGGGGCGGCTCAGACAGGAAGCAAGGCCGCGCAAGCATGCAACCTTAGGGTTTCAACTCGCCGCGTCCAGTTTCCATTGCTTGCCAAATCCCTAGCCGTCCGATCCCGAGTTCATTTGATTGACTTGTTTGATAAACATCAGCAGCTTCAGAAACGTTGCATTTCTCGGATCGAGAAGAAAAGGGGGGGAGATTTAATTCTCCGGGCTTTGTATTACAGGTCTTAGCCCGGGGGTTAGTCGTCGTCCTACCTCAGTAAGTTAGAATTAACACGGGGAATATACAATAGTATCAGGTAGGTAGGTATTTATGCTAGAATCCCTCCAATCCAGACATCAGACCACTGCATGACATCCAATCCCACGCGATCAAACTGACAGCTCCGACGTACAGAGTCGGCCGCGTTCTGGAAAGGGGCTGTCACGACTCATGACCACATATAGAATAATAAGAGAGCAGAGAGTCATCCTAGGCTTCTGTCATTTAAGAAGTTTCGACGAGAAAGATAGAAAGGAAATGTACGCTCTCCTTATATCTGCAGCGACTATGGGTATCTAGTTATTCGATAGGGAGGTGTGAGAGATATTGATCTGGAACAGAGATCTCAGGGGCAATATGAGATGAATGAATGAGTAGATGGCATAGGTAGTCTTCATTCAATACCGAACAGCTCCAGTTAACCCATCAGAATGGATAGAGTCTTCCACTCTATAGAGAAACACAGCTTCTTCAGCCAGATGGATGATTCTTCTCGAATTCCAAAGCATCGATCCTACCCTATTACCATGAATGAGCCTTGCAATGTTATGATTCAGCCTCGTCAACGTATGCACGTAGGGTCCAATGATTACAGTAGTCCAACAGTTTTATTTCATATTTTTTTCTGGCTTTGCTTTCTTCTTTTTTTTTCGGTATTTGGTATTTGGTATTTGGCCTGGCTGCGTCTGATCATTACCCGCCTAGGTATTCCCTCCATCAATCAATCGGTATACCACATTTCCGTGGGACGCCGCACTCCATAAACCCAGATTCGCCAGCCAAGTTAGAAAGAAGAACTCCCCCCCCTTAGTCGTACAAGTTCGTCAATTACAACCACCACCTGATTACCTATTTATCGCCTCTTTCTGCTCTTCGCCTTCTTGCTCTTCGTAACTGGAATCACAGCCACGGTTTCTTCGTTTGCTGCGTTATTATAATCATTCTCCAGATCGTTTAGCTGATCGTCGTCCATCTCGCTCAGTTCTTCGCTTGGGCGCGTCGATTCTCTTACTATCTCTGAAACTTTCACGCCTTCTATCTGGAAATCTTCCTTGAGGAACAGAGGGATTCCTCCGTCGGTGAGAGTCTTGTCTCCCTGTTCTGCATTGGTATAGCCGTTCGATACTGGTGGTATGGCTGTGTTTGGTTGCTCGACTTGCGGAGCAGAAACATGCCCACTCGTATCAAAAGACGTATTTGTGTTTTTGAGACCATTCGTAGGTTGTGCTTTGGCTGGTGACTTATTTATATTTACTTCAGCGAGAGCAGCTGTAGTAATGGTATCTCCGTTTGGCTCGGCATTCGCGGGAGACTCGGAAGAAACGGCTACAATGATGTTTTCCTCTTCCTCGTGTGGCGCATCGACGTCCTCCATCTGGACGTCATCCGCCTCGCGTTTTTGATTTGAATCTTCGTTGTGGCTTTTAGACGTATCGGTATCCCCTTGTCCAACGCCATTTTGTTTCGCGTGAGCTGCATCGGTCATCACCACATCTCCCTCAGCATCTTCCTGTGACCCGGATTCTCCGAGAGAGACCGACACCGAGCCCTGTCTTGCTTCGAGACTGCCCTCCAGCAAATTCTTTAGCTCCTTCAGTTGCTCCTCAGCTGGCTCGCCACTTATCTCAACCTCCGCTCTAAGAGCTGCCTCGAGCTGTGGTTGGATTGCCTTTATGATGCGTTTGGCCAGCTTCTTGCGCTCCTTGATATCTCCTGTTTGCTTCTTGGGGGACGAGGTCGTATCAACTTCTGCTTCTGGATTGGCTGGAGGTTCACTCCCGATGCCCGCACTGAAGACTGCACTCAGATCCCGCGCAAATGGGAGTATTGTCGTGTAGAAGCGTTGTTGGAGTTTGGATCGGATCTTGGTCAGTCCATCGGTGAAGAAAGTCTTGATATCAAGTCTATATCGCATTAGTAAATTATCTCGATGAAAGGCAAATGACTTACACTAAAGCTTTGTCCATAATAGGAGGTAGTAACTTTGCGATCGGAAAGTAAATCGCGTCGATAAGTTCTGCCTCAAGTTCTGACATTTCCAACTTTGTCTTCTCGCGCGCCACGATGTCTTCCACAAGACTCTTCACTCTCTCAAGTTCCTTGACCATATTGTCAGCAAACTCGATTCGTCGTTCGAGTCTTGGTCTGCCAGCAGGACCCATGGCAGCAAAATTTCTGCGAGGGAGTTCCATAGAAGAAAAGGAGTCCTGCAATTGTAATCGTTTGAGTAGTGCGGCACCCCTACGCGCCTCTCGTTTGAGCGTCCAATACCTACAGACATCCGCAACATACTCCTTGCGTTTAAGAACAGGAAAACGTTGAAGGGCGCTTTCGACTGTGTTGAAGGTGATTTGTGGAATCACCGGAGCACCCGATGGGAGTTTCCAGACTGCCTTGGGAGGTTGGTTTCCCTTTTTCTTGCCATCGCCCAAGGCCGCCTCAGCATCCACGCCCATAAGCTGCGATTCATCCGGTTGGTGCTCAGTAATGGCATTTCGGTGTGTGGCTGCCAGTGCCGAAGCCGAAGCTTGGCTATCTGCCCACAAGCGACCACGCATCGTTCGTCGGTAGAAGGACTTTGCATCTCGAATAGCCTGAGCCACATCATTTTCCTTCGCGTAGTCCGAGGGGCAATGCTTGTCACAGAAGGCCTTTAAAACCGTGGTACCATCGAGGACAGAGAGTGTGCCATGACTATTCTTCATCTTCAGGAATAAGCGGGCCTTCCTCGCACAGGTGACATGGAATGCCTGATAGCATGCTTTATTGCCGCATTGGATACAGGCACCCATGCGCTGATTGCAAATATAGCAGGTCAGTTTCCATCTAGTCTTTGGCACCTTCTCGACTTCCATCACTGGCTCCATGAAAGTATGGTTCCCAAGAGAAACTTCGGGAATCCACATAGCACAGAGAAGATGCGCCCATTTGGAGGCATTGGTTTGTTTGAACGCTCCATCCGTATTAGGACAGAAGATACAAGTCTGTTTCATGGTTAGTATGGAGACGGAATCGGACAGGATCGAAGAAGCTCACCGGAATGCCGCGACCTATCAATTGACATTTTCGACACAGCCACTGCCCTTCGGGAATGAAGGGAACTCCGTAGCACTCTTGATGGACCGCCAAGTCACAGCCGTCACAGAAGACAATGGCATTGGTGTTCTCACAATCGCCATCATCACATATAGCGCACTTGCTATCTTGCTCTTCCCCAGCTTGTGGCTCTCCATTGACTGCCGCCGCTGAACTTGATCTCGGTCTATGAGTTTGTGGAGGCTTGGGATTGGGCTTGGGAATTCGCCTCTCCAGCGCATACCATTCCTTTTCAATTGTAGTGATGGTAATCTCGAACATCTCCCGTGTAATTGCTTCGGAACCGGAGGCTTTCCGCTCAAAGTTATATGCTTCAAGCCATTTGTCATCCTGCAGATCCATGTCATACTCAACACGACCAACACTGCCACTACCAACTCCGAGAGAGTTCTCTTTCACGTCCGGGACAAGGTCGAAATCTTCGTCTAGGTTTATATCCGAGGCCTTGATGAGTCTCCCTTCTGGACGAATAAATATGTCGCTCATTTGATACCCAACGTTGGCCATTGACTTATCCACGTAGCGCACCTGATCCTCGAATCGAGCTAATGTGTTGGATATGCGATATGATGGTTGTGGCAAAGTCAGTTTCTCTTTAGGGTTCGTATTTTGAACCGGAGGGCGTATATTTGGTGCCTTTGGGGTACCTATGTTCAGACCTATGCCAAGCTGTTCCGCCCGTTTTGCATAAAATGCGATGGGGTCCTTGGGAGGCCGGCCAGGTCTTCTCTTGCCACCGCCTGGAGTACCAGGGATGCCCATCATTAATATAGGTTCGCCGTTAGCCGATGCAGAAGGCGTTACGTTACCCTCGCTCTTCGTTTGGGAACCTTCAATGCCGTTTGGAGTATGTAAGCCGTTGGTACCCTCGATGGAACCATCTGCCGAGGCTGGGGCTCCCGCAGGCGTGTGGGGTCTCGATTGTATTCCCTCGATCTCGTCTGCGCTGAAGGCACGAAGAGGTGATTCGATATCCAAGTTTGGATGGAACTCTTCCCATGCCCGTTCTTCTCTCGGCTTGTATCCATCATTCTGCACTGCTGCAGCAGCCTGAGCGGCGGACGTAAACCTCATCGGGGGCGGTTGTGCGCGTGGAATGACGGTTCGTGTTCGTGGTGTTCGGTTTTGTCTATTGTAGACGACTGGCTGTACTCCGTTGGCTAAGTTTTCTCGGCCTATGCGCCCACGAGGCCCAATGTAGTTGTAACCTCCTGGACCAGTTCCGCCCACCGGTATTTCTGTGCCATCCTCATCAACATATCTACCTCCCCCGCCGGGACCACCTGGTATGTATCGGAGCTTCTTTTTGGGCGGTTCGGATGACATGCTTCCTAGAGTTGCTTTCTCGGACTGGGTGGGGGCGCGCTCTGATTTCGGTCTGGTGCGCGATCTGACAGGCGCCGAACGACGCGGCGTAGCTGGAGAAGGTGACATGATTGAATCGCATCCACCGTCCTCGCGCAAGTAGAGCAGGTTCGATCAAACACTAGTTGAGGCGACAAGCCTTATTTGCCGCGTCGAGAGGGAATGCGGAGGTGAGCAGGGCGTGATGGTAAGCGTATGGTCGCATCGGGGCGCTATTGAGGAAAAGACAGGATGCGACGTAGCTTGGCACAGGAAAGTAATTGCAAAGTATTGCTGGATTGTGCCAGATGCTGTAACAGATGCCGCTGACGCTCTGGCGCAGTGAACAGATTGGAGGTCGTTGTCCCTTTACCAGGAATGATAGCTGAGGTTCAGCTGCAGATCGCGTACGAAGGACAAACGATGTTCCGTGACGGATAAACAATAGGCATGTGTGGATAAACTATAATCCGAGGGAAGCGAAGCGGCCGCATGGAGAAGCAAGGGTGTTCCCCAGACCGATCAAGGGACCGTTTGATGGCCATGGCACAGAAGATCACAGTTCACGTGGGGGACGAAAGAAAAGCAGTTCAGATCTGATATTCTCTCTCATTGCTCTGTTTGCGCAGGACAGCGGAAGGCAGTCATATCACTCCGCGCATGGTCAGGGGGCTCTCCTCTCTCTGGCTCCAGGGGTACATCGGAAGAATGCTTCAATGCTTGCAGTTGTGGATCCTTTCAAAGTCCTCCCAAGCGGCCAGGCCCCGCCGTCATCTGGGATTCTAGGTACGGGCCACCTAGGTATACCAACTATCAAACTGCCACTACTTGACGACTTATATAATCGTCATCCACTTCGCACACGGCGTCAAAGAAAAGGGGTCGGGTCGCAAGGTAATTATTTGGTTCTTTCGGCGTTTGAAAGAGCTGCTCCTGCTCTTGAAGTCTCGATCATTGTGTGCAGAACATCTAGGAGTTGACCCTTTCGAAACCCTTCCATTATGTCATTCCAATAGTTTTCTTTGATGCTTATCAGCTCTGCAGGACTGCCTATGCCAGATTGGACCCCATCAGGTTATAGTGTCTTTTCCAATCCCAAGGCCGCACGCTACCTCCCATCACCCCGCTCATTCTGCTCTTCCCAGATCTCGTAATCGGCCCCGCGAAGAGTCAAAACGTCGCCAGCCGCCTTGTGGGTTTCGGATCAAGTGCCGCTGCCATAAGGTTGCGGGTGCGGGTGCGGGTGCTGCAGCTTGCCATGACAACCGATCTGCTTAAGGCTATCAGACAGGAAACCCTCAACCTTTGGAGGGGGTATACTGTAAGCATTTACATTTCACAGGGACAGCAATAGAGCATTGACAAGGAAGTCGAATCATCAGCACATGGACTGCGCATTCTTCTCGAGAAGCATTTGACATGTGAGAGCCCCTCCAGAGCGACCTGACTTGCGCCGCCGAGGCTTCGACGGCGACAGGCCATTGGAATGGTTAAAACGTTCGCGCTGAACGAGTCGCGAACTGTCATCAGTCAAGCTGAGGTACACACAACCAAGGAACCTTGGTCTCTAATGTGGTAACTTGTTAATCCGTTTCTGAGTGTCTATTCAGACCGGACGCTCATCTGCAGGTTTCGTTGACGCAATGCCGCGAAGAAAGTCCCCGAATCCCCAGCCACCCAGGTGTCGGTAGCAACGCCGGTTGCCCGAGTACGAGGAGCTCGGTCAATAAGGATAACATCATAACACAAGCTTCATATGGCTACCCTCTTCTGCCGCTGTCATGCCAACCGGCGCCGGCTGTATCGATAACAGTATCGATAAAGATGCGGAACTAGAAGAATCATGCTTCGCCCGCCAGATTTGGAGGATGCGTACGCCTTGTGGAGGGTATTTTGCAGTAATATATCTTCATCAATTGATTGATTGATTGATTGCCCACCAGGAAGATGCTGTTTGCCGTGAATGCTGCCCACGTTGGCAACCACCCCCAATGCGAAAGAAACAAGAGATAATCAGGATGATGGAAACACAAGGGATTTTGGACCCTGATAATCCCATTTCATGCTGCACTCCTTCTTCCTGTTTCTCTGGATACGAATGTACGGAGATGTCTCCGTAACCTCGCATTGCATACCCGTCGTGCTTTTGGGCGAATCTGCACAGCCGTTTCGACCCTTTCCCGCGATCTTGCATATTGTAACGACGTATGATCGACTCAAGCGATGCTATTTACAGAGCTGCTTGAATAGATCCCCACGGCGGCAGGGCCCATGGTGCCAGGGATATGTCGCCATCCTGTCTGTAGGGCCTACTGGTGACAAGGAACTTGGAAGGTCTCATTTGTTATCAATAGTCTTGATCGTCCACACAAGGCTTATCAGAGAGGGCACTACGCTCTCTAGTTAAGACATTCGATTCGCATACCTACTCGAGACTCTTGTTCCTGTCTTCTCATTCGACAATTGGGAGGGGGCTCCACCCCTGCCGATCCCCTGCCACCTCCAAACCGATGGGATCGCCATGCAGCAGTTCCAGATTGACGTGTTAGCTGGCTGTCGACCAGGAAACACTTCTACAGCTCTCCATTGCTGTTGCGCGGGGGAGCATCGCAGACATTTAACTCGGCCTTGTCCACGATGAACACAGGGAGCAAGCAGGTCTGTCGCTTCGTCAATGGCTCAAGCACCTCCCCCCCCTCCAAGATCCTCCCTCCGGATGTTAGCCAAGAGACTTGATGGTATGGATCCAACATACTCTACTTCATTGGAAGAGGGATCAACGATATCAGAGATTGGCACAATGGCGGGAGATATGCCCTTCAGAAGATGGGACGGACTAGCGAGGATGTCAACAGACTGGGATGGTCTTCGAAGGGTAGGGTTCTAACATATCTACCCTATTTTCATTCGCAATTTCTGGATATGGCTTACACGCATACAGGATCCTGAACTGTGGTTCCCTGACGGAAACTGCCTTGTGTACTTATACGGCTACGGTCAATCAAGGAGAGGTGCAGCCTTTCAGCTTCCCCTGAACCCTCTCTTAGCAGCAGACTGTCACCCTCTGCTTGACAAATGCATGGCTGAAGAGCCCGCTGAGTCCCCAGTCTCAAGAATTAGTCGTAGCCAACCCGGCTGGTCTGGGAAGATAGAGTTTCATGTCCCGGCCCCTCAAACCACGGACCGTGGCGAGGCATTCCTCTACAACTTGGCCACCCGTAATTTCTTTGCCTGGGTCTTTGGCAGGCCGCTGGTTGGAGCACACCTTGGTGGAGCCTTGGTTGGACTCCTCAACAGCATGAATGAATTTAGATCCGCAGGTCAGGACAACATACAGGCGATGATGGATTATATGCGCGAGGCAGGCTACGCGGATATGAGAAATAATCCTGATCATGCTCTCGGCATCCTCTTCTTCGCCGAACATTTCCGATTCAAAGATCTATGGCTTGATGCCTTTTGTCACTGCACTGGCATGCATGAAAGACTTCCTTCGAGTCCAGGATTCGGGGTATGTGGCCCCCCCCAAGAAATTGGACATTATACTGATCTTCGACCAGTTTATAAGTGAAGCTTCTCGTTCCCTGATTACCAGTTCCAGACTTGAGATGGATATGCGATTGGCGCAAGCTGGTCGCAAGCTTGGTTCATTCCTCTCAGAAGATTTATCCGATGCACATCTCGGTCTCCCATCCGGCGCCCGTGCTCATCTTGACAAGTTTCGATCTTTCCTGCACTCATATTATGTAGCCAAGCTTGGCTATTATCCTCCAAAATCCCCCAAGGGGAAAAGCACAGCTTTCCCAAAGAATGTATACAAACAAATGCGTTCTGATTTCAAGAAGTTATATGACTTCCTCGTCGACTCCCAGCACACTCTCTCGGATTCAAGTCCAGTTTCTCAACAAGGAGGCATCTGTGTCTTACAGAACGTGCAGGCTTTTGACGCGCGCCACAAGTTTTCGCCTCTGCCACACCCATTTCCTCTTCTCCCAGAGATCGAAGATAGGCCTTTTCCAAAACTTGATTTCAGCAGGCGTCTCAGCTTCTGCCGCAAGGACGATAAAACAAAGCCGCCACCACGTCTCGTCAACTTCTCTTTGTTGTCAAAGGCCACTAATTACAGCGATCGGTCCCTCTTCGATTGCAGTCTCGTCCGTTGCTATCAAGGGTTCGAGAAAGAGTGCGCCTTTGCAACATCCAGAGCTGACAAGAGCGAAAAGCTCTCCCCCAGAGACGCGAGGAAGGTCCGCTGGATTTTGATCTATTCAATCTATCAAACTCTTCTTTCTGTCACAGAGATTCCCAAACAGGTCTCCGCAACGCAACACGTCCCATATCACCTTTGCGTATCGCTCGCAAATTGCCCGCCCTGGAACGAGGAGCAACTTCCTCCAAGTCCTGTCCGAACACTGACAGACGAAACTAAGGAGGTCTTCACAGTTTCTCAGACTGAATCATTTACTCCGGAAAGCGCTTCAGCTTCACCAGAAATCAAGCCAGACGTGGATTATTTCGCAATGAGACATCGCTCATTGCCCACCCCAGAAAGAAACGCGTCTACAACTAGCTTTTCGAGAAAAGGCACAATCAGGAGAGCTTTGAGCACGCTTGGAAGCTTTTCCGATCTTCGTCTCGCACGTTCGAAACGAGCATCATATGGCGACATGAGGGGCCATAGCTATGGAAACAGCATAGACAGCACCAGAACGGCATCATCTATCACCTTCTCGGCGGTCGAGTATGGCAAATATAATGACCGTGCGGGAGAAGGATCGCCAGTGTCACCAGACTCCGGATGTTCATCGGTGGAGGATGTCTCCCACTGGTCAGATTCTTCCACTAGTGAGACAGATAGTCCAATCAGCCCGATAACCAGCGTGTTCAACAGCCGAAGAGGTTCGGATGCTAGCATGGGTGATGCGCCAAACACGATTGAGGAGTTCCTGGATAAGCAACTGAGTATGGCTGAGGAGGAATGACTGAGTAGCGAGTGTCTACTCTGATCCTCTGGAGTTGAGGATGACCGGTTCATAAAAGCAATGAAAGCGGTCAGGTTTGAGTGGGAACAGGATACACGAGGGGGGTGTACCAAAAAGAAAAAAAAGTTATTGGCTTGCCTTGAATGTTAGTAGATGGGGGGAGGTTTCTTTTGTTGGCTTTGCTTATAGGAGTTGGCGAGGATTTGTGCGGCGCAATGGCAGAAGCCAGATTTGGGGATTCGGACTCGTCGCGCTTCTCTTCTGATACCCCTACACACTCCTTTGTGTTTCCTTGTTTCGACCTAGGCTTGATCCCTAGGACTCTCATTTTGTATGGTAGGTAATGATAATGTAGATAGTGTAGTTCGAATGTAGATAGTAAAAGATGTAGATAGTCAACTCAATCAATTACCATCATATCAAGGCTACTGTTAATCGTCGTGCTACTGCAATACCAGACATCCTAACCAACTACTCTGTCTTGCTTGGATCTCACAAAGCACATCAGCTTTCGCATCTGGTACGGTAGTTGTTGTGTTCTGCTCTGCATCAGGTGAAGTTAGAGATTGCCGGGGGATCACATGCAACCCCTGGTCTAGCGCGCCTCCACCAAGAAATATCGAAGCCCGTACTGCCCAGCATCCACCGCACAACATGGCCGAATTCAAACCATACACATACTTCCAATGTCCCTGTACCGACACGTCGTTCTCAACACGGAGGAGGATCGGTGACAGCGGTCCCAGCAGCGAGGAGGAAACCGACGAGGACGAGCGGACGTTCGACCCGCGAGCCCCGCGCGCGAATTACAGCTTATATCCGCTCGAGCACCTGTTGTATTGCGAGGACTGTCACCAGATCCGCTGTCCCAGATGTGTGCTCGATGAGATCGTGTGCTGGTATTGTCCGAATTGTCTGTTTGAGGTGCCGAGCAGCAGTGTGAAGAGCGAGGGGAATAGGTATGTATGGCGCCGCTGACCGACCATGAATGACACGGATGAATGGATGGGAGCTTATAGTTTACCTCTTCAGATGCACCCGCAGTTGTTTCCAATGCCCGATATGTACGGCGCCGCTGTCTATCAGCAGTACGGAGTCGCCGCCTGAAGGACTGGGAGCTGAATATGTCGCGCAATCCGGACCGTACGTGCTGAACTGCGCATACTGTCTTTGGAGCTCCAAGGAAATCGGGATCCAGCTGGAGAAGCCGAACAGCATCTACGCGCAACTTGCAAAGATTAAGAATGGGGGGGAACCATACATCTCGCCCAAAGAACGACGAAGGATACGGGAGGAACGCAAGGGAGATGGCGAGGAGAGTCAGGGGAGCGAGATGACGCTGGATCCTAACGAGAAGCTGGACGCCGAGAGCCAGTTCGCGAATCTGAAAGCTTTCTACCAAGAGCAGCTCGCGGAATCCTCGCCCGCCAGCGCCCTGGGGTTCACAGGAGACTACGGCTACGGATCACCCGGGGCACTATCACGAATCATGGGTCTCTACACGGGGAGCAGTTTCGGGGACAAGAAATCCAAGAGCCGCAGCTCCATGATGCGCGAAGCCCAGTCGGCTCTCGAAGGGCTCCAGATCTCCTCCCCGAGCGCCTCCGAAGAGTCCATCGCGCGGCTCCGCGCCTCGGGCTGGGAAGGCACCTGCTCCACGGCGCAGCGGCTTGCGCAAGCCCACAACCCGCGGTTCGTCAGCGACCTCCGACCCATCGCGCACCTGCTCCGCACCAAGCGCTCCAAGCGGTGCAAGACGTGCCGCCACATCCTCTCCAAGCCCGAGTCCAAGGTGCAGAACACGCGGTTCCGGATCCGGCTCGTGGCGCCCAACTACGTGCCTCGCATCGCGATCCGGCCCTTGCAGCCGGGCCCCGCGGCGCCGCAGGCGCTGCTGCTGACGCCGCTGCGCCCTACGCAGTTCGTGCTCACGTTCAGCAATCCGCTGTTCGACGACGTCCGGGTCAGCATCGCGACGCCGGCCAAGACGCCCGGGCGCTTCGGCAGCCGCGTCACGATCTTGTGTCCGCAGTTCGAGGTCGGCGCTAATACGGACGTGTGGGATGAGGCGTTAAGGGAGGGCGGGGCTGGTGCGGGCAAGGGCGGCGAGCGCGAGAAGAGACGGACGAAGGCGGAGGCGAGTGAGGGCCAGCAGCAGGCGGAGGCCGGGAAGGTGTGGGAGAGGGGGCGCAATTGGGTTAGTGTGGTGGTGGAGGTGGTGCCTGCGGTGCTGAAGGTTGGGGAAGAAGAAAAAAAAGATGAAAAAGAAGAAGAAGAAGAACAAGAGGAAGAAGAAGGAGGAGGATCAAGGTACGCGGGCCCGCTGAGGGAAGACGAGGATATCCTTGAGATTCCGGTGTTTGTGAGAGTCGAGTGGGAAGCGGATGTAGCGCAGGATGAAGGGGCTGGACTAGCGGCTGCTAATAATAAGGATAATAAGGAAGAGAAGGAGAAGAGGGAATTGGCGTATTGGTGTGTGCTGGGAGTTGGGAGGATAGCTCGGGATTAGCAAAGCAAAGCATAGCATGAGCGTTGTGCGAAAATATACCCATTTGACATGTTGCAAGTAAGCAAGCCAATTCTTTTCTTTTCTCACGTCAAGAATCATTACTTTTCAGTAGTGCGCACGGGGGGTGTGAATTCTTCTTCTGGACGGCAAGCCTTCTTTGATGGTATTCGCAGCCTATGATCCACTAGTAGAAGCCTCTGTGCGCCTCAAGATAACACATCCCAGCCAGCCTCAGCAAATACATGCCATGCGTTCGTTCATAAAAGCCACTTTTTCCCTTCTCTCAACTGCCTTTCCTTCCCCCCCCCTTTCCTCCAAATGTACAAGTACACAGACGTCTAGTACTCAACGGGAGTCGCGGGGAACTCGAAGCCGACACCACGGCCGGTCAAGCGTCTGTAGACCTCGGAGTAGGTGTCGAGTCTGTGGTCGATGGTGTTCTTCTCCTTCTCGTCGAGGACGACCTTGAGGACCTTGCTGCCATCCTCCTTGGTGCGGAGGCGCTTGCCGACGATCTCGACGGGGTAGACGAGGTCGTCGAGGATGGCGTCGTGGACGGCCGTCAGGGTTCGGGAACGGGGTCTCTTCTGGGTCTGGGAGGTGCGCGAGCGGTTGGAGCGCTTGGGACGGGGGAGGATGCGGCGCGAGGCGAGGATCAGGACGTGGCGGTCGGAGAACTTCTTCTCGAGCTCACGAGTGAGGCTGTGTGTTCTCGTATCAGCCCCCGTGTGTCCCAGTGCCAATCCAATTGCGATCCCAGCTTGCATTCGAGTGGGATGGAAGAGAGGGAAATGGAAGGGGGAGAAATGCTTACCGTTGCTGCACTCGGTGGAAACCCTGGAGGGATGGGACGGGGACAAAGATGACGATAGCCTTCTTGCCGTGGCCAACTTCAATCTACAATTGATCAAAGTCAGCATGCGAGCTCCATGTTCCGTCTATAGAAATAGAAACAAAACAGGACCGCAGCCCGTCCGATTCCACAACTGAGACGCCGGACAACCCAACACAGTCATGTATCTCCTGTATCTCAAGTATGATATAACACATGTATAGAAGCCGGCGCCACGGTCGTTCGTCGTTCGTTCTGGTAAAGCTGCGTTCCCGCGTGGGTGTAATTTTTTCTGTAGTCAATTGCTCACCTCTCTGGCAGATACGAATTGAAGGGGTCGGAGAGCCGCCTTCAGGTCGGTGGTGTTGGACTCGAGATCGTAGAGAGCGCCAGCAATGCTGGTCTCGAGCTCAGAGGGGTTCTGGCGCGAAGGGCTGTTGGCCGCGATCTTGTTGAGGGCACTCATGGTTGCTGGCTTTGTCGTGGAGAGTTTCGAGACGATCAGAAAGTTTTCGGGGGCACGAACAAAGTTGTGTTCGCGAATGGGTCGGGTTAGCCCTACCGCCCTCGTCCATGTTTTGTGGCAGCCAATCAGATAAGGTCATTTAAGCGGGACATTGGATCACGTGCATTACCTCCCTCCCCAAGGTACCTGGGTACGATAAGGTCCTTCTTTCTCTTGTGTCTCCCTCCCGCGATTCATGCCTTCGTCTCCTCATAAATGGGTATGTCATTCCTGATCCAAGCATATACGAGCAGTAGCTACGCCTGGTAAGGTTGAACGACCGATCGGATTACGTCTATACCTGGGCCTACCACCTGGTAGATAGAGCCTGAGCACTATAGAAATCAAGGAAGGAGGAACTGATCTTGAACGGCTTGCTCGATTTAAGACGATGACCCAGTCAAGTCTATATGTAATTATATCCTGGCACAAATAAATACGAATAATAACAACGCTGGCTAAAGTGGAAAAAAGATCGACCATATGTCTTATCCCAAGACCTGCCTTTCCCACCCTCTATGCTGGATTTAGGAGCCTGAACGCCATATGAACCAAGAAATTGGCTTTCCCTCCCATAACCAAAATGCGCTTCCTAATAAGTTGCTCCATCTGTTTTACAATGTCCCGGCCCAACGCCTGTTATACAAGTCTCATCTAGTACTCTCCAAGAGCTCAATCCCCGGGATGCTCGCGCCGAAATCCATGATCAGGATCTTAGGATCCTGACCCGTGCTGATAATGCGCCGGTAATCCGATTTGGCCCCAAGCACCCAACTCGAGTGCCACTTCGGGAAATCAAGAAGTAGTCGTCCGCTCTCCATCTCAAACACTTTGATATCCTGATCGTAGCTGCCAGAGATCAACCTTCCACTGACCGAGTCGATGTGCAAGGATCGAACAAGGTTTTCGTGCGCTTCAATCTTCTGAAGACATTCACCCGTGTTTGCGTCCCAGATGCGAATGACCTTATCATTGCCCGCGGATGCAATGAATCGCGAGTCATCGGAGAACTGACTGCAAGCAAGACCCTTAGTATGGCCAGAGAACTCGCGGATATTCCTGCCAGTATCGATATTCCACAATTTGACTGTGAAGTCGCCGCTGCAGCTGACGATCGTGTTGCCCCTCATCTGCACTGCATTTACTGGACCCTCGTGTCCCCGGAGTTGTTTCAGCATAGCGCCCGTAGCTCGATCCCAAACGCAAATACTGACATCTTTCGAACATGTGACAATGTACCGTTCGTCGAATGCGAGGTCCAAGACAGCTGCAACATGATGCCGTAGTTGTTGAATGGGCTCGTAGCCCTTCTTGATATCGTAGACAATGCACGTACTGTCCGATGATCCGGTGACAAGAATGTTTTCATCGTACTGAAGGCACAGTATCGATTGATTGTGGTAGATGGGGAAGGAGACAGCCTTTGGAATACATTCAGCTTGTCGACTTGCATCCATCATGGTGGCATAGTGCAGGGGTGCTCCATCTTCTCCAGTCATGATGGCAGGATTCTCGACAACTTCTGGAGGGCCAATGACAAGTTGGCAGGTGTACGTTTTCAAATCCCATACTCGAATAGTTTTATCTCGTGAACCAGTAATTATCTTGGACCTTTCAGATGTTAGAATAAAAGTTGCTTCTCCCGTGCGCGATTACTTACTCGTCAAACTGGACACAGTAGATACTGTCCAGATGCCCGTTGAGATATACTGCGTCTGCTTTGCCTTCCCTCCAATTGTGCTCCAATTGCTGTCTCATCCGGTAGAGATGATTCCAATCACTGTCAGGCCTAATAGGGGGGAGACCAAGCCCGGAACCTGGCTTGACCGGCGCACTCGTTGCATACGTCTTCGATTTCTCTCTCAAGAACGCCTCACGCCACACATGTTGAGATCTCGATACCCGAGCCCAGCTTTGAGATACCAGTGCTGTATTGTAAAGCGTGCGGTGGTCCAGATGAGCCAGGATTTGGATCGCGAGTTCGACAGGTAGAAGGGAGATGAAGTCGATGCGGCTGATTGTGGTCTCTTTGCGCGAGGCCGGTTCGGTCGTCATGGCAATGCCAATTCCACTCTCGCGGTCCCCCCATTGATCTTCCGCTGACAGGAGGTGACGATGCCTTTCGTAGAACTCGTTTTGGGCGGCAGCCGTTGCCCGCGCCGCGGCTCCACCACTTCCATGAGGGATGATCGGAGGGGCATCGCCATATCCAGGTATAGGAGACGTCAAATCATCGCACGCACCAACATCATCTTCTTCATAGTCGAAATCAGGGTGCACCATTTTCGAGTGCCTGCTGAAGCTGGCCGCTTCTCTCAGTCTATGCAGCCATGGCGCAGAAGCCGTCGATGGCCGCGACTCTACGGCATGCGAATGCCGCCTTTGTCTCTTTGATTTGATCGAGACCGACGCCCTCCTCAGTAAGCCACGTATGCCCCCTTCCTTCTTTCCATGTTCGCGCGACTGTTCCCTGTTGTCATCGAGAGACAAGTGTTGAAGCCCAGCTGCGAGATCCGACTCCCCACGAGAAGGCAGCGATCTTTGGCTGCTTTTGAGATTCGATCTTGACACGGGCTCCTCGCTGGTCTCGAAGGAATCGTGCCACGAGGTCTGGTCATGGTGATTCGGGGATTGCGACAGCTGGTTAGGAGCCCACTCCTCGATTGGGAACACCCTGGCCATGGCTGGTCTGATTCGACGACAGGACGAGGGAAATGTAAATTAATTGCTCAACTCCTCCTCTTGATATCAAAAAATGGTGTCCAAAGGCCAGCGACACAAATGTCAGGTAAAAGTGGCGGTGGCGGACTTATTTGGGGTAAATGGTGATACGTTCTCCAGCCCGCAGTCAATGACGCGAGAGACTATCCAGAGCGGGTTTGGGCGTAGGTAGATACGAAAGGAAGGGCGGGCGGGATATGCGACGAAGTAACGATTGAACGGGGGGAACTTTCCGGGATCAAGAGGCAAGAAGAAAGAAGCAAGAAGTAAGAACGAAGGATGGGGAGAGGAAGTTGGACGTGGGAGTATTTATTGCGCGAGACATTGTCGGAGGAGGATGAACGCTTGCTTGATCTTTGTTTATTGCAGGCGAAACGGCATACCCGACGAACAAGGGAGGCGAACTCAGCATTGGATGGAGCATATTGGCCGACGGCTCTGATCTATCAGACTGCTACGCTGCAACGATGGGTACTAGGCTACTGGTCCGGCATGGCCAGCGCCCACTTGGCCCCTTCACCAGGACCCTGCCCGGTGCGGCCGACCCTTGCAAAAGGGGAGGGAGGGGGGGAGTAAAACGTGGAAGGGCATTTCTCCTTTGCCTCTTCGTCTTTGACGTCTTGCGTCGGCCCCTGTGGCGAACGGCGGGCCAGAGCAGCGGGCAAGGCTGAGTTCTGCCACGCTTCTCTCTCTCTGAAACGAAGGATTTGAGGGCGCTGCAAGTAGTTGCAACAGCGGCACACACACACGGGGTGAGCAAAGAGACGCAATAGTGATCGTAGTAATAGATAGTCATAATATAATATAGATAGTAATAACAATACAATAAATCATAATAATTGCCAAAAGCAATAAATACAACTGCAGCCGGCACGCACGACGGTGGAGCAGAAGTTCCCAGAAGGATGAGCGGAGGGGCCTCCTGTTGACAGGTCACTGACTCGAGCCGCACGACCGTTTTTTCCTTTCCCCTACGCTACAGCAGACTGCAGAACCCCATGAGGCAAGAATCGTGGGTCTTGCTGCTCTTGCACCGAGTAGGGATGCCTGATTAGGCCTTTTGTGTTTTTCCATTAGCCGCCACGTGATGTTTCTCTAGAGAATAATAGCGAGAGACCCATGATCATTGGTTCCTTGAGACAGACAAATGCGAAGAGACAGCGTTCAGGGGTTTGGGCTTCCCTGTGGCGATCAGGACCGTCGCATTTCCACTCCAAGAATCCGGGGTTAAACCAAGTACAGCGAGAGTGAACGTCGAATGTTTCAACATCTCTCCTATCCTATCCGTCTTTGGCCGTTCACCATCCGAACACAGAACACGATTCGGAACCGATCACTCATTACCTGCTTTTCTTTCTAGTCACACAACCCACAATCAAGAAGATCGCAAGAAAGAGAGTCGAGACCCAACACCCAACACCCACCACCCAATCCAAACCATGGCCGGATCCCCGCCGCCCCCCATCTCCCTCCCTATCATCTACCGCCTTTTCTTCCTCAGCATCGAGCCTCTATCCGCCCTCGTCGGCGCCTACTCCACATATTTCCATCCCAATTCCTCCCTCCCCTCCCTCCCCTCTCCCCCCTCCCCTCTTCCACCACACACCACAATCACGCTCTCGCAACTCGCCAACATGTACTTATTCTTCGCGCTCAACGAAGCCCTCGTCCTACGCGCCACCGCCGATATGCGCGTCTGGCGCACCCTATTATGCATCTTGCTGCTTGCTGATTTTGGACATTTGTGGGCCATGAAGTCGCTGGGCGCCAGCGTGTATTGGGATTTGAGAGGTTGGGGCGTGTGGGAGTGCGCGAATTTGGGGGTTGTGTATGGGGGTGCGATGCTTAGGATTGCGTTTTTGGTGGGTGTGGGATTGAGAAGGAGGGTTGGGAGAGTGGAGGAGGGGAGGGGGAAGAGGGGGGTGTGATTGATGCGTTGTATCTAGATATCTTACGGATTGTATCTTATGTATATATGTATGTGTGTATGTACGTACGGCTAGCACTGTTCCGAGGAATGCGATCCCTCTTACTTAACATTGGTATACGACTTATCTCATTACTCATTACCCTCAACATCAAAGCGTCTGCTCCCGCATCCCTCGTCGAGTAATAAAATATACAGACGGCTACAGATTTCCACCCGCCGGTTTGTTTTCCAACTCCTAGCCTGATGCTTCATCATACGTATTTGCGCAACTTTCCAGCATGTTAGCATTTGCTAAGCATTGACGGGAAGAGAAGGGAGAAGAGAACTTACATCCAACGTCAACGTCTTCGAACTATTAGCCTCCTGGTCCCTAAACACGCCCACCAGACTCTCACTCCCCTGGAACAGACCCGTTTTCAGACTAATGACGATGAACTGCATCCCCGGGCCTGCGTGCTCGCGGATGTAGTTCTTGATCTTCTCCACGTTGGCGTTGTCGAGTGCCGCATCGACCTCGTCGAGGACGAAGAAGGGGCTCGGTTGATACGAGTGCACGGCGAAGAGGAGAGCGAGTGCTGCCATGGTCTTCTCGCCTCCCGAAAGATGCTCCATGTCACGGAATCGCTTGAGCGGTGGCATGGCATGGTACTTGATGCCCGAGAGGTAAGGCGCATCGCTATCCTCGATGTCCAGATATGCTTGACCACCGAGAGGGAAGGTCGCCGAGCGCGTGAGGTCCTTGTACACGTGAGAAATTTGCTCCGAGATATGAGTGAAGGCCTTGTTGAATAGATCGAAGCGCTTCTCCTTGATAGCAATGAAATCATCCTTTGCTTTCTTCGCGGCGCGGCGCGCCTCTTCAAAGTCCTTTTCTGTGGCCTTGAGCCGTTCTTCGACAGCATCTAACCGATCAATGGCACGCATATTGGGGTTGAGCTTCTCGAGCTCCGAGTTAAGGGTCTCTATCTTTTCTTGAAGCTGCTCTTCGACACCTTCCTCACCAACCTACTAACATTAGCACGTATCCCACCAAATCTAAAAGGTGGACATACAACTTTGAGATCGTCGTCGAGCTCGTCAAAGTCAACTTCAATACCATAATCTTTCATAATCTCCTCAGGTTCCTCGCCGTCATCGACATCCATAGCGTCGGGGTCCGTCTGAAGAATGTTTTCGTCCACAGGAAGACTATCGAGCTTTGCCGACGATTCAGTCAGAGGGATGGCAATTTGTTCAAGTTTACAGCGACGTAGCAGAGCATATCTGCCTGCGCTGTTTCGTTGTACCTCTGCCTCCAAGCCCGCGATGGCTTTAGTTCGGGCATCGATTTCCTTGCTGTGTTTCTGGAGTTCATTCCGGGCCGCCGTCACTTTCTCATTCTTTGCGGCAAGCTTCTCCTTCAGCTTTGCAAGTTCATCTTCCAATTGAGTTACATGGGCTCTGTCGATATCAATCGCATTTTCGAGAGACACCTTATCAGCGGTATATGTTTGGATATCCTGCTCAAGTCTCGCGATTTGGTCTTCCAATCGCTGGACTCGACTCGCTGTCTCCATGTGAGTTGCTGTCTCCCATTTCAGTTGACTCTGCAAGGTTCCCTTCTGCAGCTCAAAAGCGTTTCTCTTCTCCGAGGCTTCTTGTTCCAAGCTGCCCTGCTGCGCTTCATATGCCCGAATGTCAGAGTAGCCCAGCCTCGTACAGAAGTCGGAGAATACTTCGTCCTCGACTTTGGCGACGGCGTCCCTGAATTCAGCCACCTTGGCCTGTAAGCTTTCGAGTTCTGCCTGTTTTTGCCGATACTTGGGTTCCATGTCATTTAATAGCTGGTTCTCATGAGCCAACTCTTTCTTCTTGCTAGCAAGGTTCTGCTCGAATCCAGCGAGCTCGCTCTTGGCATAGGCCAAGCGTTGTTCCAATCCACTCAAGTCGTTCTGCAATTGCTCCTCGTGAGCGCTCTTGCGATTAACTTTGGGCAGGGCCTCAATGTTATCACGCATTGCTTGAATTTTAGCCTTGATGTTTTCGATATCGTGGCTTTCCTCAAATTTTCGCTTGCTTCCTCTATTCTCCGCGCCGCGACCACCAGTCATCAGACCAGCTTTATGAATGACAAAACCTTCCAATGTGACAGCCTTGACTTGAATTTGTCTGTCGTAGCAGATGTGTTTGGCGGTTGCAAGATCATCGCACACGATCGAACTTCCACAAGCATAAGACATTGCCCGTTCGAGGGAGGAGTCGAAGTCTATCGTATCAATGGTCAGGCGGGCCCCGGGAAGGCCTTTTAAGTTGGAGTTGACGGCATTGACCTTGATGTTGTCTAAAGGAATGAAAGTCATCGGGCTGAAGTGTTGGTCTTTCAAGTACTGAACGCATTCAGTACCTGTTTTCTCGGTATCCACAATCACGGAGTCGAAGTCGCGACCGAGGGCTGTGATCACAGCTTCATCGTACTTCTTTTGCTTGGGCTTGCAAAGTTCACCAACACGGCCTCGAACTCCCGGAAATAAACGCTTGAGGGATGTCACCATTTCCTTGGTCCGCATTTCCTTCTCGTTCTGCCGGCGACCGTCATCTGCCTCGATAAGAGTCTTCAAAAGGGCCTGTAATTTCTCCTCCATTTCTGTGTGATTTTGATTTATGCGAATGCGTTCGGATTGGATATGGCTATATTCCTTCTTCTTGGTATCGATCTCCTTGGTGATCTCCTTCACGGTAGCCTTGATAGCCTCCCTTCGCTCATTGATGGTGTTGACCTCTCCTTCTAATTTCTCGACAGATGCTTGTGATGCTTCTACTTTGCCTTTCAAGCTGCTGGCAGTCACTTCGTCGGTCTTCATTTGTCGCACAAGATTGTCCAACTTTGACTGGTTGCTAGAAGTCCTCGTGACAACTTGCGATCTGAGAGAGTTGTACTCTTTGAAATCAGCCTCGCTGAGTTGCCTGCCTTGCTTCTTCAGAGTCTCCTGCCATTGGACTTCGAACTGTTTCTGGGCTTTCTCGACAATGCTCAGTTGCTTTTTCTCTGCTTCAACCCGAGCGGCTTGCTCATCTCGCTCTTTGATTACAGCATCAGCTCTTCTGCGGATCTTTGCAATCTCGTTCGTTGTATGATCAACCTTCTCTTCGATCGGGACTAAGTTGTTCTCCTTTTCTTCAATTTCTTTCTCCTTTCTCTTGACGTTTCGCTCGACCTTGGAAACATCCCTGATAGTCTTGGCCTGAGATGTACGCGCTTCATCCAGGGCCTTTTCGTACTTTTCAACGCCTCGGCGGTATTCCTTTAGGTTTTCTTGGTGTTCCTGAATACTGGCACTAGATTCTTCCATGACGCGCTGGAAGTGGTACAACTTCCAAAGTATGTGGGTGACAATGGCATGATCACGCTCTTCAGCCTTGGCCTGGAAAGCCTCCGCTTCTTTCTTCTGTTCTTGGTATTGCTTGATCTCCGAATTGATGCCCCGACGCCTGTGAAGGTTATAAGTCTGGTTCTCAGCTGCTTGTTCTGCCTCTTCTTGCAGTCGCTCATATTCGGCCTTGTATTCCAAGCTTCCAGAGATTTGTTCAATCAGTCGAGTAAGGTCCTTTGGTGATTGTGAGGCGATTGCCTCCACGTCTCCTTGGAAAACCAGGAAGTTTCGGGCTTTGATGAGGATGTTTTCAGCCTCCAAGGCCTCATTATATTGCACCGCCGTCACAACACGGTCATTAATACGATACTCGCTCACGCCCTGGCTCGTAATCGTACGCTTCCATCTCTGTTCATCTCCGGCATCATCCTCGTAAACCGCCATAACCCATGCACTCTTGGGATCATTTCGTGTAGCTCTCTGCGATTGTGATTCCTCTTCTGGGTCTTCCGCATCGCCACCTTCGTGCCCCTCCGTTCCTGGGGCTGCTGCGGATCCATCATCGTTGATTTTCGAAGTCTTCAAAACTCGACCGCGGTAAACGAGATCTCTGAGGTGCGAGGAACGTAGGTGTGAAGATTTGATTCCTAGAACGAATGAGATCGCATCCATGCTATTCGCCTCGTCAGCAACGTATCAAATACAGACTGCGACTGGTGCGCGTACGAATTGGACTTCCCAGAGCCATTGGGGCCGATGATAGAGGTGAAGTAGGAGTCGCCAAAGAGCAGCGTGTGGTGGCCCTTGTAGGACTTGAAATCTGGATATAGATGAGCACAATGATCCCGCCTAGTGATGCGACCAACGTACTGAATAGTTCAAGCCGTATGAGCTTCCCCATTTTGAACTACACGCGTAGGGATCTGGTGGGGCGCACGCGCCGAGGGCAGAAGGATGGCAGCTTGGAAATCGTTACAACCGGAAATGCCCTACTTTGGCGCGCATTGACAAGCAGTTGCAGCTCCAGCGCACTCAAAAGGTCAAAGATAGGGTGGAGTTGAAAATGTTGAGCGGTCAAATGGTATCGAACCGCGTTTGCAGCGCGATTGTCCTATAGTTGTTGTACGCGAGCGTGCCGGGCCTGATCACGTGAGAAAAGCATTTTACGGGACCGGAAGAGACAGGCCAAGAGAAGACCCCCCTGGTGGTAAACGAGGCTGAGAGACGGGTGAACGGCGAGATCCACAGGTCCACAGGAGCTTCCATCAAGAAGCTTGTGACGACTCTCACGAGCATCTGCTTTCCTGCGCGTCGCTGTATGTGCATCCCGTGCTCTTCCATCTTGCTGCCGTCTATCCCGTGCCTTTTCTCAATCAGACCAATAGTCTTGTCGAGCTTTCAATCCTGCCTGATATCTGGGGTCTCAGAGCTAAAGTAGACCACCCAAGGCAGAGTTGCCCATCTCAGCCAACCACAGGAACTCCCTCGACCACGATTCTCGACCACCTCAAAACCAACCACTTACGCGTGGAGATACGCACGTCTTCCTCTCACCACCAAACCCTCAAGCAGTTCCAGCCTCGTTATCAGCGTGTCACCTTGCTTATTTCAACCTCATGTGGGGTGTTTGCACCGCGGCTGTTTAACCATATGTGGAAATCGTTCTGATCACCTGGAACTTCGACGATATAAAGGTGTCCTGGTAATCCAAAGCGTGTGAGTGACCCAGATATACCCGGCTCTCGATCATCCTGAGCCTCTCCCCCCGTCTTCTTTTCATATCCAAAGACGCCATCATGGCTGACGGTTTGGTTTTAAGAGGAGGTAGCTTACTACGCCGGGTTTCCTTCGGGGTTTCTTCCTCTACAGCTCATCAGCGAACAATATTCGAAATGTCGGAACCTATTCCCATACCCCGTTCCAACTCAGATCCCGCGATAGATCATAACGATCTCGCACCTGAAATGAGCACAAATGGCTCGTCCGCAGGCTCTTCTCTCCCTGACGGCAGCAAGACCCCCGTCTTGACAGCATCAACACCGAATAGTCCTCGACTCTCACGCAACCCTTCATTCTCGGGGAGCAGCTCATACCAAGAAGACTGGGAGGCGTTTACGCCTTTGGATCGGCTCACGGTATTTGACGTGTTGGATAACTTTGCCTTGCCTCATCAGTTGGAAAAGCTCCAGAGAAACCTATCAGCACAAACAGACAAGGTCCGGAGGCAGCGAGATGCGCTCAAGTCCAGAGGTACTGCGACAAAGCAACGGGTCGTTGAAGAATGGCGGAGACGGGTGCCAACGGCCGAGGAGCAGCTCGACAGATACAGAAAGAAGATGCGAAAAAGTGTCGACAGACTTGGGGAACGCTGGAATGATACCAAAGCAGTCACACTTCGAGAGAAGGTGTCATTTATCTGCGGTGTCCTGAACGTCCTCATCAGTGGATACATTATTGGAGGATGTCCTGAATTGTTTCACTACTGGTATATGGCCCAACTACTCTACTTCATGCCCATTCGATTCTACACCTACCACAAGCGCGGTTACCACTATTTCCTGGCGGACCTTTGCTACTTCGTCAACTTCCTCTGCGTATGCTCTATCTGGATCTTCCCACACTCAAAGCGACTCTTCATCAGCACGTACTGTCTGGCCTTCGGAAATAACGCTGTCGCCATTGCCATGTGGAGGAACTCGATGGTCTTCCATAGTTTCGACAAAGTCACAAGTCTATTCATCCACATAATGCCCTGCGTTACCCTTCACTGTTTAGTCCATCTTTTACCTTTGGACCTTCAACAAGAGCGTTTCCCGGCCATCTATACCATCAAGAACTCACCACCAGGCTCTAAAACGCACTATTCTCTCGCAGCAATGGCTCTCTGGTCGACTGTTCCTTACGCGGTCTGGCAACTATCTTATCATTTTTTGATAACAGTGCGCCGTCGCGAGAAGATCGCGGCTGGCCGCCCAACCTCGTTCACGTGGCTTCGAAAATCTTACTCGAAGGCTTGGATTGGAAAACTGGTCTTGTCTCTACCAGAATCCATGCAAGAGCCTGCATTCATGCTCATTCAATACACCTACGCCGTTGCTACCATGCTCCCTTGCCCTCTTTGGTTCTGGTACCGCTACGCATCTTCCGCTTTCTTGATGGTCGTGTTTTGTTTGTCGGTCTATAACGGCGCCACCTATTACATTGACGTCTTTGGCAAACGCTTCCAGACAGAGCTGGAAGCCATGAAGTTAGAGGTCCAGAAATGGCACCAGAGTACAGAGGTTACAAGTCCGTTAATGACCCCAAAAGTCGATGGGGGCGTCGAGCTGGCTGCTTCGTTGGATGGTGATGCAGGCCATTCGAGAAGCAGGAGTGTGGACAAGATCCCCCTCTTGAACGATTTAGGGGGGAGCACGGGGATTGACGGCGGGGCTAAGGACGTCGCGAAGGAGAGGAGGGTTGGAGATTTGCCCGCTTGATTATGGAGTATAGGCAGCTTGATTACTAGGCCATTTTGTTTTTCGTTTGCCAAATTGCCTGTTCACCTTTTTCTTCTCTTTTCTTCCGTTGGTTCCAGATCTTGGCATAAGGAGGAACGGATATACCAAGGAGTCACGGCGTGCATGCTTCTCGTCTTTTTGTAATGTTCTTCATCTCTAGGTAGTTGAGATCGACACATCGCGATAGCCGCTTTGGAATGCAGCTCTAATCACACACAAAAACAAAGCTGATTATCCCAGCTATACCAACATTTACCGCCACCACAAGATCAATGAGCCCCCGCTTGCAAATATCACGCCTGACCCAATACCCCTTGCCCGGTCGTTGCCCGCTTGCCCGCTCGCTCGTGAAAGCCAAATCGAAAGCCAGAACGCCAATGCATGCATGCCCGCTCCCCTTCCATGAGATCATAAAAGCAAAATCTCCTCTGCAGAGCAAAAATCATGCCCTACCTAATTACCCCCCAGTCTCCGAGCTTCCCGCCACCCCCGGCCTCCCCTTCGTCTCTCTGTCCAGGCTTCTTTCCGAACACGTTCCAGAACCGCAAGGTCTCATCCCCGGCCCCGGTAACGACGACTCGGCCATCGGGACTCATGGCCAGATATAATACTCGATAGGTGTGTCCAGTGAGACTGACCACCTGTGTCATGCTGGGATATTTCCAGACCACGATCTGGTTCTGCGAGTACCCATGCGTTGAGACAATCTCATTAGAGTTCTTGGACCAGGCAAGGTTACAGACCTGAGACCCGGTGTCGATTTCATTGATCATATTTCCTCGCAGTGTGTCGTGGAATATAATTCGTCGGTCAGCCGTTCCACCCCCGGAGGTAAGCAATCCTCGCTGATGCGGCGACCAAGCAATAGCCTTCACGGCTGCTGTGTGGTCGCTGAACTTCCAGAGTGGCGTCTCGGAAAGCTTGTCCCAGACCATAAGTTTGTTATCATTACCACCTGAGGCAAGTTGGCCATCTTCACAGTTCCATCGAAGACCACAAACTTCTTGCTTATGACCCACAAGCTTGCGAAGCCATTGATCTGGTGCTCGTACGTCTCGGTGATAAATAAGTCGATCTCGAGAGCCAGAGGTGAGGATGTGGTCATTCCAGGCGAGTGAACCAACACGTGCCGTGTGACCGGTCATTGTACGTAGTCTTCGGATTCGCTCCGCATCCCAAATTTGTACAAGACCTTTGCCGGTTCCAATGGCAATATGTGAACCGCGCTGTATCCAGGAAACACTTGTTACAGTATCGTCCTGAAGCTCACACAGTTTGTTGACGCGGCCGGTTTGAGAGTTCCACATGTACACACAACTCCCAAGTCCCACCCCCAGGACATTACTGCTACCCCAATCCACCAGATTCAGATAGAAGTCGTCGGCCAAATCTGGCGCATCGAGTACTTTGTATGGTACCTTGCTAACTGCTCGAGGCTGTTTTCGTGGACTCAGCAGCATTTGCTGGCTACCAAATCGCACGGGAGACAAGCTATAGATCTCCGATCTGGCATTAAGGTTCGGTCCATGTCTACTTTGGGGTGTCCTTAATGGCGTAGGATGTCCAGCAATATTTGTATGATGCCGTGGTGACATGTACGTAAAAAGATTTTTGTGGGGAGTCGAGGGTGTTAAGGAGATTGGCAAAGATGTACTAGAAGAATTAGTAGGCGGTGTATGTGACCGTGTATAGTCATTATTATTTGTTGAATGCGATGAGGGAAGCAAGGTTTGGTCCGGGGACAGGTTTGGAGGGGTAGTTTGTGGAATGGTTGTGTCAAAAATTTCAGAGCGAAGCAATGTGGAAAATGTGCGGTTTGCCTCTTCAGCTGTATAAAGAGTCAGTTGCTTACTTGGAATCATGGAAGAACTCTTGTTGCTTACTCTTTTGGAAATGAAGCTCGCCATGTGGTATTCGTTTTTTCTGTTTTGAAGGTGTCGCTAAGGAACCATCGTCTGGGAGTAAACTGAAGCTGGCTTTAAGGTCCTGCCCTTCTCGATTTGGGATGAATCTATTAAAATTAGCAATGAACAAGCAATGATACGTCGAATCGCCTTTCTTAGAGTTTGAACAGCATAGCGTTCAGCGTCCGAGCCAGGTCTGTCCTCTTAGGGCTTCAGATCATAACTTTGATGCCTCCTTTGACAAAATGCTGATATCTCCTCATAACTCAAAGGGATGGTTGTCTTACCTATCACCATAAACTCTTTGGCGCTTCCGAGCAGGGCTACTGCTTGGTGTTGTCTCTCGTTGTCTGCCCGCATCCTCAAATTCTTTCAAAGCTTTCTGCAACTGTTTCGGATCTATCGCACTTCCCGTACTACTGCCATTCCGTGCCACAGTTTCTCCGTTCGATTTCATGCCGGACTTTCTCTTCTCTGCTGGTGGAGGGGTCGCGATGCGGGGAGGCGTAGCAACCGGTGGTGTACTCAGTGAATTCGAAGCTTTGGTGATGTTCATATTAGGATTAGTAGAGCTGAAGCGCTCATCGGTTGTATCCATGATGGCGGACAGACTGCGCAAAGAGATCGGTTGTAGAGCGATGAATCTGGCTACTGCCCGACGCAGTCCCAGGCCCCAACAGCTGTCTGCGCGCTGTCAAAGGCTTTTGGTTCAGTCCAGATTAGCGACTCCAGGGTCTCTGTCGTGTGTGTGTGTGTGTAATGCAATAGTATCGCTCGGTGTTGTCTTGTCGATTGAGTGATTGATGCTAAGTCCAGTTGCCCTGCCACCTGCTATCGCTTCTCTGAAAGTGATAATCTGCGCGGATCTGGCAATTCCCTGCGTTCTTGAAAACCGCACAGTCCCTGATATTAATAAAGAGCAAGTGTCCCGCCACGGACAGTAATCCTTTGTCGGCAGATGTGAATTCGTGGTGGTTGGTGCGTGAGTTGTGTTTATTCCAGATCGATAAATCTATCGTAGTGTAGGGGGATATGATATTAGGACCCGCCGCTAGTCCGGTTTAAGCTTACGCGCTTAGTATCTGGACTGCCGCTCGCCAAAGGTGAATGTGGTAGTCGACAAGGTTGTTCAGACAATTCACGATTTCACCAGGTCTTCAGAACGTCGGATTCTTGCAGAGGGAAGAAAGAGTGAGTGGGATCTGAGATGTGAACTCTAACACGATGCGGTATATCAGGTCTGTCTCCGTATAGGATACCGTCAAGAGGCCTGGATGCAGGCCACGGTCGCGTTCGAGCATCCCACATCGCGACTCTCCACTTCAGGACCAGGGTCAATGCAAGGCCTAATCAAAACAATTGCCGGAAGCGGTAATAAATAATCTGGCCTTTTGTCTCTTCTCTGCTTTGTTATGAAGGAGAACCGGGAGGGAGACGCGCGAGGTAGCTCTCCGACTGGCTGCTGGTCGATCAAGACATCAGGGGCCTGCTGCTTGTGAGAAATGATTGGTGATGGCACTTCAGGCGCGTAAAGAGGGTAGGGAGGCGCATAGGGACGCTCTATACATTTCACAACAACATAAGGTAGGCATGGCAAGATGTCTGTGTTGATGCAGTACCTGCAGAGTTGCAGATAGTTTGTGCAGGTGGTTATACTCAGTTGTTTTCCATTGCTGTCACTGGATCAGTCAATCGTTCAATCTCACTCGTTCATTCCAAAATCCTTTCTCCGCACAGAAATCGACCCCGGGCATAGCTGTGTCATCAAAATCCACTCACTTTTATCCGCATTCCGACGTTGAATCCTCCCTTCCATTTTGTCACAGCCTACACCGCGACTGCTCGCCATTATTCTCGCTGCCTTTCAGTCTGCTCTATCTCACAACCCTCTTTAAGAGGACGATTGACCCGGTGTTCCTCCACAATGCGAAGAGCGGGGCACTGCGGGGCTTGGTGATCGCCATGTTCGTCATTCTACTGTTAGGGTTCAGGGTTCATTGGGAAGATCATAAAAGAAGTTATCTCCGTGATGAGGATATGGAAGCCCAGTAGAGTCTGCGACATGCAGAGAAAGGACCCGACTGTCTCTATCAAGACCGCTGTTTTGTTGGTGGCTGGCCCTTATGCTTGCGCCTCTATAACCAGCGTCCCCTCTCCATTATTCGGCAGCGATATCCAAACCAATGCTTCCGTCTCAGGAAACGAGTATTCGGACCTCAGATTGACTTCTCACTCCCCAGATCTTGATGGATGTCCCTAATGGATGTTCCTGGGCCAGAATAGAACTTGGCATCTCTATTTTCAAGTTAAGTCATAAACCCTGTAGCCATACACCTGGACTGACGAAATCCAGATGATCCTACAGAGCTAATAGCACTCAACCAGAGCAGGGACCATGCCACCTCTAAGGATCACCACGGCTTACTAGGTCTACACTACAAAGGTCCAGCCTCATCTGGATCCGCCGCCGGAACCGACCAGTGTATAAACAGATAGCTATCAGTGTCAACTTCGCCTCAGCAGCTCAATAATAAAGCACTTCATTACCACATTCGACAAGACTCATTTTATTGGTGGAGCTGCTCAGATCACTCATTTCGGGAAGGGTTTCGATGCTGGGTAATTCCCTTTAACTTTCCAGAAAATCAAGATATGGCGTTTCATAGGTCGGACTTCCTCATCAAAAAGATTCCGGGTTTGGTAAGACAAGCCCCTTTTCACAGACAGATCGAGTGCTGCGAATCCTACCAACCCTAACTGAGTATTCATGTTAGGGGTGTTGATCGACAGATCGGTACTGTAGGCACCTCTAAGTGGAGAGAGACATTCTGCTGCGATGGCATTTCATCCTGGAGGTGTGACAGATATACGATGGAAGAGCAGAAGGTTAATAAAATGGGGGCGTCATCAGCCCTTCAGGCTTTCTTTCCTCGATGAGCTACCGAACAGGCCCCAGAAATAAAAATCAGAACGGCGACAAAAGAAAAAGGTCGAAAATTTCTATATGGAAACCGGACCAGATATAAAAATTATCCAAAAAGAGACGTTCCGATGCCGGGAGTCGAACCCGGAGCTACACGGATCAATATCATGATCTGAGAGCGTGTTATGTTACCGCTACACCACACCGGATTTGTGCTTTCAGATGCTGTTTGTTGACTTCTCAAGAATTATCTTCACTGATGAGGCTATTTTGCTAAGTGGTCGCTAAGAATCAGAAGTTTGAGCAAGCGAGACGAAGCGATAGCGAAGTGGAGTCAAGAATCTTGTAAACCTCTGGATCGGATCCTGCGTAGGTTGCTTCTTTGCTTTTGTCCTTTCTGTTTGTTTTTCTGAAGCTTGATATGCGAGTTGGTGGGAAATAGGTCGGTGGCTGCTTAATATTGCTGACTTAGATTTTTCTCCTTTGCTACTACTACCCCTTTTCAAAGTTTTGGTCTAAACTACCTACCTACTAGCCGGTAACATGAATTACATACTGCTCTGAGTTCAAGTGCGTTGGGTTCGGTATATGAGAGCCTATATGAAACCGCTTGGGTTGGCGGGATAGGATAGCTCAGTTTGGCTGTGTTGCTATCAAGCAGTTGCTTGAGAAAGGAGATCCATATCGGCAATAGATCATTGTAAGTATGTGAAGTTATCTGGCTTCTTTGCTGTGGTTTGAAGAATGTCCTAGTTCCAGGTAGGTTCTGATTACTTTCGGTTGCTTTGTCTTCTGTGTAAATGCAATAGTCTCGCAGACAGGACCTAACAGAAGCTGCCTCCCAAAGGCCTCTGATTCTTTGGGTTTGGTATTTGCCTTAATTCAATTCACTTGAAGACTTCGCGAAAGCTCTCTTTCAATCCGATTTGGTTTTTCAACACTTAAGCGCGTCTTGCCGTACGATCTCTCTTCGCGTTTACCCTGCACACCACCACCGATTTGCTCCCAGCAAGACGTCCATATCCAGCATTGCCACAGAGATCACAATCAGTCTTTTCCTTCAAGGTGCTTCTTAACTGAGAGCTCTCTTATTGTTGCTACGCACTCATTTATCGCTTCACGCCGCTATTCAATCTCATCAAGATGGATCAATCAGCTGTTGCTCCGACGTTGGAGTTCACTCTCTTCCCTCAACTCCTTTCTGAGATACGCGTCAAGATCTGGAAGCACTCTCTCAATAATATCACACCTCGTCTTATTGAAATCCATCCCGATGTCAAAGAAGGAGGCTATTACAGCCCTGCTCGGATACCCGCCATATTGCATACCTGCTACGAGTCTCGCCAGGAAGCCTTAAAGGTCTACAAGCTCAGTTTCGGCACCGAAAAGATCCCGCCCAGGATCTTCTTCTGCGCCGCTGACACCCTCTTCCTAAGCCACTTTTGCTTTACAGTGAGGCGGTTCCATAGCTTCATGAAAGAGACGACTGGGTTTGACGCCGTTCAATCGCTCGCTGCTTGTATGATCATAAGCGCATATTTGATGACTCGGAGTGGGGAAGATGCTGAATCTCTCTGGTTGAAACTCTTCAGCGATCTGCGCGAGATGATCTGCACCGACCATATCCCGAGATATGCCAGCTGTCGAGATCGCACTGTGAGGATCTTAAACTTCGTGCCTCCGGAGGGAGATGCGGTTTTCGCAGCCTTGTTCTTGTCGAAGACGGGTATGATTCTGAATCAGGGACTGATCGAGGCTGTCACGGATAGAGAGACTAGATCGACTAGGTATATCCGTTATGCCGTTAACCCAGGTACGAAGCTGATACTCATAGTAGCTACTGAATAGTACCCGTTCTTGAAGTTCTGCATAAGCTGTAGCAAACATCTCACCTCCGAACCGTCCTAATCCCGAGACACATTCAAAGCTGGAGGTATGTATATCTCTCTCACGTACCCACAATGCCAATCTCATAACATAGCTAGCTAACCCTCTCCCAAGCCTTAGGTACCATACCCTCCACACTACGCATCACGACTCCTGGCAACATCCAGCAGATTCCATATTGTCAGAGTTCTTTTCCTTTTCTCTTCCATACCATTCGTGCACTCCTCAAACGCCCAAGTCCAATCAATCCTTGTACGAAAGCAAGAAGGGTATTTATTCATCGTGGCACGCTTGGTTTGGTTTGGTTTGGTTTGGTCATTTTCGTCTGCTCTCTCTTTCATCTCCCTGTTGTTGGCATCCGCATACCTCGTTACCACGCGATGCAATAGCACATGTAAGATACATAAGATACCCAAATGCCAATTCCGCAAAATAACACATCACTCGAAAACCTACCTACCTATATAACTCTCGGATTTTGTGAAAGCAAAACAAGGTAATAGAACTGATTTGATTGATTGTGATATTACTACCATCCTACCAACCAACATGAAATGAAATCCCTAATGTCTAACGCAGTGTTCAAGAAATGAGGTGTTAGTTGGTTTTTTCTTGATTATTGGTAGAAGACCATCCCCCCCTTTATTTTTTCCGAAAATCGAAAATCAGGGGGGTGGATATGGATATCGAGATCTGATAACATCAACGCAGATGAGATAATATTCATTGCTTCACCGTAAATAAAGTGCGTTAGAGTGAAGAAGGGTTGGAAGATTGGTTTCTTTAATTATGTTTTTCTTTTTTGTCTGAAAAAAAAAAGGGGGGGGGGTGTGATTTAATGTAATTGTAAAGATGGGGTCTTTGAGAGTATTGGTCGAACAATGATACGATGACAACAGTCAAGAAGTAGTGAGGATGGGGTATATGTGTGTGTTCTTTTCTCTTCTCTTTCTCTATTTAGGTACCCGCGTTAGTTCTATATCTATATCATAAATGCTACCTACTATGAGTATCGTCCGCTAATAATCAACCATCAATTACCGCTCGGTCAACATCCCAGTTATCCCACGTGGGCTGATCGAAGCCGTTCGGTCTGCTCGCGCGCTCGAACCCGACTCTCAGATCCTCGATGCTGACGGGGCTGCGACACCAGCAGATCTCGTCGTTGAATGCCTTGCTCCATGCCCTCTGCATCAGCTTCTCGTCGAATAATTCCGGGTGCACTCTCTTCATGCTCTTCAAGGCTCGGCCACCAACCTCGTCCACGCTGTCGGAGTGGCGCAGTTCGAAGAAGCGCGCGTCGTGCTCCTGACGGATCTGCTCCTGCACGTCTTTCGGGTAGAGGCCTAGCTGCAAGAGGAAGATGTCGTATTGGCATAGGCTGGCCTTGCCGAAATAACTACCGCCCTCTGTGGCTCGCCGGTAGAGACCGGTCAATGCGGCAATCGCTCCCATGCAGCCGGTTCCGTAATCACTCATCGGGAAAGGAGGAACCACGGGCTCGTTCAGGCCCATGAATTCACCCTGCGCCCAGGCGACGCCCGTGACGCAGTCGGCGATTTGCTGCCAGCCGGGACGTTGGGCCCATTCGCCCTGGAAGCCGAAGCAGTCCTCTGCTACATAGACGATGCCTTTTCCTCTTCCCTTTAGGAGATCAGCAATCTGCTGTGGTCCGTACCCAAGTCGTTCTAGACTTCCGGGCCGGTAGCCATCGAGGATGACATCGGCGGTTTGCAGCAACTCCTCGAACACCTTGCGGCCAGCAGGGGATTTGAGGTCAAGGTCAACGGTGTGCTTCCCGGTATTCCCATCGACCTGGAAAAAGGGAACATCGGAGAGGGTGGGAGAGGTGACTTTGATGACTTGGGCTCCGTATTCGGCGAGTGTACGGCCCATAGCTGGTCCAGCAATGATCCGGCAGAGTTCGAGAACGCGAATACCGGAGAGGATTTGCGGTTTGCTGGATGAAGACGCATTTTCAGCTGCGGGGAATGGAGCTGGAGGCGAGGCGTCTTGGAGGCGATCTACTTGCCAGGGCGGAAGGGAGAGAAGTGTCTTTCCCTACGAGTTGTTAGATTTGTAAATTGCGAGTTCTCAAGAATTACTCACATGGCTTGTTTGTTTGAATTGTTCCCATTTCAATGCGGTAACCCCCGCCTGTCGTTCTCTCGCATTCATCTCTTCCAACTCACTTGCCGAGAATTTCTTAACATGGCTCTCAATCGTGTTTATACATTCTCGGTAGTCTGTGAGATCTGGCCGATAGGCCTCTAGCCCGATCATATTCAGGGTTTTGCCTGCCTCGAGAGACCCATGGATATGGAAGTATTCTCCTGGGTTCTTTGTCTCATAGAGGTTTGCTGAGAGTCTTCGGTAGAGGTTCGATTGTGCTTGGAGCAAATCCGTGTCTGGGCGAGAGTTAGTCAAGTCGATGCATGAACCATGCTAGCACTTGGCCTACTCTTCAACTTGGCCTTCACAGCTGGATCCTGCTTTCCCAGCCCGCCAAGCGTGGCAATATAAGTTGAGAATAGGAAGCACGCGGTCTGCTCGAGATTGACTTCGATCTTCCTCTTTTTCTCTCCATAGCGTAAATCCGCAATTGCTGCTACCGCGCTTGCTTCAATCGACTTTAACGCTACACTTGCCTCGGTCTCTTTGAAGGGGCACGGGAAATAGACCTGCGTCCCATCCGTGGCAGTGGTAAAGGTCACGTCCTCGGCATGCTTGAGAATCTGAGGTGGGATCTGATCGCCAGCAACCTTCTTGAGGGTTGCAATGGCTTGCTTTGCACCTTCAAGCACCGAATACGGGCCCGTATGAGAGCCATTTGCGTGACCATTTACCGTGACAGCCATCTTCCCCCAATTGCCCCACCGAGAGATGATTGAGGAGAGGCATCCTGAAGCGCTGGCCCGGAATGTAGCCTTATATATCTAAGATTATTGAGATCGCCCAACGATGGTAATCGGACGGATAAGACCCTAGGCGAGAGAGTAGCGTCCGAAGGTTTGTCACACAGACCGTTGCCGAGGCTCTTCTTCCGAGATGGTCGGATTGGAGGATAGGATCATTGGACTGAGTAGTGGAGAGAAGGGTCAATAGTCAAACACGGCTGGTCAAGAGGTTGACGACGATCCATCCGACGATGTGGGTATAGGCGAGTACTTCCGCCGCACAGCAGGGGGGGCACCAGCCTGCCAGGAGATGTGGGGTATGTCATCCTGATCAGAATACCGTGGTCGTCACTCGAGACTGGCCAGAACTCTGCAGTCGATCAGTGACTGTATCCAGCTGATCGGCCTGAGACAAACGTACAGAGGATATTGATTCGGATACCTCGAGCATTCTGAAGCTGGAGCAGCGTACATGTCGGAACAGGGACTGTACGAAAGAGTGGCGGGAAAAGGAAAAAGGCGAACAGAGTAGATAGAAGCTCTTGAAGTCGCCTTTCCGGAGTAAATGGATACTTTCTACCAGTAGGAATGCAGGAATGGAGGAATGGAGGAATGAATACAATGTAAGGTACCAGGTACCTAGGTACCTAGGAAGCTGAAGCCCCGATCCGATAGCACTAGCACTGGCTTAGTCATGCCCGGCCCGGCAAAAGTCCGAACCCATGTCGCAGTGACAATGCCCGACCGACCGACCGACGTATTCACGTTGAATGATTATCATTGAATCCCTTCACTTATCGTCAGACCCTCTTCCGCCACCTCCAAACCTCACCCGCTCGTCCACTCGCCGCTCACCACCCACCACTCACCTCTCACCCCCACCTCCCATCCCTCCCCCGAAGCCCTCATCCGAACCCTCCATCAACCACCCTCTCCTAAAGTGGTAGCTGTCCGGTATAAGTCCCCGCTCTGAGGCTCTGAGCCGATCCCCCGCCCCATCAAAGGAGAGCAAAGACCATCATCACGCATCGCACGGGCGCGTACAGCATGGTTGAAAGAGAGCATCATGACTCGTCCTAAGGTGGATCCTGAGAAGCGGCAACGCACTGCTCAGGCCTGCGATGCATGTAAGCGGAGGAAACAGAAGGTAAGAGACCGGCCTTCCTCCATCAACTCTGCGTCAAGATCTACAATCACCTGCCTCAAGTCCTCCTATTTTTTTTTTTTTTTCTTTTTTTATATCTGCCGTCCTCACTGGTCGACCACTTCCCAAGTGAGACTCCTGTTGCCACATGAAATGTCTGGGCTTTAGGATCTTTGATTGCTGCCCTGGCCTTCACTATCCGCTCAGTTGCGGAAGACTGATAGGATTGCCAATGAACCATCATCGGCTGCTGCACCTCCCATGTCGCTTGTCGTTCTATCTCGTTGGCTGTGATCTATTATTGGCATCTACCTCTGGAGAAGCATCATATTCCGCATCTTATCATGCAAAAGCTGCAAATTCGATAGGCTGTGTCATGTGACTGGCCTTCCTCATTCCCCTACGGAAACGGGCCTGTTGTTCAATCTTCTTTCCATCGCCTTGGTTGCGACATTGGTGCGCCTATTACTGTGCTCTCACAGCAAGTTCTGTAAATTGACGAACACCTGTCTGCGTGTGGTGTCGCCACACAGTTTGAACTCGGGGTATGTCATCGTCCCGAGTACGCAGATGAAGTTTTTTGGTTTTGTCCTATCAAAAGTACCCAGTTGATGCATCCAAGGCTAACCTTCCGAATCAAGTGTAATGGCTTGCAACCCTGCAATACATGTTCAAAAAGGAACTCGCCTTGCACATATGGTACAGCCGAGAGTAAACCTGATGAACCGCAGCCTTCAAAGCGTCGAATGACAGATCAGTATGGCAGTTCATTAGCTACCTCCCTGAATAGGACTACGGAGGCAAAGTCTCAACTGCCACGTTCTCCGTACATGCCGCAGACGCAGCAGTGGGTGTCTAAGCAGGAGCTCCCAGCACAGACTTCAAACAGACCCACGGAAGCTGGTACTTCGAGCATTAAGGGCCCTGCTAAGCAATATGACGGAGTGTTCGTAGATCACACTCTAGAGGAGCAAGAAAATAAGAAGCGGGGTCTAGATGTCCCAGCACCAGAAAATCAATTACTGTCACGAGGGACCAGTACCAGTGGTCAGGACGAAGAAGCAATTGTTGAGAGCAATCCTCGATTACTGGAGGATCCTACTGGCCGAGTCTGTAAGTGACCAAAGCTCCGTGTCGGGAGAAATTCGTAGTTCTGTAAAAACCCCGCAGTATACTAATCTTCATAGTGTACATCGGTGATTCTGCTACGTTGTCATTTCTACAGCTTATTCGCACCTATGTGGAGAGCGTTGCGGGATCCGGGAACCCGTTCATCATGGACCCCAGGCGGCTCAAAATAGTCGAGAACACCATCACCTTACCTCCTAATATACGCCGCACCCACCTTCTACCTGATAGGCAGACTGCTAATGTGCTTGTTGATTCATTCTTTACTAATGTGCGTGGCTCTGCTTGAAGCTTGAGTTATTGCTGACGCCAATTAGACTAATGGCCTCATCGAGGTGTTCCCTCGCAAGGCCTTCTTCGCTAGCCTCGAAAAATGTTATACCGACCCGTTGAACGTGGATCCGTCTTGGCTTTGTCTTCTACATCTCACGTTTGCCATTGGACTTGTCATGGCGGCACCACAGCCTGGCACACCGGAAGACGCAATAATACAGAAGTTGCGGAGTGAAGTCTCTATTGGAAGTGACGGAAAGGTCCATCCAGTAGACCGAGCTGCGGTATTCTACCTAGATGCGAAACACCTCAGTGATCCATCTACAGGTTTCGAAGATGCCGGTTTTTGGAGTATACAGGCTCTTACGCTTATATCAGTCTATATGCTCGCGGTGTCGAAAAGAAATGCAGCTTATGCATACTCTGGTAAGGCATCCCTTGATTTAGACCCGACTTCTTGCTAAGAGGCTCGAAGGTATGGCTTTACGTTCCGCTTTTGCCTTAGGACTTCACAGAGCAGAGACCATGGTCATCTTCTCCCGTGCAGAGCAAACTGTCCGGCGGAATCTGTGGCGGAGTCTGTACGTCCTTGACCGGTTCCTATCCGCATCATTGGGTCGTCCAACAGCCATACGGGATAGTGATTGCTCAGGCGATCCCCTCATAAGTGGAGAGAAGCCTCCATTTCATCAAGCGACGTTCACTTCTGCAACGGATTCCACGGATGGGCTTGGCCTCGAAGCTTCAGTCCGTAGCTGTCGCACAATTGGCGTTATTCTCGACAAGGTATATTCACAACGGAAGATCTCCACAAAACTTGCGCAAGGAATTGCGGATCACTGCAAGGGCTGGCCCAAAACTCTGGATCCCAGTCTGCACCCCAGTCAATCAACGAGAGTAAATCCTGCTGATGGTATTGCAACGTTGCACGTCTATCTTTTTCATTGCCATTCTGTCGTTCTCCTCACCAGACCGTTCTTCCTCTTTGCAATGAATAAAAAAGAGCAAGAACGAAGAGAAATTGGGGCAAAGCAACAAGGAGTCGGTTCAAGGATGGACAGGTTCGGGGAGGCCTGTGTATCTGCAAGTTGTCAAAGCATCACATTGGTGCAACAAGCTCTCGAAGGTGGATACTTACCTCGAAGAAATCCCTTTGTCATGTGAGTTCCACGAATAGACATGAGAACACATAACTAACTCTCTGTAGTTATTTCTTATTTGCATCGGCGCTCGTTGTACTCTCGAGCCAATTCTCCGATCTCTATCCTCATGTCACCCCCGATAGCTCTGTCAGCAACGCGATTAACTTAATGCGATACTGTGCTGAACACGACCCACAAGCTAGCCGGCTTCACTTTATACTCACGTCCTTCCGCAATTTAGTTGTCCAACAGCGAGCTACCGTACCCCAAAACCTAAATCCAGATACCGAATCTCAGATGCGGTCCCAACCGATGTCACTCTCAAACGAAAACAACATTCCAATGGGGGACGTATACCTATCTTCGACGACTCCTGGAGGCACATCCGCTATCCCCGCACCAGGACAGCCCCCGAACAGCAGCATCAGTCCCCACCCTCTCGCTCCAACCGACCTCCCCTCCCCCGCGCAGAGCTCTGATAAGGCCCGGGATGCAAAGATGGACGCCCCGGGCCTCCTCGACCGGCTTGACGGACACAGCTCCTGGGACACGTTCTTCGACCTCGCGCGCAGCGATGGCAACGAGTCGCTCGGTGGCGACGCAGAGATCGACTTCGAGATGCTGTGGCAGTGGCCCAACTCCAACGGCGCGGGCCTCACCACCCCCGGCGGCAACGGCATGACGACACCTGGAGGCCTCGGCATGCCCGGCATTGGGCCGGATGTGCAAAGTATCAGCGACAGCGCCGTGCCGATGTATGGATTCCGGACCGATGTTCTCTAGGCGCTGGATGCTCTGGGTGTTCCTGGATTAACAAAAAAGTAAAATGAAATAAAACACGGAAGGAAAAAGAGGAGGAAATGAATGTACGGGATATTGGCGACAGGGCATGGGAACGGAACGGTAGCTGATCTAATCTGAACTGATCGTCTTCGCGGAGTTTAAAATGAAGTTGGACATGCTTTTCTTCCCCACCCTTTTTCATTTTCTGGGAAAGAGCAGAACAGCATATCACGCATTGTTGGAGAGATGCCCCTCATGTATATATATATAAGTATGTATGTGTGCCGAAAACAACCCGGCCCCAAAAATAAACCCCCCTGGTATTTATTTGGAGGAGTAGCAGGCAGGGTCTGGGACGAGGCACACGAAAGGATACCCCCCCAAAAGATATAAAAAATACATAAAAAATATTATGCACGTTTCCTATCTATCTATATCATACCTAGTGACCGTAAATAATCTTTTTTTTTGAAAAGAAAAAGAAATGGAAAAAAGGAAAAGCAAGATGAACAAACACATCGGTATCTGTAAATAAAATTAAGAACAGGGGCAGGCCGTGAATGAAGAGACGTGACTGCATAGGGGATGATATATTTCTTTAAATAGGTAATATGTCTATCGTTTGCGTCTCTCGCTGCTTTCTCTAAAACTACTTCTTCTTAACGTAAGGTAAGGTAAGGTACCCAAGTTATACTACTACTACTACTACTACTACTACTACTACTATAACATACACCCCATTCTCCAGGCTCCAGCACCTAGCTAGCTAGTTAGCTTTCTGCTCACAGCACCAGTCTCCCAGGCTCAGCTTCAAGAGCGGTCTTGACCCTGTCAAGGAAGAGTTGAGCTCTCTTCTCATCGCCCCTGGGCACTTTCACACTGAACACATTAACCGAATCCGAGATGCCGGGGAGGGGTTTGGGAGCAGCAGCAGCACGGGCTTGTTGCGTCTTAGTCGTGCCAGAGAGGATATCAATAATATCGAGATCCTTCTTCTTCTTAGCGGGTGCAGTAGAGGCCTTTTTCGTTGGGTCGGGAGAAGAGCGCGCGGGCAAGGCGCTGATCTGCGGGAGGAAATTGCCTTTGAAACCCTTGGCTCGGGTGGCCTTGTCGAGACCGAGGACTTGGTTGAAGAGCTCGTCGGCGCTGGGCGGGGAGGTCTTGGAGCGTGGCAGGTTGGAGTTCGCGAGCGCGGTGGCGCGCGCGATGAAGGTGGAGAGGGGGAGGAAGACGCCGAGCGTGCTCTGGATACGCTTTTGCACTTCGATCACGGCTGTCAGGGAGATGGGGACGGCGACTTCGAGATCTTCGATGATGGGTGCTGTTGCTGCTGCTGCTGCTGGTGGGGGTGCGGCCTTGGCGGGCTTCGGCGCTGGAGGGGCGATCTTGATGTTGCTGAGGTCCAGGTGGCTGAGTTTCTCAATCCTGCTGGAGAGCTCAGCGGGGTAGGAGGTTGAGATGGAGCCTAGATATGCGAGGACGTCGCCCTTTAGTAAACGATTATTGGGTCCCGTAGGGGTCATCTTGTCGATGGCCGATTCGTCGAGACCGTGCTCATGGATGAGATGCTGAACTGATGGTAGGAGAGGATATGTCTGCTTCTTTGGCGTCCCAGAAGGTACGGGGCTCGAGGGTTTCGAAGCCTCTGCCTTTGAGCTTGATGCTGGCTCGGGGGCCGCCTTCGATTCTTCCTTGGGCGCTGGCGGCGCTGCGGCTGGCCCGGCATCTGCTGGTATCTCCAAAGTGCTGAGGTCGTCTCCCGGCTCTGCGAGTACACCAATTCGTGTTCCGACCTTAAGTCCCTTGCTACCATCCCCCTGGATGATCTTTGCCAAAATCCCATCGTCCTGCGCCTCCACATCCATCGAGGCCTTGTCCGTTTCGATCTCGAGCAGCACGTCCCCGGCGGAGAACGAGTCTCCCTCCTTGAACTTCCAGCTGGCGATATTCCCCTCCGTCATCGTCGGAGAAAGGGCCGGCATCGTGAAGTTCTGAGCAGCGAGACTCCTCGCAGAGGTCCGGAATCCTGTTCCTGGGGTCAGCAGCGGTCCCGCGAGATGAGGCTCCTTTACATCTCACTCACCTCGCGAGGTAGCATCTTGTCGCAATTGTTTGGCTGAGAGCCTCACCGACAAGCGGCAAGCCGACGCAAAAGATGCCATGTTGGCTTAGGGATGAACGCTCAATTGAGCTGTGTGGGATGGAGGGCGCTGTCCGATGTCCCCAGGTTCCTCCAGTCGTTGAGAAATAGATGGGACGCGCTAGCAGGGGGATCGGCCACCGATCGCCGACAGCTTATAATTTTCTTGGACGACGACATATCCGCCGACCTCGAGATTGTCTTCCAAGGTACACACCAGCCTCAGCAGAGGAGACCAATTGACAATTTACTAATGGAATGTATTTAGATGCCTGCCTTCTCAAGAGGGCTCTTGTTCCGGCCCCGATGCGCCTTCGAACCACTCCGAAATCCTCATATCTTCTCCCAGGTTAAGAGCTGTCAACAACCGCGATCCTTCACTTCATCATCCACACTCCAAGCACTGAAGAAGTCTCGACCTCCATCTGCCGTTAAACAGAGTGCCCCGACTACAAAACCTGCCTCTACCCCAACCAAATTGCCGGCAGCCCCCCGAAATGCCACCTACCAGTCGTACGCTTCTACCTTGGCCCAGAAGGGGCACCCGACCCTCCTATACGTAGCTCCGTCGCACACTGCTTTTCTGATCTCCAGCTACTCCGGCGCCGCCTTCTGTTTCTCCTATGCCGCGTTCAACTTCTGGTCCAGCTATCTCAATCCGCCCCCGGGCCTCTCGACCTGGGTCCCCATCGCGTTCGGCGCGATCTGCGTCGGGATGAGCGCGATGGGAGCCTGGCTCATGCTCGGCCCCTCCCGCATCGTCAGGACCATCACTGCAATCCCAAAAGTGCCCACTGTGACCGCCGCCGCGGGGAAGAACATAACTGCCTCGGGCACCCCCGAGCTCCAGATCGAGATTGAGCTGCGCAAGATGTTCCCCGTGCCGTTCTTCCCGGCGCGCAAGCTGTACATCCAGCCCGAGCAGCTGGTCATGGACTCGCAACTGGTCCGGCCCGTGGATAGGCGGCTGTCGCCCGCGGAGGTGCATGCGATGCGTATGCAGGAGGAGGCCGAACGACAGAAACAGCTGGAGTACGAGCGGTCGCATATCCTAAGTGCGCCGTTCAGGCACATGAGCAGGGCTTTCTACTCGCTGTTCAAAGCCATAGGCAGGACGTGGACAAGAGAGGGATTTGTGAAGGTGGGGGCCAATGGCAAGATGTATAAACTTGATATCACCGGCGGCTGGGCACTGGATGGCGGGAAGGCATTGGATCGTCTAGCGACGCTGAAGCCGAAGGTCTGATGTGATGATAATCTCCGCTGTATAATTAGCTTGTAAAACTACAGAAATGCTACCCGTGCTATAAGTGGATGGAATTGACCCAGCCGATCCAGATAGCCCAGTTCCGGTTATTGAAGTGTATGGCAACAGGTCTGGAGTTGCTGGTCAGAATCCAATTCCCCAACATACGCTATGGCACCTGTGTTACGTTCAGTTTTGTCAGTTCCCTTCGTGCAATCTGGCGCTATCAAGACCTATTAGTGGCATTTCCAAAAGCGTAGATATACAAGTAGGGCCCATAACGACTCCCAAGAGAATCTCGAGAGCTCCGGGTAAGGAAACGCTTGAGGAATTTATGTGACAGCTTCGTCAAAGAAAGAGGCATGGGGCAAGAGACTGCTCTAGGCTTATGAAGAGAATCATCTTTGAGGTCTGCCAAATCGTGGGATACCTGTCTCATCCGCAGCCTCTGGGAATCATACAGATATTTGCGAACTCTGGAAGAGGGCCTGAATACGTTTAGCTAGTCACCTAAGGCTGGGGAGAAAAGCCACTTCACAGATATGCCTTCTCCAGGCCCTCGAGATCTCGAAACATGAAAGCTCGAGAACCAGCTGCATTGTCTTCCATCTGTTGAGACCGGAGAGCCGGGTCTTCCTCCGCGGAATGCAGAGGCTCCCGCGGATTGTGAACAGAATTTACAAAGGGGAATTCATAGGGAGATCAACATCAACGAGCCTCGAGTCGCCTCTTGAAACTTGGAGACATCGGAGGCCGCAGTCACCCTCGTTAACGACATCTGGACTGTTTCGCTACCATGTTTCTCATTTTGTTTGAAGTGCGGCAAAAGCAGATAAATGAGACGTCTTGAGTTCGGCACTCCTCCTGCCATACAAGTATATCTGCATATCTAGCTCGACTGCATGGTCGTCCAGATTGTATGCAGATGTAGTAGAACCAGAAAGCAGGCTGGAAGGACAGGGGGAAATTAGGAAGAGGCGGGAAAAAAGATGCTCGGGTGCGACAGATAGATAGGAGACAGACGAACAGAATAGGGGGAACCCCTTTCTGACACGTGTGCGGAGGCCTATGAGACAATTGATGTTTACACCGAGGCGCGTCTGGACTGGACATGACTCTAGGAACGAGCCGGATGAGGCTCACGAGGCTGACCTCGGATCACGGGTGCTGCACAGGTGTGGCGCGGGCTCTGCTGAGTCTGGTTGCGGGGGAGGGGTAGAAGGGATGTAGAAACATGGAAATATACCACCAAGGACCAAATGATTCATGAACAGATATGTCAATTCCAACTTCGGTAGTTAGTATGGAAGGTCTGCCCTTCGATGATTGCCGAAAACCCCCCCCCACCAAGCCAATTAAACATTGTGGCTTGGCGGTTCTAGAAGAGGATGTCATGATCCGTCTGATGGGGGCGGGGATATGGCTGGAATGGTGTTAAATCCATGGTTGATTGACAAGACTCATCGGACTTGACAATGTTGACAGACGAGATAGAACTGTTACCCCACTTACTGGCTCAATCATCGTCGCTGATGGCGATGGTGGTCGGGCTGAAAATTGAAACAGTCGGTGAACAGCGTCGATCCTGGACCAATCCGAGGACGCTCTTCTCGTGATCCAAACTTCAGTACAGTGGTGGTGAAGAGCACATGGGGCCAGGATTCCCTTCGCTACAGGAAATAGTACAGCATAGTAGCGTGGTGATATGCACTGCGCAGTCAGTAAGGTGCACGGTTGGGACCGCAGTGTGATCCTCTGATAAGATCAAGATCTACAGAACCGTCCTAAATGCTTAATCAAGTACGGTACTGTACATGTGTACGCATAGGGTTAGAGCATGGTGTCTGAGGGTGTCACAACATGTATACTGTACCTACTCAACGTATAGAGGATCAGATCGAGAAAAAGAGGATTGAAAATAGCAACAGGAAAAGCAGGCAAGCCTTACCGCTGTGCTCTCGGCTCTATCGGAGCGCGGGCGAGGATTCTTGTAGAGTTCCAAGGTCTATACCTACCTAATTCTCGCAAGCTTGGAACGGCCAAGGATATCTGACTGTGGTGGCCAGGCACGTTGTCTTTTGAGCGTAAAGGAGAGGCCCTACAGTATAGTGTAGAAGATGTGTCGGATGGATGTCGGGAGGTTGAGCACACGCAGATTTCTCCCCCCCAAGATGGCAGCACATGACCAGTATGAACTGCACTGGGCATCCTCCTTACAGCCTAGGTGGGTTATTCCCAATGCATTGTCGGACCACTGCTGCACGAGGAACGTCATCGAGTGTATCACTCTTCCTTTTTAGTCGTTCGCTGCAGTAGCAAATAGTAACCATGGGACTGAGGAGGGCCAGGCCAAGCCACATGATAACTGACAGAAACCTTCACTCGAATTGTGCACCAGCCACACGTTTGTTTATGCGGAGTAGACCTCAGGCCAAGACGGGTCTCGGGAGAGATGGCTCATATGATCCCGAGAGAAATGACAGTACAGAGTTATGTATACTAGAAGCTATCGATTGGAAGGCCTTCATCTGACCTCTGAGCCGGGTGTGAAGCTGCGAAATTCGAACCGCCGGTCCCTCGTATCACACTGCTCGTGATGGGTATTCTCGAATGTGGATGCAGCACTGGCGATGGAAAAGGTATACTGACTCGTGGGTAGCCATTGACAGGAAAGAGGTGGTGGGTGTGGGTGAGGCGTTGCGTGCTCGCGTTTGACGTTGAAGCGGTGAAGGAGGAGAATAATGATTAGATATGAAAAGCTCCGCGAGGAAGAGGAAAGCGACGCCGCAACGGGCACACGCACAGCCAAGGCCCAAGGGGCGGATGTCTGTTGCGAACCTGGAGGATGTGATTGGACGACGGCTGGAAATTTGCAACCTTTGCGTCTCTTCCTAGGCCAAATCTACGAAGTGCAGAGTCCTGTAGATTGTTAGTACTGTCTGTGATATTATTATTAGTTCGTGATTGCGGCTGGAGGTCCATTCCTTTGCCCACGGAGGGGTTGGGGGGGGGGGGCCGCTGATCAAGCGCCCGTTGGTGGTGCAATGGAGAAGGAGATGGTGGTGGTGGGGGTGTCTCAAGGTGTGGACCAGGGATGATACGCACCAACCAGGCTGGGAGAGCGGGAGGCAATCTTGATTCTCACGGGTCGTTGACGACGCCTGCTCCAGTACTACTGCACTTCCCGTACCCGTGGGTGTTCCTGCTCCTCCTCGTGACGATGGTGAAGGAGAAGAGGGTGGACCAGCGTGATGTGATGTGATGGGCGAGGGGCTTTTGGTGTTGATAGCAGCTAAGGGAGAATGGTCGATGCCTTAGCAGGAGTAGCCTCAGGTAGCCTCAGGTATGATAGAGCCGCTAGTATGAGATAAGGTAATTAAACATTAGATAATACAAAATATACCTAATCGGGCAAGACAGGGCGATATATACCTGATATATACATGCCGCCCAGGGCTAAGAGCCTAAAAAGCACGGGATTTTAAGGATAAAAACCCCCTAGGAGGCCCCGCACAGACGGTCCCTGTTCCCGCCGACCGAACCCCGAATTTCGGCTACGCGCCACCTTCTAGTTCAGCGGTCCTGTCGCCTACAGTACCTTACAATACAGTACAGTGAGGAAAGTAAACAAGAGACGGGACGGGATTCATAACAACAATCATCAAGTACCTTAGTATATATCAATAAACAGCAATAATACACCCCGTGCCGTGCTGCAGTGCTAATGTACGGTTTGATTAGCACAGGTCGATACAGGAGAACTAGTAGTGCTAGCATCCTGTAAGGTCGACTCCGGACTCCGTAGAAATAAATAGCCTCTCGAGAGCAAACAATAATCCATGCATCGACAAGAGCCGCCTCCCCTTCTCCCTCCCACCCGCAGGCTCCACCACCACCACCACCACCTCAAGAAGAACCACCAGAACCACTTCACCATCCCATCTGAGTCTCTGCAACCCGCTCGCTGAGACAAGACAGGCCTCTCTCCTGCTTCGCGCCTGTCACTTGTCTCTGTAGCGCCACACCTCAATTTATACCCATCCCGTCGTGGGTCTTGGCTCTTGGGTCTCTTCCCGCCCACGCATTCGCTGCTGTGCGGCCGGTGCCCTCGACGACCATTACTATTCGATCCCTGGCCGCCCGACCTCTTCTGCCTTTCTTCTGCGCTTGCCCTGTATGAGCAGGGACCCCGACGACGCTGGGCAGTGGACACTGGACGCATATCATCCATCCTACACTAACATATCCCGGTCCCAAAAGTGGAGCGCCAGGCCTGCTCTGCAGCCACTGCTGCACCCGCCGCCCTCACGACGGACTCTGCTACTACTCGCTCACCTCGAGACGGACAGCCGACTCTCGCGACTACACACTACCACTACGACTACTGTACTGTACGGTACTCGGTGCTTGCATGATTGCATCCCATCCTGCATGCACCAGCTTCGTCGTGATTCGTGAAGCCCCATCCCTCCTGCTGCCCCCCCGTAGCACCATCTGAGGTCGGCGGCAGCATTCTGCCCTTCAGATAGCGAGGGTCCTTTTTCTTCATTTCTCCCCCCCGCTCCCCTGGAACTTTCTTCTGCTTCGTTGTGCGAGTGCCTACAGAGCTGTGCTGCTCTCGGTGCCCAGCACGACCACGATAGGAGGTATAGTGTGAGGTATGTTGAGCTCTTTCCATCTGTCTGTTTCCCTCTCTACCCCCTCCAGGTGCGTCAAAGCACTGTGTGATATGTCACATACGCGGCACGCCTCTGTCCGTCCTCGAGCGGACCATTGCATTCATTGCACCGCTGGTATCTCGAAGGATAATGGCTGCGCGGCCGCGTCTGCAGCCTGGCTCGAGCAGAGCATCGTGGAGCACAGCTCCTTACAAGGCATGATGTGTTGCTACGCGCTCATTTCATGTTTTCCATTTTGAAAATTAGAACCGCTTCTAACGTGTTGCTCAGCAGGCTGTCACCCTTTCCCTTTCCGACAAACATATCTCCTCTCTTACCGCATACGAATATCCTTTCTCTTTCTACAAGGTACTGGGCAGCTTTTTTTATTTCTGCGCCTCGGTCCCGCCGGAGGGATATAGTCTTATGGACACCGAGGACGGGCAGTTCTTCATAAAGGTATGCTGTTCCTGCCATCCCGAAAATCCCTCTTCGTCAACACATAGCTGATATATCCCCCTCTACAGAACTTGGCCCATTTTGTTCGGACACACGAGAAAGCACTTGCCAATGCCCTGCAATTACGTCGACAGCAGACTCCTAAAAATGGATCATCACAAGGCGTGTCCGGGGCAGTCGGAGGATCCGCAATCCCCGGGTCACCAACAACCACAAACCCTCCATCCTCAGCGTCCTCCTCTACAACATCAAGCACTCTCGCAGCAGCTCTCTCCCTCCCATACTTAACTTTTGCCTCACATAATATCAAGCCTGCCAAACTTGCCTTGACACCCCATCATCTGTTCTACCTCCTTTCCCGATTTGAAGAGCTTGGCATACAGGTTGGTCCCATGAATGTGCGGTTAGAGAATCTCCATGAAACGTCTGCTGCCAACTATGTGTCCTTTTTGAGTCAATCACAGCGGCCAAAAGGCCGAGGCTCTGATAGTGGATCCATCCACTCGGTATCCAGTGTGCGAAGTGTAATGTCTGGCATGTCCGCTTTGTGGGCGAACTTTGGCCTTGGTTCTGGAGGCGCCGCTGCCCGAACCGAGAAACAAAAGGCAGCTATCGAGGCGGACTTGAAATACCTGTATTCCGCCTTCACCAAGATCCCGTGTCTAAGGCTCGCCCCAGATCGGCGAGCACGGTTGATCGAAGGCTATGAGGAATTTCCATTCGACAGCGCAGTTCCTCTCTATGCATTCAAGAACGTTAGTGCCCTGGAGATTAGTGACATTGATATTCGGCAGTTTTTTGGCTGGGACCGACTTGCGGATCAGTTAAGGTCCTTAACAGTCAAGCGTGCGGGTGTTGAAGATCCAGCAGACCTCCTGATCAACATAGTGCTCGATGATATGGTCAGACGGCGACGGCGTTCTTCAAAAGCGCAATCGTCACCAACCACTACATGGGCCATGTCTTCGAGCCCGAAACGAAGCCCGACGTTGCCACACGCAGTGTTAGTCCATTCAAATTCAGCGCCTGGATCCCCAGATGAGCGCAGCCATATCAACGACGCCGAGGTTCGAGGTGAGCTGCTCGTACGGTCTGGTTCTGATGGCTCGAAATCTCCAACGAAAGCAAGACCGAGGAGCAACTCGCCTGTACGGCCGAATAGTTCACGAACTGGTTCGACCCATGGACATGTGCGAAATTCGCCCTACAAAGTCAAGAGATCTGGATCGAGTAGTTCTCATTCGAGTATGTCGGATGGTTTGTACAACCCGCGCGGCAGCTCGTCCAATCTCCTGGCCATGGGCGTTTTGCCATCATCGAAGTGGAGGTTTTTGAAGCATCTTAGCCTTGCTGATAATAGCCTTACATCAATATGTGCAGCCAGCCTTGCGCCGTTGGCAAATACCCTCCATTCCCTGGACCTGTCTTCGAATCTATTCTCTCAAGTCCCTGATTGCCTGTCCTCCCTTACGGCCCTGAGAGCGCTGAACCTATCACACTGCATGATTGATTCGCTTCGTTCCTTGAAACGGAACCCTCTACCAGCTGTCACTGCCCTGAATCTGCGATCGAACCGCCTTGTATCTATAGCCGGTATCGAGAGCCTCCTACCATTGGAAAGACTTGATTTGCGAGACAATAAAATCAATGATCCTACGGAGCTCGCAAGGCTTACTGGTCTCCCTAACATACGGGAGATCTGGGTCTCTGGGAACCCCTTCACCCGAACCCATTCCGGGTATAGAGTTACCATCTTCAATCTTTTCAGGAAAACGCCTGGCTACACTGAGGATATCGTGATCGATGCTTATGGTCCCGGCTATTCCGAACGACGGCAACTGGTTGAACGTGTAGCGCAACGTCCAAATGTGCCCATCATCAAAACACCAATACCGAACTCTGATCTTCCTACATTGAATACCAACAAGCCCATCATCGAATATCCTGCCACTCAGGAGCCATCAGAGCTTCGCAAAGAACGACCGGGGTTTGAAACCACTACAAGTGAGGTATACTCAAGCGCTTCTGGGCGGCGGAAGAGGACACCCAAGCGACGCATTGTAGACCTTTCAACTTCAGACACCTCGCCAGGTATGCTGAAGCCGTCTGTAAAGTTCTCGTCGGAAGAAGCCATGGCCGCGGCTGCCGGGTCAGATGTTAGTTACAGTATCAGTCCTGGCCCAGCCACTCGGACGATCGAATCATATACGCCTTCCGAGCCGAGGCAAACTCAGAACCAGCCGGAAATGCCACGCATTGATACTTCAGTAGCCCCTCGATTACCGCCTATCGAGACGGTTAGTTACAATCCTCCGGCTATCAAAGCACCGTCTAATCCGGATCCTCAAGACTGGAGCATCAGTGGCGAAATTTATAGGAAGAAAATTGAAGCTCTTCGCAACGAGGTTGGAAACGGATGGCTGAGTGTCCTGAGTGAAGAAGCGTGGGACCCACAAAAGAATGGCGTAGATTTCAGTCCTGCGAGCACCATACGGCCGAGCCCAACCACGCCTCGAGCAGCCAGTCTACAAACAATACACAGCGGCCGGACATTGGGCTGATGATATTGGTGAAGAAGCCGCTTTTGAGAACCAGGATTTCTTCCACACGAAAACGGTACATATCGGATTCGACTGCTTCTATGCTCTCAATGTCTCTGTCATTTGGCAGCACCTGCGGCTGTGCCGAACCTTTTTTGATACCCTCGTCTTTAAGATTGCATTGTATATATGATTCTCCCCTTTTTCTCGGGATGTTTGCATTGGGGCATGTTTGCGTGTTTTTTGATTGTTTTTCCGCATTGGTTTCGGTTCGTCAGTTTATCAAGCATAGCGAGGGTTGGGCGGTCATCTGCTCTTTTAATTCTCTTTCCCCTCATGATGTGATCTCTCTTTGGCGGGTGTGCCAAACCACGTTCATCATGATGTTTCGGGGGGGTGCATTTCACGAAGCTAGATCTGGGATGGATGGAAGGAAGAGGGGAACGGATTGTAGCACTGTTGAAAGTCTTTTTTTTTTTCATGTTCTGGGGTCTGGCTTCTCTCTTCTTTTTTTCTCTCTAATGTTCGATTTGTAAAATAGGGGGTCTACAGGTTCTATCGGGCTGGGCGTTCTGCTGACGTTAACGACTTGCATTTGTATTAAACTGGTGGTGGCGGGGGAGGTGGGATTTGATTTGATTTGAATTCAGTAGGCCCGCAGGCAAGAGATTAATGAAAGGTTCTCTTTCTACGGCTGCTACATGATATATTATACACCGTCAAGCTTGTGCTCGCGTGATGTCGATGTAAGTGTGCGATGTTGTAGTGCTTGATAAAACTCTCGGATAACGTAGGGTGGGTAGACAAAAGAAGACCCCGCGCCCACTCCCCGCCTTATTCCCCATATGGGTGGTCCGTGCGAGGATCTTAACTACCTTAACCCCTTCCTCTCTTTAATCAAGCAAACAGGGGGTTTACTCCATAAGGTAAGGTAGCAAATAAATAAATAGGATAAAATAAAAGGGGTTCTCTTCTCTCTGTCAAAGAAAACTTGAGTCCAGATAGTTAAGGATTCAAGTAAGTGGTGCTTTTGAAATTAATGATTTTAGCTAGGTAGGTAGGTAGGGGAGTGGAAAAGGGAGGGTTGGTAGGTTAGTTGGTTAGTTAGGAGGGAGGGGTCTTAAGAGAAGAATTGGGTTGGGTTGGGTTGAATTGAATTGGGTTGTTTATTGTTTTATTAGTTAGCGGGTTGGATTGGGGGATAAGTACCTAGCTAGGTAACTATTGAGTTGAAATGATTTCTGGAGGTGTTGTGGTGGGAGTGATGATGGTATGTTCCTTATAGGAAGGGGGGGATGGTACTTTATATAGTACACTCACCTCCTCCTTGGCGCGATCCTTTCTTTGTCTTGGTCCCGGTCCTAGTTTATATGTTGCTCTGCTGTAAATATCACCGGAGCATACTCAAATTCGGTAGGACCCCATCCGGGCCGGGCGGGATCCAATGTTCTTGTCAGGGACAACACAGAAGACAGGACTCTTGGGTATCAGGGACAGCCCGCCGGTCCCGGGGGACCTCGGTCTGTCAAGCTTGGGGTCCGAAAGCTTGGGGTGATTGGGGGACCTCGGGCTCTGGATCGGAGGCCTGGAACAGGAAAAGAGGAGGGTGAGAGGGCGTGCGGACGGGAGTCTAATGACTCGTGCAATGGTGTCAAATGCTCCTCGGCATGCGTCATGGTACCATCGCAGGACTTCGGATGCCTCTTCCCCCCCGCCCCTCGAACCTCGCCCATAGCGAGGAGGCTCTGAAGAGACTTACGATTGTTAGGGTAAGGACAAGGGAAAGAGATGGATGGGCAGGCCTAAACATCTCACTTGCTCCCCCCCCCCGCGTGCCGACAGCATGGCCACGAGCATCGTCGCCCCACTAGACATAAACTCTGGAGTCTGTCTCCCCGCATCCCCGCGGATGGCTAACAGGGTCGAGAACCCAGCCAGCGATGCGGAGCTACTCCAATGCAGTGCACAGATATATGATGCTAGAGATCAACAGGCTGCGTGCTAGTTGGTATCCAGCGGCATGGATCTTTCACCTCCGCGAGTCGGCGAGAGGCGAGAGAGCAGGATCCTTATCCTTCTGCCCATGTAACGTGGGATCCGTTGTACCTACCCGTGCTGTAGCTACGGTCTGGCGGGAAAGACATCTCCAACCCGAGATCAGGCTCTGGAGAGGAGGCGACGATTTCCGCTTCTTCGAGAGCCACATGAGCTGTGTCGTATGCAAGTGAGGTCCTATAGGATATGGAAAAGGAGCCTCCTGGGTCTCCCGGGAGCGCGAATCCATGTAGCAGCTTGCTTTCCACGGAACTGATTGGTACCGCGGGGTAGATGTATAGAGAGGGACGAACGTGGGGTGGCGATCTGAGATTATCCTGTGCATTCGACTTTGGAACCGAGTAATGAGAGCACTTGCAGGAACATCATCATGACGCTGATTGTGTCTGGGTCTTGCAGCGGGAGGATCACGAGCATCGAGATTGGAATCCCTTCGAACATTGAGGGGTAACGATGTCCGTCGCCGACACCCCTTCAGGATCTTGAATGTAGACTGCTCTGGAAAATTCCTGCAAAGAGCATCTCCAGACATGCCGCTCAATGCCTGTTGCCTGTGTTTCAGGAGGAATAGATAGATGCCTGGTTCTCGTCTTGACATCAAAGCACCTCGACGGCCGTCAAGAAACCTTGAGCCGAGTCTTCGCTGGAAGAAATGAAAGAAGCGATGTCTCACTTGTAGCCGCCCGCTCTCCTACCACTTGGTAGATCCAGGACCAAGGTCGCAGGTGCATTCCAACTTCTGTAGCAGTCGTACGTTCGTTCCCCTGAGACCCGGTCCGGTGCAATGTTGTTGGGAGCTTTCCTTGGATTTGTACAAGGTTATCTCAGGGGCTGCATGATATACGCAGCGTATATGGACGCACCCCTCTAAGCGGCTCGCAATAGGAGACAAGATGATGCACCGGGGAGGGCCATTCGATCATAACACGAGCATCTAGACCGTATTGTGGTGGAGTTTTCGCTCTGGCAGAGTGGACCGACGCTCGTCACGGGTGGTGAAGTTCTTTAAATAGCATCCCTGGGGAGGTGGCTGCAACGGAGCAGGAGGGTCTACGGAGTATATCTTCAAGGCAGCGCGGCGAGGTAAAAGCAGCAAGGACCAGAGCGAGGCAATCTGCTGCATAAGCGCGTAAATCCAGTGCCGCTTCACGCCTTCCGCGCCCGCGTCAGATTTTGGCGGGAGAAAGCCAAGGCAACGGGGCAGCAGTCAAAACCCACGGCCAAGCAGCTGGCATCTCTGCGCCTTGAACCCTTTCACTTTTGCCTTTTCCCGTGTGTCCTTGCTCGGGCAGAGAGATCATTCTCATCAGTCTACAAAGACGACCCAAGCTGACGCCCGCATCCCGCATCCCGCATCCTCCCACGGATCTGCTGCTCTGCGCTCCTCTCCTCCGCGCCCCCAACCCCGACAGCGACGACAACCACAACCACAACCTCAACCTCCTGAGCGATCCGCCGTCTTGATCATATACACATTCATTGGCCCTTCTGCCAGTCAACCGGCCCCTCTCTCCGCCCGCGGAGTCACGACGGTGGGCATCTTCGCATTCCCAGTGCAGCGGCCCCGTTTGCCCACAAGCACAAAATCTAAAACCCCGTTCCCCCCTTGCGCTACTTACCTCCTCCCTACTTACACCAACCCCGAGCCAGAGCCTTCCCAGCAAACCTTCTTCTCGCTCTCCCACCCACCCCCAAATCTATTTCTCCTCCAGCACGACTCTCCTGACTCCCCCCCCCCATCGTCACCGTCTTCGTTCATCCCCCCCGTCTCCGGTGTATAAAGGGTCCTGCTCCTTCCACACCCCCCCAGCAAAGTCCGACTTCAAAAGGCGATAAACGAGAGCGCGCTTGTGCCGGAGAAAACACCAAGAATTCGGGAACTTCTCAACAAGCCTCGAACCTCGAGTCCACAAAAAAAAAACACCAGCGCCACCCCCAAACCCATACCAGCGGACGGCTACTACGCACCTTCTGTGCTCGAGCCCGTTAAGCAGACACCTGCGAAGAACTGCCTGGCAATTTAGCCTCCGCGTCACCCTCGCTTTGGGCAGATTGAGACCTCGAGATCCTCCTCGACCTCAAAACCTTTCATTCATCTCGACGACAGAGCCTGCGCAGTCTAGCAGAGCTTAAAACCGACCGGCTTTCTGTAGAAAGCTCCATTGAGGCCGATATCCCTTCATTGTACGTGTTGCAGATCCTGCCTACCGTGTTGATAAAAATAAACCAGCGCGACCTTGAAATTTGCTCCCCCCCGACCTCAACCTCCTGCTAATGCTCCACGCGTGCCCAGATCGAGAAGTGGATCACAGTCCTCCTACCGCGAGTATCCAACCCAGTGAACTGACTCTCCTCCAATACCCTACCGACTGCGGAAACCACAACGTCACCCCCGTCACCTTCTTCCCCCCTGCGGACAGAAGAAATGGCGGATCAGAATGATGTAGACCTCGATTCCATAATCGACAGATTGTTGGAAGTCCGAGGTAGCCGCCCAGGCAAACAAGTGCAGCTCTTGGAAGCAGAGATCCGTTATCTGTGCACAAAAGCCCGTGAAATATTCATCTCTCAGCCCATCTTGCTGGAACTTGAGGCGCCTATCAAGGTAAGCATACTGCCCCCCCCGCGAGCAAACCCAATCCAGCTCGAAGGACCCCATTCTGACTGCTATCGCGTGCTCGCAGATATGTGGTGACATCCACGGCCAATATTACGATCTCCTCCGCCTGTTTGAATACGGTGGTTTCCCACCGGAAGCAAACTACCTCTTCCTTGGAGACTATGTGGATAGAGGAAAGCAATCACTGGAGACCATCTGCCTGCTCCTCGCCTACAAGATCAAATACCCCGAAAACTTCTTCATCTTGCGCGGCAACCATGAATGCGCTTCCATCAACCGTATCTATGGCTTTTACGATGAGTGCAAGAGACGGTATAACATCAAGCTTTGGAAGACCTTCACGGACTGCTTCAACTGCTTGCCCATTGCGGCGATCATCGACGAGAAGATTTTCACAATGCATGGTGGTCTCAGTCCCGACTTGAACTCCATGGAGCAGATCCGCCGCGTCATGCGACCAACTGATGTAAGTCTGCGTATTTCATTTTTCTTGCCAGCCCTCGGCGGTCCGAGGGATGGCCTGAGCCGTTGCTGATAAAAACAGATCCCTGACTGCGGTCTGCTCTGCGATCTCCTCTGGTCTGATCCAGACAAGGATATTACCGGCTGGAGCGAAAACGACCGGGGTGTCTCTTTCACCTTCGGGCCCGATGTCGTCTCACGATTCCTACAGAAGCATGATATGGACTTGATATGCAGAGCTCATCAGGTTGTCGAGGATGGTTACGAGTTTTTCTCCAAGCGGCAGTTGGTTACGCTATTCAGTGCTCCCAACTACTGCGGCGAGTTTGACAATGCCGGAGCGATGATGAGTGTGGACGAGAGCTTGCTATGTTCGTTCCAGGTTAGTAGATACCTCGGTCCACCCGGTGATTGGACATCAATTAACCCTCCTCGTCGCAGATTCTGAAACCAGCGGAGAAGAAACAAAAGTACGTTTACGGCGGTGGTCTTGGTGCCAGCAGGCCCGTCACTCCTCCGAGGAAGCAGAAGAAGTAGAAATGAGCAATTACGAACTTCCTTGTGTATAGCAGGTTCGGACGCAGATAAGCATACCTTTCCGATTTCCTCTCGAGTCTTTACAACAAAGTATCCGCCTCGCGCTCCTTGACCCGCCGTTTCCATACCTCTCGATCGTCCCGACTTTTGCAGCTATTCGAACGTGTCTCGATTTCGATCACCTCTCCTAAACAAACATATCTATTGCGCGTGCATTGCCCTGCGGCTCCTACGACGACGTATCCCGAATGTACCTATCTCCTTTGCTACCACTAATACGACCAATGAGAACCTGACTGCCAGGAACGATCAAGAACTTTGAACGAACGCGAACAAGGAGAGGCAGGGCTTCTCGACTCTTCTCGACTCGGTTTGGTTTGGGTTGGTTTATCCATGGGGCATCTTTGTGCGTATATGAGATTACGATAAGCAAGGGAGCCTCTGCGTGATGTTACTTTGTCTGTGCAGCTCGACTGGCTTGGCTTGGCTTTCTCTGACACGTGTGGGGGGAGAACAGGAAACGATGGGGGGTGTACCATGATGAAGCTCTGGGGGGGCTGATGCTTGCAGAGTGAGCGGTGGTTTCTGTAGCCGTTCTTCTGCCACAATTGCTGACATATGATCTGTTGCGGGTGAATGAAATTAATTTCCTACATATCATGTCCTGACCATGTTACTCATATACTCGTTGTTGCTGCGGTGAAATGTATGTACAGTTGTGAGTGACGTTGTCGTCTTGCCTGACTGATACACTTGATCACCCCTTTCTACCGGATCAAGCATCCCCCTTCTTTTCTTCCGCCCTCCTAGCAGCAACAATTCTCATCCCCCGGTCTACAGAACCCAAAACTCTCACCCTCGCCACCACCACCAATAACCACCTTCCCATTCTCATTTACCACATTCCAAGCATCATCGCCCGCAGCTCCCGCCTGAGCTACCTTCTCTACAGGAGGAGCTTGGCCCGTAGTAGCAGTACTACTAGTAGTAGTAGTAGTAGTAGCAGGCTTTGCGTGGGAATCCACATGTCCTAGATCTCTAGATGGATCAATGATATCTCGTACGCGGCGCTTAAGCTCTTTTGTTTCTGTGGCATAGTAGTTAGTTAGGGGTTTTATGTTTTATGTCCTGTTATTCTTCTTTTCTTTTCTTTTTGGTTTGCGTATAAAACAAAACAGCTTGCGGGGTGGGAAAAAAGAGAAGGGGGGGGGTATATACCAGGAAATCCACCCTCAGCCTTCCGGTCCCAGAGCAAATGCTTCTGGATCGTAGTCGTTGACGGCGCAGCAGTATACAGATGAACGGCGAAGACGCCGCCTGTGGATGGCTGGAGTGCGACTTCTCCCAGAGAGGTCGAGAAGGTGGAGATCAGCTCTTGGGCGAACTTGTTGGTTTGGAATGTTAGCTTGGCTTGGGCTCTGATCCTTGGGGGGAGGGGAGGGGAGGTGATATCACGTGTTCTAGATAGATGAGGGGCGGGGGGGGGGGGGGGGGGTAGGTCTTCTTGCAGGGTGGGAAAGGTAGGGAAGGAGAGATAGGAGGGTCAAAACTCACGTATGCGGCTCGAAGCATCCATTTGCACTGAGTACAGAACTCAATAGTCACACGAGGCAGTGCCGTTACGACGTTCGCCATCTTTATTTTTTCCCCTTGGTCTGTAGGTCAGGTTTCTTAACTGGGTATTGGTTTGTCTGGATTTGTAGGTGGGATTGTCCGGGAAGGGGTTTGGATGTGTGATTCCTCTTCTGCTTGTTTAGGTAGTAGGGTCAGGGCGGGATTACAATGAGGTGCTTTGTGGTTGAGAAGAGCTGGCTCTGGGCTGCGAGTTTGTCATCAAGGCGGTTGGATCCACCACATAGATCCCGTCGTCTGGATTTCGCCCCCGGATTGCGCTATGAGACGCGCCCCGTGGTTTTGGCAGCTCACATCATTTCCACACATGTCTCACGATACAAGCGGCTGCCCCCTGGGCAAATTGATGGATATCCTTCATTATTATATGAGATGCCTCCCCCATGGTTGGTGTTATGCACAGAGAAGGGGAAAACGTAACTACCGCATACACAAAAAAGAAAAAGGAAAGTATTACATGCAACCTGTGTGTTCTGTGCCTGTCTCTCGTCCATTTTGTAGTCGGCCGTGACAATTGTAAAACCAGGCCAAAGGAATGGCCACGCTAGGAGAGGTATTAAAGAAAAAAGTCCTGTACGCCGGCGAACGCCCTGCTTGCTTGAGTTCCATCATCTGTCTTCCCCTCTACATAACCACACAGCACCCTCCGCTCTGCTGCGGCGCATACGGATCTTCCTTCTTGTCGACCGTCCCCCAGACTGACGGGACCATGAAATCCTTCGTGTTATTTGTGTAGGTGATGATGCTGTGGCACACGTCAATACCAGATCTGCAGACCCTCATCAGGGTTGGAACTGTAAGTACCTCTTCGCTGCTTGAGAGACGGGGATCCGTTCGCGCTCCAGATCCTCTCGCAGACGGTTGTTCAGTTCGGTCAGGCGGCGTAGCTTGAGGTCGGCCATCGATTGCTTGTTCTTCTTGACTTGGGATGGGTCGCCCACATCGCGGGAAGAGTATCCAGAAGGCATGGTTGTCAATGAGGAGGTTTCGTGAGTGGAAGGCTCGGGGCTGAAGCGGTCACGGCGCTCGATCAACTAAGACACCTCCCGTCAGTTTCCCTTAGTTACCAATTGCGCATCAAGGAGATAACTTACATCTTGTGAGGTCGACTCTTCAACAAAGAGAATCGAGGGCTCCGAACCAGAGTGACAGGCCGCTGAGGTGCTGGAGACGATCGGCAGGAGATTCGTTTGATGGAGATTGGCAAATGAGGAACTTCCTCGATGCGGTAAGGCGAGAAGCCGCTTCGAAAGGGAATGCCGCTAGGCCGCAAACAGGTGTCCAAGCGATCACGTGAAAATAAAGATTCTAACTACTGCAACAATCGCACACAAATGGGAGGAGGAGAAACTTCAAGTCGCATCTTACCATCGCGACCCCAACACGACCCCGTATCCTCGGCCCCGTCAGGTTTCGCTCTGCGAACGGTTACCTATCCCCAGCAGAAACCTAGTCAAGAATAGCACCCGCAGGGGAGCTTGCCCAGCATGCCTCCTCCGCCACATCAAAAACCCGAGAATGTGTTGAAGCGCGCTCACGAACTTATGGGCGTGGGGCAAGCCCCGGCTGCCCTCACCCTTCTTCACGAGCATATCGTTTCGAAGAGATCCCGAAATGTCCCCATCGCCTCTCTGGAGCCGGTGGTGCTCCTGTTGGTTGAACAGTCTGTCATACAAAAGAAGGGCAAATTGGCCAAGGATGCCTTGTACCAGTACAAGAATATCAGCCAGAACACCAACGTCGGCACAATCGAGGTAAGCAATGAGAGACACTATTTTTGTCATTTTGAGATGATGCTGATACGCGTATCCACAGCTTGTCCTGAAGAAGTTCATCGAGTTGGCCGAAGAGAAAGTGAAGACCGCCCAGGCTGAAGCGGACGAGGCTCAGTCGACGCTCGAAACCAAGGCAGCCACTGCCAGTGTCGATGACCTTGAAGCCACCGAGACCCCAGAATCGATCCTCTTGTCGACCGTCTCCGGCGAACAATCTCGGGATCGCACTGATCGTGCAATCGTTACACCATGGCTCAAGTTTTTGTGGGAGACGTACCGAACCGTTCTCGATATCCTGCGAAACAATGCGAGGTTGGAGATTATGTACCAGAGTACTGCTATGCAGGCTTTTGAGTTCTGTCAAAAGTACACGCGCAAGACCGAGTTCCGCAGACTCTGCGAGCTCCTTAGAAACCATGTTCAGACTGCTGCGAAGTACTCGGCTCAGATGCACGCCATCAACCTCAACGACCCAGATACCTTGCAACGCCATCTTGAGACGCGTTTCCAACAGTTGAATGTTGCTGTCGAACTTGAACTTTGGCAGGAGGCTTTCAGGAGTGTGGAGGATATTCACACCTTGCTCAACCTCAGCAAGCGCCCACCCAAGAACATCATGATGGCCAACTACTACGAAAAGTTGACTCGTATCTTCTTGGTTGGGGAGAACTATCTATTCCATGCTGCTGCTTGGTCTAGATACTACAACCTTCTTCGCCAGTCCGCGGCCATCGTTGCCTCCGGCCAAGGCAAGAAGGCAGATAACCCAGCTACGTCCGAAGCTGATCTCTCCAAGGCAGCTTCCTTCGTCCTTCTTTCAGCCCTCGCCATTCCCGTCATCAGCACTTCAAGATCCCGAGGTGCTCTGGTTGACATTGACGAAGCCAAGAAGAACAAGAATTCTCGCCTCACCCATCTTCTTGGAATGGCCCAAGCCCCCACTCGTGCTGTCCTTTTCAAAGATGCTATGAGCAAGGGTCTCCTAAAGCGTGCTCGCCCAGAGATTCGTGACCTCTACAACATCCTTGAAGTTGACTTCCACCCTCTATCCATTTGCCAGAAGATCTCCCCCATCTTGACTCAGATTGGTGCCGATGCAGACATGGAGAAATATATTCTTCCTCTTCAGCAGGTCATCCTCACGAGACTCTTCCAGCAGCTTTCACAAGTGTACGAAACTGTGGATCTGAAATTCGTTGAGGATCTCGCCAAGTTCCCAGAGCCTTTCCAAGTCAGCAAGGATACGATTGAGAAGTTTATCATGAATGGCAACAAGAAGGGCGACCTTGCTATCCGCATGGATCATGCCACTGGTGTCCTCAGCTTCGACACGGATGTCTTCTCTTCAACCAAGGCCATCCACGCTGGCTCTGGTGCTGGCTCGGCCGAGAGCGAAACGAGCTCGGTGCAGAGACTCCAGAACACGCCATCCGAAATTGTCCGAACCCAGTTGACTCGTCTAGCAAAGTCTCTTTACATTACGTGCCAGTATATTGATCCGACGTTCAATGAGGCTAGAATCAAGGCCCGAGATGCTGCCTATGCACGAGCTAAAGCTGGTGCGGAGCAGGAGCATATCGATACCTTGGCTCGGAAGACGATCATCCAGAAGAGAAAGGAGGAGGCCTCTGAGATTCAAGCACGCAAAGAAAAGGAAGATGCCACCCGGAAACGTATCAGAGCCGCTCAGATTCAAGAAGCCGAAGACAAGCGTCTCGCTCAGGAGCAGAAAGAACGCGAGGACAAACGTCTCAAGGCAGAGTTGGACCGAGTACGCAAAGATGAGCTCAGGAAGCAGATTGCAGATCTCAAGATTGGCCCCAAGGCTATTGACATCGACGTTGAGGATCTGGATAACCTCGATGGCAACCGTCTGCGTGCGATGAAGCTTGCACAGTTGGAGAGGGAGAAGAACGACATAAATGAGAAATTGCGTGTCACTGGCAAACGTATTGATCACCTTGAACGTGCCTTCCGAAAGGAAGAAGCCAAGAAGCTCCCCGAAGACTACGCACAGCAACGTGAAAGGGATTTGGCCGCCTATGAGAAGATCAAGGCCCAGACTTTGAAGGACGCTGAGGCCAAGCACAAGGAGAATGTCGCACTCAAGCACAGATTGAGCCGTTTAGTAACCTTCTACGAGTCCTTCCGAGAGTCGGTTCACGAACGCAGACACGATGAGTTTGAGAAGCGCCGTCGTGATGCTGAGAAGGAGCTCGAGAAGCAGATTGCACTACGCAGAAAGGAGTTCAGAGAGCGCAAGATCCGTGAAAAGCGAGAGCGTGAGGAACGAGAGAGGGCTCTCCGTGAGGAGGAAGAGCGTGCTGCGAAGGAAGCAGAGGAGAAGGCCGCGAGGGATGAGAGGAAGAGGCAAGAATTCCAGGAGCTCAAGGCTATCCGAGAGCGGGAGAGGCAAGAGGCACTAGAGATAGCTGCTCTGCAGGCACGCAGAGCTGAGGAAGCTGAGCGACGCAGAGCAGAACAAAAGGCGGCGGCTGCTGCTGCACCGGTTCGCGGTGCACCCGCGATGGAGCGCGCCGACTCCGGCGAGCGAAGAGCACCGCTCCCACTTGTCGGTGCGAAGCTCAGCTGGAGAGAGAAGGAGAAATTGCGAGCGGAGGGTAAGGAAGTGCCGGGAGCAGCGAGAAATGAGTCCCCGGTGGCGCGCGCCTCACCAATGGGACGCGCTCCTGAGCGGACTGATTCCAGTGAACGCCCGTCCGGCCCGCCTCGCTTGGCGTTGGCTGGCGGAAAGCCGTCCTGGAGAGAGAGAGAGGCTGCGAAGGCAGCAGGCGGTGAAGTCCCTCCAGCACGCGTGCCATCATCCGGGGGAGCGCCCCTATCACGTGGACGGTCGGGGAGAGGCGAAGAGGAGCGTGATAACTCGCCCGCTGCGGCGCCATCAGGCGAAACCCTCAAGCCTTCTGGTTCAGCAGGAAAGTTTGTGCCTCCTCACCTGCGCAATAGGGCTTGAGGATCGGGTTGCTTTTCTTAGGCGTTATTTCCATCATTATTTCTCTCCATGGTTCTCTCTCTGTATTTAGTACGCATGCAGGAAGGTGACGAACAAGCATCACATCAAGTTGCTACATAGAAACGAGAGAATAAAAAAAAAGGAAATGTTCATCACGATTCTGGACCAGAACTTGTGTGTTGTGTGTCGCATCTACGTACCTAGGTGCCTAGATTATGGGGACTTGGGGATTCTCGTCCCATTACCCGCTGATACCTAAGATCTAAGCATAGGTAGATGGAGAGAGGGCACTCTCTCGAGGTCTATAGCTGACACTACAACTACAGTACCTACAATACAGTATATCCATCCACCTCGCACCCTTCCCTGCCCTCTTTGAAGCCCTAACCCTTCTTTCATGCCTCCCTTCTTCTTTCCGTCCTTCCTTTCCCCTGCGTCAGCCACCAAATCCAACAAAAAAAAGGCTCACTTCCCATCCATCATTTCCTCCATCTAAAGAACGACAGGTACCGTACATCATGCGACTCATCACAAGCCAACTAAGAGTCTGGCGTCGGTATGCACGTACGTCAGGGGTAGGCTGAGGGTTATAGTCTTATAGAGCTTGTGGCGGCGCCCGGGGAGGATGATAGTGTTCGTATCTGCAGTGTGTGGATTGGGGGAGTGGTGGTTGCATGAAATCTCAACTTAGCTCTCTGTTGGATGGGATGGGATGGGGAGGGGAAGATGTAGGGAGATATAGTTAGTTCAACTTAGTTGTAGATAGGTAGATAGATAGATAGATAGATATCTAGATATATGGATAGATAATGTAGAGACAGAGAGATCAGAGATGGTGGATCCTGCTGTACTTAGGAGATCTAAAGGGACGGGAGATCGGACGGAGGTGGTGGATGGGCTGGGTTAGTTGGGGGATGGGGAGGCGGTAGATGGGTCGGGAGATAGCGTGGATAAGGGCTGGGATTCTTGCGGTATGGCATCGTAAGGCACTGTCGACCGGATAGGGATTCTGAAGGGAGAATGGAGAAGAAGGTATCCTTGCCATGTGGTGCCAGCGTTCGCGCGGGAGATCGGATGGGTTAGGAGAATTCTTGAGTTCCCATTCCCATACCTTAGATAAACCCATTGACTGACTCTCATAAGAGGGGCTTTTTGGGCTTGGGAGTCGGGAGTCGGGAGTCGGCCGGTGGGCTGCAGCTTGCAAACCTGCAAAGAGATAGAGCCCCGAGACCTGCTTTGCTACGTAGGGCTCTGTCATTGGAAGAGAAAAGGAGGAGGAGAGCAAAAGGCGAGGGGGAAGAGAGCGGGAGGGGATGGATGGCACCGCTCAGCTCAGCTCAAGCGCCAACCTCGTATTGCTTTTTCTTTTCTTCCCCTCCGTGCGGCTGCATCTGGATTTGAGTAGTACACGGCTTGGAATGCAAATCTCGGACCCGGACAGCGGCGCCTGGTCCCTGCAAACTGGTGGTCGTCCCAGTATCGATTTCTTGCAGCACAATCTGGAGGTCTAGAACGGTCCCAGGGCTGCCAGGGTCTACATCTACCCGGAAAGTTGAGGCTTAAGGCCTAAAGTAGACAAGCGAGTGTCTGATCGGAGCTAAAAACCTGCTAAACTCGGGTAATTCGTCCGGTTCCTGGCTAGCGGCTCGGTTGTCGCAGCAGGGGGTCCGAATCGAGCGACCCCTTGTCAGAACTTCCATCTTGATGGCTTCGCTTTCTTTGCTTTCTTCGCTTTCTCCGCCTTTTTCGCTTCCTTCGCTTTCCTCTCCGTATGGTCCCTCTCTGCTGCCAAGCCACAGTTCATGATGGGATCATATTGGATATTGGCCACAAGGTGATGTACGTGCCGCATTGTCAACGAAAGATTGTCCCGGTAAGTCTCCGGGTGAAAGCTTATTCTGCCCTGGTGGCCTTCTCCCTCTTGGGCCTCCTTTGATGTTTGCACTGACCCCTCTTCCCTTCTACAAAGTCGTATCTCGTCCACATCCACATCGTGTGCAGGCCGCGGGACGCCACGCGGATTGTACCTGACCAGCTGAGCTGGGGGTTCTCGGGAGCCTCCAGAAGAGTAAAGGCTTCCCCATGTGAGGGGCAAGGGGCTAGGCCCAGGACCGAGGGGACCGACGCTCCCTTCAAGCCCTCTGCCACGAGATATGTTGGAACTGTACGGTGTACATTGAGACCATCCAGCATTGTTACCACAGCCGGTGGAAAGTAAGTCAGCCATGTCTGCAGTTGCCGTGCCTAGGATTTTTTCTATATAAGATCTTGTTTTCCCCTTTCTCTCAGAACTCTCTTCTCCAGCGTGGTTAATAGTCTTTCGCTGGCTTTTTGCTTCTTCATCTCTTGGTTTACTTCACGCTCCAATACTTAAGGTGTCGTGGAACGCCATGTTGACCCTCAAAACTTTCATTACTGCTTCGGCTGCTTCGGCCCTCTTTGCTGGTGCAAGTGCCAGTGCTCTTGTCAAGCGCAATGAGGAACCTCCAAGGCCGGCCTGCACCAGTCCCTTCCAACCATTTACCTATGCTGGATGTTTCTCGGATCCGAGCAGCCCAAGAGGTCTGCTGTACGACTCCGGACTCCCCACACAGAACATGACTATCGAGACCTGTGTTGCGTTCTGCAAGGGTTCGTTACCACCACACCTTCCTCCGATTGTTCACCTCGTCTGACATGCACAGGCAACGATTACAAGTATGCTGGTCTGGAATACTACGGCGAATGCTTCTGTGGCGCTTCAGTCAACGGTGTTCAGTTGCCGGAGTCGGATTGTAGCTTCCCTTGCACAGGAAACTCGAGTGAGATATGCGGTGGGAACGATATCCTCTCGGTCTACCAGGACCCGACCTTCCCATCTGTGGATGACAGTACCATCTCTGACTACCAGCTGCTGGGATGCTACTCCGAGGGAACATCTGGACGATCCTTGGCGTGGAGACAAGACCAACTCCTCACGTCTAACTTGACTGTCGAGGAGTGTCTGTTCGCTTGCAAGGACGGCGGCTATGATTTTGCTGGTGTCGAATTCGGTCAGGAGTGTTACTGCGGCGTGGTCCTTGGCAATGGAACTCTGTCTATTTCCTCTAGCACCTGCGATACTGCATGCACTGGAAATTCTACAGAGACTTGTGGAGGCCCTTCCGCACTTGATTTGTACGTCGCGAAGGATCTGGGATCCAACCAGCCGTGTGGATATTCATCTTCATCCTCCGCTTCCTCTTCGTGGGCCTCTAGTACCAGTACTACGTCTTCAAGCAGTTCGACTTCGTCAAGTGTCTGGACTACGTCGTCGCCGACTGCCTCGACTTCGAGCAGCTCCATCCCATCAAGCACTTCAACTTCGTCAAGTACCTGGACTCCGTCTTCGTCGACCACAACTTCATCAAGCACGTCGACTTCAACACCTTGCACCACTTCGTCAAGTACCTCAACTTCATCAAGTGTCTGGACTCCGTCTTCAAGCACCTCAACTTCATCGAGCACCTCTACTTCAAGTGTCTGGACTCCGTCTTCAAGCACCTCAACTTCATCGAGCACCTCTACTTCAAGTGTCTGGACTCCGTCTTCAAGCACCTCAACTTCATCGAGCACCTCTACTTCAAGTGTCTGGACTCCGTCTTCAAGCACCTCAACTTCGTCAAGCACTTCTATTTCACCAATCGTCTCCACCTCAACAACCTCAACTACGAAGACAACGGCATCTCTTTGCACGTCAACAACCACGGTCTCCCCAACCCCAACTTGTGAATACAAGTGTGGAAACTGGTGCTCTAGCCCTCTTCCGCCTTTCGGTAACAAAGGTGATTGCCTCAAGGCGGTCTCCGCTTGTTCTATTCAAACCGCCTCTTGCTTCCTCCACGCTGGATGGCCAGACAGCATGAAGTGCTTTGAGTTCTCCAGCTGGTGTGAGTCCGTATCCTCATACTGCGGCAAATACTGCCCCGGGAATTCATGCTCTCTCGGCGGATGCAAGTCTAAGTACCCACCCTCCGGACAGCCAGCGCCGCCGGCTCCCACTGTCTCGACCTCGGTCTACACTTGCCCACCAGCCACAACCAAGCCAACCAAGCCAGCCACTACCACCAAGCCCTCAACAACGACAAGCTGTGTTCCTGTACCCACCAGTTCCAACATTTGCACACAGCCAAACAACCCCAGCAAGGGCTACAGCTCCTCTTCGCCCGTCGGCAACATTCCCCTTCCATGCTTGACCTGCAACAACATCTACTCGGATTATAAATCCGGTAATTGCTTCAAGCTATACAACAATGCCGACTCGTCCAAGTGCCCCTCATACCCACGCTCTGGTTCTTGGGGCCCAGGAAAGGGATGTAAGGATGCATGTGACAGCCAGTACGAAAGTTGCATAAACACCTATGCTCAGAGTTGCAAATCTAATGGAAAGAGAGGTTTCCCCGACACTTACGAGAGTGCAAGCCAAAAGTGCCATAACCAGTGGACCGATTGCTATTCTGCAAACGAGAATGTGACTGGTGGTGGCAGATGTAACAGCTGGAATTCGGGCTGGGCGTAGGAAGCTAAAGGAGAAAGGAGGCATATTGGTCCAAGAGAAGGAGCTACTAGTGAGCCATTCTCCATAAAGGGCACTTTGCTATCGCTTCACCCCAATAATGTTTTCATCTTAGTCTTTATTTGGTGGGAAAATGGGTTGGAGTAGTGCGGCGAATCAAAAAGTATTGTGTTGATCGATGATCCAGTTTACAAGAGAGGCACGTTATGCTATAGTAAGTATCCTGAGCGACAATGTCGATGATTTAACACGGCTCCATTGAAGGAGAATCACGTTCCTCGAACCCATCCCCCCTTTTAAATATTTATTCTAGACAAGCGAGCGAGCGAGCGAACATACATTCAAGCCTCCCTTACTAGCCCACCTAACCTACCTACCTCCTTAAATAACCAACATATTTACGCTCTCTTTCATACCTAGATAGCCAGCCTAAAAATCCCCCATTCATTGATCATGATGGGAGTTAAGTAGGTAGATTCTTCCATTATATTTTATTTTGTATTTGATTAGAGATAGTGGATGGCTACAGAACAGAAGACTGGTCTGAGTAAGGTACCTAGGCCCCCTTTTTTAGATTTCGGTTCGGTTCAGTGTAACTGGGAATAGATAAAGGTAGATATACCTACCTAGGTACATAACGGGATGTGTGGGTAGGTGGGGTGAATATAGGTAGAGGTGGATTCAACTGCGTTCCCTCCGACCCTCTTCTCTCTTCTCTCGGCACAAGCAAAGCAAAGCATCTATAGGTAGATAAAAAACATATCTATTTTCCTAAATCTATATCTTTCAAAGAAACGCTTTCATAAAAAAAACGCCTCCCCCCCCCTTTGCTCATTTCATCCCTATAATTTGTTTCCATTCCCAATATATGATGATGATGATGATGTTTATCGAGTGTGAGAGTTATTTTATTGAGTAAGGAAGGTAATCTCGACCTCCTATCCCATCCTATCCTATCCTATCCCTCGGAAGGAAAGAAGGAAGGAAGGAATGAAGGAAGGAATTTCCACACACACACACACACATCAGGCACTCACGGTTTCGGCCTGCGCGACGAGTCTCGCCCGCCAGCCATTACAGACCTCTTCAAAGCCGCCGACGACATCACCGCAGACGCCGGCGCACTCGCGGTTGCCGAGGCGCTCAGACCAGTTGCCGCGCTTGAGCCAGCGCTCGCCTTGTTCGCGGGCGTCCTCCTCCTTGCGCATCTCGGCGACGAGTTCGCGGGCGCTGCGCAGGCGCCGCGTGGCCGTCGTCGTGGTCTGCCGCGACATGTGCAGCGTGTCCGAGAGGTAGTTGAGCGTTTGCACGAGGTCGGTCGTGAGGCTGTGTAGTTGGGTGAGGGAGGTGAAGGCGCTGGTCGTGGGGCGGGGCATGGAGTCGCCGAGCGTGACGAGGAGGGGCATCAGGTCGTCGATGAATTCTTCGTCTGGGGCTATGGTCATAGGTGAGAATAGGGGATATGCTAAGGATTGTAAGAGCCGGGTCTGGTGAAGCAAGTGTGTGGATAGCGCCGAGTGCGCTGTGATGAGTCTGTGCTTGTTTAGTATCTGTGTTTAGGAAAAAAAGGCTTGGAGAACATACCTTGCGGCACCACTCTCTACTCCTGACTGTCCGCCCAGGTCTTTCAGTTGCTCTATTACTCTCTTGACAACGCCGTCTCGCTCTCCGCCGTTATTCTCAGTCCCCCGCCGAGCCAGACTTTCCACCATATCTATCCTGGATACCAGTCCCGGAGGCATGCCCGGCGACTCCACATCTGAACTCCCCCCATAGTCACTTCCATCATACTCGCTGGGTTGTCTTCGGTGGCCCCGCCCTCCTGCGGGAGTCGTCAAGGTATCAGATTTGGGCGGCGGTTGCTCTTCTATCGGTGAAGTAGGCTCCGCACCATTCTCCCCTACCGCCTCTCCCTCATCTCCGACTTCCTGAAAATTCATATCCGGCTCCTCATCTTCCTCTCCTTCTTCATCATCCTCCCCCCAAGCATCCGCCAACTCGTCCGCGAGATTCCCTAGACCATTGGACGGGGCGCCCCCACCGCCGTCAAAGCCATCTCCCCCAATAGAATCTGACCGATTGTAACCTGGCCGACCCGGTGTACTGGGCGAGTGCATCGAGGATTTAGAAAGCTGTCTCGAGTGACTGCCATCAGCGAGGGGCGTTGCAGGGGAGAGGTCGACGTTCGAAGGGTCCCTGCTATGCCCGGGAGTCCGCGGTGACGACGCCATTGTGGCTCTGGATGAAGCAGGTCGGGAAGAGCCCAAGTTTTCGAAATGGAGAGAGACCCGACGATGCTTGCTCTTCACGAGGAAAAGAAGCAAAAGCCCTGTGGCCCCCGCTCTGTCTCACTCCGGGACCCTCCTTGTGTGATGTTTCGGCCGCGGATAGGTGCGATAATGCCCGGATGACTCGTTACCAAGGCGCGCGGTTGAAGGCAAAGGAAGAAGTCGTGAGGTTTTGGTCGAGTTGTGGTCGTGAGTGCAAGCGCAGGGTAAATATCACGGTGTTGAGGCCATATTACTCTGTATGGTACCGTAGAGAGCTTGTCAAGGTCGATTCGTGCACTGACGATATTTCGCGATTGGCAGACTGACCCCTGCTCCGCGAGATTGACTTCAAGTCGCTGATTTATACTGAATTTTCCTGTTGCCCCGGGGTAACGGAAAGAAACAGATGTCGAGGGACGTTGTACGGTTGTAATATTCAAAGCTGGCTCTCTCTCTCTCCCCGAGTGATGTTTGGAAGAGGGAGAGTTGATCGGCATGGACGATTCGTGAACCTGGAGCTAAAATAAATCCCGACATCCCAAGGTTCCTGATTGATACAGGAACTGAACTTTATATCCCGTCCCCTTCCCCTCCTCTCAGGCACGCTCAGACACCACAGCTGTGGCCAGAAGGACCCTACAGCATCAGCATCGCAGCGGGAAGTATATTATACCTAGGTACACTATAAGAAACCCGCAGGATGACTTCCCTGCGGCCCTTCCACGCCGCCGACGTCTTCAAATTCAACCCCACCAACCTCGACCCTCTGACTGAGACCTATGACCTGAACTTCTACTTCTCGTACCTTGCCCGCTGGCCGCACCTCTTCAACGTCGCCGAAGGTCAAGATGGCACTATCGACGCCTATAGTCCGTGTCTCCCCTCCCTTCTTCTCTATCCCCCCCCAACCCAGCTGACATCCCTCACTCACTCAGTAATGGGCAAGCTCGAATCCTCTCCCTCCTACATGCAGTTCAGCGAGCACTACCTCCCCTTCCACGCGCACATCACGGCCCTCACCGTCGCGCCGCACGCCCGCCGTCTCGGCCTCGCGCGCACGCTGTCCCAGGCGCTGGAGCGCAGCGGCGACGAGTACGATGCCTGGTTCGTCGACCTGTTCGTGCGGAAGAGCAACAAGATCGCCCAGGCCCTGTATACCGGTATGGGATATAGCGTGTTTAGAAGGGTCCTGGATTATTATAGTGATGACCCGACGGATCCGTCCAAGGCCGGGGAGGATGCGTATGATATGCGGAAACCTTTGAAAAGGGATAAGGATTTGAAGCATATTAGGAAGAATGGTGAGGACTTTGCGGTGGATCCGACTGATGTGTGGTGAGAGGTGGGGGGGTAGGGGCAAAGAGATTCAAGATTCGGGATCCAGAGCTGGCGAGGGCGCATTAGAGCTATACACGTCAGTGAAGCTTGGAAATATGCGCAGCATTGAGGTAGATGAACTGTGCTCAAGTCACTCGCACCACCCAGCTAAGGATGGCTTGGAATATTGGACAGAATCCTGCACAGGAGGCCACTGGACATGATTCGGTTGTTGCACCGTCTTTGCTAGATCATACGAAGGTAGATGTGGAAGTGGACTCTACAGTTCACAACTGAATACAATGAGCGACTACTTTGAGGAATAAAAACTACCGGCGATGATCCCAGCAAGCATCATGACTGTCAGGTCCAGTCGAATAGAATGAATAGCCAAAACCTGCCCCACCGATTCCATCTCAGGACAATCTATACATCTAAAGGGCTCACTCGGCCTTGGGACAACCGAACCCTACACCTTTTCAATCTCCATGGCGAGGTCTTCCCTTCCATCGAAATGAAGGATGATACTCATACCCCGAAGGCCGAAATCTCCTTTCTGCCTATCCTCGTTATGCCTCTGGTCTCCATTAGGAGGTAGGTTAGCTAGGACCATCTTCTTCCAAGCACAGTCATGCTCATCTCCCATTTTCTCGGAAGAATCAGCCCAGGCGCCAGACACACTCGTCCCTAATTGTTGTCTCTCCCCAATGGCTTCGTTCTTACCAACTGTGTATTTCCTTGTAGCATTCTTACAATCATTTGAGCCAGCTGGCTTGGGTTCCGTTAGCTTCAGAAGCTTGTCTGTCCAAGTACTATCACGTTCATCCTTTTTTTCAGGAGAGTCAGTCCAAACTCCAGACATATTCCTTCTTGACTGCTGCCTTTCCTCAATGACCTTGTCGTCACCCATCACGTGTTGTTGCCTTGCAACTTTCGAAGTGTCGTTTGAGTCCGGCGGTGACAGTTCAAGTTCTTCAAGCTTTAACTGCCACTTCTCCATCCGTATGCTGCTCCTCTTACTACCCGCTGCACTTCGCAATGCATCCACCTGCTGGCTGCTTAGGTCCTGAATCGAACGACGTTTGAAAATCTGTTCATTACCTCTAGCAGTAGGCTCGATCGTCTCTCCATTACTTCTCAAATCCCCTTGGTTCCCAAGTAAGCGCTCGTTGAATGGGCAATCAGAACCTATTACACTCAAGCTAAACCCCGTTGGAAACCCCCTTGAAAAAACGTTAGACTTTGAAGACGGCATAGAATCCTGTTCTGGCAACTGGCTCGCGCTGATTTTTTCTTCTTCACTAAGACAGCCGCGCCCATGCTCTTTATCAGACAGGACAGTAGGCTGGATGCCCGTTAGATTATCACTCTGCCTTGGTCTCGATTGGTCGCAGGTAGACTGGGTTAGCACTGTTGGATTTTTTTGGGATCTTGGAAATAAGTCCGAAACTGGGCCTGCGTTAAAAGCTGTATAACCATTTCCTCTCACAGATGTTTGTTCGCGTGTCCCGGTCACGGCCGTCGTGTCAATTCTAGTCAGATATGGTGGTACAGAAAGCGGTGGTGTTGGCAATTTTCTTGGTTCCTTCGTGGTAGTTGATTGATCGAATTGTGGAAGACTAGTACGTTTCTGCTCGAGAATAAGTTCTTCCGACAACGATAGAGGCTGTTTGTACTTCTGAGAGTTTTCTTCCAAATCCCCAAAGACCATTAAAAAATTACCAAGTTCACTTTGAGGACTTGGCGGCTGTAATAACCCCTGTGTGGACTTTGAGTATTCTGGTTGTGACGGACTATCAAGTTTCTCCTCGAGTACAGGCTTTCTCAACAACGATGACGGTAATGTATTTTCGGGGGATTCTCTCAGAGTCGAATTGAACATCGATGGGGCAATGGCTGTGCTGTCCATGCTAACTGGGGATTGCGGTGGCGATTGCAAAGTTAAACCAGTATATTGAGACGCTAAAGGGTTTGCTAAAGCGTTTGAGGGAGTAGAGGCAATTTTTGGTTGTTGATCATGATGATGAACCAGGGCTTGGTGGCCTTGATGAATGCAGCAGCGGACTCTAAGCTGGGCATTTTGACATGCTGCGCATTGAAAATCGTCAATACAATGTTGGCATTCACCAATAATACCTGATGTGACAGGGCTGCCAAGCTTTGAGTTGCCTGTTCCAGGGTAGCCTCGACACTCAACGTATTCTGGTGAAAGATGTTCAGCCAATGGAGTTTGGTTGGTCTTGTGAGATCCAGTTGGGTCTGGTCTTGACGTGTGGGGCAGTGACTGTGAAAAATTACCATGTGAGACCAAATTGGAATAGGCTTCATCCTCGAAGTGGCTGGTATCAGCTACATATCCATTATCGGATTCTAGGAGGCGGCGTTTTGTACGAGTCAAGGATGTTGCGAGCCCGGATGGTTTATGTATAGTTTGGGTATACTGTGCTGGATGCATATAGTCGCCGGCGTCAGATAACGACGAACTTGGGTGACGATTCGAATATTGATAGCGCGCTTGATGTTTGTAGTGGTAATCATGACTATCCTTTGTTTGCATCTCATTAAGATGGGGTCCGGGGCCCTGATTATTGGATAGGAAATCAGCGTAAGGGGAATGCTGCCCTTTCATCGCAGTCTGTGACCCAGCCGGGGGTTGCAGGATTCCCGGGCGTTCCGCGTGCGCTATATTGTTGGAGAGGCCTCGAGAGTTCTTGCGTGACAACGGTTGCTCAATATGAGGAGCAGGGATTTTTGAACGAGTCTGAGAGAGAATTGCTTTTGCTTTTTCTCGAGAAGCTGGCTTCAGCTGCGTCTTCTGAGCCCGCTCAAACTCGGCGGGACTATATCGGAGCGGCTTTGAAAGGGGGCTTTTGCTCTTCAACGAGCTTCGAACGTGATTGATGCTTGGTTCTTTTGAGGTAATCGACAAGTATGGTAGAGCATCGCATTCGCTGCAGATTTCATGTTCGCACCTCCGGCATTCTTTGGCAGAAGCGTGATTAGTCCAGGAACAAACATGGCACTGTCTATGCGGCCTTGATGGTCGACACGCATCTTGCTGTCCATGAGCTGATCTTTCGGGAAGGAGTCCGGCGGGTGGCTCAATACCATGGTGATTAAAAAGGTCCAAAACACTTTGTCGGCGTACTGTGGAGCTGGCGAGGACCGAAGCATCCGATTGTACTGTATTCCCCAGACGAGACAGACTGTCGCTCCTCCCAAAAGAGTCGCTTTCTCTCGCAATATGCATGTTGTCCACATCATGATCCTGATCTAGGCTGACCTTGGTGGGTGGAATCGACAACGGAGAGACACTATCATATTGGACTCGTTGTATCATGCCTTCAGGCTGTATCAGACTATTGAGACGAGAGGTTCTATCAGATTCAGATCGGCGATTTGCAATAGTATACTTATGTTTTGTTTGAGTCGTATTAAGGCCCAAGAAAGAATGGCTTCCATCGGTCTGCGGCGTTTGGTTTGGATGGGCGTTCCGAGCAGCGGGTTGAGCAAACTCAGAACTTATACGTTGACCATAACCCGTGTGCTCGCGATGGTGGCTTGTGACAGGTGGCGGAGGTCCGGGAGGAGCCGGATTAGCTGAATCTCCCAAGCTCTGTAGATGATAGACAAGCGATGCCACAGTGCCCAAGGGAATGACATCTTCGGGCCCACTGCGAACTGTGAATGGCGATTGGGCTGGAGTAGGGTCGTAGAAGGATGATCGACCATTCGATGATTGCAATTGATAGTTCATAGCAGCGGTCAAATCATCTTCATGGATTGAGACTGTCGATCCCCCCTTGCTGCAAGCCGCTAAGAATGATCATAAAGAGTGTTTGAATTCCATATATGAATACAACGAATGACAGGTCGCCAAATCACTTGATCGAGACTTATAGAGATGGTAACTTAGCGAAAGAGAGGCCTTCCAATTGAGGAAATAACGAAGCAGGAAACACGGAAACAAGGATTCAGTTCGAGGGCTGGCATTTTGAAAGGGAAGGAATCACTGAGCAGCATTCGACTGACTTGGATAGTAAGAACACCAGTTGTTCACGGGATGCATTTAAGAAATATGATATACATAGCCGCTGCTGCCTCTATAATTCTCTCGTCGCGTCTATTTGAGAACAGTCTGCAAGCTCTCCAAAACCTGGATATTGTTAGTATGATTTCATCAGTATTCAAGAGTTCAGCTAACCTCAAGCTCAATCTTTGCCTCGGCGATGTCCTGTTCGCTTCCACTTCCGCTCGCAATCTTCTGTGCCTCCGCAATTTGTGCTCGAACGGCCTCGGCGCTGAAGTCCTCCAATGGGTATCCCTCAACTGCATTGATGCTCAATTCCGAGTTTGGTTGAACAATGGCGAATCCACCAGACACTGAATAGATGTTGATTAGCCAGGTACATCTATAGGGCGATTAAGTAAACGTACGGAAGAATGATTTGCTCCCACCACTCTCCTCAATGACCTCGACGAGACCGGGTTTGAGTTGCTCAATGGATGGAACGTGGTGTGCAAGAATACCCATCTCTCCAGATACGGCGGGAATGTTGACCTGGACGACATCTGCGGACTTGTACACTGACTGTTGATGGCTTGTTAGTGAGGATGTCCACGATGCCCGTATCTTCACCGCGCCGCGCCCTCCTCCCGATATGGCCTTCTTTCTTGCAAAACTCCATCAATACGCCATATCCACCGAATTTCAAACGTACCTGATGTGGCAGGGCCAAGCTCAGCTTGATCTGGAGAAAGTTAGCAATGACCGTAAAATCTGTTCCGGGCTGCCGACCTTGTCCGATACAGCCTCGGCATATCCTCTGCGTTGAAGAGGAGCCTTGAGAGCTGCAGGGCGTGCTCGCAGAGCTGCGCGAGCGATACGGAAGGAGTTCATGATGCGCTGAATTGTCAATTGGGATTGGCGTTGTTGACTTGTGGAGAGCTTCGCTGGAGGTTGAAGTTCTGGTCAAGATGTAGGCTAGCCTGCTTCGACTTAGCATCACGATCACGTGGCTTCATTATAGAGGCCAACCTCACCGAAGTCAAAGGACTCACCCATTCTAAAACAGAAGAGTACTTCATGACTTTGAAGTTCAAAGGACTTGCATTTTGTGATTTTCCCAAACCCTGATCCAAATCTACGCGTATTCAGAAGCTAAGTAACTCAAAATCGAGCTTCCGTTTTAGGTTCCCTTGAGAAGAGAAACCGCCTACCTTACCTTTGGAATGCTCTATTTCTCTTTAGTTTGAGAGGGTATGCTCGCCTTGGAGTTGTCTCTTTCTATTCTCACTAACCTTTATTTCTTTATTTATTCGTTTGCAATATGCGCTTTACTTAAGGACAGACACGCTTGTTTACAAGTCTCATATCCTGTCCTTGATCTTCCGTATTCCCTTGGAAAGGTGAAAAGTTGTCATAAAAACACATGCACGCTTTTGAAAGTCTTCAAGACCTGGCCCTTCGTTGTATACAAGATATCTTCTCGTCCATGTGAATTGGGCCTTGGTTACGGGCCCCCTTCATCTCTTGTCATGCTCGCAGCTCCCCGGTATTCTCATCATAAGTACGGCAGCTGGAACTGCCAGTGCAGCCAAAGTAGGTTGTACGGGAGGCCAAGCTCTTCGATCATGCTACTGTACGGCATACAATTGTTCATGTTCTGCTTACGGGATGAACGTTGCAGGCGAGGGTAGCGGAAGTTAGCTCGCCAGTGTCAGCCTTTTTATAGTGACCCCTTATCACATCTCCAGTCGAAAGCATTGGAGAACCCCTCTCGATAAAACCAGACAGGAACAAAACCCAGTACTCGCTACTAGAGTAGTCGGCCACGGCGGCCATGGTGGGAAGGAGACATCACATCCAAACCGGTTTTATATCACGTGATCGGGCGCATGTGAGGCTCGTTTCAGGTTTGACCTTATGGACTTGGGTATGATATTTCAAAGATGCGATAGCACGTGAATCCAAGCCTACAGCCGCGTCCTCTGTCTGCTGTCCTTATATACTCATACTGCTCGGGTACTGTCCTTCGGCACTACTACAGAAATACGGTGCCCTAGGTAGCACATACTTACCCTCACGTAATCTCGGCATCTTTGGTTGCTCACGATTGCCGCATAATAATCTACACTTTAGCTTACAAATTTCTCCTTCTCGGCCACCAAACATCAAAAATTCGTTTTGGCACCACACCATCTCACGACTAAAGCAAGCCTCTCCGAGAGTCCGAGGGTTGGCCACACGCCTTTCCTCCTGGAATTTGCGAAACGACTGGCGCTCATTAATCCCTCATGTCAACATGTCAAAGTTGTTCTGGAGATCAACTACTGAAATTACTACGGGCGGACAGGAATCATGGACATGCAGATGTGGATCGGCAGCGCACAACCGTTGTATGTGGAAGGTCCTGCCGCCAAGGCGAGGGCCAGTGTGAGAATGTGGTTCAGGCCTCGTAAGTAAGGTTGTGAAGTCAGTGCAGAGGTCGAGTGATATTGGTGATACGGTACCACAACAGTACCAAGGGAGTACAAATAGCATCATGGATCACTTGTTGGGAAGCAGCCTGCACACTCATGAGTCTCGTCGTTGCGACGCGCGTATTGTCAAAGACCTACATGTCGCAGTATCCAGTTGATGTCGCAATTGCTTCTTCCGTCTCGTATGGATTCTGGAGACGAACCAGAGGTGTGGTTCTTCATCAGCATCACGAGCTCTTCGACAACACCCTCTTGCCGGAGATACTAGCTCACAGTTGAGGTGTTCATTCTACGACGACGACCATGGCGTTCTCACCTACTAAGCCCAAGTACTAATAAGCTATTATTACTGTACAGTGCTGCATTATTGCATGCACCGACACATGCCGAAAATAAAGAAGGGAAAGCGACACGTCGCATCCTGAATCCTGATGGTTCGAGAAGAGGGGACCAGTAATTTCAAGAATAATGGAGAGAATGTGGGGTGCATCCTCTTTGGCGGTCAAGACTTGGGTTAGCTCAGGAATGAAGCTTGTCGAAGGGGGCCTGTCCAGGTAGTCGTCGAATTGCCAAATCGTCAACGGTCAAGCCCTCTTTTGCCTTGCTCCTTATTGGACGCGATCCCCTCGTCCGTCGGAGATCGTACCATACTACCACTCCCGCCTTGGACCTACGGACGGAGGAGGAGTGTGCTGTTAATAAGTTGCTACTACTACTGTTAGTACCAGTAAGTACCTCCGTAGCCGTAGGTTTGCATGCACCATCCGCAGGACCACAGTATTAACGGACCGAAGTAGTCAACAGCATGCACAATGCCCTGACTGGTGCGACCATGCTAGGGGGATCTCTCTCGAAGGGACCACGGGCCACTGCAGCATGCATGGGCACAGTGCCACAACTTCGTCTTAGTACATGCAAACAACAGCTTCACCACCTATCAACACCGCTGTACACGACCGTCTGTATGTACTGTACAGAGAGGCTGTGTACTGGTCAATCCAGATATCAAATTCCAACGGCGACCAAGGGACCAAGGGTTGGCCGGAAGGAGGGTTAGGAGGGCTCATCCATCTGCATCGTACGTCATTCCCAGCTACGCAGTGATGAAGATGTCGCCCTCGATATTCTATTCGGGTGTTGAGCCCCCACGCATACTTCACCGCGCCGACCACGCTGCAGCAGGAGGGCAGCGATATAGCTCATTCACGGGCCCCGCATTGCCGCGTAGGAGGTTGGCTCAGTTGATGCTGCTGCTGGTGGCCAAGTTGCCAGTTAAGGAGCGGCGATCGGGGAGAGGTCATGAGAAGCGTCGGGCGAGGTGGAGAGATGGTGGAGGGATTGCTTCCATCAATCCCACCAACGTCTTCCATAGAGCCACTGGGGCCTAGGACTATCGGGAATCTGGTCGGAGGTGGGAACGGAGCACTGGCAGCGGGTAACCATCAAGCTACGAACTGCACTCCGTAAAATCATGGCGATATTATGGTGCTAAGTATGATATAACGATATAATAATCATGATACCGTATATCAAGGGACCCAGTAGCAATTACGGAAGAACCGCGACGCAGCATTTGGTTGGGCGACGCCTGCTTTGGCGCGGTGGCTGGCCCGCTGCGCTGCCCCGAAGATGATTTGGCTTTTATTATCGCCCTTTTATTGCTCTTTTATGTTCTATACTGCTCCGTAAAGCCAAAAGGACTTCCCGCTTTTTATACCTCCAGGCGTGGTGGCAGCCCGTGACCGCTCCCGCCAGAGCCAAAGAGCGCTAAATGACAGCTTTTCCCTCATCTAAAAAGCAGCCCACCATAAACCCACCCACACACCGCGAAAAAAATAATAACAACCGTACAACCCCTCTTGGCGCATCCCTCCCTTCGTCCTCTCCCACCACCTACCACCTCCCACCACCACCCTCCATCTCATCCTCAAAAACCCTGGCATCGCTGTTTTTGGCCACGCAGAATGTGCGTCCATCTGTGAAAGGCATCCCCTTTGACAGAGGGACCCCCCAATCCTCGCTCTCGCGCAGCAAGGAACACAGCCCTGCACCTCACGTCATTGTTTTCGCGATCCTTCTCCTCAACGCTCGATAGCGAACCCCCCCCCAAGAGTCCCGTGTCCAACACCTCACGACACGTCCCCCCACCGACCGCGAAGCAGGACTCCTGTCCCTTCTGCTTCCTACCGAAGTATATCTTGGATCGCCTTTGAATACTCAACATGTCGTCTTTAACTTTATAGCATAGCGGTCCCGAGGGGCGCCACAGCATCTTGGTCCTCGAGGCAGTCGACCGATAGATAATCCGCGATTCACGTCCGCGGAGTCTCTTTCTTGATCGCATTCGATTCTGATATCGGATCCGAATTCTCAAGAGTCTCACGAGGACTTCAATCACCATACATCGATCCACTGCCGCACTGCGACCTTCCGCAGTCGCGCTGGTCTTGCCACCGTTCACGGCGACGAGATCCTGCCTAGGACTTACCATACCTATCTTACAACAATCCCTTGAGAGCTGTCACTCGATCAGCCCATCGTGGGTTTCCTCAATCTGATTACATTTGCGACGACCTATTCCCCCGATCGGAAAGACGAGATGGGGTTACAAGATCTGTTTACCTGGCGGTCGCAGACAACCGCGGCCACCATGCCAGACATCGCAGATGATGAGCTAGTAGCGGATGTCGATGAACCACCGGATCATCGCCATACGCAGCAACAATCCGATTTCCAGAAGTCTACAATCCGAACTCAGCTGCAGCGAAAGGAGTCCCTGCTCACAAGGGCTCTAAAGACTCCCGAGCCGGAGGTCTTGAAGAAGCCAGACGTACATATCACCACAGAGTTGTCGCGCCGACGATCGATGAATAGCAATGCTAGTTCAGCATCAACTGCAGAGCTCACCAGCGATGGGGGGCAGACGAGCCCTTCCCGCACCAATACACCTAGTCCTCCTTTGCCAACCGAGACATTCACGAGCTTCGCCCCATTTTCACTTGTAGCCAAGTCGATGCTTCCTGTACTTCCAGGAACGAATAACACAAATAGGGAACCCATGGTCGCTGACGACATCAGTACATCCCCGAAGACCCAATCTCCTGCCGATGTCGCCCCCAAGAAGCGTTGCATCACTTTCGCATGTGGCGCGCGAAGAGAGCCCGTTCCAAAGCCAGATGCGCCTACTGCACCAGAGTCTACTGCTACTGTGGCGCCTACTACAGAGGCTCCGAAACGCCCAAGTACTATCAAGTTCGCTTGTATCGGTCCTAAGCCTTCGGAGAAGACCACCGATCCTGAACCGCCCAAGACTCCGAAGACGTCTAAGCCGCTTGAAACAACGAGGAAAAGCCACAGCCGCTCTCCGTCTACGACAAGAAAATCACCTCGCCCTAGCCTACTTTCCTCCCGGTCACACCGAGATTCCACCTCCACCATCAGGCGAGCTTCTCAAAGCCCGGTAGCCGTCAGAGTCAAGCCGAAGTATATCATCGCGGATGAGAAGACACTTCAGTCATCCGAGGCTACTCGTTTCCATGAATTTGCTAGTGAGGAGTTGGAGGAGGATGATTGGATTCGAAGAGAGTCGGATAATCCCGGGAAGAGGTTGACGATCAACGATACTTTGAAGATGGAGAATGACATCCGTCGACTTGGGAATGAGGCCGAGGAGGAGGCATTGGAGGAGGATGAAGAAGAAGAAGAAATTGAGGAGGATCATGATGGAAATGACTCGGACGATGAGAATGCCTTCGACGAGGACGAAGAAAATGAAGATTCTGATGACGACGCATCTGACGGCAACGAGACGGACAACGAAGCTGGCTTTGCCGATTCCGACGAGAGTGATGTAGAGGGCGAGTTCGCCTTCTGGGCACCTGGGGGAGACATCCGGAGTAGACAGTCAGGCGAGGCGAGCACCTATCGACCCTCGGCTCATAGAAGTGCCTCTGCATCTTCAATCGACTCGTTGGCTCGCAGGGTTCCGACTGAGGAGGAATCTCAAAGACCACGTCGCCGCCGTCCTATCAAAATCCGTCCGGGAACTCCAGATCTTCCTGACAGCATCGACTTTGTCTGTGGCACCCTTGACGAAGATCGTCCACTCGAGGATGCATATGTTTCGTGCATGGAGGCGAGGAAGAACGCAAGACGCAAGCAAACTCCCCAGGACATCGATCCTAGCTTTCCCACTTCTGATGTTGAAGACGAAGAGGATGAGGATGATATTGTTGAGCAGCCCCATGATAGTGATGAGCACGTCTGGCTGCATGGAAAGTTCGAAGACTCAGACGAAGAACGTCATGGCCGACGCCGCTCCACCACTTCTCGCCGCAAATCGCCAGGGAAGTCTCCAAAACGTCTCCGTTCTCCACCTCCTCCCAGGAGATTACAATCTCCTCCTTCTGCCAGGACTCGTCTTCGCTCACCCCCACCTCGAAAGCTCTTTGGTAACTCGCCAAAGCGAATACGTTCTCCACCACCTGCACGCATGATGCGTTCACCACACGAAGCATCGCCAACAGCTCATGCTTCTATCGGCTTCGCACCCCTTGGACCCCGCCCTGGTCTCACCCACACCAAATCACTTCCTCGTACACCGAATGCCTTTTGTCGTCAATACAAGGCTTCCCGCATAATTGCCGCTAATGGCAATGCTGGGGATGATGCTACTGATGGTCATGTCCGAGGCGCCATCGACATAGTCAAAGGGCTCGAGCAGAAACGACAACGCCGCAAAGAGAAGTTTTACCAGAAACAGAACAACCGCAAGGGCAAATGCCAGACTGAACGCAAACCTCTACCCGGGAGAGGTGCCGAGCGAATGAGAGAGTTAGGACTACTTATGGCCGGCAAGACCGGTGCTAATGATCCTTACATGCTGTCCGCGTAGACACGTCTACGTCGACAAGGTGTTGAGCCTCCTCCAGAGAGGCAGGATAGGCTCATCTGCCCTCAGCAACAGATCATTCTATTTCTTTGTAGATATGTTTTTATTACCTGTCATCACCCGTCCTTTCGCTGAGATCTCGATTCCGAAAGATTCAAGGGGTACATCTGTATATAGACAGGGGATTCTTTTCACCAATACCTTTTTATTTCCTTATTACGACTTTATGAGAGTGGGAAAGACCATGTACACCGGACATTTAGATCTGGGAGGCTGAACGGTTATCTTTTTAGACCGAGCATGGCATGGCATCGTCTAGCATAGCATAGCATGGTTGCATTGGGTGGGAGGCACATTCGTTCGGATGGATGGATGAACGGGTCCATGGGCAGCTTTGGGTTTTGTGCTGGGGCTTTAGGAGAGCTCCATAGGATGCTGGGAGAAGGAGAATAGTTTCATCAATTAAATGAAACTATTTGACCTTTTAAGAATGGTCTACTTTGTGACATAAATTGAGAATTCGTTGGCTTTCAGTTCTGTTCAATCTATCTGTGACCTGAGCGGGGCGAGAGGCGGGGTGGTAGCTCGTATAACCGTATAACCGTATAACGTATAACCAGCAATAACTTGACGGCCAGCTGTACTCTGAGGTCATTAATGTCATCGCGTACCTGCTCCTAAATCTCACGTCTATATTAAGGTTTCTGGCTCCAAAAACATCCGCTGAGTCTTGAACTGTACACATGAACACAGAGGCTTGAGATCTTCCCCACTTCTGGGTGTGGGTACAGAATAGCGGAATATAGGTTGGCTACTGTGCGTTTCATAGTGCTAAGGTACCAAGGTACGACTTGGATATATGTCGATGTAGGGTTTAGTTTACGGCAACGTAGCATTAGAGAGTTCCATCAATCAAGGAATAACAAAGTACTCTATGAAAACTGAATATGGAATATAATTAAGAAAGGTACATATACGCTGTACGATGTCGACAGGTAAGGTAGGTCGTCGTTCCATGACCAGTACAAGTTTCATGCCTTGTTACTCAGGCAAGAATTAAGGTTAGCGCCAAATGTTTCTTGGGAACAGCATACCATTGCCGTATGTCTACCTAAGAAACCCGCTCCCTTCGCAACGTGATTGACACCAACGCAATCCTCGAGCATACCCCGAATCACATCCAATCTCGAATAGCCATTTGCCCAGCATGTGGATTATCAACTGGTGTAAGTGGCAGGACCCGAAGGACTGCCTGGATGGAAACCACGGGCTGGATTTTGACGCAAAGCTGACACTTATCTGCCAACAGTTTGGGACACTCTGGCGTCTTTAGGACTCTTGAACAAGCACGCAAAACTCCTGTTTCTTGGTCTCGACAATGCCGGAAAGACGACACTGCTGCACATGCTGAAGGTGCGTTATACGGGTCTCGATTTGGGTTGCGCGGCGGCGGCAATGTTGGATGCGGCTGCTGCTGGTATTTTGGGGAATGAATAGTTGCTGACATTCGGATCTCATGTGTAGAACGACAGAGTTGCTATCCTCCAACCTACTCTCCATCCCAGTGAGTGCTTCCAAGGATGGCGTCTAGGCAGGCGGCGCAAGCACGTGCGCATTTGCTGACCTCTACCCAGCATCCGAAGAGCTTGCTATTGGCAATGTTAAGTTCACAACTTTCGATTTGGGTGGACATCAACAGGGTAGGTTATAAATGGCATAACCATCTATGGAGCCTCAGCTAACGCGACTCTAGCTCGTCGCCTCTGGAAGGACTACTTCCCAGAGGTCTCCGGAATCGTCTTCCTAGTTGACGCGAAAGACCACGAGCGTCTGCCAGAGTCCAAAGCCGAGCTCGATGCCCTTCTCTCGATGGAAGAATTGGCCAAAGTACCATTCGTTGTCCTGGGTAACAAGATCGATCACCCAGACGCGGTCAGCGAGGATGAGTTGAGACATCAATTGGGATTATATCAAACTACAGGCAAGGGAAAGGTTCCACTTGAGGGCATCAGGCCTATTGAGGTCTTCATGTGCTCAGTTGTTATGAGACAGGGTAAGCGCTGCCAGAGCTGTCCTTCCTAACGGAAATACTGACCGGATATCAGGTTATGGAGAGGCTATCAGGTGGTTGTCACAATATGTCTAAATCAGACGAGTGATGGGTGGAGGAGGTAGTAAAGGGGGCTCTTTATCAAGAATGAAACGATGGGTGGAGTTAACCAAGGTCGTTTCCCATGCTTTTTGGCGACATTTCGAAGACTTATGGGGGTTCCATAATCATCTGAATGAGCCAATATGTTTGTACCCGCATAGTATTACGTTCAACATTTTCTTTCTGCATGTCGTCTGATACCTCGACTCTCTTTTTGCCTGGGCGGTTGCTTTAACATTGCTTCCCGCCTTATCATTCAGCCTTAGCAAGCCAACACTGCAGCCACGTAGGAATTAAGAGGGCATATATTGTAAGTTGTGGCTTTGAAGTATCAATTGTTTGCATTCATGGCTTGGAGATATCACAAGAGCCCTATTGCCTTTTTGCTTATCTGGCCGAATTCTTAGGTAATTTAGTACAGAAGTTGGGGTAGATATCGGGACATTAAAGATTTTAAAGCTAGGTACTGTACCTATTTATGCGCAAATGCTGTACCCGCGACGTCATCTTCTCGGGACCACCAAGGATACCAGAACACCGACACAATCTTTCACCATTGCCGGTGATCAAAACAAGATACGGGCTTCAACAGCCATGCATTACAGTCTCCCATCATAACCAATCTCATAGCCAATCTCGAACATGGCCGACCTCCGTCACTCGACCGACGGGCCTTCCCCGCTCTCAGAAGAAGGCTACGATGAATCGCTCCTCCCAGACTTCTACCGCGAATTCATCAGCGAGACCGACCTGGAAGCCTTCGCCGCAGCACTCTCCGCTCCGGACCCCTCGCCCTTGACTGACGACCTGACGTCTTCCTCGCGCAACAGCAGCTTGTTCATCACGGCGCAGAGCGATTGGGCGCCCGTGCATCCGACCAGCCGGCTCGCGGGAAAGGGCAAGCGTCGGGGAGGCGAGCGGAAGAAGAGAAGGGGACCGCAGAGGCGGAGCAGAGATGAGACGCGGGAGGGCTATCTGTACACGCTGCTGAAATGGCCGCTGCTAGCGATTGTAGGGGCGTGGGTGGTCGGGCTGGCGGTGACCTATCTGTTGACGAGGCTGTATATCTCGTTGTATGGTATGTACTGTGGCTTTCTTCCATTGGTGGTTAGGATTGGGAGCTTTGGGGCGAGCATGGGACTAACGCCGTGATATAGAACATTTCATCGCCTGGAGAGGGAAGCGGGAACAGTTGCGCCGGAAGTTACAAGCCACGGCGAATTATGCGGACTGGGTGGAGGCAGCGAAGGAATTGGATACCTTTCTCGGGAATGATAAGTGGAAGGCGGAAGACGAATATGCATATTACGACCACAAGACTGTGAAAAGAGTCCTGGAGCAAATCCGCAAATGCAGGAGGAAGATTGAAGAAGAGGGGGAAAAGACGGTTGCAAATGGGGCTTCAGCGCCTTCGAAATCGATCGAGGAGTTGAAGGCTCTGATTGAGGCTTGTGTAAAGAACAATTTCGTGGGGGTGGAGAACTCGAGGTTATATTCGCAGACATATTATGGGACGAAAAACCTGGTGCAGCAGTTTATTGATGAAGGTAGGTCTTTTGAGTATCCAACTTGATTTCAGTAACTGATGGCTAGATAGTCGAGAGGGGCCTCACATTGCTCGCGGATACCAATCAAATCGGGATGGAGGAGAAACGAACATTGTTCAAGCGGATGCATGCCAACTATGGACGAGTAGCATTATGCTTGTCTGGCGGAGCTTCGTTTGCATATTACCATTTCGGTGTTATAAAGGCCTTGCTCGACGCCAACCTTCTTCCAGACGTGATCACTGGCACTTCTGGCGGAGCGCTTGTAGCGGCCTTAGCAGCTACCCGCACGAATGATGAACTGAAAGCGCTCCTTGTTCCTGCACTCGCAGGCCGTCTCAAGGCCTGCTCGGAGCCTTTCAGTGTATGGTTTCCGAGATGGTGGAAGACCGGTGCCAGATTTGACTCGGTAGACTGGGCTAGGAAGTGTAGCTGGTTTACGAGAGGAAGCATGACCTTCCGCGAGGCGTATGAGCGTACGGGCAGGATCCTCAATATCTCGTGCATCCCAGCAGATCCACATTCCCCGACCATACTCACCAACTACTTAACTAGCCCGGATTGTGTCATCTGGTCTGCGGTTCTTGCCTCTGCTGCCGTCCCTGGAATCCAGAATCCTGTGGTGCTAATGATGAAGACCCGCGAAGGCAACCTGGTTCCGTATTCCTTCGGCCACAAATGGAAAGATGGCAGTCTCCGAACAGACATACCTATCAAGGCTCTGAACCTCCACTTCAACGTCAACTTCAGCATCGTCAGCCAGGTCAATCCCCACATCAACCTCTTCTTCTTCTCCTCCCGCGGCTCCGTCGGCCAACCCGTCACCCACCGGCGCGGGCGCGGCTGGCGTGGAGGCTTCCTCGGCAGCGCCACCGAGCAATACATCAAGCTCGACCTCAACAAATGGCTCAAGGTCCTACGGCACCTGGAGCTGCTCCCGCGGCCGCTGGGCCAGGACTGGAGCGAGATCTGGCTGCAGACCTTCTCGGGCACGATCACGGTCTGGCCGCGCACCATCCCGTCGGATTTCTGGCGCATCCTCAGCGACCCGGACCCGAAGCAGCTGAGCCGCATGCTGCACATGGGCCAGCAGAGCGCCTTCTCGATCCTCAAGTTCCTGGAGAACCGCATGAAGGTCGAGCGCGTGATTGAGCGGGGCAGGCGGCAGACGAGGGTCCGAAGGGACTCGCTGGATAGTATCATGAGCGAGGCTGAGAGAAGCAGGTTGTTGAAAGGGAGCGGGATGAAATCCGGCACGGACTCGGGGACGGAGGAGTCGGATGCTGTTACGACGGGGGATGATTAAAACTAAAATAGAAGAGCAGGGGAAGAATGGATGAGCGCGAGTTGAAGCTTTCTGTCGTTGATTGAGAATGGAGTTCTATACCAAGATTCAGTTTTTTTTTTAACGATGTACACGGTTATGATTAAAAATCTATATAACTACATAAGTAGGTAGGCTTTTTATACATAGATCTATATATATACACCATATATTACATTCATAGGTTCATATATATTTACGGTACCTAAGGTCAGGTAAGGTAGGTAGACTCAGGAAGTGGTAAGGAGAAGGGAAGTGGTGTGAGCGGCTTGACCCCCTTTTTATTAAGCGAGAAGCGCCTTTCGATTCTCGAAACTATGTACTTAGGTAGTAGGTAAGGTACCTACCTACCTTTTGTTAAGAAACCCGGCCGGGTATGTATATCAGAGGTATCTCTCTCTCATCTCAATCCTTATCCCAAACCAAGCCCTCTCCAAACCCACCCCCCTCCTCCCTTATCGATCCCAGCCCCCATCCACGCTATACACAGAGCCACTAACATAGGCGCTCTCCGGGCCCAGCAGGAACGCTACCACGGCCGCGACCTCCTCGGCGGTTCCGAGTCTCTTGATCGCCGACGGGAGGTTTTGGATCTCTGGCTCATTGGTGCTTTGTGCCCAGTTTAGTAATAGGGGCGTCGCGATGGAGCCCGGCGCTACGGCGTTCACGCGGATAGAGCGGTGGCCGACTTCTTGGGCGGCGCTGCGCGTAAGCCCGATGACGCCGTGCTTGCTGGCGACGTAGGCGCCAGAGCCTGCGAATCCTGCATGTATATATATGTGGTTGGTATGGATGTGCGGCGCGGGGGTAAGGGGAGATAGCTAGAGAGAGGATGGTTTGGTTTGGTTGGGTTGGGTTTACTTACCCATCAGGCCCTGGACAGAGGAGATATTCACAATGGACCCGGAATCCGCGATCTTCCGCAGCTCCGCACGTAGACAGTACATGATGCCCGTGAGGTTGACAGCCAGGATGCGCTGCCACTCGTCGTCGTCGAGGTCCGCGATGGTGCGTGTGCCGTGGTGCTTGCCAATGATGCCGGCACAGTTGGCGGCGCCGTCAAGACGGCCGTGCTGCGCGACGATGCCGTCAATCCAGCTCTCGACCTCGGCGCGCTGCGATACGTCGACTCGCGTTGTGGTGAAGGGCACGTTTAGGGAGCTGAAGTGCGACGCGGCAGCGGAGAGAGCGGAAGGGTCAACGTCGGCGATGCAGACGGTGGCGCCGCGGCTGGAGAGGAGTTTGGCGGTCGCGAGGCCGATGCCTGATGCGCCGCCGGTGATGGCGATGATCTTGTCTTGCATAGACATGTTTGGAGAGCGGCGGGAGGGAGGGATGGACGGGTAAGAAGATCTCGATGGTGGAGCTACGATGGGAGGAGGAGAGAACGACGGGAAAAGCGGGAGAGGGAGAGGGTGGGTGGAAGGAGGGGAAGAGGTGATGTATCGTTGCGCTCACTAGAGTCGGCGTATGTAGCATAGCGAATTGAAGATCCAACCATTCCTGTCCTTGCCCGCATTTCATCCAGCGGGCAGTGCTCGCTGTCAAATAGACCGAAGTAAGGGGCCGTGATTATAACACTTGTATAATTTATGTGTCAACGTATATTGTGTAAAGCAATGGCAGTGAAAGAGAAGAATCGCGGCCGAACACATTAAGATTGAAATAAGAAGGCCTCATACGGAAGATGCACTACATCTCCATACTGCCGTCGCCTTCGACGATGATTATACGGACCGCAAAACTTAACAGTACGGCGCTTTTGTCGTAACTCCTTCTATAGAGCAGTGAAGAGCTCTCCCCTTCTTGTTCTGATAGCATGAAGAAAGGGTGCATAGTGATAGAATAGGAGACTTTGAAGTTTGCAGAGTTGTGGTCGTTGACGGGAAGGATTCCCCTAAGCGAGAATCTGGCCTTCTGATTGGCTGACTATTACGGGGTATGGGCCGTGATGATTTCACGTGAAAAGCGTAAGGTAATCAAGTGCCCGTCAGGGGTAACAGTAATATTGTACTTACAAACATAGTCTTACTGTCTCTACCGTCTTTACCCTTCTATCTGAAACATTATTGCTCTATTATACCCGTTATAGACACGTGATCGCCGTCCTAACTGAAGTTGTCCATGCATTATGTCTGCATATTTATATTACCTTATTCCGCTGTATAAGTTCGCACGAGTCTGGCGGTTCCCCGCGTTTCAGCTCCAAGCGAAGCTGCGTCATCAGACAAGGGTGGTAAAGCACTGGTACAGCTCGAAGGATGTCCCCGACAACAAACGCAGCTCCTTTGCTTCACTCATATCAGTTTGCACCTATTTACACCATTTCACGTACATCTTGGGATAGATCTGATTTATTTCGATGTTTCTATAGCTTCATCAGAAGGGATTGCGTCGAAGCTTAACATGCGCTGGGCGGCTTACTTCGCGGCTGCCGCTGCGGCTGCGGCAACCGTCGTCGAGGCTTCGACATTAACTCCCCCCGTGCTACCCTTGATTGTTCGAAATCCCTACTTGAGTACCTGGCTTGGAAATGCGAGGGATGTACCATGGAGTCGTTGGCCAATGTTTTGGACCGGCCAGGAAGTTGGATTCTCCGTCCTTGCTTCAGTGCCAAAATCCGATACTGTATACCCTCTGCTAGGTAGACCTCAAGACTCGCTCCCTACTGAGGGAGAAAGGTGCGTCATTGAGATTCGGGCTGTGGGATATATCATCCCCTATTGACATTTTGTAGCTTCACAGTTGCCTACCCAACTTATTTAGGCGCAACCTTTGATGCCTCGACAACGAATCTCACATATCACATACCCGGGCCAAAAGCCTTTCAAGAACCGGTCGAGGTCGTTCTATCATTCCTGTCCCCGATCACACCGACGTCAACACTTCGACAAGCGGTTCCCGCATCTTATTTGACGGTACATGTTCGAGGATCGTTTGATATCGATGTGTACATTGATGTCAATGGACTGTGGGTTAGTGCCAATAGAGACAATACGATTGTGTGGGACCTTTTGCAAAGCGTACATTCTGCAACGGGAAAGGGTCCGCTCCTGAAAACCTGGAAGGTTAAGAGAGAGACCGAGCAATTGTTGACGGAGGATGCCGACCGCGCAGAATGGGGCACATTGCACTTCACCGGCCCAGCAGATGTCCAGCATGAAGCTGGAACGTCGTCCCTTCTCCGACAGAGGTTCTCCCGGACAGGGACATTGGACAATGTTGTTGATGGAAAGTTCAGACCTATCATGGATGAGGAACCCGTTTTCGCCTTCTCGAAGTCTTTCAAGCTCAATGGCACCTCTGCAGCAGGCGGAAAGGCTTATGATAGTGTACTCTTCACATTGGCACATACTCAAGATCCAGTTATCCAATTTGCCTCAGCGAGAGGGATGACCTTGATGAGACCGTTGTGGGCAGCATATTACCCGGCAGTCGAATTACTACTCGACTATCACTACCACGACTTCGCGGACGCTTTTGTGCTCGCCAATAATTACTCACAGCAGCTTGAAGAGGACGCTCTGAAGTCAGGATCTGAAGATTACAAAGATATCCTCGCTCTCAGTGCACGACAGGTTCTGGGTGCAACTAGTTTCGCGGGCACCCCCGATGAACCGCTTATTTTCTTTAAGGAGATCTCGTCGGACGGCAACATGAATACTGTCGATGTCATCTATCCAGCTTTCCCATTCTTTTTGTATACGAACCCCAGGTGGTTGGCATACCTTCTCCAGCCACTCATTGAGCACCAGCTCAGTGGTCAATACCCGTAAGTCCATAAATGGAATTCAAACCCTCACCTCTAATATTTGGTAGGAATGACTATAGCATGCATGATCTTGGTTCCAGTTTCCCAAATGCCACGGGGCATCCTGATGGTAGGGATGAGTATATGCCGGTGGAAGAATGTGGCAATATGCTCATTCTGGGGCTTGCTCTTATTAACTCGTTGAAGTATGACACTGAGCCCGCTAGTATCTGGTCCCAAGCCGGGGAGAATTTAGTAGTCGAGACTGCGTATGGCGGATCGTTCCCTCTCTACCTAGACGCCCAAGGTATGGATGATACCTTCGGCGGACCGGTCAATGCGAAGGGTGAAAAACAAGCTCGGAAATGGATTGAAAAATCCTATAGTCTGTGGCAAAAATGGACCGGGTACCTTATTCGTGAAGCTCTTATCCCAGCCAACCAACTATCTACAGATGACTTTGCCGGCTGGCTGGCGAACCAAACGAACCTTGCCTTAAAAGGCATCATTGGTATTCGAGCAATGAGCGAAATCTCCGAGTTGGTTGGAGAAAAGGAAGATGCAAAATACTATCGTGAGGTGTCAGAAACTTACATCCAGAGATGGCAAGATGAATTTGCTATTTCGAGAGATGGTACACACGCAAAGCTGGCCTACACCTGGTATGGATCCTGGACAACGCTATACAACTTGTTCGCGGACTCGTTGCTTTGTTTCCATCTTCCATCAGGCTCGCCACAGAGCCTGGACATATTGAACCAGAAGCCTCTCCAACTGAACCAGCCGAAAGGGTCAAAGACTGCTTTTGTGGATGAGAAGATATACAAGTCGCAAAGCGACTGGTATCATATTGTCCGCCAAAGGTATGGCCTGCCACTTGATAGCCGGAGTCTACAAACCAAGAGTGATTGGGAGTTCTTTGCTGTCGCAGTTGCCAGCAAAAGTGTCAGGGAAGAGGTCGTGGAGTCAATTGCATTGTGGGTGAACGAGACATCAACTGGTTTGTAGATCCCTCCTTCCAGAACATAGCCATCAACTAACCATATTAGACTCGCCACTTACGGACTTGTACAATACAGAGGGTGATGGAGGCTTTCCTGGGATTGCATTTAAAGCTAGACCTGTTGTTGGAGGGCACTTTGCCTTCTTGGCTCTGGAGAGAGCCTGTGGAGGCCAGGCTTATGCTGGATTGAGCTTCTTGGATGGCGAGGAGGGCGAGGAGCCAGGGCGCACAGGGAGTGGAAGAACTGATGGTGAATTGTAGATAAGTAGATGTCGAAATCAAAAGGCTCTCTTTGTGTCCAGTTTTCGAAATATTCAGAGCCAGAGCCTCGCCGAGGTCAGAATATGGTGGCACGTGACTTAATTCACATGGAAACTTGCTGCTACTGTCAAAGTCCCACGTCAGAACCCACCAAGAAATAGGCAATGGTTTATTTGGATACTGTTCCTGACGGCAACATACATCAATACTTTCTTAACCTGGCCTTGTGAGAAGTGTCCGCTCTTAAGACGCGGCGGATTCAGCGGTTCAACCTCAGGTTCCATGGGTTGCACTAGCGCATTTTAGCCGCTGTCGCTAAAGCAACAAGAACCTTTCAGACCCCAGTTTCGTCAGATCTGTGGAGGTATTTTTGTCTTTCTTCCAACTCTCAACATTCCAACCTTCAATCCTTCAACTTTGTGATACCCATCATACGGTTCTTTGTTCATCATCCTTTGGGTGACAGCCTTTCTTGTCTCTTTCAATACTTGAGTCGCTTCGCTACTCTCGTGTTGCTGCGACAGATCTGACACCTATCCCCCTTCCCAGTCCTGCAACTCATCCTTCCAAGCAACGACACCATGGCCTCCACCATGGATTACGAGAACGAGAACGGAGCTCGCTATGAAGGTACGCGCACAGCTAATTATATTCCATCGCGTGCTATGCCTTGTAATTCTCGATGCTGACTCGATCTGTTGACGCGTAGATGAAGCTCCGCGTTACGAGCGTGATCGCAGCGCGTCCCCTCGCCCAAGTCGTCGCAATGAGAGTCCTCGTGGACCTCGCCGCTCTGCTTCTCCCAATGGCAACGGACACCCTGATAGCCGGTCGGTAATTTGTTTACATATTGATTTGAGCAATGTTTTAATCCGCCTGCAGTGGCCCAAGAACCGACCGTGGCCCTCCTCCCCAAGATGATGGTGCAGTCAACCCTGGATCCAACCTCTTCGTCACTGGTATCCATCCTCGTCTCTCTGAGCAGGAGGTCACTCGTCTCTTTGAGAAATACGGTGATGTCGAGAAGTGCCAGATCATGCTTGATCCCCACACCAAGGAGTCTCGTGGCTTTGGCTTCGTCAAGATGGTCACTGCTGAGCAGGCTGATGCCGCCAAGGAGGGTCTTCAAGGTGAAGTCATTGAGGGCCGAACCTTGAGCATCGAGAAGGCTCGTCGTTCCCGTCCTCGTACTCCTACACCTGGCAAGTACTTTGGACCACCAAAGAGAGGCAAGCATTCCCTGTTTCCCGTTTGTTACACAATTAACTAAAACACCAGAAGACGACCCACGCCATTCTCGCGGTAGATATGGTGACCGCTACGATGACCACCGTCGTGGGGGCGGACGTTACGGCGGAGACCGCGACTACGACCGAGGCTATGGCCGCCGTGATGACAGAAGATATGACGATCGTCGAGGTTACTATCCCAGACAAGGTCCTTTTATACCCCCTTTCAAACATATCTTACGAGTGAAGAACAATGTTTTGTTCTTTCGCATTTAGAAGTAACTATACTGACTTGGCTTCTTGGCAGATCGCGACGATGGCTACGCCCCCCGAGTTGACCGCTATGCTGGAAGAGACGACCGCTACGAGCGCCGTGGAGGTGGTGGAGGATACAGTGACCGCTATGACAGAGACTCTGGCCGTTCCCGCGATGCCCCTCCCGCCGCCTATGGTGATCCAGCTCCTCGTGCAGAGCCTCGGGAACCTTATGGTAGCCGCTACTCTGATGAGAGATACTCCCGCCGAGACTACTGATTGCTAACCGACGTAGGGGAGCGCCCTGCTCGTTAAACTGCATGATCTCGACAGCGCAACAACAGCTATGGATCGGCGGGTTTCCTTGATGCGGGTGCGCCTCCACTTGTGCTTCTATTTCCTTTTGTTTTCATCATGGCCCAAAGCTTCGAGCGGCGGAAAAAAAAATATGCAAAAGCGTGGATCTACACTTTTCGGCGGATCGAGCGAAATATTCGGGTCAATGCATGACTGGTCGACGGATGGATTTTCCTTTTATGCTTTCCTCAGATTTCTTCGGCACGACATGCGGGCGGGCATATTCAGCATAAGATCGCCCTGCAATGGGGTTTGTGTCTTCCCTGGAACAGATCTGGTTATTCCTCATCGATGAGCCCCTCAGATTCAGCACCTAATGTCCCCTTGTACCACTATTCAGCTTTGGCTGAGCATCTGTCACCATTAAATTTCGGCCTTTACGCCTTCGATGATGTCTTGCTTCGTCGTCTTTAGCGCCAGAAGCAGAAATTCGAACCAAAACACTCAGCCTCAATCCCGTGATCAACAATTGCGAGAACAAACAAAATCTATTGACAGCCTAACCTACCCGTTGATACGAAATTTCGAACTCTGCATGATGATTAATTTCGCCTTGCCACAAATCAGAAAAAAGCAAGATATAGACGCCTCCATAACCAAAATTTCCCAGGCAACTAATCGTAAAATCTCCCTGCAAACCTGCTACGACCAATAAATGGACCGTCTGGGCCCACTGGACCTCTTCTTGACTTGGAGGAGAAAGGTGATACCCCATTTTGCCAATATAGTGGCTGATAGATGGATTGTCTAGGGTCTAGTAAAGTCAACCCCTAATTAATGTCACTCATCAGCATACCAGTCAATTTAGGCTCACTCGTCGTATTAGAGTCTCTCAGACCCCAGCCCCCGAAGTTCAGGAGCCAGATATGAAATGTGATACGTGTCGCTCTTGCTATGCTCCTCTCAGCTCGTCTGATCTTGCGCTGTTGAGGTAGTATTTACATAGTGGCTCCTGCCTGGGTGTTGCAATGAAAGTGGATTAATAGTAAGGCGTTGAAATTGCTCCGGATAGGAGGTTTCTCGCCTTGACATACAGAGTTTTTTGCTATACTTTGATGTTCGCTGTTATTAATCCGATAGAAAAATATGAATAGGATCAACAATTTTGCTACATTTGACTGATCCAATTTTGGACGTTGAGCTGAAGTGATATTCCAAACCAACAAGTCGTTCTTTCCCAGCATGGGAGGGATTGGGAGATATCCTCCAAAGTCGTTTTATCAAATTGGATCGCCTTTCTATTGCTTGATGCTGCTGCATGTCTATGTTCTATGACGAAGTGCAGTGAACAGATATCAATCCTTCTGATACCCCTTCCAAACTTGACCCCATCAATCATCAAGCTTCCTTCTTATCCCCTTCCTGTCATTCTGGTGTTGAAGCCCATTTCTTGGAGGAACCGAACCACTCAAGGCGCGGTGCAGCACAGGGAAAAGCTAGCTTTTCACCACACACAGAATATGGCCATTGAAGAGAAATCGGGGAGTGAGACGAGAATGTAAGATCGTATTTTGGAATCAGATGTCGAGAGCAAAGCATGTTGCATAAATCAAGGGAAAGCCCAGCGAAGGGAGGGCGACTAGATGAGGTATTCGAGGATTGGCCGAGATAAGCGAGGAGGCTGTCAACGTCGAGAAGGCTGACGACCAACGTGGACCTTCGTCGCTTTACCCTCGACCATGAAGTCAATCCGCAATCTACCAAGTCTTGTGCGCGACAAGTTTATAGCTGCTCAAAAGGGCGGCGACCTCACGTTTTACCAGACACAGGTGTCAATTCTTCAATGCCATGGAGTGCCTGTACGCGCCCTTCCTAGCCCACGCCCCGCAGACCCTGATACTTACCTACCTATGACATAGTTCCAAGTCCGCTTCTCTCCTGCTCTGGCGAATAAGCCCAAATCCAACAGGCCTCGCGCTCCGAAGGAGAAGTTCTTTGATCCATTTGCCGACCCGGCCCCAGGCCTACTTATCACCGACCTCCCTTCTCACTTCCTCGTCCTTAATAAATTCCCCGTAATCCCAGATCACTTCATCCTGGCCACGAAAGAATTTAAAGAGCAGACACATCTACTGGAAGAAGATGATATTGGAGCTGCTTATGAGTGCCTGAAAGCATATCGTGAAAATGGAGAGGAGCTGTTTGGCTTTTTCAATTCCGGTGAACATTCTGGGGCAAGCCAGCCGCATAGGCATATACAATTTCTGCCAGTTGAATCAATGCGAAGCGGCATGAAGACAGGGGAAGAATGGAACGTGTTGGCTGATGGCCTTGCAAAGAATCCTGGTATGGATCTCAACTCTATGAAAAACCTCAGGCTGAGGGCTGACCATTTTAGAACTCCCATTTGCTTATTTTTGGAGCGCCCTTCCTGAAAACCCAACATCCCAGCAACTCCATGATATCTATAGAAGCCTCCACGATAAAGCAGTTCGAGCTACGGATGATTCCCTTCATGTCTCTACTGCAGAGAACGATTCGCCGATCAGCTACAACCTTGGCTTTACTGACCGATCAATGGTGGTATGTCCGCGGACCCTAGAAGGGCCGATGATCAAGAGCAGCAAAGGTGAATCCATAGGACCAGTCTCTCTGAATGGCACCTTGCTAGCAGGAACTCTCTTAGTGAAGAGCGAGGCCGAATGGGATACTCTACATAACGACGAGTCAAAACTCAGTGATGTTTTAGGCTCTATCGGTATCAGTTCAATTAAAAGCAATGCTAGGATTTAAAATGAACAAGATAAGGTCAAAGGATCTCCCAGAAACTCGGCACACAAAAAATTCCCAGAAAATCAAGACCTCGCTATACCCACCCATACCCACCCATACACACGGATACTCCTTGTTAGGTTTCATATAAGCTCGCTCAAAGTTAGGACTCAGATTGTCGTTGAAGTTCATCCCAACGCTTTCGACAAGTTGCATTGCCAAAGTGGTACGATCCTCCATTATTGGCTATATATTCAGCGACCTGTTTCCAGGGAACTCTGGATTTCGTTGGATCCGAACCGCTGGCCAGCTTCCGGACAGCCTTTCTCAGGAGTCGAATCTATGCATACGTCAGCCAATAATAGGATACCTGCGAATACACTACATACATCATTGTCATCCCACTCTGGTTTCCTCACTCGTGCTGTCTTATGTTTTGTCAGGGTTCGGAAACGACCTCTCAGCGTCGACTCTGCCTCGGTGAATTTTCCCTGTCGGCGGATGTCTTTGTATGACATTCCAGCTAGCTTTGATCTGACTAGGAAGTCATCTTTGGCATCTCGATGGTGCATTGCCTGTATCGTTGCAGCTGACTGAGCCGCTTGCGGCGATTCGGTGGTACATGGTTGTCGGACACTGGAATCAACGGGCTTTGGCTCGATCCTTTTGGGCGCCGATAACTTCTGAGGAACCAATTCAATTTCCTGGGATGGTAATGCCTTGTTCTTTGACAGCGTGGCGCAGGATGGCTGATCAGATCTGCTGTCAATATGGCCCCCAGATTTGGCCTTCGTTAACCGCCTTTTAGTTGTCCTGCTAGCCGCGAAGTCGTTACTAGGTACGACCGGCACCCTTCTTTGAGACGTAGGGCTAGAATTAGGGAGTATATGCCGAGGTCGACGTGGTGCGTGCCTTTCCACGACCCACAACGTCTCGGGCCCTGAGAAGTCTGAGTTGTCATCTCCAGAACCGAGACCCGTGCTCGAATCGGATAATGACAGTGCAACACCTTGACTCGACCCCGAGGAAGATAATGGGGTGGACGCAACGTTCAAAGTCAATGCCTTCGGTGAAACAGTGATTGGTGCGGCCGATCGAGATGTCCAGTTGCTTGTTGATTCATCTGTAATGTTCCACGTCTCATTCCATTCCTGACGTTGCTGCTGATTGTAGTTCTTCGGCAGACCGTCATGCGATGTAAATGTTCCATGAACCCCTTGATGCTGGTCCTCTGGCCACCAGGTGTCTTTCATATGGGTATCCTGAACATTCGGGACCGGGCAGACCAAAGACCCAGGGTTGACGGATGTGCTGGATGATGAATAGTTACTATATACTGTACTTGGGCTGGTCCTTTCATTTTTCAAAATATCACTAACCCCTGAGGTATCTTGGTAAGATATCTGTTGTTGCGCTAGATTCGTGACTGATGGGAATGGAGTGAAGTTGGCTTCATTCGACGTATGGTAAGAGAAGTTCCTCAGCCCATTTCGCGTGTTTAAAAATTCCGCAAAGCTGCCATTTCTGCGTCCCAGATTCCATTGGGAATAGTCATTCCCAAGCATTGGACTTTGATTTTCGAAGCAATTCATCTCTGAGACGGGCTCTTGATAGGTCGGGTGCGAAGTTGAAGGTCTCTTATAAGGCTGGCATTGACTCTGATGCACCCCAGCATATGGAGAAGCCTTTGGCAGATTGATCGACAGGCCCTGATTAATAGAAGTTGTGTCTTGGTAGTATCCAGCGTATAGCGTGTGAAGCTATTCATTATTAGTCCTTCTAATGATCTCTCATGGAGCGATCACAACTCACGGGAAAGTTCTCGTTACTGAAGTCATCGAGATGTTGATCCCAACCGTCGGTCGATGAGGCCACGGGCCTGAAGATACTCCAAGCGTTTACGTTATTGCTCGTCATTTCAACAAGACTTTGATGCAATGATTCCGCTCTGTGGGTAGGGACAAAGGTTTCGAAGCCGTTCGAGACAATTCGGGGTCGTGCGTTGATAAGCATTGTGGTAGCGCCTCACCGCTGTGCTGTCTCAGTGAAGATGTAGGTTCGCGATGTTCTGCTTCTAGGTCGAACGCCAGATGTACTTCAGAAGCCAGATGCCTGCACCCTTCGCCGTCTGCGGTTGTTATGCAATAGTGATTCAAACAACAGATGATGTGCAGGCGGTCAGGTTATGGCAACTGGGAGCCAAATCGAAGCGGGGGCTCAAAATTCTCTGTGCTATTGGAGGAAAAGGATATGATACTGTATGAGAGAAAACCGGCTCAGGGTCTCAATCTATACCCGGCCGATGTATTTGGTTCTGTTTCGGGATCTCAGACTCCCAAAGACGTGTGCTGCAATCATTCAGTACCCCCAGTCATTGCACCGTATTTGCCACACCGCCAGCAGAGCAGGAAGCGGTGATGCTTACCTTCTGCTTGAACTGGTTTCCAATGCCAAACTTCTTGGACTGCTCGCCAAATTCACGGGGTCTTCTTCCTTATGGACAGTTGCTTGCAGGTGCAGGGGGAAAGCACTGAAGGTAACAGAAAACCCAGAGCCAACGGTGAAGACTTTCTGCGCGGCAGAAAAAGAAGTAGAATATACGTTGTTATTTTGTCAGATGGAATGGCTCTTATCCAAGTCGACAGCGATCAGGGTGATACATTGGAAGCAGACTACGGCCCAGCTTCCAGAGTGCCGAAGAAGGAAGCAGTGCCGGAAACGACCGTGCTCCCTTCTCCGTATCTGCCATCAACGTTTCCTCTTGCTTGTCATCACACTGATTGTTAATCTAAGGACATTGGCCCGTGAACGGCATTTTCAAGCCTCCCGCCTCCCTACGACTAGGCAAGGTCAAGGCAGTTTTGACAAATCGACTAGTATATGGATGATGATATGTCAACCTTCTCAATACTTCTTAATACCTCGAGATATTGATTCCCTGGCGCCCAGACCCGTCTCTGTGGTCCTTGCAGCATATGGCTCCTCCACCTTGCGCGGCTGCACGTGGCCGCGGCGAGAGCTGCATGCTAGATCTGCAAATGAACGCGTTCGCTTGTCTCTGATCTACAGGCCATGAACAGGTCGTTGCTGACAGAGTTAGCAAACCGTCGGCTACCTGGCTACCCGCATACTTGCATGCCGATTCCGAGCTCGGATGGTACGACCTCAATCCTGCAAACGACGATTGGGCTCGCGAGCCCATTCTTTGCTGGATCGATGCTGTGGACTGTGTGATTGCCTCCCGCTTGGATCGCAGCGTGGAGTTGCGTGTACCCCAGATATGGAGGCTGTGGTCAGTTCGCTCTTCAGCCCCATTCTACATATATTACAAGCTCAATCCAAGCCCATTATCTCCTTCAGCCGCCAAAATTCCCCGAACCATTCCACTCGCCTCCACCTCCACGCTGCTGCGATCCTGCACACTCCCTGACCCATCGCACGACCGCAAACGGTGGCACAGTGCAGAGGCTCCGCCCCAACCAAGCTCTCGCGGCCAGCCGCACCTCAAAACCCAGCGATCGGCGTCAAGACCCAAGCTGCATGGCTTGCGCAGGACGTCCCAACGTCAGGTCTCACATTCGACATCTATCTTCCCTACCTGCTCGCGCTCTATGGAACATAACGTATCCTTGAGCCTTGACAGTGGAGAGGCGGTGTCAATGCCTCAGCACCCTACTCGTCCCCTCCCCCCAACGAATAACCATCCTACCCTCCCTCCTACCACGGAAACCAGACAAGGACTCGAGAGCCAAGCTTGGATCACCAAGGGGAAGGGATCCTCACCCAAAGGAAAGGCTCCTGTCACTTGCGGCCCGCGAAGCCGCCGGGGGGATCTATGACTCCCTTCCCCGAGTGCAGGCAAGGCTAGTCTGGGCTCAGTCGTCGATCCCCTTTAATGGAATGTACGAGGAGAGATGCGAGGGATGTGCAATTGGTGAGGAAACCTCTGCTTTGAGATGCACCTGCAGCGATGCGGGAATGGCTAGTGGGGTGGGGGCGAAAGCCTTTTATGATGGGTTCGTTCGTTCGTTTTTATTTATATTTATATATATACACGTGATGCAAGGACTACCTAGGTATGCAGGGCTGGCGGATCTTTGGGTAGCCGGTTCTTGGTTTGTTCAGTTACGCTGATTGAGGCCTGGGGGCGCGAAAAGGGGGTGATGTCATGTGATCGTTACCGACCAGAGGGTCTCGTGTTGGCGGTGGCCGGCGGCAGACGCATCGAGGGGACAGGCACAGTCATCTTCTATAGTACCCAGGTACCCTTGAGATATCGGGAACGAAAGCCGTGTTGGCGGCGGCCGCTGGCTGACGCATCGAGGTTCGCTCCTCGGACGGTAGCAGTGCCCGGCCGATGATTTGAGGGTATCCTCATGTTTTTGCGGATAATCGTAGGGGAACCGTGTTAGCAGTAGACGCCGACGCTATCTTTACCTCTACTTGGATAACTTGAGTATCTACGGGTACTAGTTACTCGTACCTCTGCTCTACGTCCTGCTTCACTTTTGCTCCTAAGAGTATCTTATCTTGGCTGCCACGCCGCTGTTTGATGCTGAAGATTTCTTTTACATTAAGAGCCTACTACTTTCGTGAAAATAAGGTTTCGCCGCAGAGCTTCGCAACCGCCTCATTTATTTTACAAAAGCTACTTTCATTCCATACAATACATTCGTACAATACACCTAATCTCCAGCAAACTCCTATTTGACCATATGCATAAGCCGAATCTTGAAACGCCAACATTCCCCCCAGCCAAGGTCGTACTCAATAGAGTCATAATGCATCCAGCTGTACTGCCTGTCCCGTGTAAACCAACACCAACGCCATCTTCACAAACTTCAAATCCAGTTTCCCGGTATCTTAACACCTTCATTGTATCCCAGCACCTCATCATCATCATCGTGTTCGGCGGTATTTCTCGTGACATTGTCATACCAATCCATAGCCTTCTTCTGCAATGAACTTCTTCTCTCCATACCTTCAGTGTGCTTGTCCTCTCCTAAACTCCAAGGCTGCTCCATTCCCAAATATTTTTTGTTCTCCTTGACTGGAGACGGCGCTTGGCGCAACCATTCGGATTCGGTAAGTGAAAGCGGTGTGTAGTCATTTGACCCGTTAACAAGCCCGTGCTCTGGCTCAACTTCATCCTGCTCGTAATTGCCCATCATTGGAGACGTCTCAAGTTTTGGCAGCCTCTTCATTGGAGAGTTTCTGCGCTTGCGCAGCGTGATATTCGAAAAATTGCCGCCCAGAGGGGCAAATGTCACGCCTTGTCTCTTTGTTGGAATCGTTAGTGGTTCTGGAACATCTGCAGAGTCAGTGGGGTAGTATTCTTCATTGGAGCTTGGCAACCCCTCGCCATATTCCCTCCTCAAGATCTTCCTTCCAACGGGCACAACTGTAGCGACTCCAAGAATTGGTGGGGGAGACAGCGAATCTCGGTCGAGATATGAAAGGAGTGATGGTGTAATTGATGGTGCGCCAGAACTAGCAGACTGTGCAGAGTGGCTTCGCGGATAAGGTAAGGAGGCGTGCTGAACTGGTATTTCTGGCAATGGGCGATCCATGATATCCTGCCATTCCTGCTGTGTCATAGATGGAAGGCCCGAGTCAGAGAAACTATAGGTTGAGTCATTGGTTGGCGATAGACCCCGGCGATATGGACTAGGAGGGCGAGGAGCTTGGAATGTTCTTGTCTTTTCAGAGTCCATCGCACAGCTTTCAGAATTGTCATCGAATGGATCTGTCATCCGTGGGATTGCGGAATCGTCCGAGGAAATGGAACCCTGCATATCTCTTTCATCAACTCCGAGACTGTCTGGGGCTCCATTGCGGATTTCTTCATCACGGATAAGCCTCGCTCTGTAAGCTCGTTTTGCAGCTTCTTTCTCTGCCGGCTTTAGTTCCATCTCAATACCGTTGAGCGAAAGGATACTTCGCGAAGGCATAAGGAGAGCTCGAGGGTGATCGTCTGGAATCAATTGTAATGAAGCGAGACTGTCCCAACTGCGATAGTGGAAATTGAAGGTTGCGAATGGTGTATCTTTTGGATCGTGGAGATGCCAATCGTAAAACTTGGCGTCCTCTGGTGTGTCAATCAATCCACCACTGGGAAATCTATAGAGTATCAGTCCTTCTTGAAGGTCTAGCCTGCTGACAATGGCCTGGGAAGACCTACATAATTCCATAGTGGTCCTGCGGCCTGAACTTCGTAGGATCAGGAATTCTTCTCTGTCGACCCTTTGCCCGAAAGATACGTACTTCGATGAGACCTCCATCATTTGCTGCGGAGCGTCCATCAACCTCTTTGTCGAAGAAGAAGGGTCGCCTTTCTGTGCCATTGTTCTTATAGATCGTGCCATCAACTTCGTAGTTCCACCTCTCAGAGGGGTCAAACAGTCCTCGCATGATCTGACCTCTAGGATTTGTTTCGGGGTTAGTGCCCCACGAAGCAACATGTCGACCATTCATGAAGAGCTTGAAGTAATACCACGGAGGCTTTGGCACTTCAGCTTCTCTTACGTCGTAACGAAGCCAGAATCGAGCACCTAGAGCAGACTCAGCCGTAGGCCATATGTGAGAGGAGGATGTACTAACCGGGTTGAGTAGGGATGTAAACAGAGACTGTCGACGGCCGGCCAAGTACGCGGTCTGCTTTGCTTTCGGAGGAGGTGCATGGCTCGTTCAGATTGGAGATACTGACACTTTCATTCAGATCAGGGCACCTAGAGGTGAACTGTGAGCTCTCTGGATGGGGGAACTCAGGATGGAGCCTCAATTCCCACTGGGAGATGATGGTCAACTTGATGCCCCTGAGCACCGGCATTGTGGTGTTGATCGCGGGTACCTGTCAAACGTTGCGTTCAATGAATTGAGTTCTGTTCCAGTTGTCTGAGGGGAGAACGATTTGGTGAATGGGGAAGCAAGAAAGGTCAATAGAGGTCAAGACAAGACGCGTCAAGTCCTTGTGTGTTGGAGAGCAAGAGCGCGCTAGTCCCCGCTTAAAATATCAGGAGGCCAAAGTCTTCGACATTCACTCAGGTAAAAGGTCTTGAACTACAACCTTCATACATGGAAGAACAAAAAAGTTAAATGCTTAATGAGGGCCACTACGGGAATAGAAATGTTCTATGTAGCGCAGACCATTTTTTTCGGATCTATGAGCCACAAGCAGCGAGCTGCTACGTCTGTCTTCGAGCCAACTTGCTCGATTTCTTCGCCGGCCGGCGATACAAACCAAAAGAAGAATCGGCACATTATATCATTAATGAATCCATAAGTGATACCCCGGAGATCTAGAGCTCAAAAGCAAGCAAAGGTACATGCTACATGAGATATCAAGCGCTCGCCCCCCTTTCTTCGTGAAAGCTGAAGGAGCTGCAATCTGATGACTACACGAGGAAATCAATAAGTTCGATTGACGAAAGGAGATCAATGACTTAGGAAAGAGAATCTATAATTCTCCTAAGAATTTCGACTTAATGAAAGGTGGACCAGGAACTAATACGTTCAGGTCCCAATAGCTGGCGATCCAAAGGGTTAAGCATGAAGCACAACCCACCCGTTCTGCTTTGTTCTCATCATGATTCTCCGGGCTGCATTCAAGACAAGTAGAGGACCTCTGCTGTGGTTGACTCTCTTCAAATCATTCCTTATGTACAAGCTCCACATACAATCCCTAGCACTTGCTTACTTGCCCAGTACAGCCTTGCTATCTTCATCCTTGTCCAGCAGCCCCAGGTTCCTTATTGCGCCCGCCTTCGGTGCATCGTCTCGCAGGTTTGCTGCCTCCGCTTTTCGGTATGCTTGTTGTAATGTGCGTACTCTCGTAGCCTACAATGCGAGCAATTTGGTCAGCAACTGGCTCCGTGGGATATTCGGGAGGATCGGAGAAGGTGAGCGGATGTTGCAGGCAACCGACTTCTTTCTTGTGGTGCAAGCACTCATAGTAATCCTCCAGCATTGGCGAACATTTCCGCTTTCCTGAATCGTCCTCGGAGGTGGTGTTGACAACGTAGCAAGCTAGGACCTCTTGCCAGAATGGAAAGCAGCGCGAGGGGCCTGCGGGACATCAGTATCAGCCATTGACCTTCTCCCAACCCGATATCTTCACGTTTGAGCAGCGCGACGCGAGGATTAACTTACCGCCGTTGAGTCCATAGCCTGAAGACATCGTGTGTGGTCAATATGGTGCTTTGTCGTGGAGCTTGAAGAGGTGATGTCGGAACTTCGAAGGAAAGTAGCCGCGCTAACACCGCCCTCGTGCCTTATCGGTCAGGCGCACAACGAGCGTTGCTGGATTTGGACAGCTTTCTTTGGGAGCGGCAGAATCTCATCCCACATGCGCTCCAAGATACCCAAGACATGGCAGGACCTCAGCTATCTCCTGCGAAAGTTGTCCTGCTGGCTGTCCAGCTGGCCCACAAAGCCGAAGTTTCACACCTTCGAACCCTCATATCTCAACACCGGAAGACCCTCCGTACCGAAATCGTCCTGCGCGTCATCCTCAGCCATTTACCAGAAAGCCTCGAGTCTTCCCAATATGTCCAGTTTCTACAAGATTTAGTAGAGGGGGACATTGTGGAAGATCCAAATTTTCCAGTGGATAAGTCTGTGCTTGATGGCCTCAGCGATAAGGAAGCAAGCAAGAAAGTCCGGAAACTGCGTTTGCTTCCTTTACTATGGCCAAATGCCCCAGCAGACGCTCCTGAAGATCCTCTTACACTCTTCCTCATCCATCGGTCTTTGAGAATTGACGAGAATACTGGTTTGATTACCCAAGTACCAGCGTTGGTTACGCCATTTCTACAACGATCCTCCTACCTTCGAACGTGGTTCATATCGACAATTCTTCCCCTTCTACGATTAAACTATGAATATCACCCGCAGGATGGTTCCAATATTTCTATAGCTGTCTTTGAGCGTCTGGATGATGAGGCTGGCGTCAAATTGCTGCTTTCAAGGAGTAATATTCCAGAGACAGATGATACCAGTGACGAAACTCTTGGGCGAGATTTAAGAGGCTTAATTGGCCCTTGGATGTATGGTGATAACAGGTTGAAGCGAAGAAAGATTCTAAGAAAATCGACTTTTGACGCACAAACGGTTCCGCCTCTGGATGAAGCTCCGGCGGTCAATGAGAAGTATGCCAGTTGGGAGGAAGTCTTCAAATGGATCACAGCACAAGCCACATCAGGATGGGAAACAGCTGTACAAACAATTGAGCAATGGGAAGGACCTGGAGACGTGGATCTCGGAGGCTATGAAGATAGAAATGCGTGGCTGGATGAGGATGATCAGCAACATCTTGAGCAACGATATGCCCGTTCAGCACTTGCAGCCGCATATCTTATTCCTGAAGCCTCTTTGGATGCGCTAGTAGGTGTGCACAGGATCCTATCGAGAACTATCACCCGTCTTGATCTTGAGAGGATACCCACGTTAGAAGTTGCTGGTGGCCTTCTTTCACCGGTCTCAATACGGGGGGAAAATAACATTGTCTCCCCAAAGAACGCTGTATTTCTTCGAAATGGTCTTATGGACGAGCAAAACATTCTTACCAAACCGAGCAAAGTATCTCTGAGATTCCTCCACGCCTTATTAATCAGTGCCTTTTTGTTCACTAGGGAGCGTACAGCCTTGTCTGTCCTGAGAGCTGGACAGGTGACGCTGAGGCAAGATGAAAGTGAACAGAAAATGGAGCTTGCAAGATTCATGGCAAAAGGACCAGGTCTTTCGCCTACGAAAGGAGATGATAGATACTGGACTAGGATTAGGAATGAAATTTTGTGGATGCGCAGCTGGGGCGCCGAAGAGCTTGGGGAGGCCACGGATGGTTTGCCTGGAAAGGGTATTTTTGGACAGATTCCAAAAGAGTACATGGAGGTCGAGATCCTCAAAGGCCTTCTTTCAAATTCCCGTACGTTATCTCTAATTTATATCCCTAATCAGGTTGCTGATTGCGGTTTCTACGATCTAGGCTTTACCCTTGCAAATCAAATCTATGAGAAGTCGCCAGAACGACCTATATCAAAGGGCGTGCTCGAGGAGACGGTCATTTCCGCAGCTATGGAGGCATATGACAATGCAACAAATCCCAATAAGACTCGGGGTGGTGTGAAGAGGTGCCATGAAATGTAAGTATTTGGAGCCAGTCCTTGGAAAAGCTTCTGCATTGGCTAATCTATTATTGCAGTCTGAGAGCATTCCGCGAAACATTGGCCAATTCCATTCGGTCGACTCAATTAGAACATTTGATTATCGTCACGCATGCTGTTGGAGAATATCGATTGGTCCTAAAACAGAAAGAGCCTTTTACGCCGGTTGCTCTGCGAGTACACGCTGATCCTATATCTATCATTGGCAGGATTCTCGAACAGAACCCTAGAAGTTATACCAAAATCAATGATTTTGTTTGGATGGGGAAAGAGATGACGAAGGCTGGACTGCCTGTTCGCGATACTACAGTAGATTCTACCATCAGCGAACAACAATTTCTCGACCAAGAATCCGTCGCCGAGAGACGCGTCGTCGCTATGTGTATCTCTGCCGCTCTCGCTGAGGACGATTTTGAAACGGCATATTCCTACATTACGACTCGCTTAGCTGCTATCGCCAGCCAGGCACACACACGTACTCCCGATCATGGACGACGAGGAGGTCTTTTCGCTGAACGGCCTCCAAGGATAATCGATGACTGGTCGTGGAAGGCAGCATTGGAAGCGGGAAAATATCGACGCACTTCACAAACAACCAAGCCAACTCACCTTGGAAACTCAAGCGGAAATCCCGAGATTCGTCACCTAGAGCAACGGATGGATTGTCTGTCTCATGCCCTCAGATTTGCACCGAAATCTACTCTTCAAGAAATCTTGAATGCTTATCGTCGTTGCGAGGAGGAATTAGAGACACAGACAAAACTAGAGGCTGAACAGGAGGAGGCTTGGGATACACAGGGCGACGATAAAGCTATGCCAGGTGGTTTTGGAGTTAAGAAGAGAGATGTGGCACCTTACTCTTCCCGCGCTGCAGAGGAGGCCCCTATGTCCTTATTTGACCTATCACGTGCCAGCATGGCCCGCGCCCAGAGTGGATTCTCAGCTCTCGCCAGTCTCCAAAACAAGATGGGCAATTTAAGTGTTGAGGCTCTTGGGGAAAGTGGCATGGATTCTGAATCTTCAGCTGCAAGACAGGCTATGAGAAAGAGGGATCAGTTAAAAAATGTGGCAACTGGTGCTCTTGCTAGTGGTGTCGGCTGGTTGATCGGCGCAACTCCTAACCCTGGTAATTCTCAGAACCACTGAAACGGATTGGGTACTTTGAAGCATTTTAGCGGGAGTTGGGGGAACAAGGCAAGGCGTAGCATCGGGGATTGTAGGATTAATACGATACTGCTAATGATGGGAATCATTAATAATCAACCACTTTTAAAAGTTTCTTAATTGGTTCACCTTGAGTATAATCAGAAGTACCTCTATAGATGAAGCGCAGATGTTTTCCCTATCCCGGATTCCCGCTCACATACGATCCTTTATACTTCTGGACAAAGCTTCGACATTGAGCAACTCTAGCCCTGCTGGTCAACCAGCCCATCTACCACTCATCTGCAAATCAGGGCTCCTCTACTTTTATCCTCATCGAAGATACCCGAACGATAGATCCTCAGCCATTGCGAAGACAGCTACACCGAGACCCTCCTGGAGTCCTAGCCCTGTCCTAGTCCACTTACATAACCTATCATCCACCATTCTTCAACTTCTACTCTCTACCTTGCCCTACTTCGTACTAACCAGATATACAAGAAGACAAAGTGATAGGAATAAAGGAGATATTGCGGATTCGCTTGAAAATCACTTGTATATGTTCCTTTTGAGAATTAGTGTTGCGCAATAGTATAGGTAGAAGGATGATTTTCTGTGCTATCGCTAGGATACAGTAGTATTATCTACGTCTAGATGCCTTGTGGCCTGGCCAGGCATCACATCCTACGGTATCCGTCCTTATTCCTTAGTATCGTTACCCTTCTCGTAATAGGTACACCTCCTTAAGCTTTGGTCTGCCCTTAGAACACCTTCTTATAGTCCCTTATAGGATAGACAGTAACTAAAAAGACAGACTTAGAATTAGGGCTTTGTTAGGGGTCGGATCTAAGGTAGGTAACATAACCTTTGTGCTTGTAACGCCGCTAACTAAGAACAACGCTTTTACGGACGTAATCTATAATAAGAAGTCCTAAGCTTTGATGTCGTTAAATAGATCCGAAGCTACTACGCTTAGCTATAGAGCTAGGAGAGCTATAGCCTTAGTAAGCTAGGCGTATAGCTTCTTAGCAGATTAAGTAATGTCTACTACGCGTGTATAAACTTAATAATTAGTTATAGTAAAGCCTTATAATACTATAGTATTAATTACTACTACAACTACCTTAGACGATATAACTTAGGACTAGGCCGGCTACTAGGGCTCTTAGGGTTAGCTTAGTTAGGCTTGCTACTAGGGCTAAATTCCTCTTAAGGCCGCTTGCTAGAGTAGTCCTTACTAGGGTAGTCCGACCTGCTAGGGCTAGGGCTAAGCGCGGATAACGGCCTGCTAGAGCTAGTAGTACTACTACTAGCCCTACTAGGCAGGCAGCTAAGGGAGTCTCTAACCTAACGTAGTATAAAAAGACTTTGCGTTAGATAGGATGCCTTCTAGCTTTACGCTAGCCTTTAGGGCTCTACGCTTTTTGTTAGTAGTTAAGGATCTCTAGAAGAAGTAAGCTATATAATCTTAGTAGATCTTTATATTTTTAGCTATAATTACGTTAATAGCTACCTAGTAAACTTTGCCTGTAATACTATTATAAAAGACTAAAGAGAGATCTAAGAGCTATTAGCGGGTAGGTAGGTATCCCTAATTTAATAGTATGTATGTATTATAAAGGATGTTAATACGCTAGGGCAAGGTACCTCTAGACTTAATACGTAGCGCGTCTAAGTCGTTAAAGGTCAGGATCCTTATCGTACTTAATATATCGCGTACTCTATAGTACTCGCGCTCTCTAGCTAGCGTCTTTATAAGCGTCTTAACCTTCTTAGGTACTAGTTAGCCGCGTGCCTTAGGTTAACGTAGTTCCTTATTATCGGCCTATTATAAGTCCTCTTATAATTCCTCTTACGCCTGTTATAGTATAGCTCTGACCTCTAGGTCTATTTTAGTAAGTTAGTACTAATTAGTATAAAAGAAGAACAAAATAGATATAGTGTTAGTACTAATTAGCGTAAAGAACGATCTACTCTATAGACTAGCAAACGTAATGTAGTTTAAAAGTAAGATCCTAATAGCGGTTAAGCCGCGTCACGATTAGTCGTGATAGCTTGTAGCGATTAGTTGTAATAGCTCGTGGCATAAAAATGTTAGGTTTACGTAATAAGTGTCGCGCTTAGTCGCGACAGATAATGTATAAGTAACTAGTAAAGGAAGTCGTGTGTTGTTGTAAGCAACTAGTAAAGGAAGTCGTGTATTGTTATAGTATTAATATTTCCTGTCTAAAACTAGTGTAGCCGCGCTACGCTAGGCCTTCTTTAGCCTTTCCCTTTAACAGGGAGAGGCCCTTAGCGCCTTTACGACCCTCTCTTTATACTCTTTAACGAGTTCTCTAGTATTGTCTAGTAGTTTTATTAGATACTATTTGTTCTATTAGCTTCCTTAACCTTTAAACTTTACGAGGTATTTAACTACTGTCTTCTTGTTATACTTCGTAATTCTCTTGTCTATAACGCGTTCTAGCTTGTATAAGACCTACTTGTTAGTGTCGCCCTAGACACCCTTAACTAGTTTCTAACTGTCTAGCGCTAGACGGCTATATAGATCCGCCCCTTTAGGTACTAGTATAAGATAGGCTATTAACACTACCTAGTAACATCTTTATAACTAAGGAAAGTCAAGCTTATATACTAATCGACCGACCTGTTAGATAACTTTAAAAGGGCTAGCTCTCTACTAGGATAGCTTCTTGTTTTAGGTCTTAGGCAAATAGTACCCTTTATAGAGCCGTAAGAATACCTTATTACTAACGTCTATCGTAATTAGACTATAGTAAGCGTTGTAGTATTCCTTTACTATAGTTACTATAAAATCGATTACTACCTTTGTATTATACTATTAGAGGCGACAGATAACCTCTAGGGCCTCTTACTAGTCTTGTCCTACTATTAATAATAAGGACGTGTTTAGCTTAAAGCTGTATACTAGCTTATTTAGGCTCGTTCTAATAGAATCCGAGTATATATTATTTAACGCTACTTGTAACGTTATAATACTAGAAGTCTATAGCTAGTCTAGGTTATTAAAGATCTAAAAACAAAGTACGATCTTTACTATCTAGTTTTTTTGCTTAGACAACCTGTTAGTCTAGAGATACTATACTATAGATATAAAGAGCTTTGTTCTAAACTAGCGAAACAGCTCTCTTTAGAAGGCAGATATAAACTTTGTATTACGGTCTAATATTATCCTTATAAGGATTCCCTAGTCTAAGAGTAAAAGCATTTAGACTAGTACCTTAGCCTATTCCTTTACTGTGTACGTACTATGTCTTAGGATTAATAGCGACTTCTTACTATGTTTATAGGTAACTATAAGTATCACGTTAAAAGTGTTGTGTCCTTTAATCTTTTATAGCGTAATAGCTAGTACTTCTAGTAGCCTAGTAATAAAGTCTATTACAATTGTGTAGAACAGTATTAGTATTAATTAAATAAGTTGTAGTTTACCTAATAGTAGTAGACGTAACGTCGTATTTACCTAATAACTTAGGTAATACTATATATAGTTAGTAAGTTTCTTTGTTAGGCTATAAATAGACATGCCTTATAAGGCCTGCCTAGTACGATTAATGCTAAAATAAAGGGGCCTATAGGCTTTCCTTAGAACGTCTTAAGTTACTAGCTTTAGGATATAAAGTCTAGATAGGCTGTTTAAGACTACGTAGTATAGTAGTCTATTCTTTTAAATAAATAGTATACTAGCTCTCTTCTAGTCTATAGTATCGCCCTTTTCTATACTAAGTATATATATAATACGACAATAGTAAGGGTCTGCCTAGTATCTCTCTTATAGCTTAGTTTTAAACTCGTCTGTTACTAGGGCCTTTAACGTAATCTAGATATAGTCTAGAGTGTTGTCTTTTAACATATCTTTTAGCTTATCTACTACTAACCTTAACAAGGCGTTAGGCACGATGTTAGTCTTCTTAAGAATATGCCTTATATCTAAATTATATTAGAAGAGGTACTATAACACTTAGATTAATCTTATATTTAATTAGTTAGCGTCTGTTATAATTAGGGACGTCTGTCTAACGATACCGCGTGTTACTAAATAGTCTGTAAGTACGATTATAGTAGTCTTAGACGACTAGAGTATAACTTGTAGCTAGCGTATAGTATATACTAGGTATACTACCTCTAGCTCTATTAGTTTATAGTTCTTTTTAGCCGGGCCTAATAGTTTGCTTAGAAACAAGATAGGTTATACTATAGTTAAACTAATCTTAGTAAGGTCTACTAAGACCTTATATCCTTCCTTTAAGTAAAACGTTATAATACTAAAGCCTTACTTATTAGATATATTAATCTTAAGGTATAACTTGTGCCTTAGGTTAAAGTATACTAAAAACTATAGGTTAGAAAGGTAAGACTATATTACCTTAAAGCTACTATACTCTTTTAGTATAGGCTCTTACGACGTACGTGCCACGAACCTACACCGCTTATTCTTTATAATGCCTTATTCTTAACCGATAGTAAGGAGCTACGTCTTCTGCTTTTATAGCGGCTACGCTAGCTAGGCGTACTATAACACGTACTAGTGTAAGTAGCCTGTTATCCTTAGGTATTGTTCTAAAGCCTTAAGGCTTTCTAAGAACTTTAAGTTCTTTATTAACGCTATACGTTTTATTATAGTAGCTATTCTAAACCTGTCTACTCTATACCTAAGTAGCTCTACTAACAAGTATACTAGAAATAACTTCTTTAGTAATAGCGTAATCTAAAGATCTTAAATAAGGGATAATACGTTACGTAAGTATACTACGTGTTTAGCTACTATATAAGAGAAAACGACGATATTATCTATAAAACATTAGGAACAGTACCTTAGATCTTATATCTTAGAATCTATATACTATTAAACAAAAGTAAGAGAGTTCTTAAACCTTATTAATACTACGTTAGGTATCTCTTGACCTTAATAACTAATAATAGTAAAGCGTTCTTAATAGTCTTATTAGACTAGGAATTAGTAAAAGAAAGAAGATCTATCGATTACTATAATGTATCTTATTCCTTATAGCGCCTTTATTACTTTTACCTAGAGTAGTATTAGGTAAGTGTCTAGGACTGTTACCTTATTTAACGCTTAGAGATTAACTACTAGACGTGCCT